TCATTCAATTAATTGATGTTTTGTTCTTATTCAGATTTAATTTATTCAAATTCTTATTTGTTTGATTCTAGGTTTTGCACTTTCTCATTCAATTAATTGATATTTTATTCTTATTCAGATTTATATTATTCTAGTTCTTATTTATCTGATTCTAGGTTTTTAACTTTCTCATTCAATTAATTAATATTTTATTCTTCTTCTTATTTGTTTGATTCTAGGTTTTGAGCTTTCTCATTCAATTAATTGATGTTTTGTTCTTATTCAGATTTAAATTATTCTTATTCTTATTTGTTTGATTCTAGGTTTTGCACTTTCTCATTCAATTAATTGATATTTTATTCTTATTCAGATTTATATTATTCTAGTTCTTATTTATCTGATTCTAGGTTTTGAACTTTCTCATTCAATTAATTAATATTTTATTCTTCTTCTTATTTGTTTGATTCTAGGTTTTGAGCTTTCTCATTCAATTAATTGATGTTTTGTTCTTATTCAGATTTAAATTATTCTAATTCTTATTTATCTGATTCTAGGATTTGAACTTTCTCATTCAATTAATTGATGTTTTGTTCTTATTCAGATTTAATTTATTCAAATTCTTATTTGTTTGATTCTAGGTTTTGTAATTTAGCATTTAATTAATTGATGTTTTGTTCTTATTCAAATTTTATTTATTTTAATTCTTATTTGTTTGATTCTAGATTTTGCACTTTTTCATTCAGTTAATTGATGTTTTGTTCTTATTCAGATTGAATATATTCTATTTCTTATTTGTTTTATTCTAAGATGTTAATTTATTCTTACTCAGATTTAATTTATTCTAATTTTTATTAATCTGATTCTAAATTTTATACTTTCTCATTCAATTCATTGATATATTGTTCTTATTCGGATTTAATTTATTCTACTTCTTATTGGTTTGCTTCTAGGATGATAATTTATTCTTATTCAGATTTCATTTATTCTAATTCTTATTTATCTGATTCTAGGTTTTGTACTTTCTCATTCAATTAATTTATTTTTTTTTCTTATTCGGATGTACTTTATTCTACTTCTTATTTGTTTGATTCTAGGATGATAATTTATTCTTATTCAGATTTAATTTATTCTAATTCTTATTTGTTTGATTCTAGGCCTTGTACTTTCTCATTCAATATATTGTTGTTTTGTTCTTATTCAGATTTTACTTATTGTAATTCTTATTTATCTGATTCCAGGTTTTATACTTTCTCATTCAATTAATTGATGTTTTGATCTTATTATTATTTATCTGATTCTATAATTTGTACTTTTTCATTCAATTACTTGTTGCTTTAATCTTCTTCAGATCTAATTTATGTAAAATCTTATTTTTCAGATTCCACATTCAGTAATTTTTGGTTAAACTCACTTGCATTTTGGATTTTTTCTTTTTTATCTGTTTCTTTTTTTTCTTAATACCACTCCATTGAATTTATTCCTAGAGCTATATCTGTTTTATTTTCTTATATTTCTAGTTAACCTGATTATAAGTCATCTAACAACTCATTTATTTATTATATATTTTATTAGAAATCTGGTTTAATTTATTATAATTGGAATTATTCTAATGATATATTTTCTAACTAATCATCCAATTAATTGGTGTTTTATTCTAAATCTGATTTAATCAACTATACTTCTTATTTATCTGAAGATAAATTATCTATTTTATCATCTAATGAATGAATATTTTCTTCTATATCCGTTTTAGTTTATTATTATACTAATTAACTTGATTGCAAGTTATCTAGTTACTAATTTAATTAATTTTTCTTTTAATAGAAATCTCGTTCAATCTATTATAATTCTTATTAATCTGATGTTAAGTTTTCTAATTATTCATTCAATTCATTGAGACTTTATTTTAAATTAGGTTTATTTAATTAAAACCTTTATTAATCTAATGATAATTTTTCTAATTCCAAATTGAATTAATTGGTATTTTATTCTAAATCTGTTTTATTTTATTATATTTATATTTTCTCAGATGATAAATTATCTAATTAATTAGTCATTTTTTCTTAATCTTATTTACTATTTTATTATTTATCAAAGTTTGATATATTTGCATCTTAATTTTCCTAATTTCTTTAATAAATCTCATTCCTAGCAATTGTTGCCTTAATTTATGAGCTATCTTCTTCAATAATCTACTCAGAATTGCTGTTTTTTTCGATTGATATCTCCTCATTTTTATCCTAAATCTCATTTTAAAGTTCTTCTATACTCTACTTCAATTATTCTATTTCTTTAAGCAATTCTTAATTCAGTTCTTCCAACTCGTGAATATATTTTTAAAATTCTTACAAAGATTTAGAATCTTATTAAGTTCTCATTTCTTCGATTTGTTATAATCTATCTTGTAACACAATTAGCTGATTATCCTTCTATCTGATTTCATCATTTTATATTGAATTTACTACATCTTAATCTTATATTTAATTTGAGAGTTATCTTATTTCCTCTTTGTATTTTTCTAATTATAAGTTTTTGCTTTCAATATCAATTTTCAAATTAAAATTTTTTTATTCTAAATCTAAGACTTATTAATTTAGAACTAATATTATTTTATTTTCTTCACTAATTTCGACTTTTTAATCTTAATTTTGTTCACTAAATTATTTTATATCTTTTTGGCAAAGCAAAATTTCATCTTAATTTGTAATTTAATCTTAATTAAATTCATCGTTCATAATATTATTATTATTAAAGTTATAAACATTTTCTTTATCATCATCAATTAAAGGTTTTTTTTTTTAAATCTTTATTTGATCGACCACATTATCTAAACAATATAAGTATTATTACCTAAAAAGTCGATCTGGGCTTATAAACCTTCTTCATGTTCATCTCTCTTCTCATAAATCTATTGTAGTTGGTCAGCCAAGGTTTCAAAATTTTATCCCAGTTCTATAATTAATTAAAATATTCATACAAACTAAAGGAGTAGTAATTCTTTTTTAGTTTTATTTGTGATTTTTTCGCAGCATACGATTTGCTTCCTTCAATTCTTATAAATTTTATTTAAAATCTTATATATATAGATTTTATATACTTAATATTTATTATCCTAGCTAATTTTACAATTATTATTATTCATTATCTTCAAAATATTAATGATGTGTTAGGTCTTAACTTGTTCCTAAACTGTGAAATTTGTTTTTTTCTTTAAGTGTTTCTTCTTAATCAATAATTCTTTAAAGAAATTCTTCCATATTTGTTATACCATTTTCAATTTAAGCAAATTATTCTTCAGCCTGTTAATGCAAAGATTTTTATTTATCACTGAAAATCTGATAAAGCTATTTCATTTTATTTTAAATCAAATTCTCTTAGTTTAATGGTTTATCTTCTTCTAATTTTTAACATTTATTGGACTTCTCATTTGGTGTTGCTGCATCCTTAAGTGGTGTTGGTGTGATATTATCATAATTATTTATAATTGCTATCTATCAATTTTGATAAAATACCAGTTTTAAGGTTTTCTATTAAGGAGTAAAACTATTTTTTCCTTTCTTCTTCATCCTTATATATTTACAATTCTAAGAAATTATCATAAGAAATACAGTTCTAAGTTACGATAAGTTCCTTATTTAATTAATTGATTATCTCATCTAATTGCTGGTTTTTCAAGGTTAATTAATTGATCTCATCTAAATTACCTGAAATTATAAAGTAATTAATTACTGTCTCTCAAGATCTCTAACTCAGACTTAAGCTTGTTCAATTAAGATTAAGATGCTTCAATTTATTCTCTAAAATTTATTTTTTCTTACTCAAGCACTTATAATTATAACAATAAAAACTACTCATTGATTTTTCATTTAGTTATTTTCTAAGAGTAAGATTATTTTCAGACATTGAATTTTAAAGCGATATGTAAGAATTTCTCACGCTATTATCAGCTTTCTCTCTCCTTTCCTGTTTTATTTTTTATCTGATTGTATTAATTTCATCTATTAAGTCAATACCGCATGTAATTTTATCCTCCTCTGTTAAACAATCAGTGAATCGGATTAATTTTTTTTCTGCTTTCCGCTTCAGTTAAGCAGCGCTATTATACAGCTAAATTAATTCCTTTAAATCTTGCTATTGATCCATGAATTAAATAAATTATATAATAAAAATAAAGATATCCTCATGTAATATTTCCATATTAAAATTTAATTGATTAAATTAACTGACTTTTTTATTCCAGAATAAAATCTATAGCATATTGAATATTTGAAATATTGCACAACTTTTAATGAGAATCCAAAATCTGTAACATCAAAATTCTTATTTACATCAAGAAATGTGATTAGCGACCAGCTATTAAATAAAGTCTATTCATAATTTCATTAATTTAAAAAGGATAATATTTTGGTATTACATTGAATATAATAATTATAAGAATAAACCAGTTTAAGAGAGAATTTTTTGGCTACTATGTAAATCATTTAAGTTTTATTTTTATATATATATATAATTATTTTTCATTAAATATTAAAATCATTATAATATTTTTATGTAAACTAATTCAACTCAGAATTCGCCACCAATCCAATCCAATAATTTAATCTATGGTAAATTTACATCATTTAGCAAAATATCAATGATTATCTCATTCAGACAGTCCTAACGCATTGGATGGTTGATATTATAAAAACTGTAATTAAAAATTGAACAATTCAATTAATAGTTCTTAAAAAATGAGGGAATAATCTAAAATGAATTTATTGAAAAAAGAGATTGAGCATGAGAGAGATAGAAGAATTTATAAGGATTTAGGTAAATCTATTTATAATATTATATCATAAATATTAGGTATCTAGTAGGCATGAGATAGAAAAAGCTTTGTTATTACTTAACAACGAAAATTAAGTGTATCAAACATAAATTTTAACCTTCCACGAATAACTCACATAAGAAATTTACAATAATATTATAATGTGGAATATAAGTTGTTTAAGAACTGAAACTCGCTTTTTCATAAAATAATAAAACGCTCATATAATATCCTTATAAGGAGCAAGTAATACTTAATTTAAAGATTCAATTAATTATAATAATTATTATAAGAGAACTGGTTCTTCACATTTTGGTGGCATTAATACAGGTATACATAGAGATTTTAACTCTTTAGATATATCAAATGTATTTATTAATGAGGATACCTTTGGGTATTTTGGTAATAAGAGCAGTTAACTAATTTGCAGATTTAATAATCATTAAAGTTTATTTTAATAACACTCTCAAAAGTTTATTTAATGAATTTATTATAAATATTGAGTTAAATGAATACAAATCAATCCCTCATACTCATACTGTGTGGGGATTTTAACTATTAAAATAGCTCTTCGCCTATGTTAAATTATCTGATATAAGGAAGAAAACTTTTAAAATAACAATTTTCGGTCAATAAGTTACTTCGATAACAGATCACTTATTAATTAATACAGATGGATAGTAATAAATTTTTGTTATGGGCCAAAATCTCTGATCATGTCTTAATTACAATAAAGTTATAAATACATATATAAATGAAGATTGCATTAGGAAAAATGAATTTTAAGAATAAAGAATAATTAGCAATAACCGAATGCAATAGACTGTTAAATTCATATGATTTTAGGAATTTTTACTATAGATACAAAGAACTAGATTTAAAAACAATAAATATGAACTAAAAGTAAGATAAAAATGAGAAATCTAACTTTAAAGAACTATAATTTGGAGATAAGAGAAAAAACTATTCCAAGCTGATAAAAAGGAATTTTGAAGTTATTAATAAAAGTAAAAGAGAAGGAGGTATATTTAATTGTATTTTATAATGATAACTAAAACATCTGTGTCGGATAGGATATATATAAGAATTGTTTTGATTAATTAGATTGCTGATCAAATTCAGTCTTATTTTAGCCATTACATATACCTTCTCAAAATAAATTTGGTAAATAAGGAATAAATAATTTATAAAAAATGAGTCTTTCTTATAAAGCGATTTCATATGATTGTATAACATATAAATTTGTGAAAAATTGCAATCGGAAATTATTATCAGACAGTCATATGTAATAAGAAAATTGGATGGATGAGATTAATCCCTATTAATAAAGTATAAAATAATTTCAACCCCTTGTAATACTAAGTCTACTTTTTAAATTATTGAACTTCGGTTTTATGAATAATTATCAAAATTTCCCCCAGAATGGAATTTTGAAAGAGCAAATTGGCTTGTAAAGGGTTATAGAACTTAAATAAATATTCTTATCCTTTTTGACATAAATAAAAAATACAAAGACTTAAGAGGGACAAGCAGCAAACTTATTTATTTTTCTATTGCTTATAATAAAATTGATAGAGATTGGTTGTATAGAATATTAAAGAAAATAAAATCTTAAAGGATGAAGAATTATGTTTTCTAAGCTCTCCAAAGAAGAATTCTTGATATAAATCCTTATAACCCCAAAGGAAGAATTTATTATCAAAATTGACTCACCTTAGAATAGCCAATATCTTCAAATCTATTTACTATTTTATTTATTTATTTATTNCTGTGTGGGGATTTTAACTATTAAAATAGCTCTTCGCCTATGTTAAATTATCTGATATAAGGAAGAAAACTTTTAAAATAACAATTTTCGGTCAATAAGTTACTTCGATAACAGATCACTTATTAATTAATACAGATGGATAGTAATAAATTTTTGTTATGGGCCAAAATCTCTGATCATGTCTTAATTACAATAAAGTTATAAATACATATATAAATGAAGATTGCATTAGGAAAAATGAATTTTAAGAATAAAGAATAATTAGCAATAACCGAATGCAATAGACTGTTAAATTCATATGATTTTAGGAATTTTTACTATAGATACAAAGAACTAGATTTAAAAACAATAAATATGAACTAAAAGTAAGATAAAAATGAGAAATCTAACTTTAAAGAACTATAATTTGGAGATAAGAGAAAAAACTATTCCAAGCTGATAAAAAGGAATTTTGAAGTTATTAATAAAAGTAAAAGAGAAGGAGGTATATTTAATTGTATTTTATAATGATAACTAAAACATCTGTGTCGGATAGGATATATATAAGAATTGTTTTGATTAATTAGATTGCTGATCAAATTCAGTCTTATTTTAGCCATTACATATACCTTCTCAAAATAAATTTGGTAAATAAGGAATAAATAATTTATAAAAAATGAGTCTTTCTTATAAAGCGATTTCATATGATTGTATAACATATAAATTTGTGAAAAATTGCAATCGGAAATTATTATCAGACAGTCATATGTAATAAGAAAATTGGATGGATGAGATTAATCCCTATTAATAAAGTATAAAATAATTTCAACCCCTTGTAATACTAAGTCTACTTTTTAAATTATTGAACTTCGGTTTTATGAATAATTATCAAAATTTCCCCCAGAATGGAATTTTGAAAGAGCAAATTGGCTTGTAAAGGGTTATAGAACTTAAATAAATATTCTTATCCTTTTTGACATAAATAAAAAATACAAAGACTTAAGAGGGACAAGCAGCAAACTTATTTATTTTTCTATTGCTTATAATAAAATTGATAGAGATTGGTTGTATAGAATATTAAAGAAAATAAAATCTTAAAGGATGAAGAATTATGTTTTCTAAGCTCTCCAAAGAAGAATTCTTGATATAAATCCTTATAACCCCAAAGGAAGAATTTATTATCAAAATTGACTCACCTTAGAATAGCCAATATCTTCAAATCTATTTACTATTTTATTTATTTATTTATTTTATAAATTGGTTTGAACGAAATAAATATGAGTTATATGTGTATTATTCCCTGAAAAGGGTTAAATAAAAATGATAAATATTAAAATTAAAAATTCTTTGCAAATCAGTAAGTGTAGTATATAGAGAAGAAATGAATAGTAAAGAAAAATATTAATCAAGATAGATATTTATTAAAGTTTCTTTTATAATAATTGATTAAAATAGAACAAAAAGATTGGTTAGACTCTACTACAATTATCATTTTATTTATTTTATAACAATTGCTATTCCAAAAAGTTTATTCTATGACAGTTCATGCGCATTGATATAAAAAAAGTGCATAAGTTATATATTCAGTAACTGAGAATGCTAACAGATAAATATTTGAAATGTAATTCACATTACTTTTCCTTTGATTTTCCTTAAATAGTACCTTAATATCATTTACACAGTTATTAGATACTCTCAAATTAAATTAGGTGAATTTAACTCATTTCATTCGAGTCTTCTCCAGCAGCTTTCATATGTAGGAAAGTCTTCATATTTATAAATAATAGCATCAGCTAAGGCAAGAGCTATCTGAAAGTATCAAAAATAAAGTCTTAACTTGAAATTTTTCCATTTCCATATTATTTACAAATATTTAAGTGGTATGTAATATATGCAAGTATAATCAAATATGTATATTTAGGTAAATGAGACTTGGAAAAATATATTCAAAACATAATTATAATTATTGTGAGCGATATGCCATCTCTATTTTTGCATTCCTTAAATCGAAATTCTCTTGGAAATCTTTAATAATAGCTTCTATTTCTTCAAATATTTTTCTTAATCCAATTATTTAAAATTATTTATTCAATTCGATGTCTTATGTCCCTACCTTTATTTCAACAGAATAGCCACTTTATCTTAAATTATAGATTTCTTAGATTCCAGCAGCATGGGATGAAATAAAATTGAAAAATTTTCTTTCAAGCTAAGGATATACGGTGTCTGATGTGTAGATGCTTAAAAAAGATGATCGTATTAAATATAATCTAATATCAAGCCAAATCTAAAGGAGTAGCAATTGTCAAATTCAATAAAATGTAAGAGGGAGAAAAAGCCACAAAATAATTAAAGGAGGTGGCTGTGGATGGAATGCAACCTCTAGTGCTTAAATGGGCTGAAGGTGAAAAAGAAAGGTTAGGAGTAGCAGAGGAAACATCTCCTAAAATATAAATTGATGGCTTATAGAAAGACTGTGAAGAAGCTATGATCAAAGAAATATTTATGAAATATGGCCAAGTTACCGATGTTTAGATCTAGAATTAAGGATAATCCTCAATTAGTGCCATAGTATCTTATACTTTTAAGGAAAGCTGCTTATTAGCAATAAAAAATAATCATAATAAGAATTAGTTAGGGTACTAAATTAATGTTATAAATTAAGTGATCGTCCTTTGGATGTTAGATTTTTGGGTTAACCTGCAACTNTATAAATTGGTTTGAACGAAATAAATATGAGTTATATGTGTATTATTCCCTGAAAAGGGTTAAATAAAAATGATAAATATTAAAATTAAAAATTCTTTGCAAATCAGTAAGTGTAGTATATAGAGAAGAAATGAATAGTAAAGAAAAATATTAATCAAGATAGATATTTATTAAAGTTTCTTTTATAATAATTGATTAAAATAGAACAAAAAGATTGGTTAGACTCTACTACAATTATCATTTTATTTATTTTATAACAATTGCTATTCCAAAAAGTTTATTCTATGACAGTTCATGCGCATTGATATAAAAAAAGTGCATAAGTTATATATTCAGTAACTGAGAATGCTAACAGATAAATATTTGAAATGTAATTCACATTACTTTTCCTTTGATTTTCCTTAAATAGTACCTTAATATCATTTACACAGTTATTAGATACTCTCAAATTAAATTAGGTGAATTTAACTCATTTCATTCGAGTCTTCTCCAGCAGCTTTCATATGTAGGAAAGTCTTCATATTTATAAATAATAGCATCAGCTAAGGCAAGAGCTATCTGAAAGTATCAAAAATAAAGTCTTAACTTGAAATTTTTCCATTTCCATATTATTTACAAATATTTAAGTGGTATGTAATATATGCAAGTATAATCAAATATGTATATTTAGGTAAATGAGACTTGGAAAAATATATTCAAAACATAATTATAATTATTGTGAGCGATATGCCATCTCTATTTTTGCATTCCTTAAATCGAAATTCTCTTGGAAATCTTTAATAATAGCTTCTATTTCTTCAAATATTTTTCTTAATCCAATTATTTAAAATTATTTATTCAATTCGATGTCTTATGTCCCTACCTTTATTTCAACAGAATAGCCACTTTATCTTAAATTATAGATTTCTTAGATTCCAGCAGCATGGGATGAAATAAAATTGAAAAATTTTCTTTCAAGCTAAGGATATACGGTGTCTGATGTGTAGATGCTTAAAAAAGATGATCGTATTAAATATAATCTAATATCAAGCCAAATCTAAAGGAGTAGCAATTGTCAAATTCAATAAAATGTAAGAGGGAGAAAAAGCCACAAAATAATTAAAGGAGGTGGCTGTGGATGGAATGCAACCTCTAGTGCTTAAATGGGCTGAAGGTGAAAAAGAAAGGTTAGGAGTAGCAGAGGAAACATCTCCTAAAATATAAATTGATGGCTTATAGAAAGACTGTGAAGAAGCTATGATCAAAGAAATATTTATGAAATATGGCCAAGTTACCGATGTTTAGATCTAGAATTAAGGATAATCCTCAATTAGTGCCATAGTATCTTATACTTTTAAGGAAAGCTGCTTATTAGCAATAAAAAATAATCATAATAAGAATTAGTTAGGGTACTAAATTAATGTTATAAATTAAGTGATCGTCCTTTGGATGTTAGATTTTTGGGTTAACCTGCAACTATTGCGAAATCATAATACCCTGAAACTCCTGCTAATGAAGAAGGAGATCCTATTAGAGACATAGTATATGATATTATAAATTGTAGACTAAATCGTATACAAGATGGTTAGATCAGAAGAAGAAACCAATATATATTCATTGGGAAACTGGAGAAATAGTGAGAAGGTTCCAATTCATATTTATGTTCATAGTGTGAGTTTTGGTTCAATTATTTATTCTCCAGATGGTAGTAAAGAGATAATTACTAAAGAAAAATATTTAAATGATTTGGCAACATTCAACTCAAAGAAAACAGGGCCTCCTGGAGCAAATCTATTTGTTTTTCATTTACCAAATGAACATAAGGATTCCGATCTTATGGATCTATTTTCATCATATGGCAATGTGATTTCAGCAAGAGTGATGACTGATCCAAAAACTGGTAAGAGTAAAGGATTTGGGTTCGTGAGCTTTGACAAATAAGAAAGTGCATAAAAAGCAAAAGAAGCTATGGATGGACATTTAATAGGTAAATTGAAAAAATATACAAGACAAGAAAAAGTTATCTGTTACATTCAAACAAGGTGATGGAACTCCTTGTTAACCACTTTAATACTAATGGTTGCCAAGTATTTAATAAGTATAATTTGATCCATTTGATTTGTGATTAATCTTTATAATTTTATATGTTTTTTAACATAATTATTAGGTTTATTGCTAAAGAAGAAATTTGATTATTTTTATGAGCGAAAAGCGAGCAACATGGTTGTATTCAAGCATCTTAATTTATGTTACTCATAAAGTAATAAGAATTTATAAATGATGAAAATAGTAGTGATATACCAGATTGTATGTAGTTGCACTCGTATGATTAACTCAAAATTATATTGCCAGAAATTCCACATATATGATTAAATCTTCAGGAGTTATTCAACTCTTCATCTTTCATGAGGTTAAATTTTCTTAAATTATTGCTAAAATCCATTTAAAACGATATTAGGTGAATTCAATATAATGAAGCTTCATCCTCTTGAACATATATCTTTTAGAAAAATAAATTATCTTAACTCATAGTTTTAATAGTGATAATAAAGAAAATATAATGAATTTTATTTTATAATATTTCTTTTTTTTACAAAATTGTACTCAGAAATGTTCAAACCAAAAGATATATTTTAATTTGTAACTGGAAGTTTAGATTACCTTCTATGTTTGTATATAATTTTCAAATTATTTGATTAATTAAATTAAATGAAGGGAGTTTATTCACCTAAACAAATTGGTCATTTTGTGTTATCTAATAATGAAAATCTTTAATAAATCATTTTAATAACTTAACAATAACTTAATAATGCTATTTAAGCTTCTTTTAAATAAAAGGTCCTTTTCAGGATTCTTGAAATAAGTTAAAAAGTAGAAAAGTTAGTTAATAAGCAAATTAGTTTGAAGATACTAAATGATTTAAAAGCTGAAATCTAGATATTATTAGAAAAGGACATCAAAGGATCCTCTGAGCGCATCCTTTTATAAAGATTATAGATTGAATTATATAACAGAATAATCATAATTCAAAAACGTCTAATAAAATATGTAGAAAAAAATAATTAAGAGTAAAGAATTTGAAATACTTATTAGATAAAAAAAAAACAATTAAGGTTAAGTTAATCCTTCTTCTAAATTACAGATTTATGAGCTAATAAAAGAAAAAAATGAACATAAAAAAATAAGGAATTAAAAATCAAAAACTTAAGAGTGAATCAATCATAATAAAGTTGATGTTTACAATATTAATTTTCAATATTCTATTTCTAAATTACCAATAATTTTGATTTCCTAAATATTTTAGACTAAGAATCTAAAAATAGAAAATTGTAATACTCATCCTCAACACAAACTGATATATTTAATAGCACCAAGATAAGCAGTGTATCAAAATGGAACAACTATTAACTCTAATATAGATAGCATTTCATAAAAAAATTTAAGCATAGAATTTAATTAACAATTAAAGATTATACAACCTTGTCTAAAATTAATCAACTCTAAACTTTTCAATAAATTGATATCTCTTATTGGCTTAGTTATTCTAACTTTGATTTAGTGTAGAATACATCTTTTCATCTTAATTTTATCCTCCCATCCCATATTATTTGAATTTATAATATGATCAACTATTTTCATTTTATATCTTTATGATCTCAATTTATAAGAGCTATTAAACTTATTCCTAAAGAGTTTAAACACACAGCAATTACTTTTTCATTTAAAACTGAAATCATTTTCGATTCATATCCTATTGAAGTATAGTTCTCTTAAAATTAAGCCAATTCCCTAAAGGTTTAATAATATCAATAAATTAAATTTCATTTACTAAGGCTTGCTAATTAGTAATATTAAGTTTTATATTCTCTCCTCTCATAATCTAGATCTACTCATTACAACCAAGTAGCAAAGTATTAGTAAGTTTTAGGATTCACTAATCTCTAAATTTAAGAAAGAATTTTGTTTATTAAAATTTTTGAATAAAATCTTTCTACTTATTGAGCTTTATACTCGTCTTATATTTTCAAATTTAATAGAATTTATCCAATTCATAAGCGCTAAAATGATGTTTTGTTTTTCAATCACTATCCCCATTATTGATGTAATTTGATCAATTCATGATGGTCCTTTATTCTCAGAATTAAATCACGTAATGAAATTTTAGGTTAAATTTAGTGATATTTTTTTTTTTAAATAAGTCCTTTATATTTTGATTCTAAATACCCTCAGATATCTGCTATTTCAAACCTCTCTAATTAGAACTAATTCTAATAATATATTTTTTTTTATTTTTTTTCTTTTTTTATCTATCTTCTCTTTAGACTAATGCATGTATGATTAAAGTAATTATTGAAGTTTTTGCAATTTGAAAAAATTCAAATTTTAGTAATTTCTATTAAAAATATTAATTTTCATCATTTGAATGACAACAAACCACATTTTATCACTTATGAATTAAAAAACCACTTTTAGCTCTTTTTTAGCATTTATTTAGGAATTATTCAATACATTAATTAGCTTTATAAGTTGACGATTTACAACTTAATTCATTAATTTTTATTTTAAAATGAATACGCGAATGTCACCCAACAGTGTGTTTCATGTTTAAAGACCTTTAAAAAGAGTTACTAATCCAAACCAATAAGATGTAAGAGACTATTTTAATCAATTATCTGGTGAAAATGATGTTCATAAAGAGTGGAAAAAAGTTGAATGTATGATTAAATCTTCACATTTATATAGACCACAACCCAAAAGATCTAAGTTGGACTTAATTTTGATTATGAATTAAATTATTAGTATTATCAGAATATATATATATATTAGAATATGCATTCTGGAAATGTTAAAAATTTCTCCAATTCATACTTGCTATTAAAACCTAGAAGTCAATGTATTAACAATGCAGTGTCTAGTAGGGTGAGGAAGATTTAGATAACAGTGTAAAAATTTTTAAACTAGCCATTTTTCATAAACCTAATTTATAATTTTTCTCTAATAATAATGCTACTAGAAATAAATAGAAATATAGAAAAAAGCCTTGTTCATATTTGAGTTGACTTTTGCATATCTTCAAATGATTAAATAATTTTGAGGATATTGGTTTGAGAACTTTTTGGATGCCAGAGTAATAATCTCTCATCGAATTATAAACAACATCAATTTAAAAAAGAGAAATTGTACATAGAATTGGAGACTGATCTATCCACTTTGGATACCTGAAGAAATTATTCTTCATTTTAATGGCGAATTCGTTATCCATAAGTCTTAAAAATATTTACTAAAAATAAATAATATAAGTGAGCGTAAAATTCACCTGATTTTTAGTTATTTATTTTTCTCATTTACATTGTGCAATTAATAAAATTATTAAAAATACTCATCCAGATCTTTATGGATGATGTTTAAAAACAAACAATTAATGAAATAAATATTATAATCAATCATGGTAAGATAACCACAAATTGCTTAACATATAATAGCCATAAGCTTTCTGAATAGTTGAATTAATTCTTAATTATTATTTTATTAATAAATTCCCTAATGGAGGAATATAGGACATTATTATCACTCTCTGGAATTTTGGGATTAAGTGCAGCATTATCAAAAGTTCTCCACTCTCTTAGTATGCTCAAAGACAAATATAAATCCTATCAATTAGTTAAATAGTTCACTCCAACATAATTAATCCATCATTTGAACTAGGAAAAAAGGACTAAGATTAAGGTGTTTGTTTCTGGGGAATTAATTTCTTAAAAGCCTTTAGCTTCAAAATTCCCATTAATTTGGAGCCAAAAAAGAATATATGATCTATACAATAATAATATGTAATGAAATCCTTATTGTAATAGAAAAAAGTTGAAGAAAATTACTTCCAAAGGTGTCACTCAGATAAGCATTGCTGATTCTAAATTTTCAGTTGATATATTAAGAAGCACAAATTTTAATTGCCAAGCTTCACTAACTCATATATAAGACATCTTTTATCCAAAAAAATTATCGATTTTCCAAAGAATCACAAATTTTATTCTTAGAACAGTGAATTAAACTAGGTCAGAAAAGATGCCGTTTAGAGGGTTTTCAATAGGACAATTAGAAAGAGAATATGGTATATTGGCAGGAGACTCCTATGTTATTTATGGAGAAATATTTCTTGATAAATATTTAAATAAACTATTTTTGTAAAATCCAAAACACATTTTAAGAGACAAAAGATAGTTACTTAGATTTATTGAAACATAAATAAGATTCAAGAATTTTTAAATTATTATTCTACTAATAGCAATATTGTTTTTATTTTATTGGTTTACAAAAAATTCCAAGACAGTGATCTAAAAATTACTTAGTTATAGATAAATATATAGATAATAGAAACTAAGAGGACTTAAACATATTGTAATTAATAATTTTGAATGTTAAAATTGTTTTCAATAACCTAAAAACATTATACATTTACCGTGCAAACATATGGTATTATGCTAAAGTTGTAAATAAGTATTAAATATCTCAAAATGTCCAATTTGTAAATAGAAAATAGAAGAATTTGTTGAAATCTTCATAACCTGAGTTTGAATTTTATTACTATTATTAAAATAAATTAACGAAACATGTGATAAAGAGTCTTCTTTCATAAACATATTATTGTATAAATAATTTTAAGATTTAAAAATTATTACTTAAATGTTTTAAAGAACATGTAAAATCAATATTATCATAAACGAATAAATAAGTAAATTTATTTCTCCAATAAACGGGGCAAATGAAAATTGATATATTATTTTATTTCTATTAAACGAAAAATGGACGCAATTCAATACTAAGTCATACCGAATGCTAATTTATCGAAAATCTACTTCGATGTTGTAGAGTTGATAAAGAGTGGCATTGATCCTGTTTAATAACCAGTATCATTTATACTTAATTAGAATAGACAATAACAAAAGATTGTATTCATATTTAAAATCATGATATATTAAGTTTTTCATAAGCATTATAATAAATAAGGGAAAGAGGATTTGCCTAATGTACTTGTGGAAAAAAAGCATATTCAATATAAGATCTTAGAAAAGACATCAGAGGAATTGTGCGAGAAAAATTTCATCCATTAACTTAAATTGTCTAAGTCATCGAAGGAATACTGACCCACAAATATTAGAGGAAGAAATTCTATACAGATACCATTTTTAACAACTAACAAAATATTGAACATAAGAATTTTATCAGTGCACTTTATAATAAATATCATATCTCGAATTCAATTTCGACTTTGATTAAAAATTTAGGTTTTTAAGGATCCTACTATGATTTCTGGGCTTATTGCTTATTAGACAAGATTAAAATCACTATTCCTACAAGAATATTAAATTGTCAACATCCTGCATGTTACGAGTTAACAAGCATTCTAAGGTATTAGTAGAACTGTGGACAAAATAGACAAGACGTTGAAATGGTGACAGATATTAATGATTAAAGTATTGTTTTTCATTGTCATTATCCTGGTTGTGAAAATAAAATAGATATTTCGACTTTCTCACTTATGTTGAATTCATTATTTATAGATTAAGAATTATTAGATATTTTAAACTCTGCTCCATCGATCTAATTTAAATTTCAATATGACCTTAAAAAGAACACATTTAAAAATGATTTCTAAAATAAGGATCTTTACATTTAAGATATATCCCCAAATTTTGATGATGCAACATACAAATCTATAATGCTTTAAATACAATCGATTATATAATTAAATCTAAGTGATGATATTTAAACAAAGTTAAATCAATAGAAGTATTAAGTAAGAAAAATTAATTTGACCGATCCAATTAATTCAAAATAAGTTGAATTTCCTGTTAGATGCATCAAATGCCCAGATTTTAACCGATGTGCAGATATTAGGTCTTATGTTGCTTATTTTTTCAAAGAAAAAAAATCTTAACTTCGCTCTACTTCAATATAATGCCCAATTTGCAAGAATGTTCTTCAGACTAGCACAGGATAGTTGAATAACCTGATTTACTTTGATTAAAATATCATTTCTAGAATGTTTAAAGACTCTAGCATCAATGATAATAAATTATTTGATTATGATGGAAAACAATATATGTTGGATGAATTTCTATCCAAATAAAAGTTTAGTAAAAAGAGCTATACATAAATTTTGAAATAGAAAAAGGATAGCAATGGTGAATTTATAAAAGAAGTTAAGTTTAGCGCATTGAAATGTACTGTAAATCCAAATAGACGACTTCAGTACCCATTAATAATCAAGAACTGCAAAAAGAATTCTTATATAGATTTTGAATCATTTTATGAAAAATTGGCTGAGTGTTAATTCCAAATTCCTGCTGAGGGACTTCAATTATGTCGTTGTTAAGAATATTGTAGTCAATATCCTGTGAAAAAATTTACAACTAGTGTTTTTTATCATGAAGCCCTTGGAGAAGCTTTATAATAATTAAGGAAGGATAATGTCTATCCTGAAAAATTTAAATATAATTTTGAAGAAGGCAAGTTCATTCTAGTTTATCAAAGATAGAATAGTTCTGAAGCAGATAGCGGATTCGATCGAACGATTATCAATGAGGGAAGGTTTAATGTAGGATTTATAGATTTATTAACAGACTAAGAGTATTAAGAAGCATTCTAACCAAGAATTGTAATGGGAAGGTAGTAATAACTTATTTAAATGAGCTAAAATATTACTGAAAACTTACAAGCAGTTCATACTGCTAGAGGTCTTGAAATTAATGTGGATTAAGAGGTCGAGAGGATAAATAACGATGTAAATTCGGAAATGAAGAGTTATAATTTTAAATTATTTTCAATGTAAGTGGATATGAATGATGAACAAATTAAAATAAATAGAGGATAGGTTAGATCTTTAAATTACAAAGATCAGTGAGATTAAATTAAAACATTAAATATGCATAGAAGGTTCACTATATATTATTCTATTTCAAATCATTAATTTTTGTACTTTCAGCTTCTATTTTATTTTTTACTAGTTCCAATTTGCTTTTTAGCAATTCATTCTCTTTCTTTAGGTTTTCTATAGATAATTGAGTTGAAATTGCCATTTTTGTGGCAAGAAAGGTTGAGATTGATTTTGGTATCGAATAAGCAAAACCTAAAACAAATATTCCTATTAAAAAATATTTATAGGATGCTTTCCCAACATCCTTTAATTTAGAAACTTATTCTTAAAGCAAATAATTTAATTAGGAATTCTTCATTTGCTCTAAATAATTTTTGCTTTTTATTTGTTTCTATTTTTCTTCAATATTGCTTTTGCTTTTATTAAAAAAATTGAAAAATGACATTTCTGATAGTTTAGTATCAGCTTTTGATGTTTTTTGTAATTCTTAATTAGAATTTGAAGTAGATCTTTCTTAATATGTATTTTAATTTGAAGAAAACTTCCAAAATTAATATCGACTATTATAATTTAAACATGTTTATTAATTGGAATATTTGGATAAGTGATGTTAGAAAGTAAATTGATTGATCTAATTGCTTTATTAGTATAATTTAGTTTCTGAAACCAACATAAATTGTTTAGGTGTAAATATTTTGGTTAACATTAATTTTATTTATGGAGTTTTATAAATAAATATTAGTTTATTATAAATTTTACAAAAATTCATATTATTATCTTTAAGATTTCAACAAAGAAGCGGAAGTAAATTGGTAATGATAGATAAACATTAGAAAGTATATGGATATTTGACTAATGTAGTTTAAACATATAAGGATTTTGGTATTACTTATTGAGCGGAGTTTCTCATATAAAATAATACTAATTTTTGAATTGCTGAAGATTATGAGAAGTACACAAATGATGATAGATATCATTCCATTAAAGTTTGATTTTAACTTATGTTAATATTTAAGAATTAGAAATTTGGATATATGAATTATAAATTAATAAAATAGAATTAAAATTTTTATTTAAATTGATATAAAATTAACATAAAAATTGAAAATACAATAATAATAAATCATATTGCTGAGACTATCTATAATATATTCAAATCATAGGTTTACTTAATCTTATCATACACTAATTTTTTTGTTAAACAAAGGAATAAGAGAAACAATTACATTTGTATAAGGAATCTCTGAGTTAGTAGTTTAATTAATCATCATCTAAGTAATCTCAAATTATGTATATATTAATACATCAATAACTCTAAATTATATTCATTTTTATAAGATCTTCGATTAATTAAAATGGTTTATTAAATTTTGATAATTGCGCAATTAAAATGGCGAATAATTTATTGCTAGAAGCTAATTAATAAGCCACTAGGTATGATTTAAGAAGAGATTAATAGAGTAAGATGGAAAGAAATATGAATTAATTAGAAGAGTTTTGAAATGGCAATTTATAAAAGATAATACAGTTCTAATTGATTGAATTAGGAAATCTAATAAAATTTGAGTTACTTTGTAAAATTAAAAAATATAAACCCATTTTAGATAGATATAGTTGCAAGACAATAGAAAATCAATTAGATAATTCAAATAGAATATTTGGTATTTTTTTTCTAATTGTTGGATTATGCACCCTATTTGATTCATAATTATATATTAAATTTAATGCTGTTCTAAATTATTCTCTTTGGATTTGAGGTAGTACTAGGATAATAATTATAAACCCCTACATTCTTCAATTTCAATGAACACATTTCAACATTTATTACTTCAAAAAATGAATCGGATATACAAAGTACGCATAATTGCCTAATTGTGCCATGTACTGCATTTGGAAGACCATAAAATTGTATGGTGATAACTAAACTTACTTTTGGAGGTGATTGTTTTACTAGACCAATTCAGTCTAGTTTAAATTTCACAAGCGAAGAAGACGTAGCCACTTTGGAATTTGCTTATTATGCTTCCAGCCATCCTTCATCTAAAAGTCCTAATACAGGAATTGTTATAGGTTGGACAAATGACGAAGATGAATTTTATTGGATTGCTGCAGAAGATATAAGTGTGATAACCTCTGGAGTAAATCAAACAAATAAATATGCATAATTTGTTACTATTAACAGTCTCGCTGAGAACACTTGGACAAAAGTATATTTTATATTCATAAATAAGGTTAGAGTTCACATCAGACCTAATTCTACAAAACCTTTCAGAATAGTCTTCGAAGCCTACTCAGATGCAACTGATTTTGCAGGAAAGTTTTTGGTGACTAACATTTCAGTATTTGATAGATCAACTTGTTCTGAAGGTTGCAGTACTTGCTTATCATATACTGAATGTACATCATGCGAAAAAGGAAGGCTCTATCGAGGAGCCTGCATATCTGACTATTGTTACTATGATGCTGGCAGCATAACAGCTAATAAAATCTCAGTTGGTTGGATCTCAGAATAAAATTCACTATATGGTATAGTATTAAAGAATATTAAAATAAATGAATGTCATTAGGTGAAATTCACAATGAATAAAATAAACAGCAACTATATTGATGGATCTAACTCAGGTTTGGATATTTATTAATATGGTTTTAAAATTTAATAAAGTACATTATCAAGTGCTGGCTGTCTATACTAATTGATTCTACCCATTTCTGGAAAACCAGGATATTCATGTCTTTTTGAATTCCTTTTATAATTGAAAAATACTACAGTAGATTTAGTGAATATGACATGGACTTAAGAATTCTATTATTAAACCAATAATAGTGAAATTCTGGTTACAGGAGAGATATCATCTAATTAAGTAGAATTTTAGGTTTTGACCTCCTCAATCTATCTTGGTGAAGCGTCAACAAAAGTTGAAGGCAAAGTACTATTATGTGAGAGTTCAACTTGTAGGTCATTCTATACTGAACCTTAAGTATTATATTTAAATGATCCCTTTTACATTTTGGTGATGCTTGACAATAAATACATAGATTTTGGGGCTGATTTCAAATTTCAATTAGTTAGTGCAATTGCTCTTGGTAATGGAACATATATTAATTTAAAATCATAGGATGAAAGCGAAAAAAATATGACTGCTATCATTTATAAGTTTACTGTGCCATTTGCAGTGTAGAACTGTACAATATAACTCACAGCCTAATTGATTGAAAGAGATGTTGATGATAACGCTGTGACTGATAGTAGAAGAAGAATGTTGTTAAGAAGATTGTTATAAACAGATAACCAAACAACTTCGAATGCTAATTCAGGGTATACAGTTTCAGGGAGTATTAAAGTTGAAAGCATTGAGATATTGCCCTATTGGAAGGTATATCCAAAGGATGCTCCTTACATTATCATAGGAGTTTCTGCTGGTTTAGTGGTTACCGCAATAATTCTCTATTGTGCTTGTTTGACCTTCAGTTAGAAATAAGTTCATTCTCAAAGGGAATCCAAATATAATGTCAGTAATATGTACGTGATCGACAATCCTGAAGAGTAGAATACAATAAAAGAGATGTTTAGGAATATAAATTGATTTAATAATAAAATTACATTTATTATCTATAATTTGAGTTTATAATAAATTATGACTATGTTGTTAGAATTATAAACTGTTTTTAAAGTATTACATTATAAAACTTAATAATCAATATTTGGAAAGATAATAATTCCTTTGTCTCTGATAATTCATGGTTGGACTTAATAAGGCTTTTAGATGTTCAGAATTTAAATTATATGGATCCTCTAATTGACGAGGCTAAATTGGAAATTTATATTCTTTAGTTTAAGTAATTCTGGAATTCCGATACAGAGATGTAGGAGAGTAAGATTTTTAGATTTAAATATTCAATCTTGGTGAATCAATTTAATTGGTGATTATTGAGTGTGGATTTTTCGGTTTATTATTAAAATATTATGCAAATTTTTTGATATTTTTATCACTATTAATAAAGCAAGCTTGCTTTTTTTTATACAATTAAATTAGTCTAGTGAGCAATAATTAAACAGTTTTTGATTTCAAACAGTGAGTTATAATTATAGATAATTCTTCAACAATGTCATCCAATAATTTTTTATTGTTATCCACTTCTCTTGCTTTCATACTGATTTCTGCAATTCTAATTATGTACTTATATTTATCAGAAGATGGCTAAGTAGTTTTAATTAATTTCAATGCATAATCGGCAATGAATTGAATTTCCTTGTTGATTTGATGGGCATCCAAATTCTAAGGATGTTAATGTTGTTTATTGGATTTATGAGAATCAATCGAAGGAGTATATTAATGAAGTCTTTATTAAGTAGAAAATGAAATTGTATCTAATTGATTAGCCATTTTTAATATTAAAAATATTCATTATCTTTGCTTTATGAATTTCTTCAATAATGGTACTGCTACTTTAGGTTCATTCATTTAAAGATGTCCTGGGATCCTAGATGCCAATTACAATAAAGTTGGTGGAGCATAATCTAAAGATAATATTCTAATCAAACCTTCATTGTAAGTCATACAGAAACATACAGTCTTTGTGCTTGGTCCAGCAACTGGAACATGGCCTTAAGCAAATTCACCCAAATAATGTGACAATTCACATAAGATATCAGCAGCATTATCTTTATTAACTTCAATGGTTGGTGGGCATCTAATGAAAATATTAACGATTAAATACTTTGGTTAAGGAACTGGAGCAGGTGGTTAAGGTTCCTCTTCCTCTTCTGATGGAGTTGGCTCCTCTTCTTCTGGTTCAACTGGTGGTTCAACAGGAGGTTCAACGGGTGGTTCAACTGATTCTTCAGGTTCTGATGGAACAGGTGATTCCTCAGGTACTTCTGCTTCTTCTTCGTGTGCAGGATCAGGTACAGGTTCATCTGGAATTTCTGGTTCTTCCTCATGACTTGGAGTTTCTTCTTCTGGTTCAACAGGTGGTTCAACAGGTGGTTCAACTGGAGTTTCTTCTTCACTCTCAGATGGAGGTGGGAGTTACTTTTCTTCAGGTAAAGGTTCATAAGGGACATCCTCTTCTGGTTCAGATGGAATAGCTGGGAGGGGTGGTTCAACCCATTCTTCTTCGCTTGCAGGTTCAGATGGGGTTTCAGGAACTGGGGCTGGAGGAGGTGGGACTGGATCAGTTGGTTTAGGAGTGTATCCCCAATGCTCATCATATTTCAATTCTCTGTATGAGCCATCACAAAGATTGTAATGGAGATTGAAGATCTTACCACTGTAAGACTTATAGAATTGATCTTGTCCGACATACAAGTATTTGTGAGGAGCATCAAAGTGCTTGACATTTTCAAAGTGTACTTCTCCTTTTCTGGTGAAGAATTCAACATAACCATAAGCTTTAGAGATGTGTCTGCTGAACCCGAAGTAAATATAATGCCAGTGGACCAAATCCTTTTCATAAGGGATGGCTTACCAATAGGTTGGATTGCCATTTCCATACAAATCTGAGTAGGTATATGTGGTGAAAGCTAAGACTGAATCCTTCTTTTCACTTCCTACAAATAATGCCAAATCTCGATCTCCTAGTTATTTAGCATTTTGATTGGTTGCAAGATTGTTCAATGTCAATCTGAATGCTGAATACCAGGATTCTGGATTTTGAACTGGATACCATTTGAACCAACCAGAAACTGAATATTCCTAAGCATAAATTGGATCAGCATTCTCAACGACAGATGATGCATCAAATTAGGAATCTGCACCATGGAATTCGAAATCATGAAGATTTGAGATCTATCTTTCACATTTCTCTTCAGGTAAGTGATTGCAAGCAAATACGAAATCATTAGCTTCTGTTTCTGTTCCAATGAAAACACTTTAACCAACATTAGCTTAGACCAATCTGAATTGACCTTAGAATGATGGAATATCCCCTTGTTGACCTGCCAATTAGAAATATAATTAAGATGGTTTTTCATGGCTAACATTAATTTCATTCAATGTTGTCTTTCCATCTTCATTTACAACTGCAACTGCTTTTTCATTGCAATATGAATAATAAACATAAATCCATTTACCTTCAATGTCACCAACTTAAACTACTGTTGTTGATAATCCTTAACTGTCATATGATTGGAATTCCAAACCTTCTTTGGTCAAGTATACGCTCAAAGCATTATCAGTAACTTCACCAGTTGTGTGTTCAGATTCAGAAACTCTTGCAACGAAATATCTTTCAGATTATCTTCCATGAACCAAGAATGTTGGATAAGCTTAAAGCCATCTAGTGTAAAATCCAAATCCATAACAACTTAAATCGTCGCCTTCCAATTGTTTATTGACTAATGGAGTAGCTTCATCAACAGAAGATGTATAAACAATCTCGTTTACTGAATTCAAACAAGCCTTTTCAACAGCACTAGGTGGTTCAATAGGAGGAGCAACAATAGGTGGTTCTTCAAATTCTTCGAATTCCTCTTCAATTTCTTCAACCCATTCTTCTGTTGATTCTTCAGGTGATTCTTCATGATTTGGATTGACAGGTGGTTCATCAGGAATCTCTCCTTCCTCTTCAGGACTCTCTTCAGGACTTGGTTCAACTGGAGGTTCACCTTCTTCATGTTTTTCCTCTGGACCCTTTTCATCAGGGATTTCTGGTTTCTCTTCTTCTCCTGGTGGAGCAGGTGGTTATGGTTCGTCTTCAGGGGGAACATCCTTTTCTTCTGGACCCTTCTCATCAGGAATCTCTGGTTTGTCTTCCTCTCCTGGTGGGGCAGGTGGTTAAGGTTCATCCTCACGAGGAATTTCTTTCTCTTCAGGGCCTTTTTCATCAGGAATATCTGGTTTCTCTTCCTCTCCAGGTGGTGTAGGGGGAGCAGGTTCATCTTCAGGAGGAACGTCCTTCTCTTCAGGACCCTTTTCATCAGGGATTTCTGGCTTTTCTTCTTCTCCTGGTGGGGCAGGTGGTTATGGTTCAACTTCAGGGGGAACTTCCTTCTCTTCTGGACCTTTCTCTTCTGGAACTTCTGGGACTTCGGGGACAGGTTCATCAGGTACTCCTGGTTCATCTTCACATGGGGCTGGTTATCCGCATCCTTATTAGACAACTTATAAGTCCTTAATCTTTCCTTTGATTTTGATGACTGTCACAGGATTAGATTGGCATTGTTATCTGCAACTGTTAAATTATTTGAGAAGATAGATGCATAATTTGAGCAAAGTAGCTTCACATTCATCAGCAGTTTCTGGGTTGCTCAATCCTTAAAGCTTCTGTCTGAACTCTGCCAGAATAGGCTCTCCGATTTTGCTTTCTGTTTTTGGCAATTCCAACTTATTCAACTACTTCTCTAATGATTTGAACTTTCTCTTTTGTATGAGTTCTTTGATGGTTTCTAATCTATCGATGTCTCGATGTAAGGAATCCTTATGTTGAACAATATCAGCCCAAGCTGCCATTTAAGCAGAGACTCTCTCAAATTCGTTCTGGGGTGTGGAACAACTCATCGATGTGGTATCCAGAAGGGCCACATCAGATAAATCCATAGATAATAAGGATGTACCCAAATCCAATTCAGCAGACAGGGCTAGAATGTTATACAATAATACCACTTCCCAACACTAGTATACATATGACTAATGCCGAACTTCTCATTTTTAATAAAATATTATAAAAACGGATTTCATTGTATTTAATTCACATATCACTCCTAATTCTTAAATATTTCTATATAATCTTAACTAATTATCTTAACAATAGGATGGAAGACTCAAATCTATCAATACATAAATGAATCTAAATAATAATCATCATTCCTTAGAGGTTAATTTAACTATGCCTTCATTTTCTCCACATTTTCTAATGATCTTTACAAAATCCGATCAAAACTGTAAATTTTCTCCTATTTCTTAATCTCAAAAATCTACAATTCTTGGTTAATCTTGTTAATTTAGCATTGTTTTTCTAACCAATTTTTATGCTTAGCCTGATGATCCAACATTCTTTCGAACAACAGCTGTCCAAATGCATCATATACATCTCTTTGGATTGACTGTAATTAAGTGTCAAAACCTGTTTTGTCCTATAAACATGAAATCAAATTATACTTCCATTAATAATAAATTGGATTCCTTCTCTCTTATGAGACCTAATATGTTTGAACTATTAAAAATTATTTTAAAATCTATTATAGGTTCTCTCTATGTATCTCTCAGTTTTTTGCAGCGATCCATTAATTCTTCAATTTCTTCATTGCATTTACTTTCAAATTCACTTTTTTCTAAACTCAATATTTCATAATTTTCCATTTCTTTTTTAATTTCCTAAATGATTACTTAAAATAGATATACATATTACAATAGATTTCTTCTATCTTAAAGCATTCTCTATTTGCATTCTTCCTCTCTTTCAAGTCTTTCTAATTCTCCCAACTTTACATAATCAATTTAAGCATCCATTTAAAGGATCACTTTACTTAAATCTGTCTTTAAATCATCAATCATACTCTTACTATTGCATTGATATCACTTGTATTTGAGACCTAAATTAAATCGCCTTCTTCATCTTAATACGTCAATTCAATATCCATCAAGAGTGGATATTTTAATTAGATTTCATTTACAAGATCCCCATATGATTTCACTCCTTTAAAGACTGTATAATCATTCTAGTATCTGAGCTAAATATCCATTATAGTTATGATTATTCCAAATGAATATTTATTAATAAAATACAAATCTGGGATGATATAATATATCTCATAATTAATCAATCCAAACAATTAAAATGGCCAGAGTTTAGTAAGATCGAATCATTTGTTTAGATTGCTTATTGATTATTTGTAATTCCTGAATAAACTCTAATTTGAGTATCCGAAAATTCAACCCATCTTTAAGCCTATGTTTAGAATATATCCATATAATCCTCATTCAAATCCCTTGTCACTAATATTATTTAACTAATTTCCCTAAGCCCTGAACTTAATTCTAGGATTGATAAAGCCATAACAGTATAAGCTTGAATTTAATTAATATCAAAATACATCTTTCTCTAAAATCATTTTAATCTATTTGGTAAATATACCTATCAATTATAGATTTGTATCCTAGGCATTTAAAGTAGAATGACAAGTAATATAAGTACATTCCTAATCGATCTTAGTAGAGATTCCCAATTGAAATTAACAAATTTACCATTGTACCGCATAAATTTTATCGCTTAACCAAATTCTAATAATTATTCGTTTCCTTCAATTTTTCAAAATAGAATAAGTTTGTCATTACAATAATATAAGTACTAAATCTAATAAAAAATTATTGGTTAAATTCTTGAAAATCCTAAGTTCTTCCCCTACATAAGTTCGGTAGTAGCGAATTAGAATTCATTTTTACATACTAGATCAAAGCGTATGCTGCTTTTAATTTATCAAGAACGAAGTCTACATCATTAGGATTTGGTAATCTGTCATCACTAATTGCATTCCTAATATTGTAGATTTTCCCCATTGACTGATACAAAGATTCGCAACAGAATGTGTATAACAACATTAAGTAATCTATTTCAAATGCTTCTTAACTATCTGAAATAGAGTATTTTTTTTACTTTATGGAGATCTTAATAAAGAGTGGCTCACAATAGGTTGATATTCGAATTGAGGATGGAAGAATGATTGTCTGCTTAGTATTGGTCTCTAATGATATTTTATGTTGATACCAAGTTATTAATGAAAGTTTACAAATAAGTTGGAATTACTTAGAAGTTGCCTTAAGTAATTTAATTTCTCTAGATTTCAGCATTCTGTATAGCTTGAAATTCATGTTGTTGCAACTAGGAAACCATAGGAGAGAGTTCAAGAAAACTTCTTTTATTTGTAGTTTAGGTTCTAAAAAAGCAATACATAATTAAATAAATTATTTTGTTTATAGTTTAAGTATACACAGATATCATTAAGGTGATTCAAATATTAATGGTTCTTTGACAGAGCTTTACACATTGTCTTCAAAAATTAATTGTCTGAGCTTCTAGATGCTTTTGTACTTCATTCGACTGAATTATTTTAAGGGACTGATTTATTGATTGATGGTGGGTATGGGTATGATTAATTTTTGTTATTGGTTGGATTTGATGTTGTAATTGTTGTTGATTTTAAAGATGTACCTGCTGGATGTGGAGGAGGAACTGATTGGGGTGAGTTTGTTGATTTCTTCTGAAAGAGCAATATCATTAGAGAAATTAGGGGATTGAGTGATTATTTGTAGGTTGTTGCGATTGTTTTGAAATTTGGGTTTGAGTAGTTTGAATTCCTTGGATTCTAGTTGACAATTGAAATCAGATTCTTCAGGGTTCAGATGTTGATAGGATTGAGAGATGGGGATTTGAGTGGATGCATTGGAATTGCACTTATTTTCTTTGAATGACTCAATTTCATGGATGATAGCTTTGAGATCCAATTTTCTGAATTGTTCGTCGATGTGAATTTAGATTCTCTTGTTTTTGGATTAGTAAAACTTGAGTTCAAATAGTTTGAGTTTCTCTTCTATTTGTTTTTTGGAGTAGTTTTGAGAATGATAATAGGATTCAAATTGAAAGAGTAGGATGTTTTCCAATTCTTTGTTCATGCTATCTATTTACTCGAAATTTGAGTAGCAGAATCTATTTTATAATTATATATATAAAATAATACTGCTTAGCCATTTGAATGCATTAAAGAGCTTTTCTGTAATTTGTTTCTTTGAGTTTATTGAAAAAGTAATGGTAGAATTAAGGTTCTTTAATGCCAATGTTATGATTGACCATATGTTCAAAAGTGATCCCATATTCTTGCGACAACTCGGCCTAGATGAGATGAGAAATACATTACATATTCAATGAAGAGATCGACTGTTTCTTGATGCTCCTTCAATTCCATATATGGATTAAAAAGAAAGAGCTTCAATTTTTCTTTGTAAGTATCCCGTGAGCAAATTTTTCTTAGATCTTCGAAATAACTAGAGTGGATGAGGATGATTACCTGAAATCAAAAAAAGCCTCCATTTGATGTTAAATTTTAAATACAATATAATGTCATAATGATTAATTAATTTACAAATCACGGTTTTCTTAATTTTTACGTAATAATTCTTCGTTAGGATCATAACTGTAAAATGGTCCCATAAACCAGTCATTTTTGAGGAATTGGAAGCCAGGATCAATGTTGCCATACACTTCATCAAAGAACTCCTATCCTTTCGAGATCATCCAAATGCGTTTCAATCTCTCTTACTTCAATTCAGGAGGCTTGTTGACTTTGTATTCCGAATAGATGAATCCTTTGGCAGATGAGTTGTTCCGAGCCCTCTGAATCATAGATTTGATCTCCTGCCTGCTTTCGAATATGTTGATTCCCTCATTTTCAGCAGCAATCACATCCACTAATTGTTATTCACTATTGGAATAGACTGGGTCTCTGATTAAGTGCGAATGTTATTAGACACTTGCAATGACAACATTCGAATCTGACTTAGTGTTACAATGCAAAGTCTGCAATAGATTCTCCTGTCCATGTTCCATTCTAATCTTCAGAGTGTACATACTTTGATGTTTTAACTGACTGATTGTATATTCATTAGGAAATGGTTGCAGTATCTGATGAGTGCTGATCTTGCGTTATTATTGATAGACAATAATGTACAAAATGCATTTCTTTTTGTATTTATTAGGACTGATCTCAATGGACACAGTGATACAAGTGGGAGTATTTGATTTTAATGAAATCAAATTAGTATTTTACATATATTAATTAATACTATTATGGGAGTAAACCATGGTAATATTAATTCCAATAATAAATCAATAAAAAGAATCTGAACAACAAATAGCAGCCTTTGTTTTTTGAGGATCCAAATAGTTCTTCGCCAATTCTTAATCTATTTCATCTACTCTTGACCAAAAATCTTTTGTTAATCGCAACCACCCATTTTAACGAGCATGCATATATATACCAGATGTTAACTCGGACAGAGAACACAAATGCCATCCCTATTTACAACTACTCAAACTCTGATGGTAATTGCATCCATCACAGCCCAAATAGAACAGTCTATTATTTACTTGTCCAGGGAAGTTAACTAGTTTGCTGATTTCCAATTCTTATATGTAGATATATAATAAATGTACATAAGAATGGTATGTTGTAGAATGTTAGATCATCTAAATACAATAGTGGACCGTTGAACCAGGGATCTCCTCCCACATAAAAGGGTCCATCGTTCTTCAAGGGTCTGGCCTTCAAAGACAATACATTGTCATGAATACCGTTTATATATAAATCAATGCTTAAACCTTACAACACAATTGCTAAATGATTCCACTTCCTACCAGTCACACTCCCCTTACTACGCAGGTTCTCCTTGTCATATGAAGTACTGACTATCACCTCTATCTGTCCACCTCCAACATTGGCCTCATCATGAAATGGCCACAACAAAATAGTCGGAGTATATTCGGTAGACTTTGAAGCCTTACGCAAAATGGTAGTAAATGACTACTATGAGGACAAGGGGTAGATCCACATTGATATTGTGACTATCTCATGATATTGATCATGATGTGGGATTATCGAATATTACTCTCCACTATAATAGGCAGAATTGCCAACAGCTCCTCTACCTGGACCAAGCTCACAAGGTTGAGATAGGTGATTTAACAATTGACTATCGTCCATCTGATTCTTGTCGAATCTCCATAAACCTACAGTTGAATCCAAGGGCACAAATGTCATGTCTGCTATTTGGTTGTTCACACATAAATGACCCTCTAATTTATAACAAAGTTCTGGTTCTTGAGAATATATTGCTGAAACAAGAATGAAAATTAAATTTAACATATTATAAAAATTTGAATATTTATGAATAGGTCTCAATCCCCCATTAATGACAGTCGCAGTCATAGTGCATCTAAAAGGTATGTCTCGCCACATGAAAGACAGAACACTCAAGAGAATGAGCAAGTAACTTAATTTAAATTACAATTCAGAATCATAAGAACTTGCCACCCACTTAATAAGTCAAATCTAAAATAATCAACGTTGACCAATCTGATATTGGCAGTATCTTTGGCGAAGTCAATATCAACAATACTAGCAAGATGTCCAACATGACTTAATTTGCTAATTTCATGTATGTTCCATGTCCAACTCATCCAGAATTCTTCATCACTAATCTATGCCAAGAACAAGTACGTTTCATTGTAATTCCCTTTTAGAATTGTATTGAACCCCTCTGTCCAGAATGTATCAATGAACATCTTGAGATGCACTAAAAGAAAGGAAGAGTTCCCAAATTAGAAAACATTCAAAGAGTCAGAAAAGATAACACCTATAAGATAGATGAACTATCCAAATCATTGTCATTTAAATTGTTAGATTGTAAGAAGTATTTCTAAGAACAACCATCTATTATTTACAATAATAATCTAGGGCAATTGAGATCAATCCATGAATAAATCACAAATATCATAGATGACTATTTTGAAACATTGTACAAAGATTTAAAGGATCAAAATTAAGAAGAATATTTAAAATAGTTGAATTAAATAGAATAAGATATCTTATAGCAAAAACATAAACTTAGTAAATTATAAGAAGATTTGCACAATGATAACTATGTTAGGGCTGTCATCTAAATATGTGATGCCAAATAATAACTATTTTCTGACAATAGTCTTATTTCTTTAGATAGATTAATCGAAAATTATCAGCAATCTCAAATTAAAATAATCTTTGATAAGAACAACATTGAACTATTTTAAACTTATTGTAAAAAAATGTGTTACTTTATCAAGAATACCTAATAACCAAGCACTAAGTAACTTAGTAATCTTACAATCAATAAGAGTCTTAAAAATGAAGATAAATCAAATCAATCTACAGTTAAATTAACTCGTGTCTCTGAAATACCACCTCCTCTGGTAAATCCAATAACTTTAATCTCTGAAAGCCTTACAAACGATGAAGCAAAATACCAAATTAATCATTCAAATCACTTTGAGGATGATGAATCTTAAGTACTTGTCAGATTAGAGGAAGGTGGTTATGCTGCTTATATCTACGACATCTAATCAGAGCAATATAGGATTGAAACTATCAATAGTACAACAAAGATCCCCCTATATCATAGACTATACACTACTGCTTCAGGTAAACATTTGGTTATCGGTGGAGTTGATAGAGATAAATCAAGATTCAAAGCTATTGCTTCGGTTTATGAATTTAATCATACCACTTTATAGTTAAATTTACATTCAGAAATGGTTTTGCCTAGATCAATGACTTCTGCATGTTAGATTGGCAATTTCCTATTTGTTGTCGGCGGATCATCAACCAATGATGAAAATACATCCATGGCTAAGGCAGAGAAATTAGATTTAAATACAAAGAGATGGCAAACAATTGAGGATCCCTATTTCAAATGTAGTGGGTGTGCATTGGTTGCAGTAGATAACAATACTTTGTTTAAGATAGGTGGCAAATGCGATATCTTTACTCCATGCAACTCAATTGAATCGTATGATATCTAGAAGAATGCTTGGGTATGATCTGTTTTATATTTGATTTAAGACTAAGGTAGAGTTCAAGTTCCTGTCTAATGGATATTTGAGGTTGCCATTTAATAGTTGTGCCATAAAGACATCATATGATCAGGTACTAATTCTGGGTGGATCAGTTCATGATGTTAAGAGTAACGAAACTTAGGTATTTGATTTGAATTAATAATAAGATTCTCAATTTGAAGACAAAGACACTGTAGAAGTCGAAAGAGTTGCCAAATTCGATTGAGTTCAACACTCAAAGTGCAATTGTGTAATGCAATAATGTTTACATACTAACAGAGAATGAATAACCTTTGTTATTTGGAAATTAAAGTGGATTTAAATATTAATGATATAAAATTATGTATAATTTTGATTTACAACTTAATATAAATAATGAATAAGCACCTCCATCTAAAAGAGCATTATAAACAAGCAAGAAAGTGAAGAGCATTTCAATTCAAAGAAATTTAAATTAAATGAGCTCTGATTTTAGATGTATAACGGATGAATCTCCATCTATTTTACATCAAATACCTATTTTGGGTGGGAGTGTTACTGAAAGACAATTACTTTCTTTGCGCTATGGCCCATCAGTTGTACATAGATAGATATACTCAGAAAACCAGTTCGAATAAGGATAGTAAAGAAAATTCATAAGGCAAAAGCTACCTTCCATTATTCAAGGTTATTCGGTGCATGAGTTATCACAGAATAGAATGTCAGTGGAACCTAGGATGAGTCCATCGAAAAACAAGGAAAATAAAAAAAGTATAACAGAAGTAGAATACAACCAATCGCATGAACTGAATGATCATTTGAGCATTAAAAAACTAAATGATTTATTGGGTCATAAGAAAATACGTCCTGAAAAAGTTAGATAAGATTTTCCTTCAGTTCCTGAGATATAAGATTTTTCTAAACAAATGCAACAAATTTATAAAAAGAATAATATTAATCCCTTGAAATTGAGATCACCTAAGCCCATGGAAACTCAAAACAAAAACACTTAGCANATACACTACTGCTTCAGGTAAACATTTGGTTATCGGTGGAGTTGATAGAGATAAATCAAGATTCAAAGCTATTGCTTCGGTTTATGAATTTAATCATACCACTTTATAGTTAAATTTACATTCAGAAATGGTTTTGCCTAGATCAATGACTTCTGCATGTTAGATTGGCAATTTCCTATTTGTTGTCGGCGGATCATCAACCAATGATGAAAATACATCCATGGCTAAGGCAGAGAAATTAGATTTAAATACAAAGAGATGGCAAACAATTGAGGATCCCTATTTCAAATGTAGTGGGTGTGCATTGGTTGCAGTAGATAACAATACTTTGTTTAAGATAGGTGGCAAATGCGATATCTTTACTCCATGCAACTCAATTGAATCGTATGATATCTAGAAGAATGCTTGGGTATGATCTGTTTTATATTTGATTTAAGACTAAGGTAGAGTTCAAGTTCCTGTCTAATGGATATTTGAGGTTGCCATTTAATAGTTGTGCCATAAAGACATCATATGATCAGGTACTAATTCTGGGTGGATCAGTTCATGATGTTAAGAGTAACGAAACTTAGGTATTTGATTTGAATTAATAATAAGATTCTCAATTTGAAGACAAAGACACTGTAGAAGTCGAAAGAGTTGCCAAATTCGATTGAGTTCAACACTCAAAGTGCAATTGTGTAATGCAATAATGTTTACATACTAACAGAGAATGAATAACCTTTGTTATTTGGAAATTAAAGTGGATTTAAATATTAATGATATAAAATTATGTATAATTTTGATTTACAACTTAATATAAATAATGAATAAGCACCTCCATCTAAAAGAGCATTATAAACAAGCAAGAAAGTGAAGAGCATTTCAATTCAAAGAAATTTAAATTAAATGAGCTCTGATTTTAGATGTATAACGGATGAATCTCCATCTATTTTACATCAAATACCTATTTTGGGTGGGAGTGTTACTGAAAGACAATTACTTTCTTTGCGCTATGGCCCATCAGTTGTACATAGATAGATATACTCAGAAAACCAGTTCGAATAAGGATAGTAAAGAAAATTCATAAGGCAAAAGCTACCTTCCATTATTCAAGGTTATTCGGTGCATGAGTTATCACAGAATAGAATGTCAGTGGAACCTAGGATGAGTCCATCGAAAAACAAGGAAAATAAAAAAAGTATAACAGAAGTAGAATACAACCAATCGCATGAACTGAATGATCATTTGAGCATTAAAAAACTAAATGATTTATTGGGTCATAAGAAAATACGTCCTGAAAAAGTTAGATAAGATTTTCCTTCAGTTCCTGAGATATAAGATTTTTCTAAACAAATGCAACAAATTTATAAAAAGAATAATATTAATCCCTTGAAATTGAGATCACCTAAGCCCATGGAAACTCAAAACAAAAACACTTAGCATATCGACATTTTAATTAACTTACTTAAGAGAAGAAATTAATGACTCAGGGAAATCCTATGGAAATTGATTTTAGATTTAATAAAAATCTATTTATAAATCACTCGTTTTACTTAATATAGATAGAGTAAAATATATGATATAATTAAAAAAGTAATGAATGCTCCACTTCCAGAGAAAATGATTCAGAAATTTGTACAATCCATATTTATAAATCAATTAGAATCAATAGATGGATGTATTGTTGAAACATGAAGAACTCTTGGCGAAGTAGAGAAAAATAAATGAATAGAAATTGAATGACCTTTTCGATCGCAATCTTTAAATAGAAACAAAAGATCGAAAATTGTAAGAACAAGTACACTTACTGCTGTTAATCAGATCCTCACCTAACGATATTAGAATGAGTAGCTCAAGATCTAGTAAGAGAAACAAAAACAACTTCATGATGTAGAGAAATAGAAAAGGGATAAGAAGACAGCATAAAATGAATTATGGTCAACTGAGTAGAAACAACACGAGAAGGAGATCCAACGTAGAATATTTGAAATCTAGAATAAACTTAAATACGAGGAGTTTAAAAAAAAAACCGATGATTTGATTAGTTAACTAGATTACAATTTAAGGAAAGTCAACATTCGCTATCTTGAAAAATAAGAATAAAAAGAGAGATAAGTGAATGAATATATGAGTTTAAAACAGTAGACTTTAAATTCATCAATGCAAATCAATGAATCTCATAATCAAAATGTCTATTCCAACTATTAATTGTAGATGAAAAGAATCCAAGAAGTAAATTAAGATATGTATTTAGATTTGTTAACAAAAGCTGAAGAATTATGAAAACAAGATTAATAAAATTTATAAATAAAAATATGAAAAGATGGATTAACTTAGTTAAAAGGTTCAATAATCCTAGGAACATTAGGAATTGATCAAAGAGAGATCTAATTAGATATTTTAGAACAAAATAAAAAAGTTAAAAGATAAGATGGAATATTTTTAGGATAAGATAAACTTTATTGAGAAGAAGAGATTATCAGACTTACAAAATAATTATAATAAAGAACTTGAACATCATCAGTAAATGAATTAAGCGAGGGCCAAGTCTGAGAATATATTTAGAAATAAGTCTCTTAATCTTTTGAATAAGCAATTGTTGAAAGAGTAAGCATCTAAATTGGTTCAACACCAGAATCAATTAGAACTTGAATAGAAACTCTTGAGATTGAATCAGAAATAGCTTACACAACAATCTTAAGTGATGAAGGCAGATTAATTTAAATAATCCTATCTTTAATAATTGGAATAAAGAATTTCTTAAAGGGATATGAGATTGCAAGATTAAATGTATAATATGAAATTAAATTGGTTAGATAAAATAAGTTAGAAATCTAAAGGAGAAGATTGAAAGTTATTGAGGACATGGAGAGATAAAAAAGAGACATGTTATTAAAATTGGAATCAGAAAGATTGCCAACAACAAACACTAATGATTTGAAGTATTTTCATAGCACTCCTAGATTACAATCTAAAATATTTATAACCTGAATAAAATGAATATTAATTATATAACATCATCATTATTTCTTAATCATAATTATATCTACACTATAGTATTTAATAAAGCAGGAAATCTTAAAAGTGAAATTGATACTACTTTAGAGGAGATAATCATTTTGAATAATAAATTAAATTGTACTATTATTTTAGAATAAAAATGTTTAGTTAATGATCACATGATTGAACAACAACTGCCTTCTTCTCGATCTTCTGATTCCTTCTTGGATTTCTTTTTTTTCTAATCTGATGTTTCTGGTTCGTTTTCGCTACTTTAATTGGTATTAATTGTCAAATTGTTGTTGCTATTTAAATATGGATTGAATTATTAAATAGTTGTAGAATCATCTGTTTAAATATATTGCTGATAATTTTGGACTTCAGTTTTCTGAATTTGAGATTTCTATTATAATTTTTATTGTTAATCTTTTTGTTTTTTGGATTGTATAGTTAATGATAACTTTTCAATTTCCAACCTCACTTTTTAGCATTCAATGTCATTATATTGAATTTCTTGTTCAATTTGATGTAAATTATGTTGCTTCTTTTGAGAATCTAACTTTTTTTCATTTAGTCTTTCATTCAAAGACAGCATTTCCTTTTTGATGGATTGAATGATCGATTTCAACTTGACATTCTCATCCTAAAAGCCTTTAGTTTCATTGTCTAATTTCTACGATTTAAAAATAAGTTCATTCTGTATCTACTTGTATTCCCCTTATTGTTTGACACTTTATTATTAGATTTCAGAAACCTGATTCTACAAAGATCTAATATCCTACAACAACCCTTTGGATTAGGTATCCAACTCCAAGGCTTGTTGAGCCAATTGATCTCTCTTCTATTTGTAAGCTGTTTCTACACTGAGTCTAATGTATTTGTCTTCGCAGATTTCACACAATCGTCTGAATGTGGTAGGATTACTGGGATCCTTTCTTTTCTTTTTTCCATGTTCTTTGCATACCACATTACCACAGAATTTGCATTGTTTCAACTTATGAATAAGTGAGGCACTTTTGTGACAGATACAACATTCATTTTTACCCTATTTGAGTTCTTTTAATTTATCATCACTCAAGGTACATTTAAAGATTGCTAATGTAATATTCTAATTTGATTACAATCATTTTGATTTACAAGATCCAATTCGTTGGCTTTCCTGAGAAATTAATTTTTCTCTGTATCCTTTTCCATCTAGTCAATTGAAAAATTTGAGGGAGCTTCATCTTCCTCAATAGATTCCAATTAGGTTGACATGTTGCTAGTGGGACTTATGTTCTTGTATTTCTTAATGATGTCCTCATAAGAATTGTTATTGACTTGAGTATTAGCTCTTTCTCGACTATCTCTCATAAAATGAAAAGTATTTTTATATAATAATTCATATCATCTTCTGCAAAAGTTGAGTAATTTATGAAATATTAGGATCTGCCTTTTGTATGGATTGAAATAATTGATGTAGATTGTTATTATAGAATTTGATGACAGCCAAATGTTGTTATAACTATTTTAAGTTCTGAATTTTGTAGTCATTTTATCTGATCACATCATCCTATTGATAGCTAGAATAGTATTGGTCGTTATTGGTGGATATTTTGGGTTTCTTTTGTGTTTGCAATATCTAGTTTCCATTTAAGAAATACCTTGACAAAGATCATGAGTTCTTATTTGCTATTTCTCAAATGCATCAGCCGTTGTTCTCTGTTCTATATTTCTAGATGCAATTCATCATGCTTAGTGATCATGTCACAAAACTCTATCACTTTAGATTTGTTTTTATTGACATCTTCAATACCTAGATCGAGTAATTATGTGACAAGTTCCTAAGTGTGAGAGTCTAACCGATCTTCCACTTTTCCAGTCTTCAACCTTACAAACTTAATTCTGGTTTCGCTAGTTTCATTGATGAGACTACTGCTAATTTATAATTGTTTTTTGTAGGAATCTTAGATATATGAAGTGTCAATGTTAGATAACATCCCTGCAGAAGTTGGCATATTTTAGATGAAGGTAAATCTTCTTAATGATTATTATTACTATTATTATTATTGTTATTTCTTCTCCACTTATTGTTTCTTCAACTCGATCTTCTGTTTTAACTTAATCTCTCCTAATTTCTCATTGCAATCTTTGATCCAAATCACTTACTCTTAAACCAATCGATCCAAATTCTTAGAATGCTATACCAATTACTAAGCCCTATCGTTGCAATCCTGATTTTATTGACATAACTTCCAAATGATATTGATTCTCTTCATCTCTTGTTGAATTACCTATAAGTTCTCCTGTTGTTTCTTCAACTCTTCAGATAATTTCTTTGTAGTTTCAAGAGCCTTCTGAGTTTCAGCACTCAACTCATCTGGATACAGATTCTATCGAATTGTGTTGTACTCTTTCAATCGATTCTTCAATACCTAACTAAAATAATAGTGATACCAATTATACTTTTAGTAAACAATTTAATCTAGCTTCTTTTGATATTACATTTTCTATATGCTCGGCAACGTGCATTTCTTTACACTCCTCTCAGTCGATTTTGTATGTTCACTGTCTGCTCGAGTTTTTGGGATGTTAGTGATTCTCGATATCTCCAAAGGACTATACCTCCTTTATCTGATACTCGAGTTTATCGATGGCAATTTTGATGCTAAGAAGGCTCACTCATATAATTACAATTATGCTCCTTCATTTGCTATGTCTGTTTGGCAATTTAGGCCAATTTGATAGCCTTCTGATTGAGTTACAATTCATCCTAAAGAGGAATGCTATTGATGCTGTACTACTCCATTAATTTTGAATAATTGTTCTTCTGAGTCAATGAGAGCCAAGGAAATTGCACCCAAACCCACCTTTTATAATAATAGAATTGCTGATTTCTTGTATTCCTTATTATTTTATCTAACACATTTTCTTATTTAGTATTGATATATTCTTACACTAAACCTTAATCAAATTGACTCATATAATAATTGATAAAATAATCTCGATTCGCCTTGATATCCATATTCAATGTTTCAATATTAGTGATTTATGAAGGGAAGTATTCTTCGTTCATTATCTTCTTCTTTTTCTTAGCTATCATCTTTAACTCCTTCAATTCATTATACAATCCAATCTCATCAAAATCAATTGATTGTCCCCTTAACTATGGGTGTTTGTAAGGTGGCGTATGATCACTACAATCATTATCGACATTAATTACTTCTCAAAAATACTATACTCCCTCAGAAACCTACTGATCTAGAGGATTATATAAAACAGCCCTTCGTTTGTAGGTTTGTAAAAGGCCTAGAAATTATCGACTGCCTTATTATATTCCATCACCAAATCGTAGCCATTCTACTCCAGAGTCTGCCATAAATGACACAACTCAAATTTATGATAAGGAGTGCAATATAATAGAAAACTCTCAATATTAATCAGCACCTCCTTCAACTTGAAATATCTCTTCCCTTTAGAATATTGATATATCAATTCTTCCAATTTCCTAATGGAATTCTGTGAGTGTTCAATAACTATTATGAAAGATTAGAATAAAGTCTTATTGTGGGGAAAGTAATTGCTCAAGACATTTTTGAAGACCAAACTAAATATACAGTAAATCTATTGTTTCTCCATCAAAAAGATCTACCTTATATTAGACTCAGTACCTTGAAAAATTCATAAACAACCAAGAAATTTTATTTATCGCAATTGCAAATTTAGGCAATTTCTTCAATTGAAATACCCTTAAATACATATGTCAAAACACTTAACATTTACGAATAGTGTATTTCTGGATAGTATTTCAAAAATGCAGAGATCAATAAATTATAAAAGTCACTCTCTTTTTTAACATCTACTTCTAGTTGAAATACCCTTACTTTCAAGATGCATAAAGATATCTTTGTTGATGCTTTGAAATTCATCTGACGAATTCGTTAAGATGGCTTCGAAACTCATACTAAAGAGAGTTTATTCTTGTAATTTGCGAGGCATTCTCCTATACATTCGCTAATAACAAATTAGAATGCACTATTACATAGAGAGAATCAAAAGTTATTAGGCGTTCCAAGTATTCATTCTTACTCCAATCACTTTCATAATGCTCAAATTTACATATTTACGATGGATCCACCTTAAGTTTTGTAATATTCAAATGCCTTTGAATCAGTTTTACCTGTGACTATAATCTTGATGTTTTCTGGGAGAACTTTTGGCAACCAATAGGATACTCTCACTTCTCCATTTGAATCTCTGAATCGATCAATACCCTAAAAGATTAGAATTAGCTTGATTTTATAATTATTTGATACTCTCTTATACACACATTTGGCTTCACAAAAGACTTGATTTTGCAATTCCCTATTATAGAATTCTAACCAATATTAAAAGAACTACTTTAATTTCTCACCTTCGATTTCCACCCTCTGTGAAATATTGAACTATGCCTAATTTCAATTAACAACCATTATACTTTCAATCTAGATAACACATAATATATAGCATGGTGATAATTCTAATTTTCATGTTCTACAAAATAGGGTATGATCAAATCTTTCTAAATCATGCATTCTCTATGTTTACATTCATTTTCTTTATCCAATGAGATATCAAAAATTAAATATCATTCCCATCCTCTTCACTAATAAATAAGGCTCTGTTTGATTTTTGCTTGTACATCCACTCCTCTATTTGAAAACTGAATTCTTCCAAATTATCCGGCACCTAGTGTTTCAAACAGTTTTCAACTATCAAATCGCTCTTACTTTCAAACATAATAAAATAATTATTAAATTCAATCAAATTATAGATATGAAGTTTGTTACTTTTAAGCAATACTCAAATAGAAACGAACTGATAAATTTCAGGTCTATTCTATTATATTTAAACTCAAAGCCATCTTTTCTGATTATCAGAGAATCACTCACATTCAACTTATTAATTAGTATAACACAAAAGAATGATATAAAGTAAGATGAAGAATTAAGTGGAGTAGAGAAACTAAGAGATGATGATCGATGGTAATAGGAAAGTAAAAGTAAAATAAGATTCACAATATTTGCTTAAGAGAAAATAATATCAATTGCTAATAGTAAAAGCATTAACCAGAAAGGTTGAATCTAAACTAATTAACACTTAATAATATTTTAGATCCAAAATGTAATAAGAAATAATAAATTATCAATATATCAAATTTAACTAGTTGATATATTTTTTAGCAGCATTATAAAATAGAGAATACTATAAATCAATTCTTATGTTTGAACATAAAATAAAATCAATGTATATAATTGAAATAAAATGATATATCATTTTATTTCAATGAATTTATGAGTCACTACTATAATAACTTATATTTTGGACATCTTTAATCTAGTCATTCAATCTATTGTTCTCTTCCATTAAAGCTAGATTGCTCTTAGATAATCTATCAATTTATTACTATTATTATTTAACTAAATTATAAGAAATCAATACCTATTTCTAACAATTTAGAGTTTTACATTTTTAGTTATTCTTATTCGAATTACATTAACTGAAATTCTGAAATTGTCATTTTTTGTTAAGATATTATTTTCTGATTTTAATATTCCTATGCCTCCTTTTCTAATTTTTAATTGTATTCTTTCAACTACTTATTTTCAACCTTCAACGTATCAATCATTTCATTTTAACTTTATCCCTGTCCCATTCTACCATTATAATTGCTATTATTTAATTATTGTTATTGATTCTACTTTAACAACCTTATAAATTCTTCTTATTGTACTATTTATTCGTTTAATTTCTAATTTTACCCTTTGAATGCTTATAGTTCTTATTGTAAAGTATTCACTCTTGTTGTTTAGATTTATAGTTCTGTAGATATCTTTTAATTCTACAATTCTATTTGTTACTTTGACTCCATGGTATCCATCTTACTTTTTGTTTAATAATCATTTTGATTCTAGTGTTTTTAACCATTTAATACTGTTTTTTAATTGTCTGAGGAAATCTTTTCTGTATAATCCTATGAATTATTGAATTAAGCATGAAAACTTTTAGTTATCAAGTAAGAATCAGAACTTTTATCAAAAGACATCAGTTTTTCAAATTCAGCTAATTAAGTATTTTAGTTGAATATAGTCTTATCCTTAACAAGTAAGGCATTTTCAATATCTTTAATTTTTGATTATAATTCTTAAGTTTCATTCTCTTTGTTTTTAATTAATAATTATAACTCCGAAATCTTTTTCTTCAAATTTTGATTCTTCTCCTGCTCATTATCTAATTCTTTACTTAAACATTAATTTTGTTGGGCTTACTACTTAAGTTAAAAATCCTTCTCTTAAATGCAAGCTGTGAGATCCTGAGTTTCTTATTATAATTATTTACATTTCATATCAATTTCATTATTTTTTTATTACAACTATTAAATAGTTTAGTTCAATATAGAATTGGATCTTATCGACTCTTGCTTTTCATCAGTTACACTCTAGGAACTCAGTTAGCGTAATTTGAATTTCAATTCATCAATCTCTTAATTAGATTATATCTTTTATTCTTGAACCTTCAAGGACAAAGATTGATTTTCTTTCCTCAAGGTTTCAATTTCTATCTAAGTTGACTATTAAGCCTTTATTATCTTTTAAGTATCTTCAATCTTTTACTATAGTTTTACTTATGATTCATTAAGTTCTTTGTGCAACTTTTAGATGGTACCTTAAAATTTGGAATTTTCACTCAAAAGATCATTAATGACTATTTTTTATTGTTGCTTCTCCTACTCTAATTTTTGATTTCCTATTTATTTTTCTGTCTCTCCATTATCTTCTTTGCTTATAAATCTTGATGATGTGGTCAATTTCAATTCTTAGAGTTCGAAATATAAAGTATTGATTTGTAAAGCCTAAGCTTTATTCTATTAAATTAATTATTCAATTTAATTAGTCTTCTTCGAAAGTTCATCTTCCAATTGTGCAATTCTATTTTAACTTCCATAAGGAACCACTCCTACAGACATTTGAGTAATTTATTAATCTTTATCCTTTAATTGCTCAATTAATTTAGAGATTTGTGTTTCCAATCTAGTCTTGATCGAATTATGAACTTCACTAATATTTTAATTCTCTTATCCTAGCTTATTAATTATCAATTAAAGATCTTCATTGCTTTTTTAATAATTTGTCGAAACTATTTTCAATTAATGGGTTTTCTCAGCCAACTAAATTCTTAATTAATTGATGAGTTATTATGAGTCATCTGAATCTTGATTTTATCTCTTAGAATAGCTTTAATTGATTTGATCTATGATAGATTTATCTTGAATAGTTGATCTATAATTTGCAACATCTTGCATTAATTTGCTATTTTCTTATTAGAGAGCAAGAATTTGTAGTTTTAAACTTTTGACTAACGAATCTTCATAAGTAGATTATACATACTCCTAGCCAGACTTCATATTATTTAGCCTATCAATTTCTAGAGAAAGTTTTTCGTTATTTGCTATTTTGCTCTATAGTTCTTATTAAAGCGATTAAATTTTATCATTAAACTGAGTTCTAACCTTTTCAAGTTGTAGTTTCAACTCCTAGTTCTCTTATTAAACTATTTAATCTTTATTAATTTATTTTTTTAATTACTGATTTTCAAGATGAAGTAATTCCTTTTGATTCTCTAATAGTTTATAATCCTTGCCCTCATATATCTTGGATTCAAAAATGCTTTCATTCATTGAGATATGACTTTAGCTTAGATCTTTAAAGATATTTTATTGATTTTACAATTTCAACATCTATTCAGTTAAATTTTAATTCTATAGCTGCAACTATGCTATCTATTATTTCATTTGAGTTTCAGCACTTAATGGAAATAGCCTGAGAGTTCGATTCTCTTCTTATAACTACATAAGCTTTTATTTTAATTCAAATATTTAATTATCTTATTGCTTGATTTTTTAAGTATAGTATTCTTTTTCTTAGATCAAAATAGTCAATTCTTAATCAATTTATTTGCTTTCCTTGTATAAGTCATCAGGCAATAATTTGTTCTCTTACTTATCTACTTTTTAGACCTGACTTTGGTATTTTAGTAGTTCTACTTCACAATGCTTAATTTTTTCTTATTATTGAGCATCTCTTTACAACTAGAAATCTAATCTTGATTAAACTTCTTAGATTCTTTTCTTCTAAATATTTAATTACTCTTCAAGTTATTTATATTGATCACTACAAATTATGTTTGTCATATTAACAGAGAATGATTTTGATTGATTAAGATCTGCTAGATTTTTAATTTGTTCTTACAAATAAAGATTCTCTTCAGCTAATCTCTTATTTTATTTTTCCAATTATTCAAATTATTTTTTGGATATGAATGCATCCTATAAATCCACTGTGGCTTTTTCAAGTTTCTTTTTAAATTACTGTATTTCTAAATTATGCATGGATGACATTTGTTCAATTTATTATTCTAATTGATTACATAGAATGTTTTCATGGACATTTGAATTTTTAATTGAAGAATTCATAATTTGGGAAGTGTCTAGTCTGTCCCTTATTGATCTGATTTCTTCATACAATTTGATATTTTCATTTAAATATCTTTTATTTGCATCACATAATTGTTATATTTATAAATCTTTATCGATTTGCTATTTTTAAGGTTTCTGCGTCTTCTTTTTTTGTAATTCATCCTCTAGAATCTCAATTTTTTTTTGGAGATATACATTTTCTTATTCAATTTGATCAAGTTTAGTTTATACAATAGGATCTTATATTTATGACATATTCATTGAGACACGACTCATATTTTTGAGCATTTCGATTTCAATTTATAATTCATTGATGGTTTTAGTTTAACTTTAAATCTCTTGCATTAATTTTTGATTTGTTGAGATGAGCTTTTCTCTTTCAAATTCAATATTTAAATTTGATTTCTACTAATAAGTTTATTTTTAGACTTTGTTTAATTCATCCTGTAATTTTAATTTTTCTTGGTTAGATTCAGTTAACAAATCTTAATATTGTTTAATCTGCTAATTGTCAAAGATTTATGATTATGAAAATGAATTTTCAAATCTTTCATTCTTCTCATTCAACACCATTGTCAATCTTGCATTTTAATTCATTAAATCAGTTTCTCTCTATTTCAAGGAGAATAATTCATTCTTCAGAGATTGTATTAGTCTATCCAAGCTTTCTATTTGATCCTTAGAGGATGTCTATTATCTACAATTTTATTCTACATTACTTATGCAAATTACCTAATTCTTTGTTCTCTCTACTTAACTTATCAATCTATTACTATTGCTTCTGCTTCTCATTTTATAACTACGTAATTTCTTATCTTAATTGATTCAATTAAATGGTTGTTCTTTGATCTGAACTAGACGATAATTGGAGATTGGTCTATTGGATCTCAAGTTTCTTAGGACCCAATTAAGTTTTTTCATTGATCAATTGTTATAATTGAGAATTCAATAGTTATTAAAAGTTGACTTACTTTTGATTCATTTTGCCAATATTGTATGCTATGAATTTTATATGAACCCTTCTTAAAGCTTACATGGAAACAAAAAAAGCGCAAAAAGAATCTGAATGAATATGTATGATTGAATACCTTTATCCTCTTTGCACTTGAATTTCAAAGTCTGATTCATGAAATGTGCTTATAGTTGGTTCTAACTCGGAAGCAACTATTAATCAGAATACATGATTTTTTATTGCTATGTACTATTTTCTAAACAATCAAGAGAGAATATCCAATTTTAATCGTTGGCTATGATTTATTATCTAAGTTTATCCGTTAGGTTACTTCATGTTATTATGATATAATTGGGAAAGCTTGATTTCCAATTAAGAGGAAATTTGAATTTTTTGAAATTCCACAATTGCTTACCCTTCCTATCCAGATTCAAATGATTGCACATTAGCTTCTATTCTATAACCAATATCGAATATGCTGCATTGATAAATATTCCCCTAACTTTCAATTCTAATGCGTTCGGTGTCACATATTTTGAACCATTGAAATTTGCATCCAATAGGTATTTTTGTGTTTTTGGATGTGAATGCATTGATAGTGATATTGGAACTTTCATTTAATTGAGAAGCAATAACGTCAAGGTGATAGTTAAAGTTTCCCTTAATCTAATAATTCATATAATATAATGTTTATACAAAATGATTCCAATTTTTTCATTAAACCAAATGCCATGGTTAAATTCTTTAAATAGGCTAAGCCTAAGACAGTCGAAACCGATAGAAAGAGAACTAACTATATTCCAACTAAGAAAACACAATAAATGAACATTTTGCATTTCTCAAAACCTATGCTATTATTATCAGTACCTGAAGATGCCAACACAATGAGGAATCACAATTACACTTGTAGAAGTAGTACAGGATGTGCAAGAACTCCAAACAGAAAGAGAAATTTGATCACTTCTCCCAAGGAATCTCGTCTCGGTTATAAAATATTACATTACTAAGAATAAGAAGTGCCATATGAAATACACAGTCAAATGCCCATATCATAGATAAATCCAAAATTTATTATATAGCAGAAATAAGGTGGTGCCATTAATAGGCTTCCCAATTTCAAATTACAATTGTTCAATCAATTACCAGGCTTAAGATAATAGTTGGAATCATGCTGATATTTGTAAAACAATGACTTAATTTTTGATTCTTATAAATTAATATAATCATTCAATATCAGCTAGCAAGTCTTCTTCCTCATTTTATAATTAATCGACCATTTACTAATGTTTGTTATCTTCTTTGTTCAAAAACTAACAATTACTATCATATATACATCTTAAGCCTCCTCCGCAGTGACAGAGGATTTCTGATTTTCAATATTGCTTATCAATGTGATTCCTTACTGCACTATCTGAGCCCAAAATAACTGCTGATTGTATTTGTCCTTGAGTACAAAGAGGAACTTGTTGAAAACAGGAGCTTCGTCTTCTGAAATACAAGCCTTCCTCATCTCCTTTAAGCATTCCAATGCCTTTGGAAAGAAACTACCCTTCACAGATTAATCAACCAGTGAATTAATAACCTTCTGAATTTGTTGAAGAGCAGAATCAACTAAATCAACCCTTTTTTCAGTGATCATTTTCTTAAAATCTGAGATCGGATCCACAGAACCTATCTCTTATATTATATCATCGTTGAATCCAAATTTCTATTTAGCAAACATATTGACCATCTCTTCTTCCTCTCTATTGATTTCTACTATTTCCTCCTCTATCTATTGTGGAATCTATTATTATGCAGTTTATTCATCAAATAATTACTTCCAAAATACCTTCTTATCTTACGGTTTCTTGATCTCATTCAATTTGAATTTAAAGGCATTCTTCACTCTTTAAATAGCATCCTAGGCATAATTATACACTCGCCTTTCAGGATGCAAGTAATCAAGAATCAAAGGGGAAATTGGAGGAATGACATCGGTTCTTGTAATGGCTCTATGCATAACCACTTATTAGAAATATTGTCTAGTTGGATTTGCAATGTATTTCATTTTTAATAGTTCCTCTGGTTCTCCTGATTCATTTGGGAGAGTCTCTAAATTCATTTTATCAATCAATGAAGCCACTGCTGCCTATTAATTGGGAGTAGACTTTCTTAAAGCTGAGAATTAGAAATGTCTAATGTCTTCAGAAGTGGGTAAAGAAATCATCCAAAAACATTAATAACTCTTTGATTTATGGGGTAATAAAACCATTAATTTAGGAGAAGATTTCTCTCTACCAACGAATCTTGCAATAGCAACTTTCTTAGTGGCAATCAAAGCGATTATCAAAGCAGATAATGATTTCTTAGCCTTTTCACAATCAATTGCTATCACCATATCTACATTGAACATGAAATAATGGCGAGGGATTTAAGATCTATCTACGAAACCCAGTAATTGAAATGATCTACTACATTAATACTTCATTTTCTCATCCATGAGACTATCAACAGGAATTAAGTTTCTTCCATATTGATATCCCTTAATGATATTTTCCCTTTCAATAGGAGTCATATTGGGATCTTCTGGATTGTAATGGATACTATCATTTCTAACAATGTTCCTAGATGGTTCACTATTAAATTCTCCAATCGCTGAATGTTTCTTTAAACTAGGTAATCTATCCTCTGCACATCTCTTATAGATTAAGACTTAAATTGTAGTTTCATCATTTATTTAGAAATCTCCTCTGAATGATGCTCTTGCTTACATTTATTTTGTATGAAATTATGAATACAATTCAAATGCAATATTAGCTGGAAATATTCTCATATGATTCCTAAGTTCTTAAACCATTTAATAAATCAACCGAGAATTTATTGATTGTTCTTAATTTTAGTAAACAGCATTAAACATTCGATCATTTAAAATTACTTAATTCTCAGGTTTGGTAGGATCATCCAATTCTGCATCATATTCATTCATAAAATCCAAGGCTATGAAATTGATTTTAACATCGACTTTTTCAATCATCTTAATCAACTTTCCTATTTTCTTCTCGTTATACTCCGTCTATCCATATCCTGCTGTTAGTACAAAGATCTTCTTTTCCATCTTCTTTGTTTTTACATGTTCATCCAAAGTACTTACTGCTTTATCCAATGCATCAAAAATATCTCCGCCTTATTTTTAAGGAACGTCATGATTTGGTAATTCTGTCAGATTTCTATAGAATTCTAGATCTGGGGTTGACATTATTTATATATAAAAGGTATTCCCATCCTCAGCCTCTTCCGTTCCAAACAAAACCAATCCGACTTCATGATTTTTGTAGTTAAAGATTTTTTATTAGATCATCATTCCTATACAATCAACAGCTAATTCCAATCTTGTGATATTCTTTCCTTGAGCCTACTTGTATGGTTCATACATTGAGGCACCCACATCCAGTAATACTAAAGTTGCTTCTTTTCCTGCCATCTAAGTATATTATCAGATGTTAATAATAATTGAATAAAAATTAATTAATCTATTGACCTATTATACTTTTATTATTAATAATGTAATTTTTGAAGTCCTACCTCACAGATTACATCAATACTTATGTGTATGAGTACTTTGATAACATTTCCAAGGAACAGATTACTACTCAATTGACTAAAGGATAAATTCAATTAAACAACATGTAATTCAAGCCTTCCATTTTCAAAAAATTCAATTTGCCACTTATAATTAAAGAGAGCATGATCAATAATGTGATTATCACTTTAGGGAAATAATCTTCCATCAAAATTGATTCTCTCAATATTGTAATAGAAATACTAAATTTATATGGAAATTTTATTATGGAAAGTGCAATTAAATTATAAATTCTTGATAAATTTCGAAATTCCCTAGTTGATAATCTCCTAAAAGGAATGGCAGCTCAAGAGAAGTAACAATAAGACCCCAAGAAGAAGTTTGCATTTAATTTGATCCAAAACATTGAAGTTGAATTAAATAGTATAAACATCACTTTCCTTGATAAATATTGCACTGAAAACTCCTTTGGAGTCAAATTATAGAATTTAACTTGTAAATCCTCTCTTAATCCCAATCAACCAAAATTAAGGAATATTGAAATCAATAACCTACAACTATTTTGGCAAGATACAATTACTTAATTAAATGCCTATGCTACTCTTGAAGATGTAGCTCAATAAGACTCAGAAAATTTATCCTTCTAATTAGGGATAGTATTCGATTAGCTAATTTTTAATTGTTCTAAAACTCAGTGTAATTCAATCTATCTATTCTCCGATTATCTATAATAATTTACACAGAGATAAAACAAATAAGTAGAGAAAAGTTAAAATAAAGAAGATGATCAAAATGTAAAAGGGGAGATTAAAAACATTTTGAAAACCATCTCTCTGTTGGAATAGTCAACTGAATGTTAAGAGTATGAGAGATTGTGTTAATTAGTGTAAACTTAATCAATGAATGATTTAAAACAAATACAATTTGAAATTTTGAAATATGATAAGGGAGAAGAAATAGTTTAGTTAAGAAAAAAGAAATTGGGATGGTTTGGAGGGATGGTCAAAAATGATAAAAAAATGGGAGAAAAAATTATTAATATCCTTGATGAATTAGATTAAGATCCAAATTTTGATCTAAAAGGTCTCTAACTCAAATTTGAATTGGTCGTAAACTCATGCTAAATAGGGTTATCATCTATTTATAGGAATTAATTGAATAAATTGATCTTTGATATCAAAAATGTCAATTTGATGATCAATAAAACTAATTAATTGCAATTGGATTTCACATTGAAGTAAGGAGATGTTCTCTTGTAATTCTAAGATCAAATCAATTATTTAGTATCCAAAAATAAAAATTTTGAAGAAAAATATAGTCTAGAATTGCATCACACAAATGATGAAAAGAAAGAAAGTCTCTTTATATAGACATGCCCATTTCAAATCATTTTTAATCAATAAGATTTTGAAAAATACTATGATTTATTTTATTTTTTTGTGGTTTCAGAAAATCAATTACCTAAATTAACAAGAAAGGCTAAGTAACAAATACAAGACATAGTAAGCGATAAAAAAGAATAGGATATCTAAATTAAATTAGAGAAAGTTTATATACTTTCTACTAATGGAAAGGAAACCTTTCTTTTTAGTCCAGGATCAATTGATTTTAATTATAAGACTCAAAATTAATCTATTTACAAAATCAAAATATTTGATACAATACTCGGCTTCTCTGAAAAGATCAATTCATCTATTGATTTTATACATCAATAATACAGTTTCAATAGTGTGATAATGTCCAGAGATTTTGTTAAGATAACAAACTGTGATGTAGAACTAGTAATTAAAGTGTAAGATAATTAGATATGTACTGAATTAGAATTAGAAGACTTGAATATTAAGATCAATCCTACTATTTATAAATATTTTTATTAATTTTATGGAACTCATTATCAATAACCGTTAAAAGAAATGAAAAATCAGCTTAGAGGAAATGAAGAGAATCAACAAAAATATTGTATGTTTAGCAATGAATATGTTAAAGATCAAATTAAATGTAGGATGACTTTTCGGGGCAATTTCATGAACTTGTATGAAGCTGAAAAAGAAGAGAAAATCATGAAGATAGATTTATAAAATATATCATACAAATAAACCAAAATTAATTAGCAATTAAGTGTTCAATTAACTACAAATAATTAAATTATAACTTTGGCTTTTGCAAATGAAGAGGACAGACAAATAGTTGTGAATAAATGTTAGGTCTCTCGGAATGATGATTACTATGTATAAAATATTTTGGAATAGAATGGCAATAACCATGCAAATGTTGTGCTGAATTAAAAATAATAGTAAGAATTCTAATCATCTTTACAAATAAATTTAAAAAGTATGCATGCTGTAGTGTTAGCTAATGAGTATAAACCATTTATCAATATTCATCTCACTTATTTAAATGTAACTAGTTTTGGCAATCAAATACACAATAAAGTAACACTATCATTCTAGAACTTTACAATTACTAAAGATTTTTATTAAGAAATGAATAATTTTGAAAATTAGACACTTCTGGAGATTAAGAGTGACAAAAGTGCAACAATAATTGAACATGAAGTAATTTATTATGTTATTTTTATTCTAGATATTAGATGGAAATTCTATTCTTAAGCTTTCTCTTTATTACTGCCTTCTGAACTACAGAGCTAAAACAATAGGTTCCATTCTAGAGTACTATCCAATTGAGTTATAAAAGGATTGGAATATTACTAAATTTATTATTAATTCCTATTTGACTTATTATCCTGATCTTTAGATTATTTGTAACTAGTTGAAGGTTGAAATTAATAAGAAATATGTTTTGTATAAATAAAGTGAACTCAAAACTATTAAATTTAATTAGGAATACATCACCATTATGTTTATGTAGGATAGTTTAGATGAAGATTGCTTATAAGTGAAAGGTATTCCGAAAGGAAGTCTCGTAGTTGATAATGAATAAGAGATGACCATAGATATCAAACTCTATGATGCCTAAGCAATATTTGCCTAATAATTTACTTTATAGACAAGCAAATTGAAGAGAAAGAGCTCTAAAAGAGTATTATTGTCATCTTGCAATATTGATTTTGGATGGAGAGTTGTCTTTCAAAAAGATGTGATAAAACACTACATGAATTGCAAGACAAATTAATTGAAACTTGCATTTGGTACCAGAGATATTGGCTATTTGACCAAAGAGATTTAAAAATTATCAACTCAAATCACTGATTTCTATGCCTCTCATGATTTAGCAAGTTATCTCATCTAATATAGAGCTAAGACCTATTCATTGACAACTGGAGTTGAATCTCAAATTCAAGTTGTATTCATTGATGATTTATTCAGTTAATCATTGCCAATATTTGGATTCATTTTCACCCAACCTCTTTGGAAATTAGAATTAAATCTAGATCATATCAATTTTCATATTAGAAATCAATCTGAAGCAGTCAATTACCATTCAACTAAACTAGCATGGGAACCTATCTTAGAACCCATTTTAATAGATCTTAATCTAAGTATTTAAAACTAGTAGCCAACGATGCATTTAGACTTTTACATTCAGGAAATTTGCAATATCAATATATCAACCGAATTCATTTAGAATTTATTTAAATTTAAGAAGTTAATAAAATAACGCGATGCCAAAGAGCTGAAATAAATTAACGAATCAATAAGTTAAAACAATAATTAAATACTCACATACGAAACCTATGAAATCTAAAATTTTAGTGGTTTGTTGATTATAGCATTAGGTCAAGATATTGAACCAATAGAATTAACTAATAATTAGAAATAAGTAACAAAATGCAATGGAATATTTTAATTTGAGCTGATTGGAGTGAATTCTACTATAAAGATAGAAAATTGGTCCTTACGAGTCCAGAAAAAGAAAGTTATAAAAGAGAAAGGATTCTCATTAATTATTGAAACAATTGTGGATGAATTTATGAATTCCTCAAAGACAATAATTACTAGCTCTATTTTGCTAATAAATTTGTGTCCTTTTGATTTATAAATTAAAATTTCCAATCAAGAAATTATCAATTTAACTAAAGGTTTATAGTAATAATAATTTCAGAAATTTTAAAAGTACACTAATATTTTCATTATTCCAAATCCAATGTAAAAAGGTTGGTTGTGTTTAGTTTAAGATAAGCTTACCTCTGAAAATTATAGTTATTAGGATATTTCTTCAAAAATAAAAAAAGGAAATTCAGAAATCTTGAATTTGAAAAATAAACACTTTAGATTGAAGTCTTTACAAGACCCTATAATGATGGACAGATCAATAATTTCAATTACTCCAGTAGTAGAATTTATTAATCAAACACCTTTTAAAATTACAATTGATAAGCACTGTCCTGAAATAAAACAATTCCTGAATTTCGATATAATGTAGAATGAAATAATTGAGGATTGTGAAATCAATCCTTCAAAAGATTACCTATTCAGTTTTAAGATTGATCGATATTATTAATCAATACAATATTCATTTGACGAATTAATGAAAGGGAGATATGTCATACTGGAAGATGAAAAATGGTAATTAAATGTAGATAGAAGACAATTAAATGTAATGTTATTAATCAAACCAAATGTAGATAACTATGGAAGACATAGACTTGCTATTCTTTTTAATTCGCCTTACTTAATTAACAACACAGATTTAGATCTAATATTTTATCAAGGAACTGAAAAGAATTAAGAGCTTTTGGGAGGGTAAAAGTCTAATACTTCCTTTTAATTGATTGTACTTGAAAATATCTAAGAAAAGTAAAATCTGGTTTTAGAAGAAAGAAATACTAATTTAAAATCATAGCCAGTAATTTTGTCAGATATCATTAAATTAGAAACTATAAATCTCAAAAAAAAAGTAAATCATTCAACTTAATTTCTTCCAATTCAAATAGAAAAATAATTTAGATAATTTGGAGAATACACAGTTCCATTCTTTTAACTTTTTTACAAATATGTAGCATTCAATAAAATGGCTTAGCCAATTTATCTTTGTTTTGAAGATTAAATAATCTTATTGGAATCCCATATTAAAAAACCTTTATAATTTTAGAATCAGGAACATTTAAACAATCCTGATTTTACTTATGGATGTTCTTTAAAACTGATTTTTGATGACATAGTTTTATAAACAGCAAGATTCAACATTATGGTTCAATAACAATTTATTATCCTTGTTAGATCTGTAAATCTATAGATAAGAAAGTTTTTAAAAATTACTATTTTGGAGTAAAATAATGAAAACTTTTTGATTATTGATGATATTCAAAATCAACAAGATTATCCATATATGATAATTAATGAATCGAAAATCTTATAAATATTATTAAAAAGTGACAATGAAACCTTATCGTGTGGAGATCGATATCCATTAGCAAATACTCATTAAACTGACAAAGAATTTATATATCCAGTTAATCTAAAAATTTTAACGATGAGTTGGAATAATCCAATTTAATTTGCATTGAAGTTGGATTAGGTTGGTTTAACTGGAAATCTTGAAATTAATGGATAAAAATTCGATTATGCTGTTGTTAAAGTAGGCAATTAAAAGTAATTTATAGTTAAGGACTTTTAACAAGCATGGTAAAGTTAAATACAATAATAAATATAGTAAGAGAAAATTAAATATCATTTTGATCTTAAGACGCAGATAGTAGGTTGTTCAATTTCTTATATTGAAAATCTAAAAAATGATTATAAAGAACTACTCATTTGTTTCTTTGATAATATCATTATGACTTATTCATCGAACGAACTTAATTAAAAATAGATAAATTTCAAATTGTAAAAGATGCAAATAGATGCGTAATCTAAGAAAATGTCTGAATCAAAAACTATTTTATTTTCTGAGGTTTCATAATAATAAAATTCTATGGAGTTTGAATTTAAAATAGGAGCAATGGCTTCATCTCATTATTTTTTGGATTTAGTCAAAATAAATCTTGGAAATTTTCAATTTTGCATGGATAAAGTATTATTAGAAAAATATGAATAAATACAGGCCTAACTTTATGAATAATTAACTTCTTAGAGTACTTTGAAAGAGAAAGGTAATTACATTTATAAATTGCTTAACAAAAACAAAGTTGAAAAGGCACTCTAAAAAAATTAATTGAAATAGATAAACATATTTGTGAGAAGGCTAATATTATGTCCGATGAAAATGAAAATTTCTTACTTGAAGGATAACTATTAATTAGAACGATAACATTTTGTTAAAGAGAACTTTTAAAGTACGCCTTCCAATCTTGTTAATAGAATACTTATGTAATATGTTCTTGGAGATTCAAAGTTTTTTTTCCATATGGTAAGTTAATATTTAACCAACAAACTCATGATTAATCTGGTAAAATTAACTAACTGGAATGAGATAAGAATAAAAAGGCCAATATATGAATCAACCAGGTTGTATAAAGTTTTCAATCAATAACAAGCTTAGCATCAATAAAAATTAAAGTAGGCCAAGAAATGTGATTGTAACAAATAAATCTCTAAAATAAAATTTCGCATAATTAGTTCACATGACGTAGTTTGGAAGGGATAGAATAAAATATTTTTTATATGCGAATAGCAAATATTCTTCATTCATTAAAACAGCATTTAAAATCTTTTGGATTAATCAGAAATCTAATTATTTTACTCTGAAGCAGAAATCTTGCACCTAAATATAATAATCGAAAAAGATCACCTAGCTCTATTATTTGAGGATTAGAATAATTTACAGACAGCAATGTAAAATTTGAGTAGATTTCAGAATTGATTCATATTAATATTATTAATTGCCACTATTTTTCTCTTCGTACTTGATTTTTAATTCTCTACATTGAATTTCTATTCAATCAAAGGCAATCAATAACTAATTCAAAGAGATAGAGTACCTATTATAGTTAATTTTTGGATATTCATTTAGCAAGTAATTAATTGCTAATAATATATCCAAACATGATTATTAAAATTTATATTCTATTTATGCAAAATCCACAATTGGTGTGTCCTTTGCACCAAGGAAATTTTATTAAATATGTGAGCTTTGAACTTAATGTTGATCCATAAGAAATGTTGCTTTGTAAGAAATGTGCTTCTGAAAAATTTTAAGGTGGCGTTTTGGAAGATTTAAGATAGCTAGATGATGATTAGAGGAAGTCAGGTAAAATGGTATTTAGTTCAAACCTCTGCTTGAATACAAGGAAAAGAAAATATAAAATCTTAAACGGATCGAAAGTAAATTCAAAGGCATTTTTGAGAGTCGACCATATCTGTCTATTTAAATTGGAGAAAATTCTAATTTATCAGAATTGAGATAAGTAGTTTAAAGTATCACTCAAAATAAATCAAAGGATGCAGAAGCCTTGAAAAAAGAAATTAATTTATGGTAAAAGGAATCTCAAATATTTTTTTTAAATATGTGCAATGATATCAATGTGCTCAATAGATAACATTAATAAGAAATTAAGAAAATTGATTACTCTTCATTAGATGATCAGATGATCGATGAAATAAATTATTAACATAGTTCAGTATTTTTGATTGAGCCTAATTGGGAAGACAACTATTTTTTCATTGTAGAAAAATCAATAGTTAACATGATTACATTGGAAAACGATCGAATTAAATCAGAAAAAATCATTGAAGATAAAAACGCTATAATTACTTGTGTAACTGAAGATAAAGGATAATAAAAATTTTTTGTTGGTTGTTATGACGGATCATTTCAAGTATGGGAATAGAATTTTGATGGGAAATATAGATCTTTTTATCAATAAAAGGACCACGATTCTTCTATTCAGTCCATCATTCTATGCAATAATAATAATCTATTAATTACATAAAGTAAAAATCATATTCACTTTTGGTATTACGATAGGAAATGTTTAAGAAAGAATAATATATTCCCTAATGAAAATGATTAGTCAATAGCCCACTTAAGCATTAACTTAAACTATTCATTATTAGGCGCTGCTATTAATGGTTAGACTATCTCAATTTTTAAACTTGATTAATGGCAATAATAGATATAACCTTTTAACAAAATAATAGATGAAGAGATTATTATTGACACATGCTTTATGAAAAATGATGACTTTGCTGTTTTCCTAGATAATTCAAGAGAATTCCATATTTATAAAATAAATTTCGTAAACTAAATGGAGTTAAAGCTATCTTAAAGATTAAAAATTGAGTATCTTTATACAACATACTTACTTAAAGTTAGGCCAAAATTTTACAAAGAAGTCGGAGTGCTTTAAATATAACATGATAAATAATTAATATTCGTGAAATAAGATTAAAACAATAATTACTAAAAAATCGAAACAAAATTATCATAAAATGATAAACTAAATATGATTATTGAAAATATACAGAAAAAAATATAAATGATTAGGTTTTATAATTTTGGGTAAAACACACTTTATTTATCTAAATAAAAGCTACTAAAAGTTGCAAAACCTAAATATCCTCAATGAGATATCAATATATATAAAATTTTATAAAAGATTATGGTTTAGAATCGATTTTACTTAATATTCTTTCTTCTTTTTAATCCCCATAATTAATCAATAAAATCAATGGTTTTGTGAATTATACGATTTTTCCTTTTCGTTAAAATTACATAATCATCCAAACGAAGCAACTCAATCTTCAAATCAATATGAAATCCATCGTAGTACCTTAGGGCAAATTGAAAAATGAATGTAGAACATTACTTCTTATTGTTGTTGAGCACAACAACAAAAATAAGTCAAGGTTTTGCTAAAGGAGCTACAAAACATCGAATTTCGTGACCTTCAAGATATTTTATTATTAATATTCAATAATTGATGATTAGACCAATGAATAAATTTATGATAGTTTAATTGAATTACTTTAATTAAATATATTTTTGAATATGTCATTTTTGAATAGGTTTAATAGTTGGAAATACTTTTTACATTGTGATTTAACATATTTAACATAAAATGCTTGTACAAATAATGACAGAAAATGCAATAAGATCGCTGTGATCGAAACTTGAATAGTAATAAAGGTGTTACATTTCATCATTGATATTAACAATAGAAAGCCATCCTCTAGAGGAATTACTAAAGTTGGTGACAACTGCTATAATTAAACATCCAAGTATCCAAATGGTCAAAGGATAATTTTAATAGAATTTATCTTATATTAGATATGACATATTACTTTTAAAAGGATGAGATTGATATAAAATAATGCAAATGAGCATATTGTAGTACTGATTGGCTAGCATCATTACTGAATTCAGTGGGCCTTCTCTAATGTAAGTTTCAATAGGAGAAGGTATAGATGGTTGTTCAGAGTGTTGCATCACAATTGCGGATAAAATGATACACCCTAAGGATGTAAAGATGAAGATGTTGTAAAATTGTAATTGGTTTGGAATGGCAAATACATCATCATTAGGTTTTGATGGAGTCAATTTATCAGATTTAGATGACAGGGTCATTAGAATTAGGACAGGAACGCTTGACATGTAATTCATGAAGATATATTGGAAATCCCCAAAATTCATACCTTGAAATTACAGGAGAGCAGTTCCAGCAAATTTTAAGACACTGATGAGTACTAAGTATTGGAATAGTTCAATGATGATCCTCTTGGTTGCTCTTCCTTAGAGTAGAATAGAGATGACACACTTAATGGAGTCAGACCTATTGCTGAAAGGAGATGTATATGAGGCATCAGAGGAACTGAAGGACACACCCACAAGTGACTCTGCTATGGCTGACTAATAATGAAATGATTATATTTACACAATCGTTTGCTCCATCTCCCACCATCATAACATACTTATTCAGTTGAGTCTATAAATATTAAACGATCTCTTTCTTTTGATGTGGTTTCATTCTAGAAAATATCTTAGTTTTTCTGATCACCTTATTCAAACACTCAATAGACTTTTGATCAATCTCGTCAATCTACTTTAATTGGTTATACTATTATATGTCACTTGATTAATTGATTGAGACCTCATTCACTTTGTTTTGCATCAGAACACTCCACAAATTACCTGTGATGGCATAATTGCAATCATTATTATAAATTGTATCTAATTATGTCAAGATGAAATTATACTGCGATCCTGGTTTGCCATCGCATGAGGATCGACTAGAGGAGGGGATTTACTATCTTAAATCTTGAATCAATAAGGAATCAGTCGATTGATCATAATCTATAATTAGAGTATTGGCTTTATTCTCTATTATTTTAGATTCAAATGCACAATGAGTTGTAGTTAAAGCATTGTCTCCAGATATGACTCTGATATCTAAATTAGAATCCAGCAATTCTTCTATCACATGACTTGTATCTTTCTTCAAACTGTTCTCTAAGGTAAAGATTCCTGAAAAATTGATTTAACTCTCTAGAACATTTCTATCCAAATTAATCTAATCAGGAAGCAATCCCTTATAACCTAATCCAATGACTCTAAGTCCATTAAAAGTCTTAATCTACAATTGTTCCTGGATGGTATTATTCAATTAATTAACTGACATTTAAATCAATTTTTCAGGTGATCCTTTAATAAATAAAGTGTAGGTGTTGTCATTTATATTATGAGCCACAACACTCATCATTTAAAGATGAGAACTGAACTCAAAAATACGTATAATTTTAAATGTTTTTAGGGAATTTGTCACCTGAAAATACTTTTGATCATCAAAACTAATGTTCCAATTTGTCTTCTTAAACATTTCTAATTCCAATGGATCTCCTACTAGTTCGTTTTTCACAATTGCTAAATGATGACAACAAGCCATAATGTCTAAGTTTTCATCATTTTGTGGATAATAATCATGTGCTTGCAACCCCAAAGTAGACAGAGTGCCAGTTTTGTCAAAACAAATTGTGTCAATCTTACCTGCTTCTTCAGCCTTTATAGGATTAGATCCCATAATATCCTCTGATTTCAACCTTAATAAAGATATTGCTTGTGCTAAAGAGAAGAAAATTGGCAATGCCGGTGGGACAATCCAAGTAACTACATCTAAATATCTTAAATAGAAAAGGGTTATTTTACCTAATTATTATCAATTTCGATGAATAATTCATATATTGATATTGTGTAAGATAGAGCAATGTGAAGATGGTTAGAATAATGAGACCAAGAATCAACAAAAATTTACAGGCTTAGAGGTAGAATTATCTGGAAGGAGGAGGTGGAAATATTACATTCCTAAAGTACTACCCTCTCACTGAACTATAGCCTGTCCTTATTACCAAAGCAATATTCTATTGATATTGAGACACTTAAATGACTTTGGTACCTTCAAATAGAGTATTCTATGAAATCTCATTTGTTAATTCCTTAATTGATTATTTTGGAACAGGAATGGATTCGCCAGTTAGAGTTGCCTCATTTACCATCACATCTCCAGAGATTAATATGGAATCACAATTTAGCTATTGGTTGTCATGGACATAGAATAAATCTCCTACCACTAAATCACTCCCCTGTATTATTGAATTGTCCTTCAAAGTCACTGACTATTGGATTGTTGCCAATTATTACAACTAGATTCTCGACCTTCTCATAAGGTAATAGTTGATTATGCAAGCCAAAAAAGAAAAGGATAGCAGGACAATTGCAAATATGATAAATCCTAAGTAGATCGATAATTATACCTTCTGCTATCCACAACAATACTGAAAAGTATTATAAGATGTAGAATGGACTAGTTAATTCCTAAAATAGATAAGTGAATATCGATTTTATGGGTATTTGCAGTTAACTGTTCCCATAAATGATCTGTCTGATCTCTCTAGATGCTTGTGTATTCAACAATACATCTAAATTTTTGGACTTCTCATCAAGAGACACACTTGACTCAATGTAATTCACTGGTTAGAAGAAATTGTCCTTCAACTTATATTTAAGAAATCTGTTTAAAAATTAAATAACCTTTACCTATATGTAAAATAGGAATTGTTGTTTATACGAATTTTCTTACAAACCATTTTTTCATTAGTTGAATTTGATACAAGGTAATGTGTACAATCGTATTCGGTTGTTTTGATGAATAGAAAATATTGGTAAAGTCGTTGATTCCATTATAAAATTAAAGCAAATGCGAAGCATGACAATAAGGACAAAAGAATCTAATAGGTAAGCATTGTTTTACAGCTATGAGCAATCGAAATTTACTTATTATTACTGGGACAATCTCTGCTAATTAATGTTATCCTTCAACTTCAGAATTTTTTACTTTATAAAACATTATTGCAAAATAATTATTTTTATTATCACTAATGCTCAAGAACATTCTTTTACTAACCTTTATATTTTCTACCTTTTAAGCAACAGACATCTACTTGGAAGAAGTTATGGATTGCGTCTAAAACACATGTGAACCCGTAAGAAGTAATTGTGGCATTGACACCGATTGCAGGTAATTGGCAATTCTAAAAACCATAGATTATCTTATAACAACTTTACTACCTGCATTTCAGAGAAGTCTAGTGAGTCAGATTATATCTAATGCAGAACCAATGGCTATATGACATGGGTCAAGGTCATGGATTGTTATAATGATTGTCATTATTTTGAACTCTTCGCACTACCAATATGGTTACCAATAGCCGTCTTTGCAATATATATATGAGTTTATTATCTATGTATAACAATTCATTTAAGTATTTTCTTAACAATATCAATATAGAGTAATTGCCTTCATTTTTTGGATCTATAAATTTCAAATACTCATCTGCTTCATTCTCATTAAATCTATACTCCATAGTCATTGACAATTCCTTAAATTGCTCACTCTAATATTATACCCTGTGTTTTCTAGATCTACTGATTTAAAGGCTAATCCTTAAATTCACCATTCTACCTCCAATCAGTTATTCTTCTCCATCCTGCTCCCTCTTTTTTCTTACTGACAAAATGAACAAGGCATCTTATCTGATACCTTAACCTTCAGAATCCTCTAACTCTTTATGTAATCACCTAATTCGTATTCATCAAAACATAATCAATAGAGATCAATAGTTCTTATAATTCCTTCATCACTATCTCTATCAAACAATCAAAATTCTCATTATATTTCTTATCCTCTACATCTGAAACAGTCTATATTGAGAATAATGTAACACTATTTAAAATTGGCATCAAATTAATAATGTCTTTTCAGTTCTTCAATAATAGTTCTTGGATCAATATTTGGTCAGCCATCATTGAATGACATTTTTCCTCTTATCTTACTTGAGATAGTTTGGTTTGCTTATGTTTAATTCATAAAAATATATAATAAAATAAAAATACAATTATATCATTATTATTATTTGATAATGCTGTGAAGATTCTTATATATTTTAACTTAAATTAAGTATGGATCTAAAATTATAGTATAATTTACTTTAAGTGTTATTAACAATGTCAGATGTTGTTATAATTTCAGACTTGGGTCCAATAATCTGTAATCCTTTATAAACCATGGACATAATGAATGAGTTCTACTTCAAGAACTCTAAAGATAGAAGTCCATCAATGTAAAAATTGAACACCACCACTTTTTCCTTATCAACATTTCTCAAGGTAAATTTGATGCTTTTATGGTTCTACTAAACAAGAAACAAGTATAAGAGATTCTATAGTATAAAGTAAACGATATTGGAAATGGAAGTAATAATATCTGATTCAGTTAGTTCTGACTCATAAGTGATTAGTTTATCCTCAACTTCAGCTATTATATTCATAATGGTTAAGCATTTATAAACAATTTGATTAAGAGGGAATATGTCTAATAATGATTCTTACTCTCTCCTATAATAATAGATTTGAAAGGCATCTAATATCATTTGAATTTTAGTGTTCGAGATGATTTGGGCATTGACTGTGCTTTCATTAATCTTGAAGTATGGGTTGGACTCACAATTTTCTAGTAAGGAACATAATTAATTTAATTGTTTTTTTGTTCTTATGTTTATTTTAATTAATTGTTTAGTAAGTAACTTAATTTCTTGATCCTTCAATTTCAGTTGTCTGTCTTCCTCCATAATGCCAGATTTCTGTTCCATTAGCATAATAATTTCTTTGTCAATTACACTGTATTAGAAACAACGAACATTATATAACTGATGAGTTGAATTATCCTTCACAACCATTTCTAATTGTGAGGAATTCTTCTTGAGAGCCACCATCATTTCATACAAGTATTGTCCCACATTCATGCAGTCCATTCCTGTACTATGTTACAAATTAGCATTTCGAGGTTTATTCTGAATTTCGCATTGCTACTATTATTTAGAATCATAGATAGAATAATGATGGAGGAAATCCTTGAGGTCTTGATTGCCTTGGATGCCAATTCTTTGTTGTGCTAATTAATTTGCATACTTCAATTCGAATTGAAATGAATCTTAGTCGAATTTAAAATGTATATAGACATCCTTTATTATTTCGTCCAAAATATTTCCTTTAGATATAATAAGTATAATTACTAATTTCCTTCTCATTTTCATATTACAAAAAGAGTGCTCTCCTCACGTAGGCTTTGCGATACATCAGAATGTATAAATAACAGGAGACACCCATGTAAATGATAGCCATTCCATCAAATTTAAAATAATATATCACGTATATCAACCGTATTGTGATTACAATAGTGAGTGAAATGGCATTCCAAATGAAATCATAATGTTCCAATAAGGTTATGTTGATCATTGTAATTGCACATCCAGCAACGTACAAATTATTATAATTGCTCGTATTCTTATCAACAAACAACTAAACTACAGTCATTATGATATTGTTAAAAACAAACACGCTGCAAATATTCTTGTTCTGCTTCATCCTACACACTATAGGAAATTGTATTATGAGAATTATGGTGCTTATAGATAGCAATATTCCATTTGTCAGTTATCCTTGTTGCAATTGAATGATAGCCACACCTAGATTGATCATTATTAGCAATGGATGATACGATTTAAAATGTGACAACGAAGACTCTCTTGTGGCATCTTCATATTTTTGCTCTAATTCAAAAGGAAATCTCAAAGTAAATTTATTCATTATTTATAAATAATAGTCAGTAAATCTGAAAACATCGCAGAAAAGTTAATGAACTTATTTCAATTGAAATAAATGACCATAATCATACATATATATAAGTATCAAGTTTTACTAATACTTCTGTGCTTTTCAGGAGAAGCGTGCAGTCTTTCGAAATACTCAAAGAATTAATCACTTTCCATGTCATCATGCATCAACTAACAAAAATCTTTATATGTCATTTTCCCATCGTGGATCATCAAATCACTTAAAATCTTATCTGAAGCCATCTCCTCCCTCCCTTCTCTCTTTAAAGCATATTAAACATCCTCCTTGGTGATGTATTTCTTATCTTAAACATCAAAATAACGAAACAAACTCCACAATCTTTCCTTATTCAAATACTATTTCAAATCCAGAGTTGCAGCCAAAAATTAAGAGTACTTGATCTGCAAAGCCTATTACTCTTCTGGATTCATATTACGAATTAATTATTCAATTTCATTTTTTGTAGTTTCAAACCCTAATTTAGCCATAATTTAAGACAATTCCTAAGGGGTAATAAACCCATCCTCATCCTTATCTAATTCCTTAAACTTCTAACTTAATTTGTCAATCTACTTATCATTCAATTGATTGATCAGTATTCTGAGCACTTCCCTTTTGAATTATTTACTTTTGGCATATCTTTTCAACCCCTTAATATTAGATGTATTCACAGGAGTGCAATCGTTCGATTGAGGGATGTTCCCCTATTTCTAATTGATTTTTATTTCCAACGGCTTACGATACGCCTTCTTAGCCCAATCACTATTCAAAGCTTCCGAACAAGTCAATCTTTTTTCTGGATCCTTCTGAAGCAATCCTTAAACTATCTTCTTACAATCCTAACTAATGTCCTTCCATTCCTCTTGAGGAAATGCAAGTGGCTTAAACTGTATCTTTTAGAGTAATTCCTTCAAGTGCTCCGAAAAGAAAGGTGGTTCAGAACACAATACAATGTACATGATACAANGTTCCAATAAGGTTATGTTGATCATTGTAATTGCACATCCAGCAACGTACAAATTATTATAATTGCTCGTATTCTTATCAACAAACAACTAAACTACAGTCATTATGATATTGTTAAAAACAAACACGCTGCAAATATTCTTGTTCTGCTTCATCCTACACACTATAGGAAATTGTATTATGAGAATTATGGTGCTTATAGATAGCAATATTCCATTTGTCAGTTATCCTTGTTGCAATTGAATGATAGCCACACCTAGATTGATCATTATTAGCAATGGATGATACGATTTAAAATGTGACAACGAAGACTCTCTTGTGGCATCTTCATATTTTTGCTCTAATTCAAAAGGAAATCTCAAAGTAAATTTATTCATTATTTATAAATAATAGTCAGTAAATCTGAAAACATCGCAGAAAAGTTAATGAACTTATTTCAATTGAAATAAATGACCATAATCATACATATATATAAGTATCAAGTTTTACTAATACTTCTGTGCTTTTCAGGAGAAGCGTGCAGTCTTTCGAAATACTCAAAGAATTAATCACTTTCCATGTCATCATGCATCAACTAACAAAAATCTTTATATGTCATTTTCCCATCGTGGATCATCAAATCACTTAAAATCTTATCTGAAGCCATCTCCTCCCTCCCTTCTCTCTTTAAAGCATATTAAACATCCTCCTTGGTGATGTATTTCTTATCTTAAACATCAAAATAACGAAACAAACTCCACAATCTTTCCTTATTCAAATACTATTTCAAATCCAGAGTTGCAGCCAAAAATTAAGAGTACTTGATCTGCAAAGCCTATTACTCTTCTGGATTCATATTACGAATTAATTATTCAATTTCATTTTTTGTAGTTTCAAACCCTAATTTAGCCATAATTTAAGACAATTCCTAAGGGGTAATAAACCCATCCTCATCCTTATCTAATTCCTTAAACTTCTAACTTAATTTGTCAATCTACTTATCATTCAATTGATTGATCAGTATTCTGAGCACTTCCCTTTTGAATTATTTACTTTTGGCATATCTTTTCAACCCCTTAATATTAGATGTATTCACAGGAGTGCAATCGTTCGATTGAGGGATGTTCCCCTATTTCTAATTGATTTTTATTTCCAACGGCTTACGATACGCCTTCTTAGCCCAATCACTATTCAAAGCTTCCGAACAAGTCAATCTTTTTTCTGGATCCTTCTGAAGCAATCCTTAAACTATCTTCTTACAATCCTAACTAATGTCCTTCCATTCCTCTTGAGGAAATGCAAGTGGCTTAAACTGTATCTTTTAGAGTAATTCCTTCAAGTGCTCCGAAAAGAAAGGTGGTTCAGAACACAATACAATGTACATGATACAACCAACAGCCCAATCATCACACTTCTAATTATACCTAACTTAAATTTATTAAATTACACTCCAGTGACCACTTCAGGAGCTACGTACAATGGAGTGCCAACTTAACTTTACTTCCTCTGCAATTGTTTCTTTCTGTCTTTGTCTGATTCCTTTAATTTCTTGCTTAAACCGAAATCTATTATTTTGATCTCTGCGTCATCTTTTTCATTTGATAATAAAATATTTTCTGGCTTTAAATCTCTATGCATCACGCCTTAACTATGCAAATAGGCTATTGCTGAAAACAGCTTCCTCATTACTACACAGGCCTTGTTTTCATCAAAGCTGCCTATAAATTATTTTCAAATTTCTTATGTACCTTTTGATAATACTCTCTCTAGTAGATTGCCACCTTTGCAATGTTCCATCACGAAATAAATAAACATATCATCCTCATACATTTCATAGAATCTAACGATATTGGGATGATCCATTTTTCTCAGTATTTCAAACTCCTCTTAAATCATTTATGTTTTATCGGCTACTCTTACTTTATTTATGGTCTTTATGGCATACACTTATTCTCCATCGGGTCCATCTTTATATCCAACCTTTACTGTCCCAAAGGATCCCTTCCCAAGCACAGCTCCAAATCTGTAAAATGTTCTAATGTTAGTAGTAAAATATGTTTTTTTTCTTGCACTATGTCTTTAACTTGAACAACAGCCCATTTAAAATAAAAAATGTAAAATTTATTCACAGATGTAAATTTTTAGGCGGTGTTGTTAATTAGGAATAATTGAAAAAATTTAATGGATACTTAATTAGAAAGTACATCTACAATGGTTGATGAGAATTTAATAATAATTAAATGTAAACTAATTAAAATACGTCGTCTAATTTGTTACTTTAAAACAAGAAGGAACAGTTCCACATTCAAATTAGAAAAGAAAAGAGAGAGGAGATCTTCAAATCTAAAAGAATCATACAAAAATTAAGCGAAACACACGAACACATCTAAATGAATCTTGAGGTATCGAATTTTAATACAAAATCAGTAATTAGATTACTACATCACAGAATTGATGAAACAATGTATTGATATCTACAGAAACCGATAACCTGATGAAATAGATAAAACCCTGTATAATTTAATGAGTTTGAGAATGTTACAGAATTTTGATTATGGAGAAGAGACCTTCTCACTTTGTTTGTTTAAGAATGATTTTATCGAGTAAAACCAATAATGTAATGTAGATACATTCTAGTTCTATTGAATGAACAATACGATCAGGCATCTTAATTATAGGCTGAAGCAGCCACTATTTTAGCTAATTTTTTTGGTATTATGGATAAAAATTCAAGATTGTACTTTTAATCCTATCTCCCTAAGTTGAATGTACTTGCTGATGTGATTATTAAGAATCTTGGGAGATTGCTAACTTCATAGAATGCTATCTTGGTTGATTCAGTATGATTGAGCTTAATTATTAGTGTTTGTATGCTCTAGGCAATGCATTCTATGATTAATAAATATTGGTTCAAAAATTCAAATAGCATTTTGGATTTAAGCATCTGCTACAAATGTCGATGAATCTGAACACAATAGTCTGGGTATTGGATACTTTGACAGCCAATAGAGAATATCTGAACAAAGAAGAGTTGCACTTATCCTTACAAATTATTGATAAATAATTGTAAACCTCTGACATCAAAGACATTAGCCATAGTTTGAGTGCCATCAGGAATCTCTGTCAATATCAAATTAATGCGATACCATTAATTATTGATTTAGATTCTTTTTCTAAAATTATTGTCATTATTTTATAGGGACAAGATTTGGAACATCATTCTACTTCCTTAGAGATCATATTTTCACTAAGTAACTTAAATGATTTCGATTAAATCAAGAAGTTGGACAATAAATATCATATAATGGAGATATATATTACATACTTGTCATCTTACTAGAAGGAGTATAGAGTGAGATCAATGATGTCATTGGCTAATCTATGTAATTTGAATGAGTATTTTGCTATTTCCTTATCTAAAACACCTTTGATAATAGAGAAAATCATATCAATAACCATATAAACAGAACAACAGTAGATTCTGAATGGAGTTAACTTGATTCATAGCATGTTACAATATGAAAAGATTGAGATCAATCAAATTTTCATAAGCAATTAGATCTTGAATCTAATTTCACGGATATTGGAATATTTAGACAATGAAATATTAATATCCACTCTGAAATCTTTGTGGATCTTATTACACTCTATTGATAACTATACGGTTTAACTATAGGTTCCTGGAGATAATAAAGTCAAATCACAGGTTTACATCATGAATCAATTAAATATACACAACATCTAAGATAAATTATTGACCTTATACTAAAATATTAATAATTAAGAGGTAAGAGACTGGATCGATGAGTGCATCAATATTATGGAGAAAACTCAAAATTGTATAGAAAATTATTGATATTCTTAATATTTATTGACATTAATTTTATAAATAAAGAATGGTTTATTCGATTGGTTAAGCCAAAAGATCAGATCCTGCTCTCAAAACAATTGCACCTGCTCCCAATGCCTATCTTCCCAAATTGGTATCCAAAATACAAGCTCCTCAATGGACGTAAACCCCACTTATTAGAGTAGTATTGGAGGAGCAGCCTAAAGGGCAGGTAGATCAACATCAATAGGACCTGGACCAGGACAATATGGATATGAATCTAAAATAGCAGATGGACCAAAATACACCATAAGTGGAAAACATGAATTGAAATAAGTTTCATAATCTCCAGGACCAGGAAACTACGATGATGAAAGCTTCGGTTCTGTATACAGAAAATAGCCAATGTACACTCTCGGTCTAAAACATCATACATCCTAAAAGGATATCATACCTGGTCCTGGACAATATGATTTAAACAGTTCTTACATCTCCAACAACTCAATTAAATTTCCAACTTAACCACGATTAACATCTCTGGAAGGCGGTATATCTCCTGGACCTGGATGTAAATTAGAATATTAATTTTAGAATACAATATTGACAAGGCAGTCAAGTTGTTATAAGAGAAGTCTTAGCCTTCTTGGGTGATTGGAACATCTCAGAGATCTCCAGAATTAAGGAAATAAGACTTATAACCAGGACCTGGAGCATACCATCTAAAAAGTCTACTCAATTTATCCAAAAACTTCACAATCAAATAGAAACTGGGCACTAAAGATTACAGCACAACTCAACCTGGCCCTGGAGCATATGATTAGGATATTTCAACAATCAAATCCAATTATCCATCTTATAAGATTGGTTCTGAATTGAGGAGCTCATCAAATCTCATGGATAAATTGGTGCCTGGACCTGGAAAATATTATAAAGAGTAATTAATTGATTAATTAAGTGTAGGAGATTGGATAGTCTAAGTTCTTTATAGAAGTCAGCTCCATCCTTCAAGATGCCTCAAGCGTTGAGGAAGGATATCAATGATTCAGTGACAATCACTCCTGGACCTGGATAATATTCGATACCTTAGAATCAAAACACTTAGATGGTCTCAATGAAGGGGTCAAAGTATAACCCCAATAGTTCAGCCTATATTCCAGGGCCAGGATAGTACAGTCCAGATGATTCAGTGTGTAAGAACAAGGAAGGTTCAGTGAAAATTGTACCAGAACATAGGACTAAATAATTATTAACGCAGTACTTACCAGGACCTGGATAATATTCTGTTAAATCATCTCTCGAAGGTCCTTAATGGGGATTCTCTAAAGACATTCGTTAAGGCTTAATCAAAAAGGATATCATTCCTGGTCCAGGTGCTTACAATATCCCTCCGAAATTTAATGAGGTTCCAAAGTATCTATTGTCAAAACAATTTTGAAACAATAAAAAATATTATTAAAATTATAAAATGGAAAAAGAATTGGCTCACAAATTGGATGTGATTCTCAAGAAATTAGGTGATGATGTTCTAAAAATAGAGCAAGACAAATTATAACATGTGTTTCATTCTGTTCATACGATATCTTGGATAGTGATTTAATCAATTGTACCTTACATTAGGGAGGAATTTCGAGGTTAAACTATAAAAGTGTTTTAATTGATTACCTAATTAATCAAGTGTCTCAAAGACAATGATTTTGATGAAGTGACCAGAAAACTATTTTAATAAAGAGCCTAAAGAAGAAGATCTTTAAGGTTGATCAATTGTTCACTATGTGATCAGTACCGTAAGATGCCATCTAAGTAAGATCCTAAATAAGCACACTACAAGAAATACTTGGATTAATTGAAAAGAGATGGAGTTGAATTGAATTCTAAAATGGAACATGTAGTGCTGGAAAGAAAGATTAGAAAATTATCAGATGATGACGAATAATTTGTCTATAAGACATCAAAAGCCTGTTAAGTTGAGTTGGATGAATTGCTACAGAATATAAATACTAATGAAATCACCATAAGTAAACCAGAAACATTTGATGCCGAAGCTCAAACTGATTCTCTTCCATCTAAACTCTCACTATAAGCAATATCAGAATTGCGAAATCATTTTGTAAATTATTTTTATTTGCATTCTCAATATGATAATGTTAAATCAATTATTGAAGAAGGAATTAAGGCATGTCAAAAATAAACAGAAATATTCTCAGATGTCAATTAAGATACTCCTGCCTTAAAAGTTAAATATTTTGCTTAATAATCTTTGTAACATGTGACGTAGGTTTTACAACAAAAAATAACACAGATTGAAGCAACTAAGGAATTTAAATCGAAGGAGTTGAAAGAGAATCTTCCTCCTTTGGCTGATATCATTAAGTAAGTGTAATTGTAGGAACACAAGAGAAAGGCAATCGAGGCAGGTATTATCGAATATGATCCTGAATTTGATCCAGAATTACTATAGAATAAGAGAATAGAATTTAGAGTTAAAGAGATTAATGGTTTATAAGTGATAGAGGAGGTAGTAGTAGATGTAGAGAGTGGGGAAATAATCAAAAGTAGAGCCAGATAAAGTGATCCCCAATAAGAAATTATGTTGGAATAAGAGGAATTGATTAAGTAGATAAAATCAAAGGAACAAACTATAGATGAGAATGAATGGATTGTGGCTAAGTATGGAACTTCAAAGGTTAAGGTAGTTTAGAAATCAGATGATGTTACTTAATATGAAGTTAATACAGCATAGGCTAAAAAGATTGTGAGAGTGAAATCTGTTGATGGCAATAAGTAATTAGAAGAGGAGTGGATTGCTCAATAGGCAGACGGAAAACATTAATATAAAGTATATTAACAGAATGGATAACTGTTATATGAGGACAAGGGAGAATCAGTAGGCATTAGATTGTCAGCTAAAAGATTAGATCATAAGGAATCCATTATTGAGGAGAGGACAACTGAGAATGGTAGTGTGATGAGAATATTGGAGAAATAGAAATATGGGCAGGATACGATCAAGATTATAAAAAGAAACAGTCAGCATGAAGTTGTGGAATCAATTACTAAGCAGGTTTTGAAAGATGACAATGGGGAAATGTATCAACATGAGGAAGAAGTGAAAGAAGGAGGACTCAAAATTATGAGGAAGATATATGTGAATAGTGATGATTAGAGTAAGAAAATAGATGAAATCACTATTCATCCAAATGGAAGAAGATCTAGCATTGTATTGAAGCAATACAAGGATAAAACTGAAGCTGTGTATAATGATGAGTTTGGAGATGAAATTTAAGTGACCAAATACACTTATATTAATGAAAAGGGATTATAGGTTGAATGCCAAAGAAAAATGAATATGAGAACTAAGGAGGTGTAAATGCAAAAGACTTTTAAAAATGAAGATGGCAAATAAACTATTGAAACTACTATCACTTTGGATGGAGTGGAAATTGGTAAACAAATTATCATTTAGGTTGGACCTAATGAAAGAATTGAAAGAATTACCAAGAATGGGAAAACTATTGAGCAGAAGGTGTTAGTTGATGAACATGGCTAAGAGTCTATTCACATGGTTGATCATGAAAATAACATGAAAATTCAGACAACCAATTTTACTAAGAATTCTGTTGAATATCAATAGTAAACTATTAATCTGTCTAATGGTGCTAAAAGACATATTCATCAAAGATCCTATTTCGATGAGAATAATGAGAAGATAGTTGAAGAAGATAGAGTTGATGAATTTGGTTAGAGAATTCTAATTAAGAAGAGGATCAATGCTTTAGGAGAAGAGATTATTCAAGAATTTGAAGTCACAGAAAATGATGGTTTAAATCCTGAATTAAGATAAATTAGACAATCATAGAAAAGATTACCACGTGCAGAGTTGTAATCTGTTGTTGTAATAGATATTGGGATTTAGACTGAAGGTTAAATACCCTTATTCACATAAACTTAAGAGTAATTTTAATAGAAGAAATAGAACTCTCAAATCATTATAGATAAGCCTGATTTCAATGAATTAGACAAAGAAGCATTTAAGAAACTTTAATAAGGGAAAGCCAAGAATGACCCATAATTTTAAGAGGCAGTCAATTAAATTAAAAAGTTCTTTAATAAAGGTGATGCAGAAGAATTAAAGTAAGAAGAATTCAATGAATATTTATCGAAATTGAGATAAAATCATTAAAGGTAATGTGGTGAATAATGTTCTCATTTACTAAGATTTTATGCAAAATTAGGTTTCTTGATTTAAAAATCAGCTTTGAATAGACAAGTTTACAAATTACAAAAGGTCTAATTGTAGGCTAAAGAATCACTTTGACTCGACTTGAATAATTTATATTAATATGTTATAACAACAATTAACCAAGCTTTTTTTAAAATATGATGCACCCATTCCATAGGATAAAATCCTATTCAAAACCTCATTTTTCAAGATGAGTAATCACAAAGAAGTGACTTTACTGTTATGCAGTGATGATTTCATATACAAAATAAGTAATAAGAACACTAAAATGTATATACTTAAACTCAATTGTGAAGTGAGATTCTCTGTTAAAGCTGAATAAACTTCGAAATAAATACACAAATAAATGAAAGGCGATGAATTCCATACACAAATATACAAATTTACTCTCGAAAGAGATGATTGTGATTCTGTTGAATTTTATAACTTCAATTTCTAAACTATGTATTGGTTTGATTACCTCAGGAACAAGTTGCATATGTTAGATTATCAAGCACATTATGAAATAAGCAAATTAATCGGCAAAGGATCATTTGCATCTGTCTATGAAGCAAAAGGAAAGAATGATCAATAATCTTATGCTGCCAAAGCATTCTACAAGAAGCAAGTGTTCCAGGATCCTAAAGGAAGGGATTAGGTGGAAAATGAAATTATTGTGATGCGTAAACTCAATCATCCAAATCTGATTAATTTACATGAAGTATTTGAAAATAAAGCATAAATCTATTTAATATTGGATTTGGCAAGGGGAGGCACACTTGAATATGCTTTGAAAGTCTTCAATGCCCCAGTTCCATTCCTGAGTGCAAAAGTGATATTTAGATAAATCCTTGAAGGTGTACAATATATTCATGATTAGGGTGTAATACATAGAGATTTAAAACCAGATAATATTCTTTTTAGAGATTTCATTCCCCTTAAAAGGTATGGACTCATTAATGTGGGTAATAATATTATGATCAGTGATTTTGGGATTGCTACTCCAAAACAATAGAGAATGGCTGTGTATCAATATTGCGGCACTCCAGGATACATGGCACCAGAAGTGTTCCTGACAGAAAATGATAACAATGCTACATATGATGAGAAATGCGACGTCTTTTCATTAGGTTGCATTCTCTATTATCTTTTAATTGGTCATCCTCTCTTCGCATAGCCAGTGAAGCAGACCAATATGGAAATGAAGATTGACTTTGGTCAAATAGAAAAAGACCTGAATTCAAGTCATTCATTGACTGTCCTCTTACAAAAGATGCTATCCCACAATCCATAAGACAGACCATCTTGCAGAGAAATCCTTGAATCTAAAATAATGGAAGTGGAATATGGAGAAGATGGCATACCTGTGTTCAGAGATTTTCAGAGACCTAAGAGTAGTCCACCTAAAAGAATGCAGCCATTACATCCAGAAATTGATAGATCGTAAAATTATATAACAATTATTTAGTAAGCGATAGAGTGTGCTAAATCCAAAGATGATTAAATTGATGCCAATTCTTGAGGAGAAACAAGAAGTGCGAAATTCTGGAAAGGAGAAAACAACTATAGTGGCTAAATCAAGGAATTCTCATTTTGACGAGGAGAGAACTCCAGCTTAAAGAGTGGCTGCAGCTAGAAGATCGTCTGCTTATGTTCCATCAAGCAATTAGAATAACAAGAAATGATCATAATCCTGTATTTTTGTAATCATAATTATATTTGTATTTTATAAGAGAAAGCAGAAATGAAATCTGTTAAATTTTCAAAAGAAGATCAAGCAGCGATCATGAAAAGCCTTGATGAGCAAGATGTAATCAATAAGTGATTAAATCAAATAGTTTGAAACCTTTATCTCCTACTTCAGAAATACCGATCTCTTAGTTGAATGTGAGTACATGCTAACTCGCTAAAAATAAAAATTGGCTCCAACCGAATGTGCTTAATTTACAATTGGCAAGTAGTCTTACTACGTTCAAACTACTGAAATGATAAAAATAAGGATTCAAAATGAATGGGCGGGATTCGTAAAAGGTCGAATTTATTACAAAGCTAAAGATATTGATAAATACGACCGTGATTTCTAAAAGCTTGCAGAATGCACAACTAAAGACCTTTTTCTAACTGACCTTACCAGATGGTTTCTATCAACTACATTTGTTTAAAAAATAAAAGTCGATCCAATCGATAAGTTTGTTGAAGGGACGATCGTCCCGGATGAAGATCATTTCTATACACGTGCAGAATACAATACAGAATTATAAGAGTTTAACCCTCCTATAAATGAATGGTTAACATATTGCATTTGCAAAAGATTATATGATCCTAATGAAGGCTATATTCTATGTGAATTCTGTAATAATTGGGTTCATTATACTTGCAGTGGAAAAAGTGACAAAGAACTTAAAAATATTTCTAAGATCAAGTTCATTTGTCTTACATGTGTTGATTAAAACAAGAGGAAAAAATAATCCAATGTTTAAGAATATTCAACTCAGGATGGTGATTCCACTAAAATCAGATCTTTTAATACTACACATGGAAAAAAGAAGAAATGACATTAATTTCACATTCAAGTCGTATATTCATTTTTTAAACTTTTTGATCTATATTTAATCAATGATATAAATTGTCTATGTCATCTATCATCCTTTATATATTGAAAATCAGGAGTCCCAAGTAAAGTGAGTTGTCTCTTTTGTTTTCGTTTAACTTTCTTAATTCTTGTATAGTCATTTTCATCATCGAAAAAGACTTTTTTAGATGGAAAATATTATTTAAAAAGTTATTTGTCAACTTTAGATAAATTCATTGCAATAGATATTATCATTTCATTTTCTAAGTTTTCGCGTTGTTTTGGGAATGTTCCTGATCTCATTTTATATAAAACTAAAAATTTATGCAAATTATCCAAAAAATCTATTTTTGATTGTGGCAATGTGCCATAATAGTTGAATTCGTCTTCAAATACACTATAGATTTCTTCTTCATCATTTTCAAATAATGAGAACTCCATAACTGATTTTACTTGTAACTTTTTAGTTTGCATAGGCGATAAATCAGGTAAAGAAAAATTGGATAAAGTTTTGCAAGATTCTTAATTCTATGATATCGTCTAAACTATTTAAATTTGAGCAGGTCTACGCTTTCTCAGAGCCAGAACTATTTGTGGCACCTCCCTTTAATTGTAGGAAACACTCCCATATGGTTGAATTTCTAGAGCCTTGTCTGTTTATTCTAAATCATAAGACGTGATCGACAAACCAGGACTCACTCCCATTTAAGAGTTAGATTGTCTAGAATCAAAGAAATCAATTTCTTTATCTATTTCATTAGAAGAAAACAACTTCTAATAACTCAATTAATCTATGTCAATCTCTATTTCTTTATTAGAATGGGTCTATGGTCCTGAATTTGAAACCTCTTCTAATGGTATATTTGGATCGGAAACAGCTTGAGTAAATTTAAAAATAGACTTAGTCTTTTGAGCTTCAGAATTTTTTAATTTTATCATAAACAATACTCAGAATGATCGCCCAAATTCACATAATTGAACTCTTTCTATAATAATTTATCATTGCTAATTCCATTAAGTTAGCATTCATAATTTTTTATAATTAATAATCCTGTCATTCCTTAATGAAGATAAAATAAACAATTTAAAAGCACAATTTGTAAAATCAAATATTTAAATATATTTTTCAAAATGGTTGTAAATTGCTTAATGAAATAATTAAGTAACCCTAAACAGATTTCATTTATTTAATTTTCTTAAAACATTGAATTTTTCCTAATCCTAAAGCTCCTTTTAAAATTTTAATTTTGGAAACCACATGGAATAAACTCATCAATTTGCGCTTCTTCAATATTAAAATTATATATATATAGAATTATTCGCTTTAATTCTTAATTATTCTAAATAATTGTTTTAATAGAAATAGAAAATATTTATTCAATCATCCACTGTTTAAACCATAGTCTCTAAATTATTATTATGAACTTATAGAACACTTTGCTTAGGCTATTATTCTCTCATATTTGCATTTATTAATTATTAGGATTAAATCAGAACCTCCTTATTACCTGTTCCTATATGTCTACTGAGAAATTTGATTTATAAAAAAAGTATTGCAGAAAAACCTAGGATCAGATGTGATTTTATGGACATTCAAGATAATTGATATTCATTTTCTCTTTTTCAAGAGATTTAAAGGAAGATATTTTCAATTTTTTTAATTAAATTTATCGATAAATGAAAGACGCAGAAGATTTACAATATGAAAGCTAATATAATATTATTGCAAAGAATATTTGCGTGTGGTAATTATCTTCAATACTTAGTTATTAAATAGAGAGAAGGGTGAAAAAAATACAAATTTTTGGTGATTCTTTAGCCCTAGAAGCGCAAGTCCTTTTTACTTCTTTCCAGGAGATGTCTCAAACTAGTTTATTCAATAAAAACGAATCAAAATAGCTCTAATTGCTTTTTAAGGACGAAGAACATTTAGATAAATGTTTGGACAGATATTCAGAAGAAAGGATCCACGAATTTCTTTTAAATTAGTTGCCACTAGGAGAAGTTGTTTTAACTTGATGATTATCTCGTTTTTTCATTATATTTTAATAGACAAATATTATATTAATAACATCTAGAAATAAATCTTTAACAGTGAGTGCCTAATGCTTGATAAATATCATTTAAGCTTTTAGAGAATTAAAAAATTATAATATTTAATTAAATACTCTAAATTACTAATAACTACTTAGTTTTAAAGTCTATTATATTATTTTTAGTCGATAACCTCTATCCATGTTCTTAAAATGCTTAACATTACGAGTTTCCTATTAACATTTATAGTAGAATAAATAATTATATATTTTTGAGATTTTGATTTCTAATCCAAAGACCACCTGGAAATAGTCATCTTCTTAATATTTGCCAAAACATTTTCTCTTTCCTTTATTCGCTAGTAAGTTGTTAAATTATTTTAAATTATTTAAATTGCTTTAATCACAATCTGATCATCAAATTCAGTGATTAGATAAGAAGCAGAATCAGAATCAGAAAGTTCGATCTCACCTTTACTAATTTTTTTCTTATCGTTTGCATATTGTTCCCAACACTATTTTACTTTAATTATACCCTTTTTTATTGAGATTATTGTTCACGCTATGGTTTATGGTATTGAAGGATTCATTGGAAAAGTAGCAAAGTTTCTTCTTGAGAATCAGTTGAATAACTCATAAAATTTGTGGTTTATAATAATTGTATTTCTAAATTAAAAAATTTTACATAACCAAAAAGAACAATAAATATTAGATAGATTAATGAAAATTATAATAACTAAAATTATAAATACTCTTAAAAATAATAATGTATTTTATTAAATATGATCATTTTTGAGGTATTGGACTTAATTTAAAGCAGTTATTCTATAGTACAAATGTGACCTACTTATTATTTTTTGCTTTCTCATTTACATTTACTTCAAAATTCCTCAAAATATTAATAAGAATTATCTGGTAAATCATTGTGGCCAAACTTTACCCAACACAATATCTTGGTCCGTTTGAGAAAGGAATAAAAACATAATTATTGTTCTCTTTAGTCGTTTCTGATTATAGCCATCTCTAGTAGTTGAATTCTTTAGGATTATCATAGTATTTCTCATTTGAATTTGTTACTGAATAATCTATCATGACAATCCAATCTATAAATGTTTGATAATATAATTACTTCTTTTTAGTTTTAAATCTTTAATAAAGTGAGTGGTCTAAACCTTTCTAACAATAGGAATCGGATTAACAAATCTCAAAACTTCATTTAAGAAAGCACTCAATTTAACTAAGCTCTTCAATTCCTGAAATTAAATAATATCTGTTTTGCAAATGCTCTAAATTTCCTATCTTAATTCAGTTTAGATTAAGGGTTATTCGGTCAAATAGTGAAGACTTGCCTAGATTATTTAATTAGATGTCTCGCTGCCGATTTTAAACAACGTAAAATATTATTATTTTATTTCTTCAAACGACATTCTGTTGTTGTTCCCTTTTTTTCCTTAAAGATAAACTTAAATATATATATTAAGGATGTCCTCTGACATTTATGATATCTCATTTTCATCCTCATCCAACTTAAGTTCGTGCTAAACTATTCTTTTTTGAATAATTTTTTCTATTGTAAGCTTAATATTATTTATTTTTGTTTGAATGATTTATTCCTCTGAGTTAGGAAACATTTTTAATGCTTAGACTCCAAAAAGAATGTTTTTGCATAATTAATATGGTTTTCTACTCAATTTCGATAATGCTTCAAACAAATCAATGGTTTCTAACCCGATGCATTTTTTATTAATCAATAATTTATTCGCATCTTATCCAAAAAAGCATTAAATGAGAATATCACTTATTATTTTCAATAAAGTTGTCTGAATTTTATCATTCTATTAATCGTATTATTTAATATTTTTTTGAATAATCTCATTTATAGTAGGTAAATTCCTTTTAAGTTTTTCAAGATCAAAATATTAAATCAACAATTCACGTTATTATTTCCACTTTTGTCCTTATTGAAACATAATACCTTCATCCAATAATTGACTAAATAATAAAATTGTATTTACCTTGTGTTTAATTCATTAATTTAAGAATAGTTTTCGTGATTGTTTAGCATAAATTGATAATATTCAGGATCAATTATTAAGATTTAAACAGTTGAAGCATAATTATGCACAATAAACTTCACAGTTTTAGGTATTGATTTTTTCTTCATCTTCTCAATAATAGCTGTGCTACTCAATCCCAAAATTCCAAAAATTCCAAACGATATTTTACAAGTTGACCCAAATTATAATTTCAATTTTATCATAATGATCAAAGGCTTGATCAAAAACCAACAGATAAGCAATCCCAACAGTATTAGTAATATTTAGAATAACATTTAAATTTTTTTATTTAATAATAATTAATAAATTTTTCAGGTTAGAAATTCTCAAGAATCCATTTGTTCACTGTTTTTCCTCGTCATAATTAATTTGATTTAAAATTGATGACAGAAATTTGGTTTCCATTTCATCCAACATTATCCAGTTGTAAATGACAGATCAATAAAATTGAGATCTCATTCACAATAAGCAAGTTAAAGATATCCAAGTATTTTTACAATAATCTCTACTCTTTCAATTATTCTCAATTCATCCATTTTAGTTCTTTATGAAAGGCTTGAGAAAATCATACTAAAATTCTGGTCTTTTTAATTGGCAATAAATTTTAGGATTTTTGTAGATCATACTCACACAAATTACTATTATTTCTAAATAAATCCTATGATTTTAAATTCTTAAAAAAAACTACCATTATTATAACAATTTTTATTATACAAAATAATAACAAAGGCAATTAATAATACGCAAAGTCACTACTCTAACATATATAATCTATAATTTAAGATATCTACATAAGGTTTGGTGCATCATATCGAAATAATATAGATTGCCTATTTATTAAAGTACTCATTTAAANTTTTGTTTGAATGATTTATTCCTCTGAGTTAGGAAACATTTTTAATGCTTAGACTCCAAAAAGAATGTTTTTGCATAATTAATATGGTTTTCTACTCAATTTCGATAATGCTTCAAACAAATCAATGGTTTCTAACCCGATGCATTTTTTATTAATCAATAATTTATTCGCATCTTATCCAAAAAAGCATTAAATGAGAATATCACTTATTATTTTCAATAAAGTTGTCTGAATTTTATCATTCTATTAATCGTATTATTTAATATTTTTTTGAATAATCTCATTTATAGTAGGTAAATTCCTTTTAAGTTTTTCAAGATCAAAATATTAAATCAACAATTCACGTTATTATTTCCACTTTTGTCCTTATTGAAACATAATACCTTCATCCAATAATTGACTAAATAATAAAATTGTATTTACCTTGTGTTTAATTCATTAATTTAAGAATAGTTTTCGTGATTGTTTAGCATAAATTGATAATATTCAGGATCAATTATTAAGATTTAAACAGTTGAAGCATAATTATGCACAATAAACTTCACAGTTTTAGGTATTGATTTTTTCTTCATCTTCTCAATAATAGCTGTGCTACTCAATCCCAAAATTCCAAAAATTCCAAACGATATTTTACAAGTTGACCCAAATTATAATTTCAATTTTATCATAATGATCAAAGGCTTGATCAAAAACCAACAGATAAGCAATCCCAACAGTATTAGTAATATTTAGAATAACATTTAAATTTTTTTATTTAATAATAATTAATAAATTTTTCAGGTTAGAAATTCTCAAGAATCCATTTGTTCACTGTTTTTCCTCGTCATAATTAATTTGATTTAAAATTGATGACAGAAATTTGGTTTCCATTTCATCCAACATTATCCAGTTGTAAATGACAGATCAATAAAATTGAGATCTCATTCACAATAAGCAAGTTAAAGATATCCAAGTATTTTTACAATAATCTCTACTCTTTCAATTATTCTCAATTCATCCATTTTAGTTCTTTATGAAAGGCTTGAGAAAATCATACTAAAATTCTGGTCTTTTTAATTGGCAATAAATTTTAGGATTTTTGTAGATCATACTCACACAAATTACTATTATTTCTAAATAAATCCTATGATTTTAAATTCTTAAAAAAAACTACCATTATTATAACAATTTTTATTATACAAAATAATAACAAAGGCAATTAATAATACGCAAAGTCACTACTCTAACATATATAATCTATAATTTAAGATATCTACATAAGGTTTGGTGCATCATATCGAAATAATATAGATTGCCTATTTATTAAAGTACTCATTTAAATAAATATTCAATATTAGTAATAAGTGAAATATCTATCTTAAAACATAAGGTTGTTTAATGTTCTTTCTATATGAGTATCAAACGCTACAGATATTAAGTATAGTAGCATTTTAAAATCATGATAAATTAACAATTCTTAAGAAATAAAAGATATAACCATTGATTTAATATTGGGTAAAATCAATTATTTTTGCTGTTTCTATTCTAATGTAAATAATAGATTATTAATTTAATCTATCTGTTAAATATCTTATATAAATGTTGATTGAAAATATAATATCATATATGTTAAGCTTAAGAAATGTTTTACTAAACCTGTTCTAGATTATAATGAGAATGGATCAAGAAATAAAATATAAATAAAAATTCTTAAACCTACTATTCTTTGAAGTTGTACAATTTATAATACTAAAATCTATAATAAATAAATCATAAAATTTTCCTCTAAATGATTTTGATTTTATTACTTCATTTAGCTTAGGGATATATAACTTATAACCAGGGTACATTTAGATCCTTTAATGTTGCAAACAAAGGATTTATCTGCTTTAGAGATTATGAAAGGACCTAAACTGTAAGATTTTCGGATTCATTTAACAGAATTCCAAAAGTAATACTCATTCCTGAATTATTTGATATTCCGACATCTACAATTGATTACTAATTAGAAATTATGGCTATTACAGAAAGGAGTAATTTGAACATTTTTATTAGACTTTAATCTTAGAATTAAATGTACGGTAGGATAAGTGAATGGAATTCATTATCGGTGGCTTGCAATTGATGATACTAGAATATAGGTTTTTAGCTAGTTCAATATAAAAGACTTTCAGGATATAAGTTTTGATCTTGAGAATCCTAATACTCAATAATATTTTATCTCACTAATATCTATATCATCTACAGGAGCAGCTGATGTTGAAGTCAAAGTAATATTCATAAGATAATTAGGTTACTGAAATTACAGAAAACAAGGTCACAGTTAAAATCACTGATAGAGCGGGAACACTCATAAGTTTAGGATATCAGGTTATTCTTGGAATAGACAATATGTTGGAATAATAAAATATGCAATAATCAAATATAAACGGTGCATTTGTTGGCTCAAAATTACCTTTAAGTTATGAATAGTGGTTCATTGTACCATATTCACGAATTGCGTATGACCAAATAAATCTTCTGAGGTATAGAACAATCTTTCATAAGGATTCGAACTCCTAATGGTATGAAATGACAGCAAGTAGATTTTATTATAAAATTAGTCGGGTGTTGTTGCAATATAGAATAAAGCCATTTACCTATTAGTATAGATTATCAATCTACTTACTTTTTTACACAATACAAATTTGGCCAGGTTTAAGTTAAATCTTTAGTAGATAGCTAAACTAATTATATAAATTCTTTTAAAGCCTAATTGCAAGGGAATAATAATGAAATTACTGCTCTAGGAGAATCATATTACAATATTCACAAAAACAATAAATCGTCCTTTCTAAATATTTATGTGAAATGCAGTTTAAATGAAGTTCTCTCATTAGAGTTCTAGCATGGTTCTGGCTTAAATGTTAATTCTAAGCATCTTCAACACAAGTGCAATGGAATATTCAAAGAGATTATATATACTGTAGAGCTTGTACAAACATTGAGTGCCTATCAAAAAATATTAGTCAACATAGCAGATGATAAATGTGAGATTTCTTAAGTACTTTCCAATTAAGTAGTACAAATAGTAAAATTATTTGAAATTAAGAAAACAATAATTTGATTAATAATAAATTCTTCTTTATTTTAACCTTCTATTTCATAGTCATATCCAATATTTAATTTGTTAATAGATACGTGTACAAATAAGTATAATAGAAATAAAGTAAATTTGCATTTAATCGTATATATCATTCGCATATTACCTTTCTTTATAATATAATTATCATTATTCAATTTTACAAACTCCTGCAACTTTACATTTTACAAGATAAATATTGTATACAGGTTTTTGATTTCAAGATTTTTGTAATGTCTTTACTACAATTATTTACCATTATTATTTTCACTATTAAACTAAATTCAAAGTATCTTACAAATTATATATTACTTATTAGATTTGGAGATAAAATTTTTCATTTAAATGTATTTATTTTTAAGAACAGCTTCAATCGTTAAATACAATTTAATAATGATTTTTGGAATTCGGTTATCAATGTGATATTTAATGAATAAAATTATATTTCAGATTTAATTCATAAATTATAAGATCAATAATTAATTGAAATGCTTTCCTTATTTTCATTAAAGAAGGAAGCCCTTAAATCCTCAAATTTGAGTTTGGAATTAAATATATTTACTTCATTATCGTAACACTCTAAGAATATAAAATTGAATTAATAATTATACTTAGATTAAATAATGTTTATTATAAAAATATGGCAACGTTGCTCAGATATCATTTAATTCAATTTCAATTTCTCATTATTCTATCAATATGACCACCTTTTGTAATTAGCGAATTTGATTAATAAGGTTTCATTATACAATATTTATTTTACAGCCTTCTAAATTAGTATAGTGAGTTGTTATTTAGATTTTCAATTTGAAAGAACCTAATAGTTACATCACTAGCCTCAATTATGTACAAACAATAAGGAATCATTCAGCTTACTCTTCGTTAAAAACTGCATTATTCATCTATTCTACAAATACTTTTAGCCAATTCTATTACGTTAAACTTTTAATTCTCAAACCATGTACTTTATCAATCTTAATGTTTTTTAAATAATTCTTTGACTTCTTTAATTTGGATCTTGATTCTAATTCATGTAGACATTATTTTGGATTTCAAGGATATTTTTCATTAGTATTAGAAATTAAAATTTGTAATTCTATTACAATCAATAAATAAATTAAAATTGGATGGTAAAATGAAATATTATTTCAATGCAGAAGCCAATCAAATTTAAGTAGTGAACATAAAGTTATTTACAAATACATAAATAAATAACATATATTGGGAATATTTTGTTGTTTCAATTATAAAATAATTCATAAACTGAAAATTAGGTAAAAAAAGGGTCCCAAATGACTAAATATTTGCCATCCTAAGTTGAATTACCAAATACAGCACTACTGGAGCACGAGATAGTACTAGAATCAACTTGATATTATTAAGTGTCATCATCAAAACGAATAAAATAGATTTTCTTGTTGATCTTTTGAATTATGACTTTGTTTTCTCTATTATATATTGTTGGGAATAAGAACTAAAAATTTTCAGCGCAAGTTTCTGATTCTGGAAATTGGATTGATTATTTGAAAACATACATGCCATTTAATAATTAAAAGAAATGAACATATGGCTGATTGCTTTATTACCAAACAATAACAGTATCTGTAATATAAGAAACTCTACATCCAACATCAGAGTATGAATGATCTATCAATTAGTTAAAACTCCATTTCTTATTAGCATCTTTTTTCCAGACGACAATCTTTTAATCTTACCCTGTCGACACAAACTCGGTATCCGATTGATTGATGGAGAGACTAAGGATAATTTTTTCGTGTCTTTTTAATTAATAATCAAATTAGATAGATTTTTAAGTAAGGCTTACTTTCCAAATAAAAATAAAGAGATCCTAACTGCATGATATTAATTAATCCTCTTAATTATTTAAAATTACACAAGTAACAAGACCGCTGTGGGATGTTTTGCATGCCTACGATATCCATTTATTATTTTAATTGTAATATAGCTTAATAGATGAATCAAAGCTACCTGATATAAAAAAATCAGCCTTTTAGCTGAAAACTAAACAAGTTGCATAATCTATTTCACTATCTCCTTTAATCTTTTGAATACACTCTATTTTCTTTCCATCCTGAAATTTCCATATCTTGATCTCATCCTGTGCACCACTAACCATGATAGTACTTTATCGATTAAATGCTATGCTATAACAAATTTCTCTTTAATCAAATTAATTAATTATTTTGTATTATTCTTTACTAGTTTCCTTTGTCTATATCTATTTTAAATTAATATTAAAATCATTCAACAACAAATCTATTGTATTGTCTTTAATTTCTTTCTTCATAGAATCAAAGGCGTGTATTATTTTTTGTATATAAGAGGCATTATTTTGTTGAATTAATTCCTTTTTCTTATGAATTTCAAAATTGCTTATTTTTCTCTCCATTTCTTTTAACCATTCTCCACCATAATGTAGGGCTTCATCCAATTTTCGCATTAATATTGTCTTTAGTTTTTGCAATTCAATGTTTAGTCGTTCAGACCATTCCATAGTATATACGATAGCATCATATGTTTCTTAATCCTAATTTATCTATTGATTAATGTCAATATTATTTTGTAACAAATTAATAGCATTGCGACCTTAATTAAAGTTGTCCTTCTCTCTTTACTTCTCTCTTTATAACGAAGGATTATGTTTTTAGTCTAAATTTTAGTAGTTAATATAATTCATTTTATTGATTAATAAATTATTAATTTTTATAATCAGCAAAACCTTTAAATAGGCATATTAATATAATTAAATCCTAAAAAATTATTGAAATTTAAAGTTCAATACATTTTGATAATAATTGAAAAAGGATTGTACAAAAAGACTAATCCTTTGTTGAATTATTGCTATAATGTATTAGTATTATTTATATCTTTGTAACATTCATAGTTATAATAAAAATTTATTATATTATATACATGTAACATTAATTATAAATACATAATTTCAACAGTATTGATACTATTATTCATAAAATAAAAAAAAAAATAAAAGAATCATAAAACCAATTTAGCTTACAATCTTAAATAATTGAATTAAGTTCATTTGATTGTTAATCTTTTCTGATTCTCTCACCTCTCATAATTAAATAGGGAAATGAGTTTGCCATTAATGATGCTGACTTAATGTTAGATTTAAAAAATGCTCTTGATAAAACCTATTTCTCTTAAATACAATTTAAGAGTAATAATATAATTTATAAGCCCTCTAAATAGATTTATAATTCCAATTTTGAATACAACTATTGATTTGTCATCAAATTTGGTTCTGTAAAATTAAGTTTTCCATCTAGTATTTGAATGTTTTTGTTGGTTAATTCTAATTTTAATTAATCTAAATTAGGCTTTTGATATTTTATCCTATTAATTGTTTTTGATCTTTTCTATACTCATCAACAAATCTATCGACTTTGAAAACATCAACAATTTATAATATATATTGAATCTACTGTCATAAGATCCTCTTTTTCAAGCTTAGTCAGAAATAAAGGTATTAAAGTATTAAAGCGCTTAGAACAACAAAAATGAAGCAGGAAGAGACTATAAAAAATAACAAACAATATCAAAATATAATGATAATCATTCCAAATCAGGAGGCAGAATAAAATGCTAGTTAATAAATAAGAACACATCCTAACTATAAGATGTAAATCATCACCTATATAAAAATTTATTTCTTTGTTGTTTGGGTCTAGTAAGAGCACTTGAGAAAAATCTTGAAGTGATTCCTTATATTATTTCAGTATGAAATATGCTTTTCCTAATGATAAGTTATTAATATTCACCTCTTTATTAATATGCTTCTACCATTTTTGGAGATAGTTAAATTGCACCTGTGAAAGACTCAACAGCTTTCTAAATATTTTGTACTAATGACATAAATTTAATATTAACAATTGGGGTTTTGTGGCAAATCAAAAAGGCACAAGCTAAATATAAAATTTTCTAATTATTAATTCTTTATATTCACTTGCTGATTTTATTGATGGGTCAAGACTCAATGCAGTTTCTTAATCTTTTTAAGCTTCATCAAATTTTTCTTACAATTTATAAATAATTCCTTGCTATTAATTTCTAATAAAAAACCTCTATTTTTGTATGCCTTTGCATAATTTGGGTCAATTAAAATAGTCTTTGAGTAATCCTAGATAGCCTTATCAAACTGATTCAAAAAATAAAAAATATTTCCTTATTATATTATCTGAATTCTCACCTCTATTGTAGTATAAAATCGCTTATGATGGGTTTATCTCTATTGCCTTATTATAATTTTCTAAAGCTTCAAGTGGTTTATTCATTTCAAATAACGCAAATCCTATTGATAAGATATCAATTTTACCCCTGTTGTTATAAGCCCTAATATTGTTTGGTAAGTGCATTATGGCTAAGGTGAAGTGTTGGCATGGTGTCTCATATGGGCTCTTTTCAGAGATTGCTTCTAATGAATAAGAATAATATTTTCAACCGAGTTGTGGAAGTGGAAGGGTTACACTTGGGTCAAGCTTCATTGCTTGCATGAAATCTGACAAAGCATCCTCCTTTTTATTCTACAATTGATAAATCTCACCTTATTATGATATTGTTAGAATTACCTCTGTGTTAATATGCCATAGCATATTCTGGATTAATCTTAATCACAGTTGAGAAATCTTAAACAGCCTTATCATAATTTTCTTACTTATAATAGGCAATAGCTATTTCATAATCATGAATATGCACCTCGATTGTAATATGATATGTAGTATTATTTATCAATAGTTACTGCTTTTGTGTACTCCTCAATGGCCTTATCATAATTAGACAACTTATCATATGCCAATCCTATATAATATACATAATTCTCACCTCTATTGTTATATGCAAGAATAAATTTTGGATCAATTTTAAGAGCTTTTGTGAACTCCTCAATAGCTTACTCATGTAAACCCAAAATATCTAAAACAAATCCTATTGATAAATAGAGATCTACACCTTTGCCATTAATTGCATCAACATTTTTAGGTTCTATGTTTATTGCTTCTTCATAGGCCTCTAATGCTTCTTCAAATCTTCCAAATTTTTATAAAGAGTTCCCTAAGGTATATCGAATAACATACCTTTCCAGTAATATGCATTGGCCTTTTCTTTTAATAGTTAGCTTTCTGACTTTCCATCTTTATTCATTGTATCTTTTTATTTTTTATTATTTATTATAATTGCCCTCTTAATATTAATGAATATGAATACATAATGAATATGAATACATAATTTATTATAACACAAATTCACATCAATAAAAATCTGTTTTAATTACTCATACAATCCTACTTATTAATCAAAAATTTTAATCCTAATTTAAGTTGAATATGTTATTTCAAATTGAAATAGTTGATAATTTTTTAGATTAATAAAGGACGTAGAACAAGGACTACTTTAAATTATAATTAATTTATTTGTTTAAATATAATTTATTGTCAAAACCAAAAAGCTACAATGATATTATAATATTTAAGAATAATAGTGTATAATATATAGTTCTTTAAAATCAAAATCGTTCCTTATAGCAGTTAATAACTTGTATTAGTATCAAGCTAAATTAATTATTTTGAATATATGAAACCCCATTATAGTTCTTAATTATTTTCTAACGTTGTAATCATTAAAACTATAGATATTCTAAATTATTGCGTTAAAGCCTATGGATCAATTATTATAAAGTGTTTGAACTAAGCCCTATTAAATCAACAATTGGAAAAAATTAAGAAATCCACAGCTATTTTTTAATTTGTCATAAATTTAGATTAAGTAAGTAAAACTTATAAGGTTTAAGATAAGTAAATTCATTAGAATGCAGAAAATGGCTATAATTATATGTTTGAAAAGATCAAATTAAAAAATATTTTCTAGAATTGTATAATAAAAATTATATGATATTCATAATTCATCAGCTGAATCATCTTATTCATATATTTTACTACCTTGATAAGCTAAGTATACTAAATACGACGTTACTAATACAATTATAATGATTCCAAACAAAATGTAAAATGATGTACTTTCAAATATATGCATTTTTTGAAATTTTAATATAACATAAGCTGAATTAGAGTTGTAGTAATTATAAGCTTATAAATGTATTGGTGTATCTCTTTTTATAACTTACATTAAATCAATTTTTAGAGAGAATACATTCAATTAGAATTCTAAAGTACTACCATTATTCAAAATAATTAATATCTTTCCAAATGAATTATTTTTTGCAATAAATGAGAAGGCATTAACCAAAGTTTAATTAAGTGTAAAAAGATATCCACCTATAAATAGGAGGGGAGTTTAAAAACTAATATTCTCAACATAAAAATTTTCATAATAAGAAATATTATAAAGAGTAATCATATGTGTTTAATTGGATTTGTCGGATACGTTTGAATACATAAATAATAACAAACCTGAATCATATTGTGGCAACTATGATACATTAAAATTATGTTTATCATTTGGTGGAGATGTTTAAATAATACTTTGATAGATCAGTTGACTATTTGTGATGTTTTGTTTATTAATTACCAAAAGGAATGAAACGATTAAATTAAAATTAGAATTTGATATCATTAAAGTAATTTCTTTGTTTTTTCTAAAATCATTGGTATAGTGTCAAATGAAAAAAGTTGATAGGTAATGCTTTCTAAAAGGATAGAGTTTTCAACTCCATGTGTAAATGTTGACTGATTATCTATCTTTGCAAATTTGTAATATAATTAATCTTTATGAATTGCTTTAAAATACATATAAATTATTATTAAGCTATTGCCTATCTAAATTTAGAGGGTCTAGAATCCAAATTAAGTACTTATGCATATGAATTGACCCAGCTATTATTAACTTTAATTAATAAAATACGTATGAACTCCATTATTAAGATTTTCATTGTTTCAAATATAAAGCTGATTATTTGATATTCTTAACCAAGTATTTTGGCTAAAACTTTAATTTGGTAATTTTCCCTATACAGAAATGTCTTATTTTTAAAGTTTATATATAGATAGTTATTTATTATTATTAATGAGTTGTTTGACTATTAAATTTGGTTGCTATCATAAAGGTACGAGGAAAAAGTGAAATTAAAAATTTGTTCTGTTAGGAAATTTTAATGTAAAGAGTTATTAAAAAAACTTTGTAGTAAAATAGGTGAAAGTAAAAAGAAGCTGTGATTAAAAAAAGAAAAACCATGCTGTCAATAGCTATGCTTGTAAAGTAAAGACCATCATATGGAATTCTATAGTAAAGGGTTGAATGTCCAGGTAAATTTGGATTGGATACATTCAAAGTTAAGTTATTTGACACATAAAAAAATTAAATGTCAGAATAATAGGAAATAGATTGTTTATCTAATCCAAAATTTATGGATCTCATTTATTTTAAGTATTGAGGATTTGTCAAATTCTTTACGTTCCAAACTTCAAAATAAATAACTTCTTAATATTAAGGAATCCATGACAATATTAAGAGATTTTTTACTACCAACAGATTTTCTATTTCAAAAATAACATTCTAGATTGATATTAAAACAAATTAAAGATGTTCTGTTATGTAACCTATTATAAAATTATTATTGTTGTTAATGTATAGGACTCTAGATTAGTATTACTAGTTTATAAATATGTTTATTAAATTAAAAGGAATCTATAAACTTGAAGTCTCCTCAAAAATCTTTGAATTTAATAATACTTAACTTTTATTATCAAATGTAATTATTGCGATTGAATTTGTATTTTGTAACAACACTACCGAATCAGATAACAATTAAAACTATGTAAATGGTTCTGTGGTTAAGGTGATATTGTTAGTCAAATATAACGTAGCATTATATTAGTAAATTTATATTATACTTTAACCAAAACTGAGACAAATTATGAAGAACAGCTATTAATTTAGCACTGCGAAAGTTATTTCAATTTAAGTGACATTAATCTTCATATATGTAATGTTAATGGTGCTAACTATTGATTTACTTCCTTCTTCATAAATTTTTATATTTTAATTACTTACAGCAACCATAAATATGCAACTAAAAATTCTGCTTTTGCATTCTTAGAACAAAGCAATAGAGAAAGCTTTCACTATATAATACTCATTTGATTATATTGATTAATTGACTTTTTATAAGGTATTATCCTAAAAAAACCCTAATTCTGGCGTGCTAACCCAAGATATTGCTTAAAAAAGTGGACCTGACACACATTCGATTTAATAAACAAAAGAAAATTATAATAAATTATAATATTTCATTTATGGGGAGTGGAATATAAAATAAGTGTTGTTATCTGATTAAGAAACTTAAAGAAAATGTATATTAACCTTGCATAGATGTATTTGGTAATAATCGTCTATTTCAAAAGCATGAATAGAAAAATTGCCTTAACTTTCATTTGATGCAAAACTTAAAAAAGGTACCTAAAGTGTATAGATTTAAGTAATTCTACTAAAAATGAATAATTCTTCCTTTGATTGATCAAAATATATCACAGTATTATTATCAGATACATATTTTTTTCTGAATAAAATTTGATTAAATTCTTAGTTTTTCAAAATGCTAATTGTATAGTTCTTATAAAGGATAATAAAATTTTAATTCACAAATATCTAAGCTTCTCGATCTATTGCTTTTCGTTATTATTTAGACTCCAAAATCTATACATTAGATGTATCACTATAAAAGACATTAACAAAATACATATAATCGAAATCATCAGCTAAAACTATTAAAAAGAGTCTATCAAATTAATAATATTCATCTTAGGAATAATAGTAAGCCATGTTAATAATTTCATGAACGAATGATATATTATTTGTTTAGAAAAGAGTTCCATTTTCTTATATAACATAAGTGATGATATCTCCATAATATTATATAAATATTGTTTAGTTTATAGTCTCTCTATTTGAAACAAAAAAAATCATACGCATAATCTTTTAAATTGTCTTTTGCAATAAAATAAAAGCGCCTTCTTTATTCTTATAAAATTGTCAAATTTAATATGGTCTAATTTTTATTAGTAGGATTGAATTGAGTAAAAGACTAGCCATATATGATGTACGTTAAATTATTTTTGACCATAGAGCTGATTTTAGTTTAATTAGGAGTATAACTGTTGGCGAAGTAAATCTCTCTGAGTTATGTATCTTACAAAGAGAATAGAAACAATGTTTGATTTAGGTAACAGTCTAAAATAATATTTAGTAGTTCTGAGTATGTAAGAATAAAGCATTCATAGTTTTGATCTATTGGAATTACGATAGCATTATGTATAACTTCTTCTATTTCTTTCTAATATATGTTTATAGAATGTTCTGTAGTTAAAGCATAGATTTTTTCTTCATGAAAAGTAACAGATTTAAATGAATATTCTATCTTTAAACGATAACTTACTATTAAAGAATTATCTTTAGTTTTTGAAAATTTTCTATACACTGACTCCTTATTGACACTTTTCACATTCATAAGTAAGATTACTTCCTTAAATTAACGAATTCATTGTTATTTATATTTCATTTTAAACAAGGCAGGCTTTAACAAAGATGATGTTTATACAAAAATCATATTTACAAATATTTAATCATAATCTTAATATAACTTGAGGTTTATATTTTGTACTAATTTTCAGATATCAATATATTTAATGATTTAAATCATAATTTGTGTGGAATTAAGAAGGTAGTATAGAGGAGCAATGAAAAAATAAAAGATTTCGATGAAATGATGATAATTCATATTATTTAATAGTAACTGATTTCTGATTTTTTATCAGGATTAAGCTTTCTGAATATGATTATGGATTGTCCATTTATTATCTTAAGATAATCCAATTTTTTTGAATAATTAAACAAAATTAAAAATACAGTACTCTCAATATTTTACCAAGTATTTTATTTACTTTTAGCAATGCTTTAATATTTTCATTTAGAACAAAGACTATAATTAAGGAAAATTATTAATAAATTATTTAGCCTGATTGATTCCCCTTCTTTGATAGCTGCACATTCAATTATATCACTTTAATAGGTATATTTATCAATGGACGTATACCAATATCATTACCATTTTTAATTCTGAAAGTATCATCATTTTGAGATTATAAAATTAGATAAAATTAATTTAATTTACGAAATATTGCGAATGAAATTCTCAACCGTTTCAGATTGATCATTAGTTTAACTAATATTGAATTTTTCACTTTGATAACTTAGAATAAAAAGTGCTCTTTATAGTAGAATTTTATTATTGTATCATTCAAATACATGATCAGTTTAAATTAGGGCAGGGTATTGAGTAATTTTAGAAAATCATCAAATCTTCTGGTAATTTATTAGGAAAAACCAAATAGAACTAAATAACAGAGTACGAGATGAAGATTAGGACAATAATTAATTGATTAAACTAAAAATCATCAAATATACCAAACAAAATCATATAATTTGAAATCCCTGTTTAATCTCAATTTATAAATAGCATGATAAATCAATATATTAAAATAATAATATTAAGAATTTAATCTTCTTAAATCTTTCAAATTAAGTATTTACCTCACCATTCATACCTGATACTATCTTATCTGAATCTCCTTTGACGTCTCATCCCAAGTAATTAAATACTCTCCATCATTACTTACTTATCCAAAAATATTATATTTTTTAAATTCTATAGATTACTCAACAACAAAGTCATCATTATCCGACTTTTTCATTACAATAATATTCCTTCCATTCTTATTTAATAATAAACCTTTAGAATCAATGTATTATTATTGAAATTAACAATCCTCTTTTGAACCACAATTTACAACAATTTCCTTTGTCTTCCTATACTATTGGGAATTACAATCCATTTCATACACATGCATAAACTCTTTACAATAAGGTTAGAATGTAAATATATTATCATTTATAAAACATAATCTATTCCCGTATTAATCTACCTTTATCTTTTATAAAACATTCCATTTTTTATCCAACTTTCTCTATTCTATTACTAATATTAATGAATCAATTGAACAGGAAATCAATTTATTTTATGTTTGATTTAAACTTAATGAATAGACATTATTAGTATGTTAAGTTATTGTTTATGAGCAAGACCATTTTATCTATTTCGTCCAAAATTTGATTGAATTATCACCACTTGATATAATTAGATCTTCATCATTATTCAACAATAAATAAAAAACCCAACCTGAATGTTCCTTTAATTTTTATTTACATTCCCATTATTTATATCCATTTATCTACCATATTATGATTATATCGTAGCCTCCAGAAACTAAATTATTTGAATTTTTCATAAAACTTAAAGTAAATAAGGTATTTGTATGCTCGCCTAACAATTATAGAAATTTCAGCTACCCTTAAATATGCGAGAACATTTTAATTTTCCTATGAAATCCAGCTGCCACTATTGAATTATCATTATTAAAAGCAATTACTCGACACCATTCTTCCTCTTTAATTGAATTTTATTACATTAGTTAAAATGTGAATTGGTTTTGATTAGAATTTAATATGCATTCATACTTTGGCTATTCCAAAATAGTTATGTCTAGAGGACTTTCTAAAATTTCAGTTTACTTCAAATAAGAAAAGGTTTTTATTATTTATAGTATTTCTTTAACAAGAGATTACATTTATTCTATTTATTATTGAAGTTAATTGAATAATGATTCCTCGCAATCTTCCATTTAACATAAGCTTTTTATTAATATATCAAGTTCAGATAGTCCTAACTCTTCTAATTATTAAATATTTAAGTGCAAATAAGGAAGAAATTAATTTACAAGGTTGTCAAGGCTAAATTTACAATCTTAAACACACTTTTCAACATCTTGAATAATTAGTACCCTCTGCTATATCCATCCACATAAAAGTTCCAAAGATGTTAACTTATTAAGATGTTTACTATGACAAGGTAAGCAAAAATTACAATAAGGCCTCAAATCTGGACATTTCCTATTGATACAAAATCCCATTATTTGTTGATTTTGATGATTAGCCTAAGTACATCTAATATTCATTTATTTTTCTATTACAATTAATATATCAAGAATAATTATGATCATATTAGACTTCCGAGTTATTATTATATCTTTGATAGAATAGCTAATAATAAAACCTTCATCCTATTTGAAAAATGGTTTATTATATTTTTAATTTGCAATAACATTCTTAAATAACAATATGAATTAATCTTTAATTTAATATAAAATCTAAAAGTACATCAATTTTCTTATTAACTCTACTCTTATGGTTATTGTTGAAATTATTCTTCTTGATGATTTTGTTCAAAAACAGGTTATTCAATATTATTTTCAAATTAATCTATATTTATATCTTTGTGAATTTAATCATCAGAAATTTAATTAATTTTTTGTTATTCAACTTATTTATTCTCTTCATTTTCTGTTATTTCTGCAAACTATTCTTTAATTTCTAAATTTTATAATAATATTTCTTTCTTTTCTGTTTCAGTCTATACTTATTGTGGTTACACTTAATCCACTAATATTATTTCAGACTATTATGATATTTATGAATTGATATTATTTACTCCAATTTACTAGAATTCATCATCTAACTCCTTTTTCTTTTTTAATACTTTCTGCTCATCAAATATTAATCTATCATAACATAACTACCCCATGATATAATCACCTTTTCTTGATTTGTATTTGATGATGTCTAAAGGCAAATCTCTAACAATAAATTTAGATAATACTTGCAATCTTATTCAGATAACTCTTTTTTTTCTTAGCTAACAGTTTAAACAGGGTTGTATTTATTGGGAATTAAATTTGTAGCTTTATTTTATTCTTATTTTTATTTATTTTACTAACTTAACCAAGCGAAGAAAAAGAAAACAACAAGGGAAATGTAGGTTTGTGTTTGTTCGTTTTGCTCTTAAGAATTATTTTTCTAATAATTTTGTTTAGAATAATTATGCTCTTAATTCTATTTATTATGTTCTTTCTCATTATATTCCTCCTAATTCTATTGATAATTATTATTTTCTCTCTAATTTGAATTTTTTATCTTTTAATCATACATGCGTCTTTCAGATTCATTAGATAATATAGTGTATGCCGCTGTAACTTCTTTGAAATATTCCTAATGTAGTAGTGAAAAATAACTTAATTTTTGGATTATTGGGAATTTGTATCAGGGTGATAGATCTTCACAATCTTGAGATAGTTTGACTTTATTTGTGCTTAGCTTGCATTTTCAGGTACNTTACAATCTTAAACACACTTTTCAACATCTTGAATAATTAGTACCCTCTGCTATATCCATCCACATAAAAGTTCCAAAGATGTTAACTTATTAAGATGTTTACTATGACAAGGTAAGCAAAAATTACAATAAGGCCTCAAATCTGGACATTTCCTATTGATACAAAATCCCATTATTTGTTGATTTTGATGATTAGCCTAAGTACATCTAATATTCATTTATTTTTCTATTACAATTAATATATCAAGAATAATTATGATCATATTAGACTTCCGAGTTATTATTATATCTTTGATAGAATAGCTAATAATAAAACCTTCATCCTATTTGAAAAATGGTTTATTATATTTTTAATTTGCAATAACATTCTTAAATAACAATATGAATTAATCTTTAATTTAATATAAAATCTAAAAGTACATCAATTTTCTTATTAACTCTACTCTTATGGTTATTGTTGAAATTATTCTTCTTGATGATTTTGTTCAAAAACAGGTTATTCAATATTATTTTCAAATTAATCTATATTTATATCTTTGTGAATTTAATCATCAGAAATTTAATTAATTTTTTGTTATTCAACTTATTTATTCTCTTCATTTTCTGTTATTTCTGCAAACTATTCTTTAATTTCTAAATTTTATAATAATATTTCTTTCTTTTCTGTTTCAGTCTATACTTATTGTGGTTACACTTAATCCACTAATATTATTTCAGACTATTATGATATTTATGAATTGATATTATTTACTCCAATTTACTAGAATTCATCATCTAACTCCTTTTTCTTTTTTAATACTTTCTGCTCATCAAATATTAATCTATCATAACATAACTACCCCATGATATAATCACCTTTTCTTGATTTGTATTTGATGATGTCTAAAGGCAAATCTCTAACAATAAATTTAGATAATACTTGCAATCTTATTCAGATAACTCTTTTTTTTCTTAGCTAACAGTTTAAACAGGGTTGTATTTATTGGGAATTAAATTTGTAGCTTTATTTTATTCTTATTTTTATTTATTTTACTAACTTAACCAAGCGAAGAAAAAGAAAACAACAAGGGAAATGTAGGTTTGTGTTTGTTCGTTTTGCTCTTAAGAATTATTTTTCTAATAATTTTGTTTAGAATAATTATGCTCTTAATTCTATTTATTATGTTCTTTCTCATTATATTCCTCCTAATTCTATTGATAATTATTATTTTCTCTCTAATTTGAATTTTTTATCTTTTAATCATACATGCGTCTTTCAGATTCATTAGATAATATAGTGTATGCCGCTGTAACTTCTTTGAAATATTCCTAATGTAGTAGTGAAAAATAACTTAATTTTTGGATTATTGGGAATTTGTATCAGGGTGATAGATCTTCACAATCTTGAGATAGTTTGACTTTATTTGTGCTTAGCTTGCATTTTCAGGTACATCAAGTATTTAATAGAGTGTCCTAAATTAAAACTGTAGTCTAATTGAAAATTTTAACATAAATAAATTCTTGGTAATAATTCAATATAATTGTAAAGTTCTATAACATTTTAAAAATATATCAAAACAAATTCAACTAAATAATCTAAGTAATCAGCGTAAAAAATATTATAAGAAATAATTAATTAATATCTACTACTTGTGTATTTATTAATTAAAATGTATCCAATATTATAAACTACTTCATTTAAGATGCACTTTATTGATCATTTAACGGAACTAGGCTATTCTACACAATTAAGATTATTAAGTTTGTAGGAAAAAGTCAAAAAAAACCAATCTTATTAATTTCTAAAAGACAGCATCTAAATTAAGTATCAAATTTAAAATAATTCAAAGTTTGCATAGCAAACTTTCATAAACGATTTATTATAATTAATTATTTATGAATTTTAGGATTCATTTAGAATTATTTTTAAAAAGCAATAAGTATTTAACAATGGATAAAACAACCAGATAAAATTACATTAGTATTTTCGAACATTATTGTAGATTAATTTATTACTTCCATATAAATAATAAAGACTCATTCTTCAGAAACTGCTCTATAAAATGGAAGATCTAATCTAAATGAATTTTAGAATTGAATATGGCAATAATGATAAAATAAAGAAAAATCTATCAAAAGCTAATGTGATTATTATTAATAAAAATTTTCTTATTAATCTGTCTGCAGTAAGATATACACATTAAATTAAATATTTTCTTGATAAAAATAGGATATACTTAGAACATATTATTATCCTGCATTTAAAAAACCATTTCAAATCTTAATTATTAAAGTATTTTTATTTTTGCTTTTTGATTTCTTGCTCTCTACACAAAATCAATTACAAAAATTTATGAAATAGATTTGAAATTTATCAAGTATCGACAATAATTTCAGATATTTTATCTAAAAATTTATGTGTGACATAAATATTAATATTTCATTTNAACTTAACCAAGCGAAGAAAAAGAAAACAACAAGGGAAATGTAGGTTTGTGTTTGTTCGTTTTGCTCTTAAGAATTATTTTTCTAATAATTTTGTTTAGAATAATTATGCTCTTAATTCTATTTATTATGTTCTTTCTCATTATATTCCTCCTAATTCTATTGATAATTATTATTTTCTCTCTAATTTGAATTTTTTATCTTTTAATCATACATGCGTCTTTCAGATTCATTAGATAATATAGTGTATGCCGCTGTAACTTCTTTGAAATATTCCTAATGTAGTAGTGAAAAATAACTTAATTTTTGGATTATTGGGAATTTGTATCAGGGTGATAGATCTTCACAATCTTGAGATAGTTTGACTTTATTTGTGCTTAGCTTGCATTTTCAGGTACATCAAGTATTTAATAGAGTGTCCTAAATTAAAACTGTAGTCTAATTGAAAATTTTAACATAAATAAATTCTTGGTAATAATTCAATATAATTGTAAAGTTCTATAACATTTTAAAAATATATCAAAACAAATTCAACTAAATAATCTAAGTAATCAGCGTAAAAAATATTATAAGAAATAATTAATTAATATCTACTACTTGTGTATTTATTAATTAAAATGTATCCAATATTATAAACTACTTCATTTAAGATGCACTTTATTGATCATTTAACGGAACTAGGCTATTCTACACAATTAAGATTATTAAGTTTGTAGGAAAAAGTCAAAAAAAACCAATCTTATTAATTTCTAAAAGACAGCATCTAAATTAAGTATCAAATTTAAAATAATTCAAAGTTTGCATAGCAAACTTTCATAAACGATTTATTATAATTAATTATTTATGAATTTTAGGATTCATTTAGAATTATTTTTAAAAAGCAATAAGTATTTAACAATGGATAAAACAACCAGATAAAATTACATTAGTATTTTCGAACATTATTGTAGATTAATTTATTACTTCCATATAAATAATAAAGACTCATTCTTCAGAAACTGCTCTATAAAATGGAAGATCTAATCTAAATGAATTTTAGAATTGAATATGGCAATAATGATAAAATAAAGAAAAATCTATCAAAAGCTAATGTGATTATTATTAATAAAAATTTTCTTATTAATCTGTCTGCAGTAAGATATACACATTAAATTAAATATTTTCTTGATAAAAATAGGATATACTTAGAACATATTATTATCCTGCATTTAAAAAACCATTTCAAATCTTAATTATTAAAGTATTTTTATTTTTGCTTTTTGATTTCTTGCTCTCTACACAAAATCAATTACAAAAATTTATGAAATAGATTTGAAATTTATCAAGTATCGACAATAATTTCAGATATTTTATCTAAAAATTTATGTGTGACATAAATATTAATATTTCATTTAATTTATTATAAAATCCATGTGAATCCATCCTCAATTCCTTCTCTTGTAATTGCACAACATGGTTATAGATGCCAATTGTTAGAAAATTTTTCAAACTTAAGTTCAGAAACTAAATCATTAAAGCTAATTTAAGCAAGATCAATCTTATTTGCATATATTAAGAGTGGCAATTGATTTTTTTTATTATCAATCAAGCAATATTCCAACCATTCTTTAATTTCCTCCATTCTTTCTTTATCAGTCAAATCTACAACTAAAACTAAAGCTTAACTCGTCTCATAAAAGTGTTTCCAAATCAATCTTACTCCATTGGGTCCTTGAATATTCCAAGTGAAAATATTAAAGGATTTTGTCTCTAGTTTTTTTTGCTAATATCCAATGCCTATTTAAAAGTTTTCTACTGTTCCTAATCCCAATTAGTTTAAAATTGTGGACTTTCCTGCAGCATCCAATCCAATAATTAATATTTATGGTTTTTTGCGATTGAACAATATTGAAAAAGGGTTTCCCATTAAGTTAATTAAAAAGAAGAAAACACTTCATTTTATTTATAATAAATCCTTCTATTTCCTACAAGGAATTAAATTATTTTATAAAATTAATTAAAATTAACTTTTATTATTGATTTTTAGACAATAAAAGATTAATATATCTTCAATAAAACAAAAAAAAATATTAAATTTAACTAAGTTATATTTATTAGTTAAGGTTTAGAATTTAATCCTTTGTTTATCTTTCCTTAAATGATAAGTATAGAAAAACAAGTTAAAATGATTAAATCTTAATGCTCTTTCATTAAAATTTGGGATTCAAGAATTCTGTATCAAAATTCATTGCAGCTTCTAAATAATAGTGATAGTCAAAAATAAAAGAGTAGTATTCAACGATTGTTTATAGGGATTGCTTAATTGTAATTAATCTGAAAGTTACTCATTATGATAAAATTCAATTATTTTATTCATTAAAATATCTTAAATTATTTTAAATAATAATATAAATAAATATTTTTAGATAATGTTAATCTAAAAGGAATATATTAGACTTATCAATAAAAATATAAAGTGCATCAAAAATCGTGATTAATTTATGTTTGTGTGAGAGTAAATTTTAACAAAAATTAAATAACTAAAATTGGAAGAAGGCAAATATTAATTAAACACATCTTTTTCCTTTTTTTAAGGTCTGCGTGCAATATCAATGATTTAAATATTCTAGGATATATTAAACTCACAACCACTGATTTTTGTTACACAGTATTTTTATGAAAATTTAATAGAAGCAGAATCTTAAAATTGTTATTTTAAAATATAGTAGTAAATCCATTTTTGACAAAGGATATGTTTGCAAAAATTTTCGCTAGATTTATTTTAGTATATCGCTTTCATTAGAAAAGGTGTCTAAATTTGCAAAAATTTTTTTGACTTTTCAGTTATTTTAGTTGTTAAGTAAGAGTGAAAGGAAGAAGACGATTCCCTTAATCCTTAATGGTAATATTTTAATCGATCTGATTACCATAATAAGGTAATATATATTATACTTCTTAAAAGATATTGAAATTTTGATAAGTATAAATATTAATATTAATTTTTAGTTATTTTAAAATACGAGTACTTAAATTTATATAAAATTTTTCATATTTTAAGAATTTTCAAAAATTTTGACCCTTTTGATAGTTGTGTGTTGTTTTCTAATAGGAGTAATGTTCCATAACAATTTTTGAACAATTCAATTAAAATTGAAAATACCTATAGTTTTCAAATATAACCATTACTATTTAAACATAAATAATAATTGTCTCACCTACACACTTAAATTAAAAAGAGACAAAAAAAATACAGAATGAACATGTCAGATTTTACAATCTGATATAGCAATCAAAAATATATGAATAGAGTTATTGATATTATAAAAATTCAATTATCATAAAATCTTCTATAATTTTCTTGTTAATGGTATTCAACAAGCATCACAATAAGTGACAGAATTGTTAAACATATAGTAAGAAATTAGACTAATTCTTTTTCTTTTTTTTGTATAAATTTTTGATGTAGTTATTAAGGCATGGACAGCATTTGCTTATTCTAAGGATCTTTATTAGTATTTTATTTTCTAATTGAAGGACTTTTATTTTATCTTTTAGTACATTATTATTTGAGTGCCAACTATTCTCCTAACCTTTCTGCAGGTTACTATTAACAATATTAAATATTGAATACTTGACATTTTTGTAATTAACTTAAATGTATTTAGAAAAGTGAATAATTTCTATTCATGTTGTTTTTATTGATAAATACAACTTGCATCTGCTTTTTTGATGATTGGGCTAACAAAGCATTTAAGAGTTATTCCATTATTTATTTTCTATAAAGATATTAATTATAAAAAATTAAATTACTGAACCTCCTTGAATAATTTATATTTTATAATGGGGGTATGAATGATATCAGTTAGTTGGATATTATGAAATATTCTTAATTAATGTTTCATATTAATTATTTTATTGGTAGTGAATTAAATCATTCAATGGTTGTGATTTTATAATTTTAAGAATTTATTCATTCTAAAAGGAGATCAAGAAATATAATGATATTGTCAAGAATTAATTCCATGTTTTTATAAAATCGAAAAATATGATAAAGAAATTGAAATTAGGCTTGATTAACAAAATGAAAGTATACTCCTTTATATTTTTAGTTTATTAATCAGAATTCAAATATTAGATAAATTGTGAATATATTGGATGAGGAAGTTATCAAATATCGTGAGAAAGTTTCTAATTTTTTTTAGAAAAAAATTCTTTATAATAATGCTTTATATTTATAAGTAATTAAAATTGGTTAGAATTAGTAGATTAAGCATTCTTTAGGACCACTTAGACAAATGTATTAGTTCCATTTGCCAGGAGGTAATGAATTCATTTTATAAAAAGAAATGGATTTTTGCGGGTCTATCTGAATTTCATCTTTAAAGCTAAATAGTATTGTAAAGGTTGAAAATTAGAGAATTTCAATTTCTTACAAATAAAAAAGGAGGTTAATAAGAACTCCAGATTAAAAATGTTTAAAATAATGGGTATAAACATATTAATAATCAAAAAGAAAAAGCCGATTAATTCTAAGCAAGCAATAAAGAAATTCAAATCACCTAAATTTGATTTAGACTATGTATAATGTTAGGTAATTTTATCTAATTTTTTTTCTCATCTTAATTATCAAAGTGCTTAATTAAAATATATTTGAAATAATTTGTTTTGATTCAAATTATGACGCTAGAACATATCTGATATTAATGTGATTTCATATGGTATCAAGAGAATATACTTTCAAATATTCTTATCCTCTAATTACTTTTTATTTTATTATTGGAATAATATTATCAATACACATCACACCTTTATATCTTAATCTAAAATGTTTTTAAATCTTATTTTTTCTTTAAAATAGTTATTATCTGTGTATTAAGTAATTTAACATATTTATATTTTAAGATTAAAAATTTAACCGAAAATGCAATACACAGCCCCAATTGAGAAAAGACTCGTCTTTTAGTCATCTCAATAGATAATGCCATTGATGCATAGAAAAGAAAACATATTTTCTCCTTTAAGAATAAGTCCTTCTACTTAATAGCATTTTAGTCCCTCATAACATTAATTTTCAAAAGGAAACGAGTACTAGCATATAAGATAAAATACAAATGATCCAGAAAAGGAGAAAGAAATAAAAATTTTGATTTAGCACAATTAAAAAATGAAGGATCAGATTAATTAATAATCAATCGATTATGAGAATCTGAAACACAGCTATGATAAAATGTATTAAGATCAATTACGATTGATCAATGAGTTGGAATAGATATCAAAATTATCCGAATAACAGTTAAAAGAAATTAAAATAAAGCAAGAGGTAATCAAGGATTTGTAGCATTAATTGGAAACATAATGTCACTCTTAGAATAAAAATTAGGATGAAACTTAATTGCTCAGATAATAGTTATAAATAAAAGACTAAGAAATCTTTAAATTCAAGGCAATATTGGAGGAAAAGAATTTGGAAAATCAAGAAATAAGAAATACTTTAAATACTATAAATTAAAAAGTGTAATTCATGACTTAGCAAAAGGATCAATAATATTAGATTATAGATAAATTTAATAAAGAATTATAGGATGAAATAACACATAAGACTTAATAAATACATGCAACTAGTCAGAGCTTGAGTTAATCATAATAATAAGTGACTTAATTGAAGTTTGAGGTTGAATCATTGAAAAATAAATTACATTCTTAATAATAATTGATGCCTTTGTAATAATTATAGTAAAAATTTTTAATGATATGTATGGAAAACGATCGATTACATAGCATAATACAAAAGGAGTTTGAATTAAAGAAATACATGGAGTAATAGTAAATCACTTATGAATAGGAAATAGCTTAATTAAAGAACGAATTAAAATAGATTTCTGAAGAGTTTTCTCATGTGTAGTAGGGTTTAATCTATGAATAAAAGAACATGTATTTGATTGAGAATTTGAAGAATTAATTAAACTATTATATTGATGAAAATGCACGACTGAATGTCATTATTAGATAATAATCAAGAACATGAATTGAATTTATACAATACAATACTAAATAATATAATATCAGTCACTAATTACTTAATCTCAATAAGGTTTTTCTATTTTTTAATTTATTATCAGTTATTTTAATTTCATCTATTTTAAATACTGAATGTTAACCGTTGAAATAATCATATGATAAATCGATCTTTCATTATTTCTCCTTAACCTCTTTTCAATTTCTGCTGATCTATTCTTAAATTATGGATCATCTCTTGCAATATAGCAGAATTTAATAATGCGAATTCCTCATCTGCAGATTCCTTAAATTTACTATACTATATCAAGGGTGTTTGGGATTATACGTAATATTATTTTTGGTATGTTATTTTATCAGTATATGTAGAATTATAAATTCATATGTGAGTCATTTTAATTTAATAATAATTTCATATATCATAATCATCATCATAAGGTTCATCTTCACTCATTTCCTTTTACTTACTAGTTGAATTCTCATCATCAAATATGAATTCAAAATCAAGATTTCCAAATTTCTATTCCAGTCTTTTAAAACTGTACAATCCATTAGACATCATGGCGGATTAAATTAAATAATCAAGATTAGTGATTGCTTCAAAACCGTACTTGTCTAAAGTGTTTTTAATCTTTTCCTTCTAAACAAACACATCGCCTTATAATTCTAGTCTCTCCTTATCATTAAATCCTAAGATGGTTTTTAAATCCATATTCTTAGAATTCTTTAAGAACTACAACAAACTCTGATAGTCTTTGAGATATTTATCCCTCTTCAAAATTTCATCAGTGGGAGTGTTGATCTCTAGAAATCCAGAATTGGGTGCTATTAATTAAATGAATTGAATAATTACCACAAATTACACCAATATCCCAATAGATTTGTTCTTAATTAATAGTTTTTGGGACGTCTACCAATTTTAACTCTTTATTGGTAATGATATAAACTTTTAAGTGTTGAGGATGTACATAATCAGGTTCAATTATGTCTGCAATTATTCTATACACACCTCTTTTAGTATTAAGATCATGTACAATAATCCTTTAACATCCAGATTCATCATTCGTATCATAGAGTACATTCTGATGACTTTAATCAATCTACACATTATCAGGTAAAATCATCTTGATGTCAATTGGCATCACTTCAACATTGGTTTGAACTAAAATCATAACTGAATTCTTGTCCTCCAGATGCGAAATCAAAGGGAATGACAATTCTCTCAATTGATACAAATTCATTTTTGATTAAGTCGTTCCATATTCTTCAACTATTGGGAAATACCCTTCCCTAATAAACAATAAAAATAATGAGATACGTTTAAATCACCATTTTCCCTTCCAAAACTCCTTGTAAAATAATCCTACAAGTTCCTTCCTAATCAGTTACATATGTCTAGGATTGCTTTGTAGATTCTTCATTCAAAATGACTTAAACTCCTTCAATCGGTAAATTAGTGTAAGGATCATATATAAATACTTATGTAGATTTATAACCTGAAATAGGTCTATTAGGATTTGAGATTGCTTCCTATTTAGTTGGTTCCATATATTCAGGCTATTCATATGATTGTATTGACTATTATTAAGATTTTGGTTTTGGTGGTAACTATTATTGCTATTGCTATTATTACTGCTAAGATTATTATTATTTACTCATTTATTATTGAGATTAAGCTGTATTATTACCTTATTATGATCTAGAAGCACTAGTTGGACGAGCACTACTAGGTTTTTATATTGGTTATAATTGTTTTGCTGATTAAGGTGGTTTAATTGGTTATTGATCATTTGGATCTACTTCCATAATCAACTTGAATTCATTGACTCCTTATACTGCATCAATAGTCTAACTTAGTTCTTTGTATCCTCTCTTTTAGATTGTAAAGGTATATTAATTTGGTTCCAAGATTGCTTCATATCTACCAGGTTCAATTTCTCTTGATAACATGCTTTCTTGAGTTTAAAGATTTGTTATGGTTATTTTAGCTTCAGTTAAGGTTGCACCCTATTGACTGAATATCTTAATATCCAAATAAGAGTGAGTTTACTTTCTTAGCTTAATTACAACTTGCATAGTATCATTGCTTTACTCAGCCAGCTCTACCATATTCAATAGTAACTGTTCATTAAGATAATCATTAGATTCATGCACTTCTACAACATACACATCCACAGGAACATCTTCTAATTTAATATATCCTTGATTATTTGTTTTAGCTGTAATTTTTCTTTCTTTTGTGGCAGTTCTATTTGTTTTTTTAGTTTGTGAAGATATACGAGAGACACTTGATTATGGTCTGTCTTATCTATATGGAGTCAGAGTAACTTCAATGTTATTAAGATTGCCTTTAATATTCTCACCAAAATTGACATAAATTTCTAATGGAGCAGTGTTTAAGTAATCACTAACTCTTTCTACGACTTCTGTATAGTTTGGCCACATCTTAGTATTCAACTTTGAAAATACTAAGCCTTTTTTGACTTGATCTCTATTCTTTGAGCAGACCTGGACTTCAAATGCTCCAATTCTCCTTTGAATATAGAGAGTGTCTATAGATTAATCATGGGGATCGTAGATCAATGGCTTCAGGTAAACCTTTGCTGTAGGATATTACTAAATAAGCTCCTATTTTAAATTGGTGGCGAATGTATAATATTTCTCTTCGTCATGTCTAGTTGATCCTGCATGCTGAGAACAATTTGTACTATTGACATTCATTCAAAATTATACCAATATTCAATTGTCACTACTAAATCTCCATTATAAAGATTCTCAAACTCTTTAAACTTTCTGAATTCATCTTTTTTTTGCATCTCTTAAATCTCTTCGTTTAATTCTGACAATTCCTTAAACTATTTCATTTTGTTATTCTTCTAATGGATGACAACTAGACCAGAATCTAGATGTTCATATTTAGGCAATTGATTGAAGATTCCTAATTTATTTTGAACATCTACCTGGAGCAATCCAAGCCTTTGTGTGCACTTTGGGATCATAATGATTATCTCGAAGACGAGAATTTGTTGCAGCAGATTGAACTCTTGTCTGTTTCATTTTAAATATTAAATTAACTAAATAATTCACATTTATTAAACTATCTTGAATATCTTATTTCTTATTTTCTATTCATATCTATCCACAAACCAAATACCAAATCTCTAACTAATTGTTTAAATTGCAAATTCCTTCCCTTAATTCCATCAATTGCTTAATCTTAATGGATACATTTAAGTCTTTTTTATTTTACTGATGACTCAACTAACCTTTACCATTTAAGAACTGTTAGTCAAAGTTCTTTCATTTCCAACTATAACAGAAAAATACTATTTGATAATATGAATATCAGTTTATAATATGTTAGAATTCATTTTTAATTTAGAAATTAACATTTTCATTGTTTAATATTATTTTATTTATTGATTTCTAGTTCTTTTGCTGAGATATTATTCTTTTTCTCTTTTAATCTGAAGATAAACAAAAAATAAGTCATTTAAATCTTTCATTTATCACATTTACTGATAAAGTGAGAGGGGAGATGAGAGAGCATTTCGTTGTTAATTTATTGACTCTTCCTATTTTGATGGCTCCCTTACTTCATTTTTGAAGTCAGATTTAACTCAATTAGACATAAATGGTAGAACTATCTTTATATTTTCAGTTACAAAGTTGAAAGATATAGAATTCAAAGTGTAAATGCAAAAAGTTTTAGAAGACTAGAAATACAAATAATAATTGAGGACTTGAAAAAGAAAAAAAATAATTTAAAATATGAAAATTTATAAATTATAAACCATTTGAACAGATCCAACAAGTAAAGACAAATCATTGAAATGGGAATTTGATAATCCTCATCTTCCAAATTTTCGGTTAACATATATATATTTTCAGTTATGAATATTCAGATATGTCCTTAATACCATTTTTGCCTATTACCAGATGATTTCAACATAAAATTAAAAATAAATTATCTTCTATATTTTTTTATTTATTATTTGATATATGGTCTCATTCATTCCTTTTAATTGACTTTTAGCATCTAACAATTCATCAAATTATTCCCTATTTACACTTTTGCTTTATTTCTAAAATTTTAATTTCTCCACAATAAATGATTGATAAACCTTTTGTGTTTATAACTTCCAAAACTGTGAGTCTTTCCTTGTCTCAAGTCATTAATCACATTTTTAACAAACTCATTAGTTTCAAGAATATTCGGACCTTTTCTATTTCCTAACATTTTTGTACTCACTCCCAAAGAAGTTGCACTCAAAAAGTCTATTTTCTATGATGTTAAAGCTAAAGATTAAGTAAAATAATTAGTGAATGCTTTTGTTCCACTATAAACACTAACTAATGGACAAGGCAGATATGCTAGTCCTGATGAGACTGTAATCACTGCAGATTTCTTTGCTCTATTTTGCAATTTGTTAATGAGAATTCTAGTCATCATTAGAGTGGATAATGCATTCACTCTCAACATCATCAATGAATCTTCCATCTTTGTTTGTTCAAATTACCCAGCTTCTGCTGCCCCCACATTATTGACCAAAATTGAAATATCCAAATACTCAAGCTATTCATAGATCTTATTATAAAATTCAACTGTATGTCCTTCATTAAAATCAGCTACAACAAATTTAGTCTGAACTCCAAAACCCTATAATTCTAAACAAACCTAATCCATTTTCTTGGCATTTCTACCTATTAGGGCAATATTGAATTTCTATTTCGCCAATTAAATGCAAAATTCTTTACCAATCCCATCTGATCCTCCTGTTACTACAGCCCAAGATTCTTCTCCATATCTTGCAGTCATATTTCTTCTAATCGAAGGTGTTAATGCCATTGCCAATTATGACAGCCTTCTCAATAAATACAATGATCCTTATAATTTATCAACTTTCATATATACCTATTCCCATAAAGAAAGTTCTTAATTTTCTCTTTCTGTACAAGTGTTGATAGTATTTGTGGATTAATTTGCTGTGAATCGAAACTAAAACTTAAAATCCTCTCTTTACCAATTCCATCTATTTCACTATTAAATAATTATATAAATTAACAATTTATGGAATCCTTTGATTTTCTCAATCACACTAAGATTCTTATTAATTCTAAGGCACTTCATTTACCAAACCCAAAATGGTTGAATCAAATTGATCAGTATTAAAATCATATTGGCAGCGTTTGTCTAATAAGAGTTCTAAATGTATTTAAGTTAATTGATCAAAATATATAAATTTCACAATTCATAAATACTATTTATTATAGTTGCAATATCTCACATTAAAATAATGCTGAGCATTACACAAAAAATAACACTATTTTTCAATAATTTTAGTTACTCGACCTTGATCCTAAAGATATTTTACTTTTAGAAATGTAGAAAAGGTAAAGCATAGCTGAAAAAAATGGTAGTCACATTTATAGAAACAAATTATATATTTAATTAATCTATTCATCATTTGCAATAAATCAATTTAGTGAAGCGCAATAAACTAGTTTTTCTTTAATAAGTTAATCTTTCTTTAGAATAATTAGTTTTAAGAAATTTTAATTTAGAAGAGAACAATTAAGGCCTGAATGCATTATTAACAGAATCTTTATATATATATATTTATAGAAAAACTAAATAGTAAATTAATAGATATAAAGTAATATTAATAATATAATTCATTATTTTTTAAAGTGGTTAATTAGAGTTTTGCATTTATGAATTAATTTGATTAGAAGTTCTTTTATTAAAAAGAGTAGTTACAATCCAATTGATAGATAGATACATGCAACAATGAGCCATCCTAAATTATATATGAATTGATCATTAAACATAATAAAAGTATCTTAAAATGCTAAAACAATAGTAATTGCAACAATAATTAGAACAGCAAGATCAGGTATTAGATTTAAAAAGTATTATTATTTAGTTTCAAATGGATTATCTTATAGTAATAGGAAAATATTCAATACACAAGATAAGAAACAAATTGTTGTTTAATAAATTGGAGTTGAATATAATAATACTGTTGATATAATAAAGATAGTTTTTCTTAGTAAATTAATGAATGAATAGCTCATAGCCATTCTTTAATCAATTTTCAATTCTTCATAAAAACAACTATATCTATCATTAAAGTGTTTATTATTCAATTGATTTTTATGAGTAATTGATATCTAATATGAAAAATATAATAGATATCCTAATATCATTATACTTATATAAGCAAATATTATATTGATTTTTACTACTACATATTCTGATGTTTATTAATTTGTTATTTATAATGTTATTGCTAAACATAAATCAAGAAAACTTAATTACACTGTCTTTAATAAATTTCCAATAAAACATTCATCACATTATACACTATCTTTATATATTTATTACAAATATTAAGGAATATTTCTTAATTCTTATTATTATTATTATTATTATTATTATTATTATTATTATTATTATTATTATTATTATTATTATTATTATTATTATTATTATTCTGATATTTTACATTCCACCTACTTCCTTTCCTATTCTTATACCTAAATATTATCTTCTATTTGATAAACTTATTATTCTTAATCAAGTTGCTATTTAGATTATTATATATCTTATTATTTTAATACTGAGGATGATTGTTTATTAAGTTAAAAAAATGAGCGTTAGGATCTTATTTTAAAAGTAGTAGTGTTTGATGGTTTATAATGATAGTCTAGAAATCTCCTAATAGATTTACAAAGTATTTTAGTACAAATTACTTATATTAAAAATATAAGAATAGTTTGAATGTTATTAAAGAATAAAGGATCTATTCCCTTTTCATCAAACTTAGGAGGGGATTAGAAATAATAAGGATCATTTTGATTATTAAATGTATTGACTGATGGAAGTTCTACAATATTGTCCCATTAAGCTTATAAGAAGATTTGTCTGACATTTTCAGGATATGAGACATTTAAGAAGTAAAAATTGTTCATCCAACTTAAAATATCTAAAATTGACCATATAAATTTGAATCCTCCAACCAACATGGCAAGTGGTCCCAAGACAAGTAAAGATTAAGAGACTGTCTTTGATGTTTAAGCCATTTTTTATCCTTGCTCTTTTTATTCTTAACTTGCATAAACCTATCTCTAAGGAACGATTACAACTTCCTTAACTGATTCCTCATCTAATGCTCGCTTTTTGTATTATCCTTTATACTTAATAATGACATGAATAACATTACTGGGTTCAACATTTTTAAAAAATTAAATGTCTAGATCACATTTAAGTTCTGATTCGAGAATGGTATAATTGTAATCAGTTTATTTAAATTTTTCAATATGAAGAGTAGTTCCTGTACAATTTATTGCTTGTTATGAGGTATCAGCGATAATGGAATATTAATTATTATTAGAAGATTCAAATTCCACTTCTACGTTAGGTTCAATGATCAATTAATTACTATCTTTATCAAATAGGTACCCAGGTTCAATTTAGCATTTACTACTGCATCCATCGAAATCATTAAGATTGCGATCATCACAGTTCTCTGATCCAGAAATAATTCCATCTCCACATTCAGAGACACAATCTCTCAATTAATAATCATAATAGAATCCTAATTTCGAATTACATTCTTTCACTTAATAATAATTATAATTGTAATTAATACAATTCTTTGAGGTAGTAACACAATCTATACAGATTTTATCGCAAACAGAACAAGAAAAATATTTATCAACAAAATATCCTATTTTACATTGTTGACATGACTAAATACCATCAATGACTACACAATTTTAACAATTAACATCTTTGCATTATTCACAATGATTAAAGATTAGATTATCATGAAAACAAACATATCCTGATTCCAATTAACAATTAGTACATCCATCTCTAGAGATCAGATTTTTATCATCACATTACTCTTTCAGAACATCCAGAATTCCATCTCCACAAGTATTAACACAATTATTGTTGATTAAATTATAGCCATAATTGCAAGATTTACAGACTCCTTAAAGGCATTCTGCACATTAAACATTACAATCAAATTTGCATAAATAACATCCATCAAATTGAATGTTATTGCCATCATCACACTATTCTCCGTTCACTAGAATACCATCCCCACAAATAGATTTACATAAATTACCCGAATTAGTAGTCCAACCTGGTTCACATTGACATTAAAAGCAACCATCTAACTCATTAAGATTGCCATCATCGCATTATTCTTAGCCAATTTTGATATTGTCTCCACATTAAGAGTCTAAACAAATTTGATCATTATTTTTATAATAACCAGCTTAGCATTATTAACATTGTCCTCGTTTACAAATATTGCAATTCAAACATTCTAAAATACAAAGATGGCATCCATCATTTTGAATTGAGTTTGCATCATCACATTCTTCATCCATTGTTGTGTATCCATCTCCACAAATAGTTTAACAATACTTATCTGTCATTAGATAACCTTTAACACATTCGCAATTATAGCATCCATTTAATTATACATCTAGTTATCCATTATCACATTATTCATTTCCCTGCACATATCCATTTCCACAAACAGCAACACATTCTTCATTAACTAAACCCCAATATTGATTACATTCTAAACATACACCCAATGCACAAGTTGAACACTCATCAGGACAAGAATACTAGCAATTATAGCAACCATCAAATGGCAGTATGTTTCCATCTTCACATTGTTCTAAAAATGGATCAATTAATAAATCTCCACAAATTGGTTATGAAATAAGCAAAGGTGCTTAATATGATTTTTATAATTTATTTTCTTCAATATCAAAACATGGATATATCTATGTTTCATTGAATGAGCATTCAGGATAACATTACATTAAAATGTTCATATATCCATCTTAACATGATTAGCATTATCCATCTATACATAAAGAACACTCCAATTGGCATTCATATTTGCACTGATTGCATCCATCAAAAGGGACCAAATTACCATCGTCGCATACTTCCAATTCCATAACAAGAGCATCTCCACATATTGGCTAACATTTTTTTGTAAATTAATCTTCATAATAACCTGTTTTACAAACACATTTGGCAGATACTATTGTTCTATATTGAGTTTCATCGCAAATACAAGTTCCATGTAATAGCGAAAATTTATCTGAACAAATTTTACATTGAGTTGCTGTGACACATTAATTACAATAAGTCAAGGTGCAATATTAACATCTATAAGCTAGTATAGAGGCATCATAATTCCAAAATTAGGGTGCCAAACAACTTTGTACATTAGTGCCTTAAGTACACTCATCAAGACTAGTGCAAGAAGAGCACCCTGTTACACATTAATGAATTACGATGAAATATTCTGATATTGCACAAAATCCATCTCTTAGATCTTGTTCTGCAGTACATTCGAATTCTATTTTGAATTGATTCTTTGTGTGTTAGTAGTATTAATAAATAAATGTTACACTTTCCTTACTTTCTTTACCTATTAAGTTTATATCATCACTTTATTATTTTCTAGAAATAGACTGCTATAATTGAGAATCTAAATAATAATTAAAGCTCCCATTAAAATCATCTCCAAAAGTAATATTAAATCTTATAGATATGGCGTAATGAGGATTAGAAATTGTATATGTTTTTGTGTATTTTGCATTGTTCCATGCTAAAAGACCTCCCATCACGAATTTATCATTCATAGTAGAGAAATTTTAACCAGTTAAGAAATTATCTCTATCATTTGCAACCAAATCAAAATGAGATGATATTTCATCAAATGTCATATTGGTGTCATAAAATGCCTTAACCAGATATTATGAAACTATTATATTAATTATTTGAATTACATGGGATTTCGTCTACGTAATCTACGCAGTCATTTGAGTATATGGGGCATTTATTGATACATTCAGTTCCCAAAAGAAAATATCCTTAATCGCAAACTTAACACCTGGTTTTATCCAAACATATTGAGCAATGTAATTAACAAACTCCATAATCAATTGTAATGTTGCTAAATCCCCATTAACTAGAAGATTTCATTGTACCCTGTAATTGTAAAACTGGATTATTTGTTGTTGGATACATTACTGATTCATATCTCACATACTAATCAGTAGTAGGTGGGGAACACCTGTGGATATTTTCAAAGGCAATAAATGCTGTTTTACAATGTGTATTTGGGGTAAAAGTACCTGAAATAAGAGTTATCGAAAATTAAATAACACTATCCAAGCTAATATCAATTTTTGAGCCACTCTAAAAATCTAACATGTATAAAGTTATTCTTAGTCGAATGGCTGAGAATAAGTTCAAATTACCTAAAGGCAATGAAATTGATTCAGACCCAAATGGTCCGGCAATATTTCTTTAAATCATAGAGGAAAAACAATACAAAGAAAAACTCTAAACACTTAAAGATGATAAAGGTATTTCTGGAATATTGGATTAACTTTGTAAAGGATTCATAAAATTCAATTTAGATGAAAATCTAAGATCCTTTTAACAGATCATATTCGAATCAAATAAGTAATGATCCCTTTAGCATTCTGAAATCCAGCCATATCCCTCCTAATAGAAATAGTTAAAGAAACTATTGCCAATATGAGTTATAGGGTTAACACACATATTTTATGCAGTATTATAGGAAAAGCAATCTATGCAAGTGTTTGGATCTAGTTCAGAACATGACTCACATAAAGGATTACAAAAAAACCCATATACTTAAAAGTTTCTTATTCTTATTTTATTTCCTATTGAAAAAGGTGTAAATTGAATGGAAATGAAAAAATTATTTTATGGAATTGATATTTTTGGAGTGACTATTTTTGAAAATTCAAATGGATATTCTCCACCATAATTTCGACAATTTCTACTCTGTTATAATAATTTATCCCCTTATTTTTAGATTTCCATTAATAGAGTTGATATTTCGGATTATCCATTATTCTAAATAACATTAACAGTAACAGTTGATGATGAAGAATCTGAGATAGGAAAATCATAATATATATCGAAAATGACTTAGACCTTCTAGACAGAAACTGGAATAGATTTCAAAATTAAATCATTAGAGTTGTCAAGTACTATTTGTTATTCTCCGTTGGTATTACAAGTTGCTATTTCAACACCACTCAGTATCCAGCCATCTTAAGTTAGCGTTAGAGTTTGATCCGTTAGGCTAGAATCAATTAGTTTCCACTGAGCTAGTGCACATGACATCATCAACAAAAACATTATAAACATAGAATTATAAATATTGAATATCTGAGTAGAAATATCTTATTATTAATTAAGGATTATGTATATGATGTCATTGTCTCTAAATCATCGTAATATAAGAAATAATTATAAAGATTTAGATTGTTATATTCTTATATTAATAATTAACAATATTACCTATTTCATCAAAATTACAATAGGAATCTGAATATAACATTAAAATTAATCTATAGAACTTTTCTAATTGTAATTAAGGCTTTGAATAAGCCAAATCTTAGAAGATGTTGAACAAGTTGAATGTATTTTATGGAAAAAAAAAAATTCTTATAAATCAATAAAATGTGCTTTTTATTTTTGATAAACTAATATACTGCAAAAAATGCGCGAACGCAAAAACGCTCTTATATATGGATTAAAAATATGCATTAATGTTATCAATAGCCTGTAATTATTAAAATAGGCACTAAATCTTTTTGGATTCAAATAATCCACAATTTTTAAGTTTTTCCTTTCAAAAGTAAGGGTAATTATTTATCCTCAATAATTTGCTTATTATCATCTTAAATTTCACTTGAAATAATTACTCGGAATTATTTATTTTTAATTAGAACTTAATCAATCAATTTGCTTAAAGGTTAAAAAATTTCATATCACGTTGTTGTTTTATTTTTTTCTTATTTGGTTATTTATTATTGGTTTGAAGAAGTAAGAGATATCTTTACTCTTCTACCATCCAAAAAACTCTTCAGATAAGACCTGCCTCTAGAATTTAAAATTTATTTTTAGGGTGAGTTTCATCCTTTAAAAAAACCTTTTTCAAACTTTCCAATAAAATATTTACTTCTACAATATCTTTAATTTAATGAAACACGTTTATACATGTTCATGTTCATATTCAATCCCATTGATGATGACTCTCCTATTATTTATTTATTATTATGTATTGCCCTTATTAATTCTAGGTGAACTGGTAAAACTCTTTTGATTCAGACAATCGTGAATGATATTTAGGTATAAGAATAGAAAAGGAAGTAGGTGGAATGTAAAATATCAGAATAATAATAATAATAATAATAATAATAATAATAATAATAATAATAATAATAATAATAATAATAATAATAATAATAATAATAATAATAATAAGAATTAAGAAATATTCCTTAATATTTGTAATAAATATATAAAGATAGTGTATAATGTGATGAATGTTTTATTGGAAATTTATTAAAGACAGTGTAATTAAGTTTTCTTGATTTATGTTTAGCAATAACATTATAAATAACAAATTAATAAACATCAGAATATGTATTAGTAAAAATCAATATAATATTTGCTTATGTAAGTATAATGATATTAGGATATCTATTATATTTTTCATATTAGATATCAATTACTCATAAAAATCAATTGAATAATAAACACTTTAATGATAGATATAGTTGTTTTTATGAAGAATTGAAAATTGATTAAAGAATGGCTATGAGCTATTCATTCATTAATTTACTAAGAAAGACTATCTTTATTATTTCAACAGTATTATTATATTCAACTCCAATTTATTAAACAACAATTTGTTTCTTATCTTGTGTATTGAATATTTTCCTATTACTATAAGATAATCCATTTGAAAATAAATAATAATACTTTTTAAATCTAATACCTGATCTTGCTGTTCTAATTATTGTTGCAATTACTATTGTTTTAGCATTTTAAGATACTTTTATTATGTTTAATGATCAATTCATATATAATTTAGGATGGCTCATTGTTGCATGTATCTATCTATCAATTGGATTGTAACTACTCTTTTTAATAAAAGAACTTCTAATCAAATTAATTCATAAATGCAAAACTCTAATTAACCACTTTAAAAAATAATGAATTATATTATTAATATTACTTTATATCTATTAATTTATTATATCCATTTTCTAAATTGTTTCAATTACTATCTTATTAAATTAAATTTGTTCTTGAATATAGAAATTTTGATAGAAATTGGCAGATAATAAATTAATTTTTTCGATTAAGAATACAATTTGATTTAATTTTGCCATCATTAACCTCAATTAATTTTTATATCAGCAAACTTAAATAACTAGAAAGCTACAGAGGTATTTTAGAAATTGTAGTAAAAATTACTCAATATTGATGCAATTCTAGATGAAAATTGGGAGCTGGAATTCCATATAGAGATGAATGGTCACCTAATGGTGGATACGATTTAAAGATTTTGATTTATTTATGATTCTTGAATTCAATTTTTCAAGTCATTAAATTAATTAATTTTCGTAAATAAAATTCTGAATGCATTGATAATTTTTACAAATAATTGAAAAGTTATATACAAAAAAAATTTTTTTGCATTTTAGCTCATTTTTGTTCTCTTTATTGATGACCACCTGCCTTAACATATCATTTCATGCAGTTTTATTTTCCATTTTATTTAGAAGACATATTTGAGGAATTAAATAAAATAATCAACAAAAAAATAAAATGTATTATTATACTTATTCAACTTGTTAAGAAATATTATTTTTAATATTTAGGTTTTTATACTCTAATATCTAGATTCAGATAGTAATACTCTAGAGCTTGATTGCTGTAAATAAAAGTAAAATTAAATATGGCTTATTAAAACTTTTCAAATTAAATCAAAAGCCAAATGATTAGGACAAGAGACAATTTAGTTTCCATATAATTTTAATATTTAATTAATATATAATACAAATAGAGTTTAAATATATATAAAATAATTCTTCAAATTATTTTTAAGACAGATTATACAGTTTGGTCATTTTATTCATTTAGAAAATAGATTCAATCATAATAAGTTTTCATCATTTGATGCTAATAAAATAAACAATAATTATTTGAATAATTGAATTTATTCGATTTTTTTTGGAGAAATTTTTCACTCCAAATTAAAATAGGATATAAAACAAATTATAATTATTAATATGCATTTGAGAAGACAAATATTTTTCAATTACTGAAGAAAGTCTAAATTTCTAATAGGAAAAGTGATAAGTTTAATCACACAACAAAATTTGCTTGACCAACCTTTATGAACATTCAATTTATTAAATATAAATCAAGGCAGAAAGGGAAGTGTTAGGATATTTTGGTTGTTCGAAAAAGATATTTTATGTCATAATAATAATAGTTGTTAAAATAATATGATAAGAAAGAATGAAGGCCGGCTTTAAACCTTCAAAGAAATTAGAGAAAAAGGAGAGACAAAATGTAATCAACAGCGAATCCTAGAAGTTAATGACGAATTTTTCAATATAGCACTTATCTAACTAATACTCCCTTTACTCTTTTTCCATTTTTTCAACCCAAAAATTTTCTCAATTTATGAGGGTATTGATAGCATTATAGAAATGATTCAGATTTGTTTACATTTATTAGCTGATTATATCCATTTTATTGCCGTTAATATATTGTCCAACCAGCTTGAGTAATATTTATGTTAGATTTTCTTGTATACCTTAATCTGGGCAATTAGAATTTCAGTTGTTATCTTAATACAGATGGTACTGTTACTTATGATATTGCTTGTAGTGAAGATTTTTGTAAAGATGGAATTTTTTGCAAAAGTAAATTTATAAAACAATTATTAATAGTATTTAATTGGTTACCTGAATGTTAAATAAGCTAATTAGGTTGTGATTAATGCAATCCTGGTCATTTTAGAGCACTTGAATAAACGAATGGCTAAATTTACAAATGCTATGAATTAGATAGGAATTGTGATGAAACTAGATAATAAATAAAATTTGATGTTGCAAACCAAAATTATTTTCATTATTATACAATATGCACTTTATGCTATCCAGGATTCTATTATGAAAATTTAAGTAAAGGATGCATAAGTTATATTTTTTTAATTTATCTAGCACCTGATAATTTGCATCCTAATTGTGTCCTTTCTAATTAATCAGGAATAAAGTGTTTTGCTTGTAAGGCATGGTACGCTCTACAATAAGACGGCACATGCTAACCTATTTAATGCGATTAGTAATGTTAAACTTGTTTGGATACTAATACAAGTTTTTGTACAACTTGTGATATCAGTCTAAATAGAATAATGGATAATGGTATTGTCATTATTAATCATTAAAATTTTATAAATTTTAACCAAAAATATTAAACAACAAACTTGCAGATGCTTACCGAACTTTGGTTTGAAAGAAAGAAATTGTATACCTTGTACGGAGGGTTGCTGTTAAGAATGTGAATAAACAGATTTCTATAAATGTAAATCATGCAAAACATGATCTAATAGAGTACTAGTGAATTAAGATTGCATTTGTCAACCAAGTTCGTATGATCCTAAAAATGAAGATTAGATATGTCTTGGTAAATTTGCTTTAAATATATTGTAGCCTGTGATTCAACTTTTTTAAATTGTTTTGGTCCAACAAATTTATAATGTACTCAATGTAAAGATGAAAATATTTCAAACAGGATTTTAATTAATAATTCTTGTCCTTGTAAAATTCGATTTGGAGATATCGAAATAATAGATTCGAATTGTGGAAGTATTAATTATATAACATTTTAGGATGTCATCGAAAATGTTAAACATTTTACTAAGCTGCTGATTAGACTAACAATTAATATTGTCTAACTTGCATTCCAGGATAAAATAGTGTAGTTTCTAATTAATCCCATTGCGATTGCATGGAAAATTATGGTGAATTTAACGGTACCTCAGAAATATGCATAAGTATCTTACTATAAATTATATATAGTGTGTAATTATACATGTTGGATCTGTAATGACTTTGGGCCCACACATTGTACATTTTGTTTGGAACGATCTCATAGATACTTGAAAACTTAAGGAGAATGCTTATGTAAAACCTTATTTTTTTGATGATTAAACAAATAATATACAGTGTTTAAGTAATAATAAATAAAATCTAATTAATAGGATGCCATTATTCATGTGTATTATGTTCAAACAGCATTGAAAAGGATACATGTTTATAATGCCCTGAAACTAGGTAACCAAGTGATCCATAAGCCATCTAATGTGAATGCGTATGTTCATCTTCAAACTATTTTGATGATGGGTTCTCATTGGATTGTCAATAATGCGATTGGACTTGTCAAACTTGCTATGGTCCTTATTCATCTAATTGTCTGACATGCGATTTAACGTATAGACAATTAGTTTAATCTTCTTTTGTATGTTCAATTGGGTATTATGAGATTGGATAATTAGAATGTGCAAGTAGTTATAATAAATATCAAAAGAATGCTACTATTCTTGTTAATAATGTTTCGATAATGCTGAAGAAGATTGTATTGTTTGTTCTTTAGACCTTCATTTTAGGCAGTTAAAAGGTAATACTTGTAAATGCATTGATGGATATCAGGAACAACCAGGACTTGCTTAGTGTAAAAGTAATTATTTATTATTTATGGTCTATTAGAATGTTCATACAAAGCTTGTTCTGGCTTGGATGAAAATAATTGTTTCACTTGTGATTTTTTGCAAATAGAGAATTAAAAGAAAATGAATGCAAATGTTAATTACATTATTTTGAATTGGAAGTTTAGGAATGCACAAGTAATTTTAGATGTAGATTCTATTTTGTAGTGCATTCTGTTATAAACAGTTTTGATAATTGTACTTCATGCAACAATGATAGATATTTAGTTGGAAGTACATGTAGATGCATTACTAAATTTGATGGAGCTGCAATAAGTACATTTGATTATAATGGATTGGTTGAATGTTAAAGTATATAATAAAACTAATCTTTAGAATGTCATCATTCATGTGGAACATGTGCAGGAATAGATGAAGGAAATTGCCTCACTTGCATAGATTCTGATAATAGATACTAAGTAGGAAATACATGTATTTGTAAAGAAGGACATTTTGATGCAGGATTACCTGTTTGTTAAAGTATTAAGAGATTTTAATCAATAGNATAATAAATAAAATTTGATGTTGCAAACCAAAATTATTTTCATTATTATACAATATGCACTTTATGCTATCCAGGATTCTATTATGAAAATTTAAGTAAAGGATGCATAAGTTATATTTTTTTAATTTATCTAGCACCTGATAATTTGCATCCTAATTGTGTCCTTTCTAATTAATCAGGAATAAAGTGTTTTGCTTGTAAGGCATGGTACGCTCTACAATAAGACGGCACATGCTAACCTATTTAATGCGATTAGTAATGTTAAACTTGTTTGGATACTAATACAAGTTTTTGTACAACTTGTGATATCAGTCTAAATAGAATAATGGATAATGGTATTGTCATTATTAATCATTAAAATTTTATAAATTTTAACCAAAAATATTAAACAACAAACTTGCAGATGCTTACCGAACTTTGGTTTGAAAGAAAGAAATTGTATACCTTGTACGGAGGGTTGCTGTTAAGAATGTGAATAAACAGATTTCTATAAATGTAAATCATGCAAAACATGATCTAATAGAGTACTAGTGAATTAAGATTGCATTTGTCAACCAAGTTCGTATGATCCTAAAAATGAAGATTAGATATGTCTTGGTAAATTTGCTTTAAATATATTGTAGCCTGTGATTCAACTTTTTTAAATTGTTTTGGTCCAACAAATTTATAATGTACTCAATGTAAAGATGAAAATATTTCAAACAGGATTTTAATTAATAATTCTTGTCCTTGTAAAATTCGATTTGGAGATATCGAAATAATAGATTCGAATTGTGGAAGTATTAATTATATAACATTTTAGGATGTCATCGAAAATGTTAAACATTTTACTAAGCTGCTGATTAGACTAACAATTAATATTGTCTAACTTGCATTCCAGGATAAAATAGTGTAGTTTCTAATTAATCCCATTGCGATTGCATGGAAAATTATGGTGAATTTAACGGTACCTCAGAAATATGCATAAGTATCTTACTATAAATTATATATAGTGTGTAATTATACATGTTGGATCTGTAATGACTTTGGGCCCACACATTGTACATTTTGTTTGGAACGATCTCATAGATACTTGAAAACTTAAGGAGAATGCTTATGTAAAACCTTATTTTTTTGATGATTAAACAAATAATATACAGTGTTTAAGTAATAATAAATAAAATCTAATTAATAGGATGCCATTATTCATGTGTATTATGTTCAAACAGCATTGAAAAGGATACATGTTTATAATGCCCTGAAACTAGGTAACCAAGTGATCCATAAGCCATCTAATGTGAATGCGTATGTTCATCTTCAAACTATTTTGATGATGGGTTCTCATTGGATTGTCAATAATGCGATTGGACTTGTCAAACTTGCTATGGTCCTTATTCATCTAATTGTCTGACATGCGATTTAACGTATNACTTTATGCTATCCAGGATTCTATTATGAAAATTTAAGTAAAGGATGCATAAGTTATATTTTTTTAATTTATCTAGCACCTGATAATTTGCATCCTAATTGTGTCCTTTCTAATTAATCAGGAATAAAGTGTTTTGCTTGTAAGGCATGGTACGCTCTACAATAAGACGGCACATGCTAACCTATTTAATGCGATTAGTAATGTTAAACTTGTTTGGATACTAATACAAGTTTTTGTACAACTTGTGATATCAGTCTAAATAGAATAATGGATAATGGTATTGTCATTATTAATCATTAAAATTTTATAAATTTTAACCAAAAATATTAAACAACAAACTTGCAGATGCTTACCGAACTTTGGTTTGAAAGAAAGAAATTGTATACCTTGTACGGAGGGTTGCTGTTAAGAATGTGAATAAACAGATTTCTATAAATGTAAATCATGCAAAACATGATCTAATAGAGTACTAGTGAATTAAGATTGCATTTGTCAACCAAGTTCGTATGATCCTAAAAATGAAGATTAGATATGTCTTGGTAAATTTGCTTTAAATATATTGTAGCCTGTGATTCAACTTTTTTAAATTGTTTTGGTCCAACAAATTTATAATGTACTCAATGTAAAGATGAAAATATTTCAAACAGGATTTTAATTAATAATTCTTGTCCTTGTAAAATTCGATTTGGAGATATCGAAATAATAGATTCGAATTGTGGAAGTATTAATTATATAACATTTTAGGATGTCATCGAAAATGTTAAACATTTTACTAAGCTGCTGATTAGACTAACAATTAATATTGTCTAACTTGCATTCCAGGATAAAATAGTGTAGTTTCTAATTAATCCCATTGCGATTGCATGGAAAATTATGGTGAATTTAACGGTACCTCAGAAATATGCATAAGTATCTTACTATAAATTATATATAGTGTGTAATTATACATGTTGGATCTGTAATGACTTTGGGCCCACACATTGTACATTTTGTTTGGAACGATCTCATAGATACTTGAAAACTTAAGGAGAATGCTTATGTAAAACCTTATTTTTTTGATGATTAAACAAATAATATACAGTGTTTAAGTAATAATAAATAAAATCTAATTAATAGGATGCCATTATTCATGTGTATTATGTTCAAACAGCATTGAAAAGGATACATGTTTATAATGCCCTGAAACTAGGTAACCAAGTGATCCATAAGCCATCTAATGTGAATGCGTATGTTCATCTTCAAACTATTTTGATGATGGGTTCTCATTGGATTGTCAATAATGCGATTGGACTTGTCAAACTTGCTATGGTCCTTATTCATCTAATTGTCTGACATGCGATTTAACGTATAGACAATTAGTTTAATCTTCTTTTGTATGTTCAATTGGGTATTATGAGATTGGATAATTAGAATGTGCAAGTAGTTATAATAAATATCAAAAGAATGCTACTATTCTTGTTAATAATGTTTCGATAATGCTGAAGAAGATTGTATTGTTTGTTCTTTAGACCTTCATTTTAGGCAGTTAAAAGGTAATACTTGTAAATGCATTGATGGATATCAGGAACAACCAGGACTTGCTTAGTGTAAAAGTAATTATTTATTATTTATGGTCTATTAGAATGTTCATACAAAGCTTGTTCTGGCTTGGATGAAAATAATTGTTTCACTTGTGATTTTTTGCAAATAGAGAATTAAAAGAAAATGAATGCAAATGTTAATTACATTATTTTGAATTGGAAGTTTAGGAATGCACAAGTAATTTTAGATGTAGATTCTATTTTGTAGTGCATTCTGTTATAAACAGTTTTGATAATTGTACTTCATGCAACAATGATAGATATTTAGTTGGAAGTACATGTAGATGCATTACTAAATTTGATGGAGCTGCAATAAGTACATTTGATTATAATGGATTGGTTGAATGTTAAAGTATATAATAAAACTAATCTTTAGAATGTCATCATTCATGTGGAACATGTGCAGGAATAGATGAAGGAAATTGCCTCACTTGCATAGATTCTGATAATAGATACTAAGTAGGAAATACATGTATTTGTAAAGAAGGACATTTTGATGCAGGATTACCTGTTTGTTAAAGTATTAAGAGATTTTAATCAATAGAATGCAGTTACAAATGTAAAGAATGCAATAGGCTGCCTGAAAGTTGAACTTCTTGTTTGGATAACGGGTTTAGATAATTTATGTCGAGTTTTAATAGATGCTAATGCATTTAAAGATATTATGATGATGGATAAAATGAAGTTTGTTAAAGTATTTTAATTTCAATTATTTTAGGATGTCATTACACATGTTTCGGTTGTAGTAAAATTGATACTAAATGCGAACTCTTTTATTTTGAGCCAAATAGAATTTATAATGATCAAAACCTTTTTTGTGATTGTGATCTTGGATATTATGATAATGGATTTGAAAATTGTCATAAATGCCATTATTCTTGTTTAAGTTGTAATTCTGGAAATGCTAATTCCTGCATTTCATATGTAGCTATGAGCAATTCAAATAGAGTCTTTATAGTAATACTTGTAAATGTTTATTTGGATATTATGGTGATGGTCATTCAATATCTTGTTAAAAATGTGATGTTTAGTGTTTAAGTTGTGTTGAACTCTCCTATTAATGCTTATCATGTCCATAAACAAGAAAAATAGAGACCAATTGTAAGTGTTAATAGGGCTATTATGATATTCGTTTGTAACTTTGTTCTAAATGCAATTCAAATTGTCATACATGCGAAATTTAAATAAATAATTGAATGTAATACTAATGAATTTAGAGAGCTCAACTCAATAACTAAAACATGTGAATGCTCAAAAAATTATATTGAAATTAATGGAGTCTGTGAATAATGCTCTTAAAGTTTTAAAACTTGCACTTAATCTACTGACAAATGTACATCTTGTTCTTAATTTCGAATTTTGAAAGAATAATGATTGTATTTATCATAATAGATTTGCTTTGTATGAAAATTTTTCATCTTAATATAGCACAACCTTTGGACCTATAAAATTTGCAACAATTCTACATCTTCCTTTTCAGAATACCAAATTAAATGTGTACTTTTGACTAACTCCATAAAATCTTATCATTGTAATTTAAATAAGATCAAAAATAACTATTCTATTGAATTGTCGTGTGAATGTGATAAGTTTGGAGATATTTTCTTAGTAACCTCTACTAATTATAGTATTATAAATTCAAACAATTCTAATCAAAAGTTTACTCTTGACTTTAGTTCTGTAGATTTGGATTTAATATTTTTTACAAGCACTTTGTCATTACTCTTTATGGCCATTTATTTTTGTTAACTAAAGAAAGTTTAAAACAAATAAGAAGAGAGGTTTGTAACTACAATAAGTAACCTAAGCCAACCAGAAGTTATAAATAAAAAATATCATCTGTATTAAGGTAATTGTGTTCAAAGAAAAATTAAAAGTAAAATTGAATTTTATTGATTCACTACATTAAAGAATCTCAGTATTCTATCAAGATAAAAATATTTAACTTAGTTATAGGATTTTAGAATTTATAAGTAGCTTTAGTACTTTTTTGAATGCTACTTCTTATGTATAAATATCACACTCATTTATGTATTCATATTTTTGAACCCTTTAATCATTTTAATATTGAGAATTTTTTATAAGATAATAGAAGTAATATATAGATTCAAAACAATTGCTGCATGTATTAGCGAATTTCTTATTATTATGTTATTGATATCCCCCAATTTTACCATATTTACTTTTTCATTAATGAAGTATGTTTTATTTTATTTTAGGATTAAAATGCAATCAGAATTGTACATAGTTGCTTTAATATTTATAGGAAATACAATAATATCATAGGTAATTGTAGAACCACTTGCAATCATTGGAAGAATTTAATATATAGATTAATTGCTAATAGTCTGAAGAATATGGAACTTAAGCCAGTATATCTTTTAATGCATTTTTTTGTTTTGCATAGTAGTTTAGAAGAAAAATTTGAGGAATTCACAAAAATTTTGATAATATAATCATTAAAAATAAATTTTATTATTATTATTATTATTATAATTTTCAAGTTTGTAAAAATAAATAATTAATAATGTGAAGATTTATAAAATAAAAATCATCTATTTTAGGTATAGATAAATATTTTAATTGTTTATGTTGAAAAATCTAGTCTTACAATAAATAATCCTTTTTATGAGATTGCCATTACTCTTTGAAAACCTGACATTGTACTTCTATAGGAGATAGCACCCCTTGAAGATGAATGATATACTTTACAACATTTAATTGTTTAATTAGGTATAAAAAATGATGATTCATCCTCATTCAATTCTAATTCCTAAATTTTAACCTAATTAATTCGTTCGAATTATTAGTTGTTGGTATTGAGTGCAAAAATTTAATAAATATAATTTAGATCTTTCGGTACATGGTCAATATAAAATAGGTATTTAACTCCAACAAAAATACTATCTTTTATATTTGTTAAGCGCTGTAATTTTTACCATTTCTATTGATGAACTTTTAATATAAGAATTTCAAAATTGTAATTATAGACAAACAATAAATCCTATTGCTCATTTAGTTTGAGAGATTCCATTTAACAATACTAATTGGATATTGATTAAGTTTAAGAATAACAAATATTTTATTTTTCTTAGTTTTCAAAGACATCAATAATTCTATTCTGGCAAAAAATAATTTAGTTTTATTTATCGCTTATAACTAATAATCGTTTAAAAATTGACACCTTAAGCATTTATTTACACTTCCATTGCTTATCAATGTCTTTTTACCACAACAACATTTCATCTAGATTTGCAGAAACTATTAGCTTAAGTTTTGAATTATATTCTAAGACATAGATTTAATTGCTATGTCCCTCCAATTTATAGGAAAGGAAAGTGTATTGTTTATTTTTTTAATCCATAAATTTTATGTTAAATTCCTCTATCCAAATTGTTTCTAATTCAGTATAACCAAATAAGTTGGATTCTTCACATATAAAAGCCAATTAAACACCATAGATTTTTGTACTTTGAGAAGATAAAACTTGATAAGAAAAATTACTATTATCCTATTATTATAACATTATTTAATTCTTTAATATTTATTTTTTTAAATTAAAACATAATAATATAGATTCTCTGATCTTTTTGACATTATATATTGTCAATATATAATTTTTTTAAATGAATAGCAAATAAATATGTAATATTTCATATATTGAGTTTAGTAAGTAGAAAATGAAATATTATTCAAAAATGTTTAATAAACAAAATTAAAAAGTATCTTATAAAAGGTAGATTAATTATAAATGATGAATTCTAGACCAAATAATTATATATTCTAAAGATTTGTTGTCAATAGTGTTAGAATGATAGTTTACTTTTAATGCTGAGTTTGATTTTTTTATTAGCATATTTTAAAGAAATTTAGTATTATACTGTTAAATTAAGAATTCTTTTTCCTTTTGAATAATTTATTCCTTAAATAAAAGATCTATTTAAAGTAGAAATTATACTTTTTTAGAATATACAAGTAATTTAGTTACCCTAAAACACTTTTTATGAAAATATTAATACTTTTTTGAGAAATCATAATTGTATACAATAGTACCTATGCTTTTTAATAAATATAAAATATTCATTCTAAAGATAAGATTGACTCAATACTATTTTCAGATGCTACTAAAATAAATAAAATAAATACATTCATTCAATATAAAGCTCTGAATTCCAGATGAAATTTATTCCTATTATTTTAAATAAGCATTAAATTGATCTATTTTAGATTTAGCTCGATGGGCAATTTTCAAGATTTATAATAGCTTATCCCTTTCAACTGAAACCAACTTATTTTTTTTGACCTTATCAATTTCTTAACTCAATTTATAGGAATCAGTTATAGGTCGATGAGTTTTAGCTTATTCAAGGTAGTTTTTTATTTTATTTAGTTTTGGGTCTTGCATTTTAGAGTTTATTTTCGAGGTACAAGCAACGTTTCCTTGGCTTCCTGAGCGTATAAGTAGGCTTTTTTGGATTGTAGATTGAAGCATATTATGTTGTGGGGTGCGACATTAATCTGGAGAATCTCTTGGTTCAACTGATTTTTTTTCATTACTCTTATTGATTAATGTTTGGAGTAGGGCTTGTTGAGATTAAGTACTTTTGTCATTCAACTTGATGCGGATATCCAAATCCCCTAAGTAGAGAGACTGAAATTACTTGAGTCTCTATAGGTTTTTGATCCATTAGAATCTCTTTTGGCAATGTAATTCTTATAGATTTCATTTTATGTCTTATTCAATTTGTCTATGATTTCATTTTAGCGCTGATTAGAATCTCTGGATTTTTTGGATTATGACTTTTTCATCTAACTTTTATGCATGAGTAAGTCTTTAACACTGATTTAGATTTAGGTGTTTTTGTGATCGCTAAAATATTTGGAGATTTCGATTTTGTTGTCCTTGATTTCTGGTTTAGGATAGAGAGTTTGATGATCGCTAATTTGATTTCCTATCTTTTTATATCTCAAATTTGTACTTTCTTCTTGATTTTTTAACTTAGCATTCTGAAGCTCTACTAGTTATTCTTGTCATTCTCAACAGTGTAGGCTGATAAGATCTTGGAAATGCGATCAGATTTGATATTAGATCTATTAGTTAGTAATTAATTATGCATTTTATATTAATGTCATATAAATAAATCTGATTTCTTATACACATAGATACTACAGTTGTTTTTAGTAAGGAATTTGAGAATGGATTTGAATAGAGCCATTGAAGTGTCAAGTTGTTATTATGAGAATACTAATTTTTGGATGATATCCCACAGAAATCGAAAGATCTCTTCTTTTATAATGAGTTTATTAGTTTCAAAAGCTTCTTCCTAAGTTGAGGCAAATTGATTATAACGAATAATCTTTTGATTTAACTGCGTTTAGACTGTGTCTTTCTTGACTACTTTAGGACGTAAACAAATCCATTAAATCAAATCGTAGGTTAATTCTGGAATTGGCTGAATAAATTATGTGAGTTATTGATAATTTTATCGAATGATTTAGACTTGACTCCATAATTTAAAGACTTCAACTAATTCGGTTAAGGATATCTTAGATATATTTTACTTATTGGCTCGTTTAAGATTCTTTAATAATTCTTCATCAAACTGAAAATAGTGAATAGAGACTTACTTCAATTGATTCAATAGTTTTTTAGACTTACTCGCAATATTTGAGGATTAGAAGTGTCTTTGGCTGTCCAATGGTTTATTGTTCTTCAATGAAGGAGAAGAATTATGGATGAATTTGATCGCTAAGGAAGAAAAAGGTTTGTCTATCTCCATAAGCAGATTATTATAACAATTTCTTTCTCTCATTCATATGTTAATGGAATTTAGTGAGGAATCGAGCTCTTGACTTTTATTCCTTGTCTCTAAAATATGTATAACTTTATTGATATTCGACAAAAATGGCATCTTTCATTCGTTTCAATCTGCTCAATTCCTTGTACCCATTGAAATCGAATTTCTTTAATGCATTTTATTGCTGCTATTAGTTATTCTCCATCTTGTTAGTATTTTATGTTTATTAGTATGAGGAATTCAAATTTTATTGTTATTGTTATTGCTATTATTATGGGATGGGTTGTAATTATAAATAAGGCTACGATGGCTATTTACGAACTGGCTGGACTGCGGGAATAGGTGGTTTAGCTTTGCTCTAATCTTCAATTAGAATTGAATTCTTTTCGTGAATTGATTTAGTGGGTGATTATTTTATTAATCTGCTTTGATCCTTGAACGATTTTGTGGAATCTCTCTATTACACAGGGAACTTGGGTTAAACTTGAGTAACTTTTGGGGTCACTTCCTATTTGTACAACGATCCAGATCTTTTATGCATTGAAACTTTGGAAGGGGATAACTTTTTTTGACTCACTTTGCGAGAGAGAATCTACTTTTTGTTGCTTGTCTATTTGAAGGATTCTAATTTTCTTTTTGGTTATTCAAAATCTTGCTTTTCTTATTTTTTAGGTTCGATTTATGTCTTGTTGGGATCGGATAAAAATTATTCAGCTGTCTAAAGAATTTTGTCAATATCATTATTAATTTCAGGGAGAGTTGATGGAAGTGAAGATTTGTGTTACATATATTTCATTTCAAGAGGTCTTTTATGCGAATTGGTTTTATTAGTAATGGTTTCCATTTATAAGATCTATTGTTACAATTCCTTAATAGTACGTTCCAGATGTTGAGAATATTCCATTAATGAAGGTATTATTTCTGAAAACATTATATATTATATGTAATAATTTTAATAAAAGAAAATATTTTTAACAGATTCCAAAATCTACTTGTGTCTAATTAAATAATACAAATTAATAGTTTAGATTTACTTTAAAGTAAATATAGCTCTGACCAAGATTCGAATGCTCATATTTTAAATTATTATCGATAATAATAAAAGAATTTTAGATTTCTCTAAATTTGTGAATTAATTAATAATATTGCATTTTAATAATTATTATTTGTAATCAATTCTATTTTCTCAAATAGACACTATGATTTTATTATTTTAAGATATGCAATAGAACTTGAACCTTTTGGTATTATTTCATTGGAATATTATATGTCCATATATAGTGACTTTCTATTTAAGAGAAACCATTGTCATATATTTGATAGGTTTATATTCAATCAATTTTATAATATTACTAATTAAGAATAACAATGATAAACATCCTTATTAATATTTTGTTAATGCTAATATCAATCATAATTGAATTGAGGATTCTTAGGAAAGAGAAAGACAAAAGAATAGAAAACAGTGGATAAGAGTATTATGATTCATAATCAAATAATCATCTACGAAATCTTGCTATAACCAACCATATGTTTAAGCATGTCATCTTTAACAATTACTCTTGAGGTGTGTTATTCTATCAAATCTTTTATCTTTTGCAATTACATTTTATTTTCACTTGGAGAATACTTGAGTACTGGAAAAGAGAATTTACGTGAGTTCTGCTTCTTCTTTTCTATCATGGGAGCACTTTTATATTTATAATTCACATTCTCAATTCTTCTATCAATTCTTTATACAATTTGAGGGAGTTACTAAATTTCTTTAAAAACATCATTTCCACTTTCTGATTTGTTTTCAGTTTTTTTGTGGAAAAATCTGTTTTATTGTACATATCCATTGAAATACTTTTTCATTGTAAATAAATGTTTTGGATTGAATGCTGGTTGTGATTAATGTTATTGCATTAATAAAATAATAATATAAATAATTAGAATAGTCTAATTTTATATTTATATACAGAATGGATATGAATTAATGAAGGTGAAGATGCTGGATAATTTTAATTATCAAATTGATTTTAACAACCTAGAAGATAAAATGTTCTAATCATAATTCAAATTTTTCCATCTAAATTTATTATTTGAATGTTATAACTTTACACATCAAGCTAGGAATGAAAGGTTATCATAATACTTCAAACAATATATCATAAGTCCTTATTTCAACTAATTATTTAGTGAGTTAGCACTCAATATCATTAAAAGATATATATAAATTTATAGTATTTAATGTTCATAAATCACTGCAATCTAGTTCATATAATAAAATATGCTACTAACATAAATCTAAACTAATTCTAGAGTCAATTAAGATAAGATTGATAAAGATTATTGTTATAGCCATAATTTTAGTAATTCAAATTAATTATTATTTAATATTATCAACAACTCTTTCAGATTACTCTAAACTTTAATACATTTTATTTAACTCGTAATGTTCTTTGTTGAATCTCATCAATTTAAGTTTGATATCTTTGAATTCTGGATTCTTTGATTCCATTTCTTTATGTAATTCAGTCATAACATCATCAAAACCTTAATTGTACTCATTAACATTGTATAAATAAACTTATTTATATTTAAAATAATGTACTTCCTTTAATCATGATCTTCATCAAAGAGATCATATTTTTATTAGTTGTAATTTGTCTTTCGATACTAATTTCGTGTTATTTCTTCTATTTGATTGCTTCCCCCAATAACTTCAGTTCTTCAAGCAACTACTTTTCGTCATCTTCTTCAAATAACATAGGAAAATCTTCCCTTTCAGATCCAACTTCACTTAATTAAAATGGAGTCACTTTAACCATTTGTAAATTCAAAGATGGTAATTTTGTAGTTGATTTCTATTACTAATATGAGTCTCTCTACTTAATTTGTTCCTCATGTTGATCAACTGTCTTCATACAAATCTATTGTTATTATTTGGGTGTCTTATTTCCATTATTTTTCTTTGGAGTTATGCTAATATTCTTTTTCAACTCACATTTTGTTTTCTTAATTTCCTATTGATTCTACACCTTCACAGGAGTTCTATTCATTTATTAAGGTTCATTTTTAGTATTTTGTGGTGTCTTAGGTCTTGAAAGCCTGTTACTCACTTTGCTTAAGCGACTGGCAGTTGATCTTTCAGTGGGTTGCAATTGCAAAGAATCATTGCTGTTTACGCTGTGGTCTAATTTAGAACTATGTTTAGAATTATTATTATTGATTATTTATTGTTCCAATTGAGTGTACGACAATTCTATCTTATGAGTGTAGAGTAGTAGTTTGATCAGTTTCTCCTCGCATTTATCCATGTTCTCCAATGGGTTAAATCTGAGATTCAAGCTTTCCAATTTTAATTTCTCTAAAGGCTTTAAATCATTAATATTTAATTAATTATGTCCAACATCAATTCTATTGTAATATATGAATATTTTATTACATCTCCAAATTTTCTAGTTTGGTAAAACACCATAATGGACCTGATAATTGGTTGTTGCTCAAGTTGATTTTACGAAGTTGAGTGTTGCCATCAAATATGTTGGAACTGATTGATGAAATGTTATTATAACTAAGATCAATTATTTTTAGGTTCTTTAAATTCGATAAGAATGAACCTACATATAAACGAGTACCTTATGATTTTAGAGATTTCTGAAAATCATCAAACACACTTCCCAATAAATTGTGAGCTAAATTGATTTCGACCAAAGATGAAGTCAATTGGAAGAACTAATTTATACGATTATGACTCAGATCCAAATTGTAAAGACATTAGAATTAAGAGAACCCATCTGTTGATCCCAATAAGTTGTCACTGCAATTGATTGATCTAGTTTTTGCATAATTTATGTGTGTGTCATAGACAGCATTCTAATACATAACCATACATGTCTTACAATGGTGTCCAAGTTAAAGTTCTTGATTTGTTTGTTAGACACATTTATAACCTACATTCTTTGCTTAATTTAATATTTAAATACAAATACTACTTCATTTTTGCGCTATGATCTAAAAAAAGTAAATTAAAAAACTCAAACACAAATTTAACAATCGAACTCTTGCTCAACACTACCCTCAATTCAGAAAATACATTCAAATCAGCAACAAAGGTGAGACCATCATTGATTACAAAAATCAAAATGCACTCAATGAATTGAACAAATCCATTATGGATTATTATTTTGGAATCAGAGAATTCACAGTCCCATTAACATCGATGGTTCCTGCTTTAGGCTGTCGTCTAAATTACATTGAATGGGTCAAACAATAAGTTGATGTATCCAAATTTCCCATCACCCTAATCTATGATGTTGGAACAGGCTTTTCAGGAGTCTTGATTTTCTTAGCTTATAGATTATACGGTTGGAAAGGAATTGGAGTCGACACATCAGAATAAGCCATTAATCATGCTCAATCTATCGCCTAATCAAATCACATTGAATGTGAATTTAAAGTTGGAGATCTATTTCAATTCTTATAAGATGGTATGGTAACTGTTTGTAATCCTCCATTTTATGATGATCAAGAAGAAAGAGAATACAATAGAGTCATTCATACTTAGGAAACATTTGTAGAAGGAGGGGAAGTCTCCTTTGTAAAAAGAATGCTTGAAAATTCAACCAAAAATTGCATGTATACAACTATGCTTGGCAGAAAATCTAGTCTAAACTCGTTCTAAGATATCGAAGAAAAAGTAGAATTACATTAAGGAAATAATATTAGATTTGCATTAAGTTGGACTTAGTAAAAAGAATAATAATTAGTAAATAAATGAATATTTTTTGGTAATTTTTGTAATAAAACTAAAAATATTATTTATGTCTTATGAGTTTATATAATCTATATCTATTTAATTTTACGAACAATCAATAAATTAATAAATTGATAAAGGTTTAGATCATAATTCTTATACTTATGATATATTTATTAAGTAGTATTAAAGAAATATAATCCATAATAAATTACTTATTAAACTACTGAAGACCCTATATATTTTCTAATCATATAGTATTAGCAAATCAAAAAATTAGAGTAATTTATTAATAGGAATAATAATGACCTATAGATTATAAGAAATGAGATTTTCTCGATTATTAAACTAGCCTTCAAATCAAGGAATCTTAGGAAATTGTTTTGCAATTAACTGAAATGACTATCAATATACTTCAAACTAATAAATGAATGCTTAATTTATTTCAATAGTTAAATTATTTTTATATAGAAAAATAAATAATGAGACTACTTACTTAAATTCAAAGTTAATTGATAATGTAGAACACAATTAATTTTGAAAGAAATTTATTTATCTAAAATACTAAGTCTTTTTATTATGAAATTCAATAGATATATTTGTATTTAAAAAAACTATCAACAGTCAATTGTTCTTCAAAAAAATTAATGTTGATGTTCATTTAAGAGCTTTATAAATTCATATTGAACACTCGTAGTACAAGAATAATTTTCACAAAGTATCATCTTAATTGCAACTTATGATCTTGATATATAAATCAAATTATACTAGTCATAACGATAATAATAATAAGATAGAAGACTTTAAACCTTTTTAATGCTTCTTATTAATTCAATAATATTAGGATTCTTTAGATTAAAGAGGATGTAGATGGCATTTTGTTGAGAAATCAAAATTTATATGTATATATGAATTTTAATCAAATTATACGTTCAAGATCTAAATCGCCTGTTCGCTAAATTCCAAGAACATCACATATATCCTATTTCAAAGTTAAAGAATAAAGACAAACCCTTTACAAAAAAGAATTTTTCATTTAATTAGAAGCAACGTTTAACAAAATAAGGAAGCAATTACACCAATTTGCATTTACATAAATACGTCGAAAACTTGAAATTGAAATAAAGAAAATGAAGCTAATTCAGGCTCAATACCATCAGAAAATTTTAATAAAGGCTTTATCTAAATGGATAAGATAATACAAATATCAGAAAATGAGTTAGTCGTTAATTTCATCTCCTACTTTTAGCAGCGGATTTAAATCACCAAAAAATAACAGTGTTAATGAATTTAAGGCTATCCCAAAAACCAAAAAACAATCAACTATGAGAACTAAAAAACTTTGTAATGCTTTAATGAAAATTCAATGGAATAATAAAAGACTCATATTTACAATATATAAAATATTTTAGATATAGAAAAGAAAAAAGAAAAGCATTTTGTTCAAATGGTACAAGAGAACCTATAAAAGATTATTACTAAATGTAAAATTGTGCAAAATGGTGTCAATATTAAATAAATAGATTGCAAAATGTCTGAAAGCAATGTGATTTAAAATCAATGTTCAACTACATCACTATACCATATTTTATTGCTTATAATATTAAATTCTAGTATGTTAAAAGGATTAGAATTCTATTATAACTATGTTTGTTATCTTAAAACTTGGTTAGAATATAACGCATTTATATATAGATTAACAAAACTAAAAAATAATCAATAAGTTTTTCAAATCTCTTATTTTTTTTTTGATTTAACTGGATCAGATGTAATATTGTAAGCATAGCAATATAAATCGTTGTCTGTTCTTGTGTCACATTATAAGCTGGCATCATTAAATTAACAATATGGTTTTTATAAACATTATTCTTTTCCTTTGAGATCAGAACATCTAAAATGTATTCATTATAAAATACAATATATTTCTGCAAACACCATTTTCCCAAGTGCATTGATTTGGTTCTAAACAAGAGCTTTTATTTGTTAAATAAGAGCATTAAGTACATTCACCAAAATAATGGAAGCATCTTCTTCCATTCACAAAGCTTGGACAATATAACGAATTTAAATTATATTTGCAATCCTTTGCTCTACATTCATATTCATCGAATAGATCTCCAAAATAAAAATATTGCTTTTGCATAGATGATGCCTTACCATTGATAACCAATTGGCATCTAGCTATATATTAAATAATTACCTATCCTTTAGTTTTGCATTTCTGCATTACATATAATCATTGATTTCACTGCATTCAGATATTGGTATACATTTATTGTGTTCCCAAGTACATGATAAGGTAGTTGAGTATACTTTAACACATGATTCATATGAATTAAACTCATCACATGTAATTCCTTTGATTTTTCTTTAAATAATAAGTTTATCTTTACTTCATAATTTTATCACAATGAGTTTCATTCCAACCGCACCCATCCTATCTCATACATTCATCTTAATTATCATAATAATGGCATTTGGCTTTCAATACTGTACATTAACTTGTTTCTGAGTTCCAATAACATGTTGCCATGCGAGATGAAACAGACTAGCATGAAATCTAATCAAGCAGGTCTTCACATCTTAATTATTTCGATGAGCAAGCTAAAGTAATTGAAATTATTATTGATATCAAAATAATCTAATTCATAATAATTTCTTAAAAAGTAATCCAGAACTTGAATTTATTCTCTAAATGAATCATTATTGATTCTAAAATTCCATATTGATACTACTTGATTTATATTATTATTCATGTAGTATTCCAAAGAAAATTTATAATTATTTTTTATTTAATTATCCAGAACATCTTGACTTTCATTTTATGTACTTAGAATCAACAAATCAAATATTAATTATTAAATTAGTTAGTCTCTAATTCAGAATTTCTATTATTAATTTGAATGCCAAGAATTTATTGACAATCTAAAATGTAAAAATAACATAAATAATAGATATTATTTCACATTTTCTTGGACCCTTTAACTTTTTTGACCTAATCCTACTAAAAATCTTCTGAAGAACTACCCTATGAATTTTCCACAACATCACTAACATAACTCCCATAAATACTCTTTTTTGTATCCATAGTGCTTCTTTTTCTTTATTCTTCTTGGCCTAAATTATGGACTCTTAGGACTTTTGGGCTCTTCAACAACAGTCTCTATAATTTAATACTCAGATTAATATAAATCTTACAAATGGAGATGTTTTGCTGCTTTATGAAAAAATACGATCATTAGCATTTGCCTTAGTCTTCCTTGAAACATTCCCATTTAGTTTTCCACTTTTTATTGTTGTATATCCTTCCCATCCTTTTATAATATTTCCTGTGGCAGCTGTTTCTTCTAAATATTTTGTCTCCAAATCGAAAATTTGTTTCTCCAAGACTTTTAGTTCATTCTCAAGACTTTGCCTTTTGTCACTTAACTCTTAAAACTTTTTTTCACTCATCCTATGTGAGCAAATAATTATAAAATAAATAATTCAAAAAAGGCAACAAATTATTAACAAAAACTTATTACATAGTCACTCCTACTTATGAAATGCTTAGTTATAAGCAATGATGCTGTGACTGAAAATTCCTTTTTTTAATTATAAATCAAAATAATTTTTACAAGATGTCTTCAATATACTGCAGAAATTGTGTGATGATGAAATTATGAAATAGTTTTATCCATGTCTCAATATTTAACACACAAAGGATAATTTAATTTACGAATCATTTATTATTATTATAATTCAAGATGTATATGAGATATCATTTAGAAACTCATTAACCTAAATCCCATAACAAACATCCAGATTTAAAACTGAATGTTCATCACTCACACATTCCAAGTTTACCGTTATTACTTCCTTAGCAACTTAGTCCGGTGAAAGAGAAATCACCCTAATTAAGTAAAATGGGAGAGTAAATTCTCAAGCAATGGGGATTTTACCCTGACTCTAACCATACAACAAAAAAAGAAATGCATACAGAACATACAAAATCAGAAAAAAAATATAAAGATAAATTTGATGATCTTTTATATAATCTTCATACTTAAAGACCAAAATGTCAGAAGAATCATGATTTACAAAACGATTTCAGTCTCAAAAAGTCTGTTCATTTCAACAGTGTAGTTACAGTTAAGGACATAGATGGTCAAGTTTCGTAAAAAGAAATCAAATTATTTTCAAGAAATAAGAGGAGGCAAAGGACTAAACTCGAAAATTTGACAGTTTTTAGTTGATCTTTCTTTAACTAATTCAAACTTATCTTTCTATATAAATATTTCTAATTTTACATTTTGACCAAAACTAAGTCCCTATTTCATACTTGTCTAGTAAGTACAATTAAAAATTTTAATTATTATTTAATTTTACTTCAAGTTTGAAATAAGTACTGTTAAACAATCAAGCTTCTGTTGAATATCAGAATTTGTGGACTAGTTTGGATTTTTATTAATAAATCCTCATCTAATACAATTATTTATTATTTATAAAATTGAAATCTTGCTATGATCATATTCTTATCCATAAAATCCTTCAATTTAGAATAATAAATAATTATGATAAATTAAAGCATTCTCAGAAATAATTTATTTTTTCTCATATTATTTTTACAATTAAGAAGAGTATTATATATAAATAAAAAATAATTATATTATCTAATAAATAGTATAAAAAAATAGGAGCCATTCTTATAGATGATTACATTTTAAGGATTGTTATTTATTAATAATTCACAAAATTAAGAGTTAGGAATACGATATTATTCAATTTAGGAATTATCTTATGATTATTATATTGGTATAAATTATAAGATATCAATTGAATAAAGATACAGCTTAGGACACAAACTATGAAACATAATTTTAATTTCTATTCCAAATGTCATCAAACAAAGAATAGGGTTGAGTAATAAAATGAAATTCCATTTGAACATTCATGATATTTGTGCTATCTAGCTCATAAAGTTTAAGATCATTCAATTTCGCAAACAAACTCAGACTCTAACACAGTTTTTCATTTCTTTTATTTTATCCATTTAAATTACCGATTAATACTATTTATTATTTATTATTTGTAATTGGTAAAGCCTAGTATATATCATGAACCTAGTCCATTTAATCGTAACAACCGCAAATATTAACAACTATCAATATTAAATCAGCAACATTCGAATAGTATTAAACTAATCCCAAGGGTTTTCCATCCCATTCTATTGATTATACTTCATAAACTCTGTGTTATGCTACTTTGGCTAATTTCACTTAGAAATGTATATCTTATGGATAAAATTCCCTATGAAATTGCCCATAAGTGAGTGCATCGATTAAACTGCTTTTTCCGACTCTATTCGGACCCAAAACTAGCATTACTTGCGACATCAGAATTAACCAAAAAGTATATTTAAATTATATAATTAATCACTTTTAGCATTTATCTCCTCCTACTTTCAACAGTTTAACTCCATGAGTTGTGAAAAATTCATTTTTAAATTCTTTAATTTCTTTTATTTCTTCACTTGTATTTTGTGTTTAGATAAATAATACTTTGAATTCATCTTTATTCAAAGTTTGATTTAGTATTAACGATGTCAAGTTATATTTAATAATTAATTCAAATTATTCTCAGATAGAAATCCCTATCTCTAAATTTGATTTTAATTACATAAATTAGTTATTTATTCCAAATTTTCAAAATAATAATTATTAAAAGAGAATATAAATAATTTGATATCAAATAAAATAATCAATTAAAACAAGAATTTCTAAACCTCTATCTTCCATTTTTGTTCTTCAAAATTTGCCTCTTCAATGGTATAGAACTTGAAAATCCTTAAAGATTTTAGTGGAATTTTTATTTTAGTTATATTGTAAAGACAATTAAATAATTATTCACTGCAAAAAATAATAGGAGTCTATTAGATCCAAAATATAAAGGAACAAAGGCAAAAAATTAAAAGGTTTATGATGTTCTCTAAAACTTTTAATAATTAATCTCCTAACTAAAGTTTTGGCTTTCAATTTTATTCTAATAGAAATATTCTTATCAAAATTGGAACATAACTAATAGAATTTGTCCTTTATTTATATGTTATAAAACCTGCTTGAGGATCGGATAAATAAAATGTAGTAAGTAATGATTCAAATTTTTGTAAAAACCTTAACCGGAAAAACCATGACTCTCGATGTAAAACTATCAGATACTGTTGATGAAGTCAAAGCTAAAATTTAAGACAAGGAAGGAATCCCACCTGATTAATAAAGACTCATTTTCGCAGGAAAACAATTAGAGGATGGAAGATCACTTTAAGATTATAACATCTAAAAGGAATCAACACTTCACTTAGTTTTGAGATTAAGAGGTGGAATGTAAATTTTTGTAAAGAATCTTAGTGGAAAGACAATTACTCTTGATGTTGAGCCAGACTTGACAATTGATATGATTAAAGGAAAAATATAAGAAAAAGAAGGAATCCCACCTGATTAATAGAGACTTATTTTCGCAGGAAAACAATTAGAGGATGGAAGATCACTTGGAGATTATAACATCTAAAAGGAATCCACAATCCACTTAGTATTGAGATTGAGAGGAGGTTATTGATTGCAAATTAGTGTTATTAAAATTCTATTAAAATAATAAAAATAAAAAAAAATAAATTAAAATTAATAATTCTATATGCTTCATGTTGCTAAATTTTAATTTTAATTAGATAAATCCTAAACATTTATTTCAGGGTCTCATTTGATTTGATTAGATCGATTAGTATAACCTTCTTCTATTATTTGCAAATGAAAATTTTCTCATTATAATACAAGCTAATTATCTTTTTACTCTTTCAATTAATATTCATTCATTCATCTATTCTTATCTTCATTAGATTTTCTTTTGAGATTTTTTGTTAGAACTTTTATAATAAGAATAATAATGGTAATCTTATCTAATTTTATCCTCGCTTCTAGTTCCTCTTATATATTAATATTACTTTAAATATCAATTACTTAGATTGCAACGATTTGAATTTAGATAATTTCTTAAGTAAAGTCTCATTGTTTGATAATTAGTTTTAAACAATTAGGAGGTAATTTAAATATTTTTGGTTTCATTAATGCAGTAATATTCAAAGCAAAGAATTATTATTATTATAATTTTTTATTTTGAACGAAGAAATCTTAGAATTTTTCAATACCCTTAACAACAACTTTGAATATTACTATAATTTTCGATTAAACTTCTCAGTTTATTATTGAATATTTATTATAATATATAAATTATGAATTGTTCCATATTTATGATAATTTGGTTTTAAATGGAATAATTTATGAGCAGTTCTATAAAAGTTATTAAAGTTAACCATCGTCAATTAAACTTGGATATTATTTTATAATTTTTATTTATTCATTCCGAATTAATTCTCATGAATTCCTTAGATGAGGCAATTGCTAATTTGGACAAGATTTTAGCTCATATTCTTATAGAGTAGGACTTAAGATTAAAAGGCATTTAAATAGGACATGGCTGGAAATAGCTCACCGTTATTAAAGAAGCAATCACGAAATTGAGTTTTTTTGATAGAAGGCAATATAAGAAAAACCTAGTGGAGCTTGAAAATCGTTTGCTTACATATGAAGATAATTATATTTCAGAAGTGGAATTAAAATTAGTATTAATTAAAATTTTATGTATGAGGCTTTAGAGGATGTTCAGAAGGTAAATGAATTATTAAATAACTATAAAACTTAATTGATTATAGATAAGAGAAAAGAAATTGAAGAAAAATTAATTATCCTTAGGAATGAACTCTAAAGAATTTATGAGAAGAATAAAAATAAAAATGATAAAAAATGGATTGAAATGAACAGTCAAATATCAGGGATTATGGGATTGATTTAAAATGTTTTAAATTCAAAAGATAATGCTCAATTTACTGATTAAAGAGAATAAATGAATTAGGTTTTAAAGACAATATATGTTCAAAAAAGAATAAAAGAAGAAGAAGAGGAGGAATTGCTCAAAATAGCAGAAGAAATGGAAAAACTTAAAAATTTATAAAGAGAAGTAGATTAAAGACTTTAGAAAGATAATGAAAATATAAGTGAAATAGATAAATAATAAGGAAATCTGCAACATAATCAAGATTACAATGCGTAATAATATAACCAAGCAGGTTAACTTGTTTAAATGAGAAGAAGAACTAAAGTTAAATTATTCTTTTAAGGTTTATTTACAGCTGTAGGATGTTTGGGAGGTAAAATTGGAGCAGCCTTTGGTTTTGCTCTTGGAACATTTACAGGAAAAAAAGTTAGCGAAGCTGTTACAAAATCATCATTAAATTGATATTATAAAAATTAAATACTTAATTTCATTTAAATCCGTAAATAGTTTAAGCTAATTATATTACATATAGTATTTTCTAATTGATTTCATCTAATGTTACAAAGATTTTGTTGTTATTAATTATTCAACATTAAATACAAATATATACAATTATTATCTAAATACTTGTATTAAATAAAAATATATATTAATAAGAGAGAGAAGCTTTGGCTAAATATGAAATAAATTATTATAAAAGTTGATTAGCATCATTCTATTTTCTTATTCATACTTTGCGTAAACTTAAAAAGCCTTCTCCTAAATCTCCTTGATAAGCAATATTTATTCTTGCTCGAGAAGGTAAAGAGATAAAATCAATCATTGTTAAGCCAGTGACTGAGGTCTTAGTATCTTTTAATTTTCCAGATGAATGATGAACTACATAACTAAATTAACAATTATTGGTACCTACTATTGTTGACAGCATTTATGATAGTTTCTCCATTAACCATAATATCAATTTTAGGTTTTTTTTTAGCAAAGAATCCAAGTGTGATTTCATAGATACCAGGAGCCACTACAATTATATTTGGTTTATCTTTATCCCATAAGAAATTCTCAGTCAGCGTATTAATTGCCTATATATTCCAAGGGATTAGACTTCCTGGACTTAGGAAGTTCCCTTTAAATAACCATCTTCCTATAATATTTTGGCTGCATAACTATTCGTTAAGAGTGTTTTGATTTAATTAGAACCTATTAAACTCTTCATAACTAAATTTAGATGATAAAATTTATTAAATTTCGTTGAAGGCTTTAGAGACATCTTCATGATTTGCTTTTTTGTCAAGGACATCTTTGAAGTCTCTTTTAGATAATTTCTTTTGGAGATCCTTTTAAATTTCTGCAATCTACAAATTATTGGCATCTTTGTATTCTGCAAATGTAGTTGCATCTTGTTTCTTTCCTAGATCAACGGCAATATTTTCTATTAATGACATATGTTAATGAAAATCTTTGAGAGGAACTTTGTCTTCTGTATGCATTAGAAGTGCTTCCATATCTATTTTATTTTATAAGAGGGAGATGATTTCGGTGTGGTTTGCCTAATGTAAGGTAATATGGATACTTTCTTATTGATTAATTAGTAAAATTCATTTCCTTGTAATTCCAAAACAGTACGGACTTCATCTTTAAACTCTTAAAATCTTTAGGCAATATCGATTTATTATGTATTTAGAGCATTCTACACTTCAATCAAATCTGACTTTAATTCTAGTTATAAGTTAATCTAATTAATTTTAGTTTCAAGTTCAGGTTTTTTAATAAATAATTATTGCTAATCATGAATTTCTATTTTCATTGAGTCTACTTATTGAACTATTCTTTCTAATTCTTGAAAGAATGCTTTTTTATTTGCATTAAGCAAAGATTTGGTAAGTGTTTGATGTTCATTTAATTGTCTCTATTCTTCTTAGTAGTATTGTTTGAGTTGATCTTTGAATTGGTGTACTTATTCAGTCAGATTGGAGATTTCTAAGCGGCGTATTTTTTCATTGAGGAGATCATCAAAATATTTTTTTTAATAGGCCATTTCATTTTTGAGTAGGTCTACATCTTCTTGTATGGTTTTTCTGTTGGATTCCATCATTTAATAGGCTTCATTTTGATCCATTTTGTTTTCATCAATTTGCAACATTTTCTATTCTAAGGCTTTGATTGTGTAATCAAATTACTATTTGATTTGTTCAATAGAGATTGAGTTTGAGTCATCTCTACTATTTACTATGATTTATGTTTAATGATAGTACATTCTCTTTTGGCTGTGAATATTTTCTGTTCAAATTAGTTGTGAAGTAGAGAGATGTCTTTCTGTATATGTTCTATGTTGAGTGTTAATTGGGTGATTTGATTTTAGAGGTAAGTGAGGAGAGTATTGGAACTCATTCAAATTTCAACAGAAAATATAATAAAAAAAGTTAATTAATCAATCACTTTTCCTATGATACATGAATAGATAAGCTGAATCGATTCGATTGATTTGGTTAAGGGAGAGACGCTCAATTTCATCATCATTGAAGAGATAAAACTTCACAAATCATTAAGATAAACATACATTCTGATTCCGCTTGACCACAGCCACATAATGTCCCTAATCTATACTGCCTGAATGCACAATCATTGAGTGCAACTCATATTTGGTATCAAGTACTTCTGATACGCAAAAACTAATGAATAAAATAATGATTCTACTTTTTTATATTCAATTCCATATCAGCAAAAACTGGTTCTTTGATTTTTTTCTACAAAGGGTATATTTGGAATCTTTTTAATTGCAAAACTAAAATGTTTGGTGCAAAGGAGATTTTAAGACGCCGTTTGATGCTTCTAAACTTCTGATTACAAAAAGAGCAAGTCCAACCTCCATCAATCATTTCCTCTTTGAAATAGTTACTTAAACATTCCTATATTGTCAGTTTTCGCTACATGAAATTCTTACCCACTAGTGGTAGACTTAAATCATAGAAGGGATCTTAACGCTGGCTAATTTTATTACAATCTGAGCATTTAATGAATGAGGTAAGTTGTCCATGGAATAATTCATCAATAAATGTGATAGATTACTTAAAGGAACATTATTGAAGTTGATTCATTTGAAGAGTATTATTGATAGATATTTCTTCTTTGAATTTATCCAAAATAAAGAGCAGTAATTCAGAACTATCATGCATTTCATAAATTGAGAAATGCTTTTGAAGAACTTTGATCAATTCTTTGGCCACTATGCGTGCTTTGTAATGCACCTTCGAGGCCTTCCTCAAGAGTAGTGAATAAGCATAACTGAAGAGTTTGCACTCAGATTGAGATGAAATTAAAAAGTAAAAGTTTAATTGGGGGATACCCATCAGACATTGTAAGACACTATTTAAGTAGCAAAAGTAGATCTCATTCTCCAATCCAACTATTTGGAGTTCTTTGATTGACATTTATTTAAGGTGTCGAATTTTGGCTTGTTTAATGTCGAGATCATTCATTGAAGGCGATGCAAATACCTTGAGCGATTAATCCAAGATATTGATTTCGCTTCTTCTATCAAAATCATTGATTGTCATCATGGGACCTCCTTTGTATATGTTCACCAAAACATTCCACACTTGATCATTGACCAATACGTAATCCTTATCCAATATCAATTCTTCTTTGGCTTTGTATTTGTCATATAGGATTTTGTTGGTAATCTCTCCGGGATGCAATCCTGCATTTTTGATGTAATTGGTGTATGCGATGGCCCAGTTGAATTCGATGAGGTGACTCTTTTCAGGCAATTCAATCAATTTAGTAACTAATTCGCGTTCTTGCTCCAAGGTTTTCTTGTCATGAAGAATGAACTTCTCAACTTCTTACAAACTGAGATTGATCTTATCATTTGTTCCTTCCATGTTGGTTAAATTAGTGGAATGTTGATCTTGATCATTCGAGGTTCTTATTTGATATTTAGGTTGTTTCGTTTGAGATTGCAAAGGAGGAATCTATGTTTAAGTTTGTACAACTTTCGGCTTCTTGTTGCTCTTACAACATATAAACATATTTAATATTAATTATAAAAAATTAAATCGCTTACTTAAATGAAGTGATTCTTACTAATATCATAACGAGTGATATTCGAAATTTGTTCTGTCTGAAAAGCAAAGATTTTTTTATTTTATAATTAATCGTACTCTTGAAATCGCAGATGTAATAAGACTTACCAATCGAATCAGTGCTTGATACTCTGGATTATGGCGACAAAGTCAAGTGCATCTCGGGATTGGTTGCCACCTTAGACTCAATTAAATCAAATTAGGTACACAAAACTTATTTGATCAAGAAGATCAAGGAGGTAAGAATCTCTTCGCAATACCTCTCTAGCTTCGTCTTGTTTCTAAGATCATCAATGATTTGCTCTGCCAAGAGGAACTCATTCATAGTCCAAAGAGACAACAGAGCAAGATCAAGAGGAGTCGAATCATCTTTGACCAACAAGTTGATCTCATGCTCTTGAAGGGCTCCATTGCCAAATTGGAACAATCCCTCAAAGATGGTTTTAAGTTACATCAGGAAATCCACCCCAAATTTCAATAGATATAACCCTAAAACCAAGAGAATAAGGATGATGATCAATTTGAGCATTTAGACATCATGAGACTGGTGCAGATCTACCAAAGTGAGATGGAATATGTCAATGAGTATTTCAATAGGATAGAAAACAACCCCAATAATTCAAATAGTCACTCCTTGGATATACTTAATCAATCATATTAGGAAATGCTGCTCGATGACAATATCATCATCATCACACAATATGTAATAATGTCAAAAGTTCTATGTAGTTCAAAAATTTGAATGAGATGATCCAGAATCTTGAAAATTTGAAATAAAAACTCATTTAATATGAGGAATTCGAGTCACAATCCACTAATTTTGAAAACTCCAGGAATTCATCAACTAATGAAAGTGAGTCCCTTTTTCTATATCATTTATAGAACATTTTGGTAGAAACAAATCACAGACCTATGAATTATGCGAACAACAGAGGATCAACGTTTTGAAAGAAATAACAAATGAAATCAAAGAGAAATCTTCTGAAACATGTATAAATTGTAGTATATTTTGAATTAATTTATTGTATATATTATATTTTGCCGTATTACTCACAATAGATACTTATCGTGTGGCACCTTTTTGACAACACCATGCTAAACTCCAAATTATTGAGTTGTGACACCCAAGTCATGCAATAAATAATCGCTGGTCTTCACAAGAGGATCATCGCCTATAGAAATATATATAGAACAACTAAAGTGTACCTGCTGGCAATTCAGTGAGATATCTCATTCTCTAGAATTATCTATTGTAAGTGTAATCACCAATGCTGTTGTATGTCTTCATTTCCAAGAGTTTTCCACCATTCCCTACAGATAACATAAGAAGAGTACCATTCTCACCAAAAATGAATCCTTTCACAACTCCATCAACTACCAACTTAGTAAAGAAGCATCCAGCCAACACTCCGACAATGTATGGTGCTGATTTCTTCAAAGTTTTGAATGTGTAGTTCAATTTGACCATATCCAACGATGTGTATGTTTGCAATTACTGTGGACTCATGGTGCGAGGATTTGGCCACAATTTGGGATCCACGACATTTGGAATCTTGAATTCAGGTAATTTAGACATAAATAAATTAATATCATTTTTTCAATAAACTTTAACTCAGTGGTTGTTTTCTTAATTAAGAACATCCAAATGATTAAAATTTTTGCATGCTCACAGGTTTCCGCTTTAATTCAGTCTCCTACTTCTGATCCTCATAATGTTCAATAATCTTCTACACTGAATTTTGATTTTGAGTTCTAGAAAGCTCTTTGATGGATAGATTCTCCTTCTGAAGTTCCTCATACAAATCTTTCATTCTCTCATATTTTTATTGCAATTATTCGTATTTCTTTTGTTGCTATTCTCGTTACTCTTATAATTGAGTCACTTCCTTTTGAACAGTCTTGAATTGTCCCACTTTGATCACGTATAAATCATAAATCTGTTTAGCCTACTCACTTGGACTCTTTTGTCGTATTAATTTTAAATACGTATCCTCATTCGGATTGTTTATTACTTTAGCCAGAGTCTCCAAATACTGATAGCCTTTCAACTGACTCTCATAAGTTTCAACATCCTGCTTCAATCTTTTATTATCCTCCTCAAGTGATTGCAAACAAACTTCGAGAGTCTTCAACTAACTGCATAGAGATTTCTCCTTTGTTTCCAATTCCTTGTTCTTCTCCAAACACCGCATTAGTTCTGCTTAGATATGCTACACTTCAGTCTATATGGATTCGTTCTTTTCTTCAACAAATTTATTTCTTTACATTATCCTCTGATTTTCATGCAGTAATTCTTCATAATCTGATAATAACTTTGCCATGTGTTATTTCTAATCTGCACTCATGTCATTCAACAGTTTACTCATCTATTCGTCTATCCCTGTTATCTCCTCAACCATATAATGCAATGACTGTATTTCTGTGGATCTCATACGACAATTAGGGCATTTTCTTGAATTTTAATGGCAATTTACACCACAGTTATAGTGAAACACATGTCCACACACTGTAAAAACACACAGATCCTTTATCATTGGTTCCAAACAAATTGTGCATATTGGAATTTCAAAGATTTTTCTCCCTTTTGCTTTGAGAGCGCTCATCTTGTTTTATTGAAATAAAATAAAAACCAGAATAAAATGTTAGATTCTTCAATTTGTTTACTCTTTTCAAATATTACCAGGATATCATATATATAACATTATAATTTATTCATTTATATGCACTCGATCGAGCTTATTAATAGTTTTTGTAACACTGTATGGTTTAATCCACATTGTATTTAGGAAAATAATCACTGAATTACCTACTATTCTCAAAGGACTAATAAAATTCTAGATTAGGCATCTCCAAAGGGTTTTTCAGAAATTGCTTAGCTGTTTCTCCCGTGAACTTCGACGATTGTATCCCATATCTGGATGGTTGCAAATCTTATTGCTATTGTAGTTGATGATCCCCTATCTCTGATTCAGAGATACAGGAATTGGACTTTCTATCTGAGCGTATCGCTTGTGCTTATTACTATTACGGTTGGGTTGTGTGATACTTCTGATATTTTGAGACAGTATTCTGACTGCAATTATCCACCTGATTCTGTATTCGCTTCTAATGATAATATACACTATCTTGCAACATGAGTCGTTTCATTTGAATATTAAATAGCTCATCCTTTTCTTAAATCGAAATTATATTGTTTACAGTGTTCTTACTGCCATTACTGCTGTAAGGTAAGGAAAACACATTACCACTCGAATTTTTATCCGAAGACCCGTTGATGTTCTTCCTATTAACTGAGACATCTTTAAACAATTAACCAAAAGAACTGTGAGACATTCCACTTTGTGGTTATTGAACATATTACACTGGACTAATGTTTGGGATATCCATCAATTAATGTTGTTGTTATTAAGGTTGTTGTTGTTACTATTACACAGAGTGTAATGATTCACGCATAGAGCATTATGAACCTCTTCTTTGAGTCTATTACGACTATTAGAATGAATTCTATCTCTCTGTTAAACGATGGCTCATTTCTCCCATGTAAGCCTATTGAATACTTATCACTTCGTCTTGGTATAATTTGTTATCATCTGTAATANATTCGTTCTTTTCTTCAACAAATTTATTTCTTTACATTATCCTCTGATTTTCATGCAGTAATTCTTCATAATCTGATAATAACTTTGCCATGTGTTATTTCTAATCTGCACTCATGTCATTCAACAGTTTACTCATCTATTCGTCTATCCCTGTTATCTCCTCAACCATATAATGCAATGACTGTATTTCTGTGGATCTCATACGACAATTAGGGCATTTTCTTGAATTTTAATGGCAATTTACACCACAGTTATAGTGAAACACATGTCCACACACTGTAAAAACACACAGATCCTTTATCATTGGTTCCAAACAAATTGTGCATATTGGAATTTCAAAGATTTTTCTCCCTTTTGCTTTGAGAGCGCTCATCTTGTTTTATTGAAATAAAATAAAAACCAGAATAAAATGTTAGATTCTTCAATTTGTTTACTCTTTTCAAATATTACCAGGATATCATATATATAACATTATAATTTATTCATTTATATGCACTCGATCGAGCTTATTAATAGTTTTTGTAACACTGTATGGTTTAATCCACATTGTATTTAGGAAAATAATCACTGAATTACCTACTATTCTCAAAGGACTAATAAAATTCTAGATTAGGCATCTCCAAAGGGTTTTTCAGAAATTGCTTAGCTGTTTCTCCCGTGAACTTCGACGATTGTATCCCATATCTGGATGGTTGCAAATCTTATTGCTATTGTAGTTGATGATCCCCTATCTCTGATTCAGAGATACAGGAATTGGACTTTCTATCTGAGCGTATCGCTTGTGCTTATTACTATTACGGTTGGGTTGTGTGATACTTCTGATATTTTGAGACAGTATTCTGACTGCAATTATCCACCTGATTCTGTATTCGCTTCTAATGATAATATACACTATCTTGCAACATGAGTCGTTTCATTTGAATATTAAATAGCTCATCCTTTTCTTAAATCGAAATTATATTGTTTACAGTGTTCTTACTGCCATTACTGCTGTAAGGTAAGGAAAACACATTACCACTCGAATTTTTATCCGAAGACCCGTTGATGTTCTTCCTATTAACTGAGACATCTTTAAACAATTAACCAAAAGAACTGTGAGACATTCCACTTTGTGGTTATTGAACATATTACACTGGACTAATGTTTGGGATATCCATCAATTAATGTTGTTGTTATTAAGGTTGTTGTTGTTACTATTACACAGAGTGTAATGATTCACGCATAGAGCATTATGAACCTCTTCTTTGAGTCTATTACGACTATTAGAATGAATTCTATCTCTCTGTTAAACGATGGCTCATTTCTCCCATGTAAGCCTATTGAATACTTATCACTTCGTCTTGGTATAATTTGTTATCATCTGTAATATCTGACTCAAAGTTCTATTGTTAATAATGAAGAGCAGCCTCCTCTATTTTGAGAATGTTTGATTTTAATCTCTTTTATTTTTGTCTACCTTTACTTCTTAAGTAATTTCTACGAATTTGTAAGTCATTTGATTAGATATACTCTACCAATTTGGATTTTTTTGCAACATAATGTACACGATCACATTCATCGATGTCATGAAATTTGCCACATGCATAACAACAAATTTAACATAGACTATAAATTTCATAAAGAACTATTTGATCTACCATCATCTTATATTTTTATCTTTCCTAATAATGAGATTTTATACATTCTAAAAATTGATCTAAATCTAATTGAGCTATTTGAGAATATCCTATTGATGTTGCATTGATATTGGAGTAGGCATTTTTGAAGAAGGCCTGATTGTTGAAAAAGGAATTCTTTCCAAGCACCTTAATTTTAAAGTCTTGATTAGAAGAACCCTCCTTCCTTTAGGAGATCTGCACACTACCTGACAATATCATGAACAAATGTTAATTAGATGTTTATTGCATTAACACAACTTAGTTTGGGATATAAGTGTATTCTTGGATCAGACTACAAATTTATTTCAGGGTGTTTTCTGAGAAAGAAGATTTAAAAATAGGCATGTTTTAGAGCAGATGAAGATAACGCTAAGATTTGACTTCATCCACGAATGTCTAAGGTAATTGAGATAGGAAATTCAAATCAACAGGTTTTTATTAGTTCAGCTTATTCATGTAAGTGTTTATTTACTACCTAGTGCAGCATCGTAATTATAATTTATTTAGTAATTCCGCATTATCTTTGATAGTCAATCTAAATATACAAAAGCAGTAATATATCAGAATAAGCATTCGAATAAAGTAAGTTATTGCATTACTGTCATCTGACCTGTAAATCAATACAATGAATTCATTATAAAAGTTGATCCTCCTTTCATGATTGTATTGGAGTATGGACAAAGCAATAAATTAGGCAAAGTGGAATTCCATGAGATAATAGAGGTACTTGAAGACTCTACCATAGAGTTATTCTAACTCCTTCATTAATTATCTTAATTTCCAAAGACGAACTATGTGTAAAAGCTATATGAAATGACAACGCTCTGATGATAAGGCGAAAATCACTGGAATTAGAGTCATTAAATCCAAAATTGATTATCTTTTTAAATACATTTGTATTAACTATTCAGTGTTGTTAATGATATCCCCATCATCGTACTATTCAAATAGAATTTGATTGAGAATGTAGATCACTTAAAAGACTATTAATAATATCTAATAAGCATTTTGCTTTTAAAAACTCTCATGTAAATTAATCAACATTTGGCTCATAAAGAAACAAATATAGAAACAATATGCAGCATTGCTAGCATGATAGTATCGATTTTATTTCTTAGGCTGGAAACGTTTCCCATTTGAGTTATTTTGACATAAATCGGCTGCCTTATCACATATAAGATGTTGCTACAAAGGGGAATGAACACTAACAGTTTTTAATGACATTAATCCACTCCATTAAACATCGCTATAGGAATGCAAAGGCTTTTCATCAATCAAAATGCTTTCTTAACTTAAACTTTTCATTTGTGTTCTGTGATTCCTCTTACAACGATCGCTTATTTAGACTGAATGTTCTTTGTTGCTTGGTTCCTCCTTAATTAGAAGCAAATCCTTCATCTCACTCTATGGTTGTCTTTCCGATGCAATCTGAGGTGTTACACTAATAGTTAGAGGCGATCGGATCATTTCTTAGGCTGCATTGGATGGTTTTCTAACTTGTAGCTAATGTTTATTGACCACAGTCATTTTTTAGACTATAGGTTGGATTTATGTGTATATTGAATCATCCATTGAGATAGACATGGATCTTGAACAAGAACCTTATTGGATGTTTGGATGAGGCTGCACTAGCATTATATTAGTTAATTTAAATTACTACTCAATATAATATATTTTAATAATAGCCTATACTAAATGAAAGGTCTTTTGTTATTTTTAAGATATTAATTATGCTATATGGATAACTACTATTAATTGGCTATTTCAAAAGATTAAATTTAAACAAAATAATCTATAATTATAATTAAATTCAATTTTAACATTTGTTTTTGAAAATAGATATTAGTCTCTAAAGCAAGTGAATTTGTTAACAATCTAAGGAAGCTTACAATTCATTTCATTCAATTTTTTAATCAAAATTTAAATACTGATTTTGGAATCTTCAAATTAGCAATTAATTGAATAATTCTAAGAAAATATAACATCTTAATTTGTGAGGATTGAATAATATTTATTAATTATCTAATTACTTTAAAAATAATTCATTTAAAAAGATTTGGAATCATTTCTTATTCCATAAGCGAATAATCTTATATGATTGTTTATAAATTCAAATTGAATCCTTAAATTAGAAAGTAAATATATAGAGTCTAAGACAAAATCAATTAATTTTGATTTAGAAACTATAAGCTAGAGATGGAATCGAGAAAACAAAGTTTAAAATTTTTCTTATTAATAATCCAACTATTCCTAATTCTTAGTTAATAAAATGAAATCTATAAGGATTGAGAGAAGTTATTGTAGTTTCTTAAAGTATAGAAAGACTATTTTCAAATTGATTTATTAATGCCTCATAGTTTATAATTAATTATTCTAGATATGTTTGCAAAGCTACTCTCTCTTAATCCTAGTACATCGCCTTCGATTGAAATATCGAAACCGATATTTACAATAGGAAGGGATTAGAAGAATGACAAAGTGTTTTCAGATATCAAGGTAAGTTCTAGCCATTTGACTATCGAATACAAGGATTCTCAATTTACGGTGACGGATTACTCTAGCAATGGAACATACATCAATGAAAAAAAGATTGGTAAAGGAAACACAGTATCTATTTTAAATGGAGATAAGATTCATTTGTTACCAATTTAAAAGGTTAAGGAGTATGAAGTGATTGGTTTTGAATTTGTTGTGTGCTAAAACAATGAGTAATAGGCTTCCAAAATATCAATCGAATCAATAGACCGATAAATTTCTGATGGAAAAAGAGAAGTATAAAATGAGAAATTATTGGACACAAAATTAGTTGAAAATATAGTTGAATAAGAAATTAATAATGAACCACCCAAGAAGAAAGAACAATCACCCATTCCTGTTCCAAAAATTGATGGATTAGAGGATGAATTACAATGCACAATATGCAATGATTACTTGTTTGAAGCTGTTGCTGCAAACCCTTGTAATCACCATTTCTGTGGTTCTTGCTTATCCAATTGGTTCAAAAAGTTAACTTACGAATGTCCGAATTGCAGAACAAAACTAACTGGAGTCATGTAGGCAAGAACCATTAACAATCTTGTCGAGAAGTGGTTAAAGATTAATCCCCATGAGAAAAGGACTGAACAACTATTGAATAAGATGAAAGAGGAAAACCTCATTTATAAAAATCCCTAAGAATATATCAATTTAAATGCCAAATTAAATTAGGATAAATAGGAGAATAAAGTCTAAATGCCCTAAAATTACTGGGATGAATAGGATGAATTGGAATTGCATAGTGATGAGGATGAGGAAGGAGAAAACTATTCTCATGATGAAGAGGACGATGAGTATTTAAGTAACGATGAAAAGTTTGATGATAATAGACAGAACCAATAATTATAACAATAATAGCTTTTTCCTATTTAATTCAATCAATTTAATCCTAATTTCCAACCTTTACCACCCTATTTTTATAAAAATAATTACCAAATAGGTGTTGGATAAAATTTGTTGTAACAATAATTCATTCAACCAAACAAAGAATGCAAAAGTTGTAATGGAAAAATGTGGAAGAACTTTTAATGTCCTCCCCTCTAATAACATGTAGGTTGTGCTTCATGTGCCAGGTTAATGCCAAAATTAGACCCTAGTAATTTATATTATTAATGCATTTAGGTGAGGCAGACAATGAAGTGTTGTAGATGTAATGTTGTATATGTAAAGCATATCATTGTACATTTTATTATGGTGACTGCAATAACGCTGCACTTTAAAAATTTATGTTAGTCAAAAATATTTAGCATCAAATGGTGATTCCGTTTCATTATGTAAACTCCGCTGAATATAACAGATTAATCTAACATCTTGGAGGAAGACCTTAGACTACAATATTTAACTTTATGATGGAAAATTACATAAGCAAAGGTTATTTCTTTTTTGAATAAAATAAATCTACTTTTAATAATCCAATATAAGAAATTAGAGTGAAAATATCTCCAAATTCAGTAATTATATATGTGTATCTATTTAGCCTGTATGCTGGTTATGTCATAGGAAGTTAATCAATTTCATTATATTGAAATATGTTTAATGCATGAAGTATGATGAACCCATCTTCATGAGAGAGGATTGTTACTATGGCATCAATTGCAGATTTCAGTAGTAGAGACAACATCATGCTTAGAAATATAATCATTTTTGTGAATAAACGAAATTTGATTGAATTTATACTTATAGTGATTTGTGATCAAATATTTTAGTTGTAAAGTGTTATTAACCTATTAACTTAAATTTAAAATTAAATAATTTATAATCAGATAAGTGATTTATGAAATGCTACTAAGGAATTCAGCATTTATTTAGTTACAATTAATCTAAACAGAGAACAGGGGAGTTTGTTACTTCATAATTACGAATGTTCTATTAAATGTTGGAAAATTCTTATTATAAAAATAATTGAGTGTATAAAAATTGAGATATAAAACAACAAATAATGAGTTCAGTATGTAAATACCAAAATTCTTATTATCAGCAATTAATTCCTATGAATTTCAAATGCAATTGCATTCTGAATCGAGAAAACCATAATGTCTTTATATACAATAATAATGATAAATGTGAAAAGTTAGATCATGAAAGCTTTCTTTTTGTTTCAAGAATTTTTTAGACTGAAACAATGGCATCCTGTCGAAAGTAGAGATCAACATCCATCAGTTTTTCAGGAAGACTCTCCTCCTCTTCGTAACTTTACACATCTTCATCTAATCGAAACGACTGAATTCTTTTTCGTTAAGCTAATTTTTATTTCACATTTTGAGAATTGTACAATCCATAGACCCTTTTATTTTTCTTATGGATTGTGTTGGCTGTGCTTATCCGAGAGTAAGATTCGAAGATAGGTTTTTGATCGTAATCAGAATTGAAAACACTCTTTACACTATCCAAACTTTCAGACTCAAATTAACTCACCTTCCTTTTAGGCTTGTATTTGCTGCTCTAGATCTAGATAGATCTGACCTATTAGATAGATGGCTCTGATTCCAAGAGAGACTAAAACAAAATCTCTTATTATTGATTAATCATTATAACTAATATTGATGATATTATTATGAAAATCATCACACACAGAATAATGTTGACATTTTGTTGTATGTACTAAAGTCTAATAATCTCAGTTGTATATTTTCTCATCTACTCTTAATTATTGTTGAGTCTGACTATGGATCTCTTTCTTAGTATTTATCACAATTAAATATCGGTGATATGAAATATTCAGAATACTAATACTTAATAAATTAGACTTCATTAGTTGAATTTTAAAATGGAATTAAGATAATTTACTATATGCTAAGTCAATTAAATCTACAAATATATTTATGTTAATAACGAATACGAATATTTCACATCAAAAAAGAAACACATCAATTGTCACGGGGGTATAGTTAATTATATAAGGCATATAAAAACAGTATAAGAACTGATTAATGGTAAAAAATAAAATAATTTCAAACCAGAGGCAAGAGTTTCACATGTTCCAGAACATTAAAGATATTCCTAAACAATTAATTGAATGTGTGTTATAGATACAAATAGGATTGTAATTCTAAAAGTTAAGCTTTAATTACATTTGGCTAGTATTTTTGTCAATTCTAATGAAAAATGTATATATATTTTAAATACTACTATAAGAATTATTTCAAATATATAATTATTCTGAAGAATAAAATGTATTAAATATAGTTTCAAAGTAAAGGTGGATTTACAATCCTAATCAATGCTTGATTACTTATTAATACTGAAATAGGAAGTTTAATTACTAAGGTAAGATAAAAACAGATTAAGAATTTAATAATACTGGCAATCTTTTACAATGCTTAATATATTATATTTAAGAGACTATAATAATAAATAAGATTAGAGACCAAGTTCTAATAGATTAACATTCATACTAGGTTTCAACCAAATTTATAAGAATGTCAATATAAAAAGATTTATAGAAGAATCATCCTAGGTTTGTTGTTACTGACTATGTTTATTTAAATTGCATTAAGTAAACTTATGTATATATCATTTTTTGGATCCAATCTAAAATAATGCAGCACACAATTCTGTGATTTCTTCTTTATGCTATGATGAATCATAGGGTGGCACTTTTAAGACATTGAAGGGGTAATACACTCTAGAGAAGTTAGGAAAATTCTGTTTTGGGGGGACTCTTGAATTGATACCAAATCTACAATTATTTTCGATTGTACAGCCACTTTCAATCATACCTTTGATTAGATATAGTTGTACATCTCATTTCAAATACATTGCAATCACCAATATTAGTATTTTCAACCTTGCATCCAATTTCAAAAACATTATAGGAACCTATGACCATCTTCTTGAAATGATTATTTCTAATGATGCATCCTTCTTCTATAATCGTGTAATCTCCAATGACGATTTCACCTACTTCTGAGAGTATTTGCACGCCCAAAGCAATGCAACAACCCTTGCCCACTTTCACATTATCCTTATTGATTTGACTCAATATAAGAGACATTTTAATTATAATTTAATTTATGAATTACATTTTAGTGGAGCAAGATGAAAGACTTTAACTATTGATAAGTATCGTGAAGAGAATTAAATCCAATACTGTCGTAGTCTTCTCTGAAAATTAAATCAATGTAACTCAATTCACATCATTTAGTTTTTGTAAGAGCTCTTTATCTTAATGGGAATAAAAACTAATTTCAGAACGTACTAACAGCCAGCTAATCAATCCCTGTAAATTTACTATGATCCCCCTTTGACAGAAGTGAAGAGTGGTTTAGTCTTTGTTCTGCCAGAAGAGAAGATACCTAATTGTACTGAAAGCAAATTGGAGAAGAATAAATAGGAATAATTCGCAACTCAGGAAGTTATGAAACTGGTTTCCAGCAACTATAATCTTAATTGTTTAGCTGAGAAGGCATACAAAGATTTTGTCTATGTACAATATCAAATTTATACTAGACTTATCAACATAAATTAGATCAACAGAATTATGATGTCTTGAAATTGAATCCCATGAGATTGTGTAAATCCTTTGGATTTGAGGTCACTCCCAAGTTGAATAGTAAATTTCATCAATAATTTAGATTTCAGATTAAGACCAAGCAAGGAATATCCACAAAAATAGACCAAGACCAATTAAACCAAATCTAAAAAGATCAAAAAGCAATCTAAAATTGTTAATAAAAAAGTCAATACAAAAAAACATAAAAATTGATTATATGATGTGTTTTCAGTATATAAAATCTTAGATTTATTCATTTAGCTTCATTTGTTTTTGATCTTTTAACTGCTGTCATCGGCCTGTATGATTGTAATTATGAAGGACTTGTAAATAATTTTGGTGCTGCTGATTATAATCTACAGGTGGCAGATTGTTATCTGGTCGCAGCACTGAATAATCTGGATCCCTTCACAAATGTTGTCGTTGTTGTTGGATATGATTCTAGATCTAATACAAACCCTTATTGTTTTGTTTCATTAAACTAACTTATAATTTTAAGTGATTTCTTATGAGTAAAATGATTCTTGGGTAAGTATCTTTCTAATTGCAATCCCTTCATAATTGGTAAGTCATGATTAGTTTACTTGGCCTATATCAATACCTTTCTAAGTAAATGGTTATTTTTAAAATTTTATTTGATTTGATGATTGAACTATTTGTAGTATTCAAGTATCTTATCCTCTTTTGTTTCTTATTGATCTTCCTATGTGATAATAATGCTTTATTTTGCATATTTTAACAATTTGGAAGCAGAGAGGTAATTATGATACGTCTTAGGGATCTCATGTTTGAATTCAGAGTAATCAATAGGTATAATTACTTCTTTTTTGCATTGTTACTTTCTCGCGTTCCAAAATTAGGCCTTAATGTGATAATTCTAACAAAAGGTTTCATACAAGCAACTTGAATTCAACAGTATTTTTAATTGATGATATCCTATTCTATAATAGGATGTATGTTGAGTAACAATCGCTTTATGTAATCTGAGTTCATTTCCCTCGACCAATTCCATTTCTCCAAAGACACACTTCGGTCCCAGCAATTATAATTCAATATCTTCTTGTATCAATTTGATTTCGCCCTAAACTATTAAATAGAAAGAATCAGCTGGTTGTTTTTCTGAATATAGAATTGTATTGTTGGTAGCCTATTCTTATTTAAATTAATCCAGTTGATTTTTCAACCTTTGGATACTTATTTTGCTGAATACTGAATATTGTTGAATCAGATGCAACTTCTGGGCCAACAGATTCTCATGATATTCTCTAATGAGGTCATTGTATCCCTCATTACTCAATACTAAAACCCAAGCATCTCTTATAACTGTCCCCACTTCATTCAGAGTGTCCGTCTAAACAAATGTTCTTTAGCCTATTTGGATTTCTCCACTCAACATTATCTGAAATTGAGAATCACATTAACTATTAGCAGCTAGGAATTTTAATGATAATTGATGTATGATCTTCTCAACCAACCTCATCGACATGCCTTCAGTGATTTCCTTGAGATATGGAATGTGCTATAAGAATTTCTTCAATTACTCAACATCTGCATAGTGTTTATGAGGTCTTCCTAAAAGAGATCGAAAGTACTGCAATATGGGAGTTGATATACATCAAAATTCTATAATATTGAGTAATTAGTGGATTCCAATTTGCGTTTAATCTGTCGATCCAATTCCAAAGCTCCTAACATCTTTACTTTCTGTTTGATTGCTTTCTTCATTTTGTTTATTTTAATTTAATGTAAATTAAACAATTGAAAATAGTATTTTACATAAACAAAACAAAACATGAAAGTAAGAATTTCCTATTAATAAGGTATACAAGGCTTAAGAACCAACTAAAGTGAGTTAAGACTATTATTTTCAAAGAATATCAAAAAAATATCAAGAAACATAGAGAGCTATTATAAAAGAGGACTATTAGAAGTATGGGTTTATATTTATTATACGTTTTTATTTCTTCTTTTAATATAGCAAACACATCTAATATAGTTAATAGACAAAGTATGATTAAATTTTCAAACTGAGAATGATTTCTGATTAGGTTTTGAAAATTCAGTATTAATTTAATTTTGAAAGAAGTAGCTCAACACTTTGGAGTGGAATATTTAGAGTGATTACAATTAGATATATATTTAATATAATTAACTATTAAATTTTAATTAATATTAAATTATTATAACATCATGTAAATTTTAGTAAAGAATTATCTTTTTACCAGAATTAACCAGAAAATTTTGGCTTAAATAGCGCAGTTTAGGATCATTTTATTTTCAATAATTAAAATAACAAATAAAAAATAATGGTTAACTTCACTGTAGATCAAATAAGAGAGATCATGAATAAGCAATAGAACATCAGAAACATGTCAGTCATAGCTCATGTTGACCACGGAAAGTCAACTTTAACCGATTCTCTGCTCTGTAAGGCTGGGATCTTGTCAGCTAAAGAGAGTGGAGACAAGAGAATGACTGACACAAGAGAGGATGAACAGCTAAGAGGAATAACCATCAAGTCTACAGGAGTATCATTGTATTATGAATATGATATTAACTACAACAACGTCAAGGAGTAGTTTCTAATCAATCTGATTGACTCTCCAGGACACGTAGACTTTAGTTCCGAAGTCACAGCAGCTCTCAGAGTGACCGACGGAGCCTTGGTGGTTGTAGATTGTGTGGAAGGAGTCTGTGTGCAGACAGAGACAGTACTCAGGCAAGCCATGCAAGAGAAGATAAAGCCAGTGGTGATGATAAATAAGATTGATAGGGCAATACTGGAATAAAAACATGATGGTGAAACTATGTACCAGAACTTTGTTAGAGTCATTGATAACGTGAACGTGATTATTTCCACCTATCAACAAGAAGACATGGGAGAACTCTAAGTACAACCAGAACTTGGGTCAGTAGCCTTTGGATCAGGTAAGGAATGCTGGGCATTTTCATGTTCGAAATTCGCCATGATCTATGCTACCAAATTCAAGGTGGAGCCAAAGAAACTACAAGAAAGGTTGTGGGGTGATAACTACTTCGATGATGAGACCAAGTGTTGGAGGAAGGATAGTGAAGGAGCTTCAGGAAAGTAATTGAAGAGAGCCTTCGTTGCTTTCATTATGGATCCCATATGTAAATTGGCTAATGCTGTCATGGAAGGTAATATGGAAATGGCTAATAAGATGTTCAATGTCTTAGGGTTGAAACTTACTTAGGAGGAGTAGAAATTGAATGGTAAGCATCTCTTCAAAGCTGTTATGTCAAAGTGGATTAATGCTGCTGACACCTTGATTGAGATGATTATTTGTCATTTGCCTTCACCTAGAGAGGCTTAGAAATACAGAACCTCTTATCTTTATGAAGGACCTTAGGATGATGCTATAGCTTAATCAATGAGAGAGTGTAATCCCAAAGGTCCCTTGATTATGTATGTATCAAAGATGGTACCAACTTCTGATAGAAGTAGATTCTTTGCTTTTGGTCGAGTGTTTTCAGGCACCATAGGTACAGGATAGAAGGTGAGAATTATGGGACCGAATTACAAGCCTGGAAAGAAAGAAGACTTATTTGAGAAGACAGTCCAAAGAACAGTATTGATGATGGCAAGTAAAGTTGAATACATACCTGATGTCCCTTGTGGTAATACTGTTGGGTTAGTTGGTGTCGATGATGTCATATTGAAGACAGGTACTATCTCAGATCATCCTGAAAGTCATTTGATCAGATCAATGAAATATTCAGTGTCACCAGTAGTGAGAGTGGCAGTCAAGCCCAAGAATCCAGGAGAACTACCCAAGTTGGTAGAGGGGTTGAAGAGATTAGCGAAATCAGATCCTTTGGTGCTTTGTACAACTGAGGAGTCAGGATAGCATGTAGTAGCAGGATGTGGAGAATTGCATGTAGAGATCTGCTTGAATGATTTAGAGAAGGACTTCGCTAATATTGAAATCCTACGCTCGGATCCAATCGTATCTTATAAGGAGACTGTTTCAGCAACATCCAAAATTGTATGTATGGCCAAATCCCCTAATAGTCATAATAGACTCTATGCTTAAGCCGAGCCACTACATGAAGGACTTCAAAATGCCATCGAGAAAGGAGATATCACAGCAAAGGATGATATTAAAGGAAGAGCTAAAATACTATCAGAATCATATGAATGGGATAAGGATGATGCCCTCAAGATCTGGACTTTCGGTCCTGACAATTCAGGTCCAAACATTCTGATGGAAAAAACATCAGGTGTTCAATATATGAATGAAATTCGAGAATCTATGGAAAGTGCTTGGTAATGGTCTAGCAAAGAAGGTCCACTTTGCGAAGAGAATCAAAGGGGAGTCAGAGTAAATATCCTAGATTGTGTCCTACATGCTGATGCCATTCATAGAGGAGGAGGACAGATTATACCGACAGCCAGAAGATTGTATTATGCCTGTGAATTGACTGCCTAACCTAAACTTTAAGAGCCTGTCTTTTTAGCAGAAATTACTGTGCCTGCTGATTCTACTGGTGGTGTGTATAACTGTTTGAATACAAGAAGAGGAGTGATTATTGAAGAGGAACAAGTTGCAGGAACACCTCTATCATTAGTAATTATATCAATTAAATATTTTTTAGATTAGATCGTATTTACCTGTCGCTGAGTCTTTCGGATTCACAGCCCATCTCAGAGGCCTTACTCAAGGTTAAGCTTTCCCTTAGTGTGTGTTTGATCATTGGGCTATTCTCAATGGAGATCCCCTAGAGCCTGGTTCCAAACTTAATGAGTTGGTACTGAGTATAAGAAAGAGAAAGGGAATCAAGGTTTAGCTCCCAGACCTAAACGAATATTTAGACAAAATATGATTTTAATTAATTTTCTTAAAACTTAATTATAAATTCAAATGTTACAATATTAAAATTCATTAAATAAGTTAAGCTAAATAATTCATCATACACCGTTTGAATTTTCCAGAGTTTCTGAATAATTGAGACCACCTAATTAAAATTGAAATAACATACAATAGACAAGCCATACTTCTATTTCAGTCTCTAGAGCCATAACATGTCTTAATATCCAATTTTCATACCTAAGGATACTCTATTCTCTTATAAATACTGATATCTTATCTTATCTTGAATATAATATTTATGTCGCTTATAATATCTATTTAAATCTTGGATCTACAGTTAGGTTTAATAGATATTAAATTATAAGTGTATTCTATAATTTCCATTACATCATTTTTGAAAAGAGTTTGTACTAACCACACACACATTGGATGTCTAAAGAAGAGAGATTAAAGCTTTGATATTTATAATTAAGTAATAAAATATGTATTTATCTATAGAAAATATATGAGTACTATATTTTCAATTGTTTTCGATACAAAACATCTATTCTAACTATTCGGAAGTCTAAATCACTTAAATTAAAGTGAAATTAGGGAAATACACCATGTATGTTGAAAATCTCCATCAAGCTTATCAATTGATATATATTGATTTTTTTTGAATATCAAGGAGCAATTTTAGGAAGTTTCAATGAATTTATAAATTATCTACTGACTAATTGCTGAACTCCAAGTGATTATCAATTATGATCAAAATATAGAATTTAGAGAAGAGATGCAACCAATGTAGAAATTTAGTGAGAGATCTCAAAAACATTTATTCCAAGTATCTGGAGATAGTATATGAATTTATAAGGAGAGGGACTCATGAAGTTTGATATCACTCATGGTATTGGATAATTGAGATCCTAAGCATCAAGTTCCATTCATTAAAAAAGTTAGCTGGAGACAGTACTGCTATATGAAGTCAATTGGACAAGGAGGCACACTACTAGGCTAAGAAACTAAAGTAGTGATTAATAATTTATTTTACAAAAAAATGTCAGATGATGAACATTTTTCCCTTCATAGCTTTGATCAAGATAACAATATTGATAATGAGATCGACCAATTTTACAAGAAATTGAGTCTTTAATTTTATGGTGAAGATAAGCAGGAGAAGGTTTCATCACTTATCTCAGGTTCGACCCAGGTATAATTGGAATCTCTACATTCTAGGAGACAAGCAAGCCCAGCAGAGATACGCTGCCAGAAGTGAAAAAGGGTTTTAAGTATGTGACTCCTCTATCTACAAGGCCAGGTAGTCCTAGGGCTGGTTAAATTCAAGTAGAAAAGGGATTGAGAAATCCAAACAGTGCAAGGAGTCCTTCTAAGAAGAGACCTCAATAATCAAATAAACTTCTCCAACTCCTGAAGTCACCTTATAATTAAAAGAACACTTAGAAACAGGCTTTCATCAAGAAACAAATGGATATGATAAGGCGAATTCAAATTTAGGAATTAAAAGAGCATTATTATAAATGATAGAAATATATTTATTCCTTTTCTTAGAACTACATCTTTCTTGTAAATTCATTTGCTCTTTTTTGAAAGTCGTTTATAAATATAAATTAAGCATTGGACAAACAAACTTAGGAAAATCTAAGATTTTGATAAAACCTCAAGTCTTGTGTGTCTAGAACAGGACATACTAGGAATGAGATTAGTAGGATTAGATGAGAAAGATATTTTGGAATGGAATGTGGAATATTTGAATTATGAATAATTTACCTAAATGGGAAGGATGGAATCAAGGAGTTCAAATCCAAAATGGACAATTGAGAGTGGAAATCTTATCCCAGTTACGTATTTTATGAGTGAGATAAATTATGTTATAAATCTTAAATTAAGTTATACTGAAATTCGATAAAGAATGAATTAATTTTAATATATTCTTCAATCTTGTTTAATAATCTCAATACAAGTTCATTATATTACAGAATAATTATGATATTAATTTTATATTTGTGATTTCAATATGCAATATCATGTTTCAAAATAGGATGTTTTGGGAACTCTCCAAGACGTCTTCATGAAAAGCAATCGTCTCCAGGAAAATTCAAAGAATTCCAAAGTACACTAAAAACCTTCCTCTGCCATTAAAGGTAATCTGGAATCCAGTGCAAGCAAAAACAAGTTGGAACGGTATTTGGAAAAGTACTAATGTATTATCGAATAACATTTTAGAAAGAAAATAATAGCAGGATGAAAACAATAGTTCCATAGCTTAGTCTATACAAAATACTAATATAATGAAAACACAGCAAAAACTAAACGATAGTCAAACAGCTTATTCAAGTAAGATGAGCTTTCCGAGGGAGAACACAGAGAATGACGACAAAGAACAATAATTCACAGGAGTGGGACTATCTCAATACATGTCATAATTATAGCAATCCAAACTACAATGTACATTTGTTAATTAGGAATGCCAAACTGAATCGCAGAAATAATACATGATGTTTCAAGGTCTGAATGAATTGGTTCAAGATCATAATGAATCTAACATATCTGTAATCGATGAGATCAAATTATTGAGCAGTAAACGCGCTCAGTAGAATACAATTTCCACGCAGATCCAACTGACTCTTCAACTCTAAAAGGAATAGTCTCTTAAACAAGACTTTTCATGTCAATTTAATACTGAAATCAATTAATAAGCCGAAAATTAATAAATTAATAAGAAGCCTCCTTCAATTGATTTTGGATGTCAATATGACGACTCTCAGAATCAAGTCAATGCTATTGTAGATGATGAACATCCAAGGAACATTAGAACTAGAAGTAGATGTCAGACATAAGCTAACCAAAAAAACAAGAATGCTCAACTTAATAGTGATGATCAAATTACTTTCTTAGAATAAGGTACTAATCCCCAATATATGTAGAATTACAATTAAGAGATGAGATATTAGAGACAAAGACGCGCATAATTGCTGACATGCAATAATAGTTAAGTGATTTCTATAAGATCTTCAATAAGGAGAGTGACATTGAAGTTGGCTAACAGGACTTAAATTCGTCAAAGGATAGTGACCATTGGAAGGTTGATGGGTTGAATCGACAACTAGAGAACGATGCGAATATTTAGGACTAATTAACATAGCTCATGGTTAAATATAGTGAGGAGATCCTAGAATTGAAGAAGGTTATTGATGATGCATCTCAGCAAAACAGAAAATTGAAGGAGGAACAAGAATAAATGATAGTCCATATTACTGAATTGAAATAATAGTTGGTAGATGTGGAAGAAAACAAAGTGAAGGAAATAGATATAATCAATCAGGATTACTAAGATAAATTGTCAAAATAGATTATGATAATTGACGAATTGTAATCTCAAATTTGCAGTATTCAGACTAGTCCAACTGATATCCCTCTGGGTTCCATCTAGACTACTATGAATAATATAACAGAATAGCAGATGGATGAAGTTGGGTGTGAATCTTAAACTACCAAGGTTAACAATTAAAAGGCTAAGAATGTCCTAAAACACATCAACAAAATGACCATTATGACTGCTGGTTGGATGTCTAACAAACAAGATTATGTGACTCTTGGGGTGTTGGGGAGAATTGATTAGATCAAGAGTTAAACTAAATTAGATTCTTTCAAAAAATTAAATTGATCAAACATGAATACATATTTCAAATACATATTTGCTTAAATCTTTGGGTAATATAATAATAAATAATATAATCAATTTGAATGGATGCCGAATAAGAAGATGATAATTGGATGCCTCTTGAATCCAATCCTCAAGTCATGAACGAATAAGCAATCAAACTGGGTATATCTTATCACCATTAACAAAACAAGGCATTAATTTGGAACTAGCCTAATTCCATGATCTGCTGGGATTTGAAGATTGGGCTTTCGAGATGATTCCCTAACCAATCTATGGAGTTTTGTTTAATTTTCCACTCAAAGAAAACACAAAGCAATTTGTAGAATAGGAAGCAGCTTAAATTTAAGAGAAAGGGTATCGTCTGTGGATGTATTTAGTTAACATGTTTCTCCAAATCTTTTCTATATGAAGTAGTTTGCTATGAATGCTTGTGGCACAATCGCCATGGTTCATGTGGCTCTTAATGCTGACAATGCCATCATTCAAGAGGGGAGCTATTTGGCAGATTTTAAAAAGAACGCCTAAGGGAAGACTCCTTAGGAAATTGGATAAGCATTAAAATAGGCTAAAGAGGTGAAACAGGTTCACAAAGAGGCTGTCTAATAAGGGGAAAGCGCTTGCTGTGATGATATCAATCGTCATTTCGTAGCCTTTGTATTAAAGGATGGTGATATCTATGAATTAGATGGCTGTAAAGTAAACTACAATCTTAAATGAAATAGTAATTTCCCATCAATCATGGTAAATCCACTCCAGAAACATTTTTAGCTGATGTGTCTAAAGTAATTCAAAAGTTCTTTGAGCGAGATCCAAACGAAGTGTCATTTTCAACTGTTGTATTAGCTAAGGCTATTTAAGAATGAGATTCATTATAATATTGAAAGTTTATTATTCATATCTATTATGCTCTTCTTTGCTGAAAGGAGAACCAAATTTTCTTATTGCAGTAAGTGCATATGATATATAATTATTTTAAGTACTGGAATCAATCAAATATATTAAATTATAGATTCCGCTATAGATTCAAATAATAGTAGAATGTAATATAGAGCAAAAAATCTAATTGTAAATATAATAATTACTTCGATAAGGTATTTAAGTAGAGGTATTATAATTACTAATTATGAGGGCTATTTTGAATGCTGATCAAATAAGCAATCGATAATTTTAGTCAGATAGATATTTTTATATAAACAATGCTGGTAGGATTATTTAGGACGATTTTACTGCGATGATGAAGAAAAAAAAGGGAATGAGGAAGTTGTTAAAGTGCATTAAAATACAAAGCTTAAATGTGGTAGGCCTACGTGGTTATGTATAGTAGAGTAAGTTTGGAGGAACGAAAGTCAAAGTAAATAATTGGTTAAAATTACGGGGTTTATATTATTCAAAATACATTTATATTAATTTTGATTGTGATGACTTAGTTTTACAATATATAAGAGTTATTTTACTATAAATTTTATTAATGGGAATTAAGTGATTAGTAATAAATTTAATTTCTATGCCAAGAAAAAATAAGAGATAAAATACAAAAAATAAATAAGAAAAAAACACAGATCAAAATGAATAAGATGATCAAATAGAATCTGCTCAAGACATAGATAAAAAAGTAGAGGATTAGGAAATTAAAAATGAATAAAGTAGTAATTTTAATTTATTTCAGATTAAAGCATCGAATAGGCTCAAGAATAAACATAGAAAGTGGAAAATAAGGAATAAGCACAAGAATAAGTTTAAATTTAAAATTCTATTACATAATAATAATAATAGGATCAATAATAAAATATTCATAATTCTCATTAGGAAACAACAAAAGAAGAGAAGAATGACCAAAACTAGTTTGGAGATGTGTAATAATAACAATAACAGGATAGCATCACAGAGGCACAAGTATAGCCAATTAAAACATAAGAAGAAGTTTAGTAGCCTTAGGAGTAGGTCTCTTAAGAAGTTTCTTAAGAAGATATATCTAATACTTAAATCTAGTAGACATTCTAAGAGAATTAACAACATTAACAGGAAAAAGTAGGAACTATTAGTTCTGGAACTTCTAAATTATAAGTAGACAGTCTCACAAATCAAGATCATTAATAAGTAAACTAATCTCAAGGATAAAATGAAAATGAACCATAACATTAAATTGAAGAACTCAAGTTGCAAACATAATCTGTACCTGATTCTAAAAATGAAAATACAATGAAACCCTCTTCAAAACCCATAGTCTCAAGCCCAATTAAATAAAAAGAAGTTTAACAACACTAAGAGGCTCCAAAATAGTAACCTGCTAATACTTAGGCTTAATAACAAGAAGTTGTTTTGAATGTATAGGCTCCTGTTGTTGTGGAAAAATAAAATGATCAAGTACTTATAGAAGGTGCTCCATAAACTAATTTGAAGAAGTAAAATGATGAAGTCATTTTGGAAAGAGTCTAGGAATAAAAAATGGAAAAATAAGTGGAATAAACTCATATTGAAATCTAACCAAAAATACACATAGAACAACACTAACAAATTGAAGTAGAGAAATAGCCATAAAATAAATAAGAGGTAATCATACAGAAATCGGAAAATCAAAGCTAAGCTTAAGTTGAAATTTAAAATCATTAAACTAAAGTTGTGACAGAGAAGAGTACAAAAGTGTAAACAGAAAAGTAAAATGAAAGTGTTTACATATAAGAAGTACCAGCTGTGTAACTACAAGTTCTCTAAGAAGTTTCAAAACAAGAAATCAATTTGGAATCAAGAAACTTAGAGACTCAAGTAGAGAAATGTCCTTAGGTTGAAATTCCAATTAACTCATAAACTACAACTCTCCTTGAACACCCTGTAGTTAATCTATAGGTCAATCAATTCATCCAATAGGTTCAACCACGTCCAGATGTTAACACAGTTCAAACCTAACAAACACACTCTATTGAACATAAACCATAAGCAACTATTGAATATTAGGATTAGACTCAATTTTCTGTCAAAGCTCCCTAAACAGAAATTTAGGTTAACCAAAATAAAGCTAGTTCTGAACCTTAATAAATAGTTAAGGTGGAAGCAAAGTAACAATAAATACAATTGGTTCAAGAAGAAGAAAAGGTTCATGTTATATAATAAGCTCAAACTCATATTGAGAATCAACCATCTCATGAAATAATTAATGTTGAGAAAAGAGAAGTTATTGAACAAAAGCCATAACTATAAGTTGAATAAAATACTGTAAAAGTAAGTCATGAGGCTGCTGTTAAAGTAGAAATATAACATGTAGATTAAGAGAATAAGTCATCGAAATAAGAATAAGTTCCTTAATTTGTTTAAAGTCAAATTTAATAAGTTGAAAATTAAGAAGCATTATTGCCTTAAAGTAATGTCGAATAATAATCATAAATTAGATCATAAATTAATACTAATACAACTTCATCATAAATATTAAAGTAAGTGCCCTAAGAACTTGGAGTATTAAGTGTTTCTGTTGCTGTCGCTGCTAGTGCTTCTTCATTCATGATGAAGAGCGGAATCAAGTCAAAAGAAGGAATAATATCAGCCTTGGCTGGCTCAGCTATCTTGTATTTAGGATATAAGTTATTCAAATCTAAGATTTAATCAAATTAAAAGCAAGATTGAGATATTTTATTAAATAATAATTATATGGATTAAAAGTTATATATATTCAAAATTAATAAATTTAAATTTGATTTCAATGTCGATAAAAAAAGTGAGGAAGAGTCTTAAAACTTATTGAAATTTCAATAAGAAGAAAGATATAATTAAAGTCGAATTAATAAATGATTGAAATCTTCAATAAAACATCAAATATAACATTATTCAATCCAAAATTACTTAATCGCTGCCTATTTTAGTAATCTTTCATATCATAATCAGCTTCAATGCATCTGTAATTATAATAATAATCACAAAATTTATGTGTTTATCGAATACTAATAACCAAAAATTTCGCCAAATAATATTTATGCAATCAATAAATAGTTGGGTTTCTATAAATCTTTGAATAACCAATTATCCAAAGTATTGGTTATCCACTTTGGATAACTGTTTTATTCGTAATATTTAATCAATTGAGTATTTTATTTTATTCTTATATTATCAATAAAGTAATATAAAAATGACACATTTAATTAAGGACACCTTTTATAAGGAAAAACTTTATTAGGTCTCTCTTTCTTCGTTTTCTTTTGCTTAAGAATAGGCTGGTAAACAAAAAGAAGTGAAACAACCAATTTCAGAAGATGTGTTAAAGAAGGCACTAACTACATATGGTAAAACTGCTGAAGGATAACATTATGCATATTTGAGTTTCATGGCAAATAATTTAGACATAACTAGTTTACATGTATTACTCACATATCTATTATGATTAGGGGATTGAGAAATTCAAACATCTTTAACACATCGATGTTAGTAATAACTCTATTAAGTCTCTGAAACCATTAAATGGATTGAAATATATCATTACTCTAAAGGCTAGCAATAACAGATTGACAAAATTATTGGACTTAAAGTATTTGATTATTGTATACCAGGCACATCCCATTGCAAATAATGGATGTAGATTGCAGTAACAATGAAATTGAAGTTATTCCAGACCTCAGTTGCCATCGTTTTCTTCGCTATTTGAATCTCTCTTATAACAAGATTAGACAAATAGAAGGAGTTCAAAAAAACAAGTACTTGTAAGTTTTGAAATTGGCTAACAACCATATTGATCATATTGAAAATTTAGACGGAATGAATCTGACCGAATTGGATCTATTTGGGAATGAAATTACAATCCTGGATGGTTTGACTTAATTACCAAAGTTGAGGAAACTTGAACTCTCTCAAAATTAAATTAAGAGTCTAAATGGAATCGTTGATCTTATCTCAGTCAGAGAATTGAGAATGGCAAATAATAAGATTTCAAGGATAAAAGAGTTGTCATATCTGGAAAATCTAGTATTTCTTAGTGTTCTTGATCTATGTTACAACCCAATATAAAACAGACGATATTATAGATGGCAAGTCTTATACAAATTGCCAGGTTTAAGAAATCTGGATGGAGTATAAGTTCCTCCAGAAGATATCGTCAAGGCAGAAAATCTCTATGGAATGGATTTAGAAGACAGAAAGAGAATTTTTAAAGAAGTCTTGCCAGATGAAGAATTTATAGATAGAAGAATTCATATATCTGAAGTAAATATATCGATTAATATAACAGTTAATTGAACCAGAGACTGAAGACGAGAATGAGAATTAAGAATTTATCGATCAATATGATAAAACAGGCAAAATGATGTAAAAATAAACCAAATCGATGGGATCATAAAAATCAATTAGTGAAATGGTATTCCTATCTTATATATATTATCAAGTACCATTCTAATAAGAGCCTATAAGAAAGGGAATATTAATGAAAAAGATGTTTACATATTTATTATATAATTTTTAAGATTCTTATAACCATATAATTATTACAAAAATTAGCAAATAAAATGGTTTCTGTCCTGTGTCAAACATAATAATTGATATTTAATTCATAGTTTTGAATTTATTATCATTTTTAAGAGAGATCAATAAGGATGGAGGAATGAGAAAATAGCAAAATAATTAATAAATGTTATTTGGATCATCTGAGCTGAGGTTTACAATAGGGAGTCCAATTTAGGAATAGTTAGTTAATTTTGATTATGTTTAATAAACAAATTAAAAATAATAAATAACAATAATGATAAATTTATCGGAAAGGGAACGAGAACTTATCGAGCAAATATGTTCAAAAAATAATAAATCAAACAAAAATGATAAGTAAGCACTTAGTTAATAAAAATTAATGAGTTAATCAAGTACAAAGCTATTGGCAACTCGTTTGGAGTAAAAATTAAATGAGGTATTTGAAATTAGTAAATTTAGATAATGTAAGAAGTAGATGAGAAAAACGAAGGTTAAGTGAATATTTAATAAATGGGAAGGATTTTTACAATGTTAGATATATTCCAAGCGATATCATACGATTAAAATTATGAAATGGAAGTTTAGGGACTCAACAGTCAATCATAAAGGTTTATAAATTAACGATTACTCTTAGGCAATTAGAAATTGATTTACATGAGAAGGCATTTGCAATAGTATCACAAGGGGAGGAATACGCGGATATTCAAGCAGCTTTTTGTTTTTTTAGAATCATCTAAGACCCAAACAATTTGGAGCCAGCAAAGTCAGCATCTCTTATGATAGACTACTTGGAGAAGATTTTAGAAAAACAAGTTGATCATGAATCTATTTTGAGATTTTGCTAGGAATTTTAGCAGTATCAAAAAACAAGACTTTCGGGTGCTAAAACAGGCTATTTAAAAGCTAATCTAGCATAAAATCTAATTGATACATATGAGAAAACACATACATTCAAACCAAGTATCAACCCAATTAGTGAAGCATTGTTGCGGGAGTCATGCAAAAGAGAAAATCAAGAATCTTAGCATTCATAAAGATCAACAGATAGTAAAGTGACTTAACTCTATAGGAAGAAATAATAATCGAATTAAAAAATAAATTAGCTGAAATTGGAGTAGGAAACTGAGGAAATGAAAGAATGCACTTTCAAGCCATAAATAATATCTAGGAAGGAATTACCTAATGTGGTTGAGAGGTTGTATAAAGTGAAGACAAGATAGGAGGTGGAAGAATAGATTAAATTAAATGAAATTGAGAAGTAAGACTAGGAATTTAGTAAATGCTCATTTTAACCTTAAATAAATGGGTGTATGCCAGATATGGAGCAAGTTGGAGTCAATGGCTATGGTTAGGCAGTTGAGAGATTGAGAAGAGCAAATGATCAAAGACATTTGAAAGAAATACAATTAAACCATAAGCCAAGTGGGGAGAAGTACGAAAAAGTGAAAAGGATGGCTTTTATTCCACCAGACATGTTACAGAGAGGCAAGGTTTAAAAGGAAATTCCAATCCTTTATATTGACATAAAGATAGGTCCTAGCAAGGTTGGGAGGTTGGCATTGAGAAGGAGTGACAATGTGGAAGAAGTGGTGAAGTCATTTTGTAAAGTGTGGGGAGTGGCATTGCAAGATTATGATTTATTGGTGAATTAAGTTAAGGAGAACTTGACAAGGTATTAATATTGTAATAAGTAGTGTAATATCAGAATCGGAGGCGGAGGATTAGTGATGAACCGATTATTTATAATACTTATATATATAATGAAATAGATAAAATATCAATTGTTCTTGCTTCTGAATAAATTGGAATATGAGGATTGTTATGAAACTCTTTGAGAATTTTGTATAGATTGCTGTGCTTTTGGTTGTTTGACGCAGCTAAGTTTTGGATAGAAAGTACATTCGTTGGATTCATTTTGGATTTGTCTATCCCATTGTTCTTAGACCTTATAATTTCTTTTTTGAAGCCAATTGTTCATTCTAATTGTAGGGATTAAGCACACTTTACCTCTCTACCATCAGATCAATCTCCTTCTTATTCAAAGGTTTTTTGGAAGGTACTGGTTCTGGTTCCTCATTAATCTATTTGATTTGTTATCTAAAATCTACAAACATGTGCTATGGTATTGTGACTTTGGGCTATAAAATGGCACACAATATGATACCTCAGGTTCGGTATTTAGTTGTTGTTGTTGTTCTGATTGATCAAAATAGAATCTGTTGGGCAGACACACTTTTTGAGGAGTTGGTACTTCTTGTTCTTAGACTTGTTGGCATTCGCTCTCTTATTATTCTGGAGAGCCACTGATTTACTTTTTGTATTCAGAGTAAAGAGTGTTGGACATATTCTTGGTGAAGTAAGGATGCGAGTCTGAGGTATTACGCTTTGTGGTCTCTAATTATAAATGAATTGCAAGGGAACATTTACATTAAATGGTTTCATTACTCTTCCTTACTACATACAATCTTTCGAAAACACTCGGCTAATTTGTGTCAACTTCGTGAGTCAAGCGGTTGGCATTCTATTACAATTCTTATGTCTAATTGATTGGAATGCACATTTACAGTATCATCATAGCACTGTTGCAATCTTTGTGATTTCCTTTCATTCCATCTTAAGAGATCATCAACTGTTCTTTGGATGGTGGCTGATTTCTTGTTGATCTACGATTTATTGTCCCATTATTTCTTACTTGAGGCTTAAAGGTGTATTCCTCCTGTTTTGCAGCCGGGATATTGGATTTATGGCTGTTCCGTTGATTTTGAGTGGCAAAGAATGTGATTCTCTGTAATTCCTCAGGACTGACAAATAGTTCTGTTGATTAACTTTTTAACATTTATTATAATCATTTTATTTTATCTTCGAATTATTTAATATTGGGGTTTGAATGGCCATGCCAAACACCAAACAATTGCCAGGCCATGGAAGAATTAAAAATTAGAAATCAATACATATTTCTACACTACTCTTTGCTGTCAAAAGATTCAATTCATTTTCTTGATCAGGGGCTTGAAGATTAAAATTTCTGAATTTAATATAAATGATAAATTATGTAATTTCAGAATAGTAATTTTATATTACTTCTGATCCATTACACAAATAGCAGTAAGTTACTGAATTTGAAGTGAAATGGCGATTCATTTTTGTAAGCTCTAAAAAATGGGTGCAATTTTGATTCCATATGAAATATCTGTGAGTCTCAATTATAAGAGATAGCGTTGCAATCTTGAGAACAATATCGATCGATTGGTGAAAATTAGTTACAATATAAAGCATGATAGGAATAGTAAGCACATTTCTAAATTAGCACTTTGTTAAAATTTATAGTAATACGTCAATTAAATATTATATGAAACCATAAACCAAATGGGTGATTCTCTTTCTAACAAGCTTGTCTTAATTCTCATTCCGAGCCTTCGTGGATTACCCATCACTATTGGCTACTGAGATCAAGGATCATTTCATTGTGAATCAATTCCAAATAAACCTATTGTTTTCATTCAGATCCTTTCCCAATATTGTTATGCCTTTTGTTGGAGGAATGCTATTGGATAGGTACGGAACAAGAAGAGGACTCTTTGGCTTTATGCTGTTCATCATTTTTGGCACATGTTAAGAATAATTATATATAAGTTCTTTGCTACTTGTCAATTATTTTGAATTGCTTCACACTGATGCTTATTGGAAGATTCTTTATGGGATTATTTTTGGAAAGTTGCTATGTGGGAATATACAAAATTTTGGCTAAGTGGTTTAAAGAGGCCTCATTTGCCTATAGGTAACAGTAACCTTATTATAAGCGTTGACACCGCATTCATTTGCGGCGGTACCATCGCATCCACAATTCTGTTGCCCTACCTAGTCAACAATTACAGCCTGGATACGGCTATATTATCGTGTCTTTTGCTGTGTATGGTTTCATTTATCGGTCTGAATACTGTTACAACAATTGATAAAACGTATTAAGTCGAAGCCAAACAAGAAAGCATCCCAAACTTTTCATTCTCATTATTAACTTAATTCAATGTTGACTTTTACATTATTGCTTTGAGTTCCATCTTCTGCTATACAAGCTATTACATATACTCCTACAATAATGCAGAAATGTTTAAGACTATGTAATATTTTCATTCATTTTTTAGGTATCATTTATCATCTTACTCTGCAGCCACACTTTACGGACTTCCTTGTTACATGGCTATTTTCATAGCTCCATATTTGGGTCATCTGGTTGACAAACATGGATATAGAATGCAAGGATTATAAATAACAAGCCTAATTTAAATGAGTGTGTTTGCATTGGTATATCTCATGCCAAATTGTGAGACCACTTGTTTGGTCATTCCTGCCATCAGCTAATTATTGAATGGAGTATTTTTTGCTGCCTATGTTGTAACCTTATGGCCTTGCATTCAAATGGTGGTGTCTCCTTAATTGTCAGGAACTGCCTTTGGCTTTGTCTATTCGAGTATTAGTGTGGGGATTTCCTTCGCGTCCATTTTTATTGGCAAAGTAGTTTAAGAGGAAACCTAAGCCTCCTACTCTAATATGTTGGGAATCCTACTCCTGATTTCATTCTTGGGAGCCTCAATGAATTATCTGCTCTTCTACAGAGACTCCAAATATTTCAACAACAAAAAATATGTAATATCGCAAAATAGCACAGAATTGGAATTGAAAATGCTTGATTGAANGCACATTTCTAAATTAGCACTTTGTTAAAATTTATAGTAATACGTCAATTAAATATTATATGAAACCATAAACCAAATGGGTGATTCTCTTTCTAACAAGCTTGTCTTAATTCTCATTCCGAGCCTTCGTGGATTACCCATCACTATTGGCTACTGAGATCAAGGATCATTTCATTGTGAATCAATTCCAAATAAACCTATTGTTTTCATTCAGATCCTTTCCCAATATTGTTATGCCTTTTGTTGGAGGAATGCTATTGGATAGGTACGGAACAAGAAGAGGACTCTTTGGCTTTATGCTGTTCATCATTTTTGGCACATGTTAAGAATAATTATATATAAGTTCTTTGCTACTTGTCAATTATTTTGAATTGCTTCACACTGATGCTTATTGGAAGATTCTTTATGGGATTATTTTTGGAAAGTTGCTATGTGGGAATATACAAAATTTTGGCTAAGTGGTTTAAAGAGGCCTCATTTGCCTATAGGTAACAGTAACCTTATTATAAGCGTTGACACCGCATTCATTTGCGGCGGTACCATCGCATCCACAATTCTGTTGCCCTACCTAGTCAACAATTACAGCCTGGATACGGCTATATTATCGTGTCTTTTGCTGTGTATGGTTTCATTTATCGGTCTGAATACTGTTACAACAATTGATAAAACGTATTAAGTCGAAGCCAAACAAGAAAGCATCCCAAACTTTTCATTCTCATTATTAACTTAATTCAATGTTGACTTTTACATTATTGCTTTGAGTTCCATCTTCTGCTATACAAGCTATTACATATACTCCTACAATAATGCAGAAATGTTTAAGACTATGTAATATTTTCATTCATTTTTTAGGTATCATTTATCATCTTACTCTGCAGCCACACTTTACGGACTTCCTTGTTACATGGCTATTTTCATAGCTCCATATTTGGGTCATCTGGTTGACAAACATGGATATAGAATGCAAGGATTATAAATAACAAGCCTAATTTAAATGAGTGTGTTTGCATTGGTATATCTCATGCCAAATTGTGAGACCACTTGTTTGGTCATTCCTGCCATCAGCTAATTATTGAATGGAGTATTTTTTGCTGCCTATGTTGTAACCTTATGGCCTTGCATTCAAATGGTGGTGTCTCCTTAATTGTCAGGAACTGCCTTTGGCTTTGTCTATTCGAGTATTAGTGTGGGGATTTCCTTCGCGTCCATTTTTATTGGCAAAGTAGTTTAAGAGGAAACCTAAGCCTCCTACTCTAATATGTTGGGAATCCTACTCCTGATTTCATTCTTGGGAGCCTCAATGAATTATCTGCTCTTCTACAGAGACTCCAAATATTTCAACAACAAAAAATATGTAATATCGCAAAATAGCACAGAATTGGAATTGAAAATGCTTGATTGAATGTATATTAAATATAGATATATATTATACTAAAAATAAATCAACGATTTGTCTTTGCTACTTTTTCAAGTTCATCTCTCTTCTTGATTGTGTATGATTTTTGTCCATCTTCATTGGCAGCTGCAATAAGCTCGTCAGCAAGTGCTTCTGCTATAGTCTTCATCTTCTTGAAGACTGAATCTCTAACTCCCTTAGCCAAATTGTGAACAGCCTTAAATTATTATGTCTGAGTACTTCATTGACTCTTCTGATTGGAGCAACATCAACAGCCTATTGTTTAGCAACACCACCTGTTCCAACTTTGGTGAAATCTTCTCTTGCTCCTCCTCTTTGGACAGCCAATGATAAAACTGCAAGAGGATTCTTGCCTGTGAGCAAGTGAACAATCTCAAAAGCGTGTCTGATAATAGCGACAGCCTTGACCTTCTTACCAGTGTTACGACCATGGAACATAAGAGCACCAGCCAATCTCTCCACAATTGGACATTGGGCCTTTCTAAACTTCTTTCTTTAATATCTAAATAGATATGGATTCAGATGCTGTACCTTCCAGCAGTGTGTGGAACGAAGACTCTTGATTTTGAAGTTTGTACTGCAATATAGTCTTTGAAACATTGGTCTGTGACTTAGACTTCATCGTAGTCCCACTTTCCGAAAAGTTTTGGTTAATTGGCGAATTTCACAGTGACAACTTATTCCTCTGCCATATTTAAATAAGGATTTATTTTAATTTAAAATAATTTTTTTATCACAAAAGCACCTCATGGAAAATACCAATCAAGATCTATAAATACACTTAATCAAAAAAGCAAATGGAATCACTCTATTCGACCACAGCCATTCCCTCAATACTATTACCTTTCTATTTGCTATCTAAGTCATTTATACCTAATGATTAAGTACTCAATATAGTTAGCAATAATTATTATGATATTTCTCACTCATTCAAAATTGTTTAATATCCAAATATGTTTATTTAAAATCATATTGATTTGTCAATGTTCTTATTTAATCAGTTCTGAATGGGTCATCTCTTAAACTGATTTATATATTAAGAATTAATGAGTTCAAGATTCTAATATTAAGTAGAAAAATATAAATAATGTAGAATGCTTAAAAGTATTTGAGGCATATCATTGCAAATAAAACAAAATCTAACAAAATTCCTTAATGATCAAAAATCCAATTCAATCTTTACTTTGAAGTAATGAAAATTATTGTGCTGCCAAAATGGATCATACTTTCCAAAAATCACTAATTTAACAAATAAATTTAAATGATTGAGGTTCTCCAAATGCTGTTATAGTATCCCTTATTGTATTGATACCTCGTTTATCTGATGCATTTAATTGCCAAAGATTTCTATAATTATAATGGCTCAATTTTAAAAGTTATTTAATTAATTTATATATAAAATAATTATATATACAAACTAAAATTTAGAAATAGATCAAAAATTCATCTCTTGTGTTTATTTATTTATTTCTTTACTTTTACTTCACTTGGATGAGCTCGTTTCCATGCCTCTGATTTCTTATCTACTGTGAAATCATTATCCTTTAACATCTTCTAAAATCTTGGATCAATCTATTTTACAGGCTACTCAACTTCTGGTTGTTCTTCAGGTATTACATAACCTTTGCTGATTCTTTCAGCTTCCAATTATTTTTCATAATTTTATTAAATTCTTTTCTATTTGTAATCTTCAAAATCCAAACCTTTTTGCTATCTTAATTTCAAATACAATTTCAAATGAATAAGATATCCATGTGAATAAGGCTTTAGCATAGCAGTTTCTAATAAATGCAATGCATCCAACTTCTCCAATTCTTCATATGATAAAAACTTATATTCATCATAAACTGTTTATTGTTCTTCTTCTTCCATTTCTTCAGTTAAATTATCCAAAAATGGGCACCATTTAGGAGCAGCATTCAATTATGGAATGAAATAAATGCCCATTCTTGGTTATTCCAATGCTAATAAAAACATTCCTGAGTTCTTAACCCAAGTAAATGAATTTATTTCACTTTATGGTTCTATGTTAGTGAACAAACGATTTCCCTACCAGAATTTTAATATCTTTGCATCACAAGACACAATCATATCATCATTCATAACTATCTTCTTGATAGGTAATCTATATTAATGCTAATAGATATGAATTGGTATGTGCTTTCGTAAATCGAATAATTTTATTTGGCCTTCCTTAGTCCCCAAAGCAACCTAAAGATTCTGAGTTGCTATGCTAGTGACATCACTCACTCCCAATTGCTAAACGACTTAATCGCTTCTAAAATCGATGATGCTCAGTTATTTATTGCCTCCCACAAGACCCAATTACAATTAGTCGTGCATACTCAAACAGTTCACTCCTGTCTCTTATTAAAGAGTGTATGATTCTACAAATGAACCAAGTTCAAGATTCAATCTAGTGATGTCTTCATTCTGAGAGGACACCAACAAATTACAATTGTAAGGATTATAAATCTAAATAGTACTCATAAATAATACCATGTCAGTTGGTTATTTGGGAACTCTCAGTTTGAAATGCTTTCCATATTGGGCATGTAACTCAATATTGCGATCCTCACAAACCATAGCAATTTTTTTGTAATCATCTCCCAATATGCAAAATTTTACTATTTCTGAATCAAGGCCTCGACTACATTTCATGGACAATTATGATGTTTCGAATATCTTTATTGATGGAGCATAGAGTCCAGCGGCAACAATGTACTATTGATCATTGCTCTCTTCGATTTGAGTGGAGGCAGTGTTGAATTCAAACCCTTGGATGACCTCTATGCGCTTGCGAAATTGCTCGTTCTTTTTCAAAGACTTCTGAGTTTTGTAAGCTGTTTCCAGGAATTCAGGCAGGGTTGGACATGCAGCCAAATTATAAGCCTTGATCTATTGAGAAATGGTTATAGAAAGGGTCATTAATTGTGGTAAAAATTAATAATTATTTTAATTTCCTTATATTATACACCAAATTGTGAATTCTCTGTTAAATGTAAATCATCAAACTATATATAAAATCAATATAATTTCTCTATCGCTTATTTTGGTTCTCCATAGTTGTAATACTCCCTTAATCTGAAAACCGATTACAAAACTATTCTGCAGTCTGGAGCAGGCAACACCTGGTCAACCAAGAAATCATATAACATTTTCAATTCCTTGTCGTCCTTATTATCATAAAATGGAATTATTGGGATTCCGTTCTCCAAATGAACTCCAAAGCTGTAAGCTGCATTGTCAACCAAGACTATGTCCTTGGGATCTCTATTCAAGACTCTCAAGTCTTTGATGTGCACTCCATCTTAGGACAATACACATCTATCCCTAAATAATTAACCAGAGAGTAGGGTTGAATTTGGATCCAGATATTTAATCACTTAACTAGCATAGCATTGATGAGATGCTGTGAAGACTATGACCTCGCAAAGTTGGCTCAACTCTTACAAGATCCACTTAGCATAAGGACGAATATTGATGCCAGCTTGGGCCGTATCTCCAGAAGGGAATGTTATTGGCAAATAGACATCTGCCTTAAGATTTTGATTCTCATTGCAATGTATCAGAGTCTCATCTAGATCGAATACAACAGTTTTCTTAACTTAATGTCTATAGGATTGATGATACATTTATAATGCGATTTCATTGGGATGTCCATTCGTTTTTGTTCCAAAATCGATTATGTTGCTTCTTGTAATTTTACACAGAACGAAACACAATTAAATGTTTGTACAGCGTGATCCCTGAAGAGTTGTTGCTCTTGGTTTTATGGCAAAATGTGTCTGAAGGATTCCACCAAGGAGGAGACATAATAAAGGGATTCTAAGTTTGAAAGGTGGATGAATACTTTTAGAAGGAACAATATTGACTCTTGTGGAAGGGGACAACGATTTGGTTTGTTTGAAGGGGGAAATAATAGACTGAGGTCTATTTATTTAAGTCACAAAATCATCTAAGCTAACATGCAAGTTTTCCTTCTTTTGTTGTGGTTATTGCGGTTCAAACTTCTTTTTTAATTGTTAGGCTATTTGTTATGCAAACTGAACAGAAGAGAAACGATAATCTAGTTTATTTGCTGAGTCAGTTGAAAGCAAATTGTATTTTTTTTTTACAGTATTCGGTGCTGTTGATTACCCATTGTTTTACTAGCTGTTTGATGATTTTTCCAACTAAGAGAAATTACGATGCAAGCTGTTCTTAGTCTTTGGAAGCAATTAAGAATGATTCTAAGGCTTATTGATTGAGTCTTTAACTAGATTCTTTTGATAAAGAAAATATTTCATCTATCATTTAAACTAATGATTATACTTCCTGTGCAGTTCTACAACTTTTCGGAGTGTTATTTCTAGGAGTAATATTCAACTAACTTGCCAACACAGGTTTCTATTAAGTTGGCTATTTCTTATTCAACAATTATTGAGTACTCGTACTCTAACACATTTTGGCTAGAGTCAGAAATTATTCTCTAATGATTCAAATGCATTCATACTTTGTGAGTTTGGCTTTCGCTTACTCATTTCGAGCAGTAACAGATTTTATATTTGTTTTTTACATTTAATTTATTTATAACTATCAACCTTCTTTCACATATTTCTCAAAGTCCAAATATCCTTGCTTATAACTTGGGGACTGCTTCAATTAGGCTATAAATTGTTTGGTCTTAGTTATTAAATTCAAATTACATTGTTTCGGTACTTCTTGTCATAAATGTAGAGCCAATTCTCTAATTTATCTACTTCGATCCTATTTGAGCCTGACAGCAATCTAAAGGCCTCCAGGACCTCTCTTTACTCTTGTTGCTAATCATTCATAAACACTTTGTATAATTTCTCATATTAAATGTCCTGTTCCCCTTCAGGATTAGCCAACTCATTCAAAGCTTCAATCTCCTCATTCGTAGCATCAATATTTAAAAAGTATAACAATTCCTTAATTTGCATATCCGAAGTCATAGGCTTCTTCTTTCTCATCTTCTCAACCCATGCAAAGGCTCCTTACAGTTATGAGAATATTTATTCTGTTTACTTATTTATCATTAAATTTTTTATTATAAATTTTCAACCTTCCTCCTCATTAAAATCATTATCTTCCTGTTGGAAATCATCTTTGATATCCTCTTCTATTTCTTCATCTTCGTCATTATCCTTCTACTATTGTTACTTCTTCTTACTATCACTCTATTTTTTCACCTCTTGTACTTATTTCCTCTACATTAACAACTAAAATGCCTCTGGAATCTCAGTCAAACATTTTCCCTTACTATACTCCACCTCCAATTATTCATTAGTCTACAAGATAGTCAAGATCCCTTTTCCATGGAATTTGTCATCCAAGAATCCTCCAGAATACTCTAATTTATGATTCCAAAATCTAAATTTACCTTCCTAACAACCTATTATACTAATATCTAAATACATTTCAATCCATCCTTAAGTTGACCCTCAAATTCACTGCCATCAGAATAATTTATAACTCCTTCCTTGATTCGATCATTTACAAATTCACCAGTAAACACTTAATTCTTGTACACCAAGATACCCTTTACTCTTTAGAAATTCTATATGATTCCATCAAAAACATGTCCTGGTCCATAAGTTATTTTACCTTCTGCAGGCTAATTTTTTAGGTAGGAACCATCAAATTCTGTTTTATTTTTAAAAAATTCCTGACCATCCAATTTAATCCCTTAATCTAATGTTCCTACAAAATAAATTGACTATCTTTTTTTATTCAGATGCTTTTAAGTATTAATTTCATTCAGTAATAAACACTCCCCATTAGGTTTATATGATTTACTATCGAATTGCCCCCAAAAAATATGCTTATTAAGCTCAGCAATGGCGTTCTGATATTTTTAGGAGATTACCAGATTTTTTAGTATATAAATAATGCTGTTTTGTTCCCTAATCTCAATTGTACCATCATCCGTTAAGGTTCCATTTGAAAACATTCCGTAGTGATACTCTTTACCAAACTTTCCATGACCATATCCATGAGGCATTATTTTAACTCCTTCCAATTTACCAAATCCCACATATTGTTATTCAACATCCAATGCTTCTTAGAAAAATGGATTCTCTACTTTAAGTGGATTCTCTGGATGACATATGAGTAATGAAAATATGGATCTTTTTTATTGATTTAAAGAGAGTATAAGAGATAGAAAAGGGATGATTTTTGAAATATTGGCATCAAATGGCTTTTCAACTTTAGCCAATGATGCAAACTGCTTCTTCAACTTTATTTTCTATTTCTCTAAATCTGGCTAATTTTCCTTAAACACTTTCAAAACATCTTATAATAGGTTAGATTTCAATTAACCATCTTCGAAAAAGAATTCTGCTGAGTTTATTTTAGTAATAGCACACAAGACTACTAAACCAGCTTAAAATGAATATGTGTAGATCATATTTTTGAGACTTTTTTCTTTATAAAAGTTATCTGTGATTGGAGTATAAGGTCTATGGAACTTAGACCCTTTATAGGAGATTCCCATGTTCGAAATAACGAAACGATTCTCTTCAACATAGATATTCTAAGGAGCAAGGTCTAAAAATTCATAAGTTACACGACCTAAGAATATTAATTAATACGAAACCTGTGATTAGAAGATTTTAGCAGAAAGTAATCAAGAGCTGTTCTGCTTATTACGGGTTTAATTATTCCTGTTGATCTAATCTCTTATTGAGTTCATTCAATTGGTAAAGCACTAACAAATCAGATTATTTATCATTCAACTGTTTTTCGGCTAATAATATAATCCTTGTATTGACACCATTCACACATTCTAACATAGCTTTCTGTAATTGCATAGCTTTGGTTCTGAACAGATCATGTCCTAAATTTTCATAAGTTTGTAAGACGTATCTGCCTTGTTCTTTCTTATGGTGCATCAAGTAACTGATTGAGCTGATTCCTAGATAGAAATCAAGGCCTTTTCCAATTACACTGACCTATACAAAGTTCTTATTTATGAAACTGGCATCTACTACTAATGAATTGTATTATTGCAACATTAATATAATAGATATATATTATAATCAGCCTTCATCTCCGTCTTCATTGTCATCGCCTGGGTTCTCTTCAATATCTTCTTGTATTTCTTCATCATTGTCTTCTTCTTCATTGTCTTCTTCTTATTGATCTTGTTTTTTGAGACTCTTTTGTTGCTTCTATTTTTCTTAGATTTCTTTCAAGGCTTTTTCAAAATACTCATTAAGTTTGGTTTCGCACATCCCATTATTGTAAACAACCTCTTGAACACAATTCTCCTTTGATCTGTCAATGAATTGTCCTTTGCCATGTCTTAGATCCTCAGCATATAAACCTTAATATTAAATTTACGAGTTTGGATATTGATAAACTCCGGCCTTGACTAATAATCAAGATGTAAGAATACCTTTTTATCCATTTTTAAAATTACCATAAAACACTCCCCCATCATCGTATTCTATATGTCCTTTGAAAAATTAATCATTCATAAATTGGCCATCATATACTCTCCCTTTTACAATTAATCTGCCTTTTTTCTTATTGAAACCATCCATAGTCCCTTCAAAGACCTCCTGGTTGGGATAAGTCAACCTCCCTTCATGCGGTTGATTGTTCTTGAACTCTCCCTCAAATATAGTATTATCCAATTGATACGAGATTCCCTATTTTAATTACCCCTCTTCAATTTATCCTTTGAAGTAGTATATCGTTTCTTTTTTGAGTTTTCCAATAGGATTGATGGGAGCTACAATCTTGTCACTCAAATACAGCAGCTCATTATAGACATACCTAAACTCTATTTCACATTGCAGATTGAACATTTTGCATTCATATTTGATGTTGTGAATGGTGATGATATTAAAAGCATCAGATACTTCTCCACTCTTAAATCCTCCGCACATTTGGATGAGTTCAACATTTTTCTATTTGCCCTTCTCATCCCCTTAATCAATTGATATGATTCCACATCCATTCAACTTGTCATTCTCAATGGTCCCATTTGTGTAATTGTATTTGTCCTCCTATCTCTCATCATAAGGGGCTTCGACTTAGAGTATGTTTTCAGGTTGAGCAATCAAGAGTTAGAAAATTGATCTACTTTAAATATTGTTCACGTTAAGCAATTTCTTAAGAATATCCAAGAACTCCTTACGATATTTATGTTGTAGGAATCTTTGGGATTTGACATACTTGAATTGCTTTCCTTGATTTTGAGCCCTTTATTCATTATAGTCCTGCTCTCTTGTATGAGTCAGAGTATCGAAGAACTAAGGTATTTGGGTGATGAATTTCTTGTCCTTTCTTTTATCCTTCTCCTCTCCATCTTAAATTAGGTATAAAATATTATCTAAAAGTTGTTCTCTGAATTAGCCATCTTCAAAAAAGAAATCCTTGGGGTCTATTTATGTCATTTGAGTCAAAACAAGCAATCCAGCTCTAAACGCATAGGAATACAGAATATTAATTTTCGAAGGTTTTTTCTCCTTTAAAATTGGATCTGTGATCGGTAAATAAGATCTATGGAATTTGGTTCCAGCATAGGTTATTCCAAAATTAGATATAATGTAGGATTAGTCCGTAAAGAAAATGTTTTGGGGACTAATATCTAAAAATTCATTTGTAAATTGAGAACCCAACATATAATTATGACACAAGAACTTCAATAACGCTGTAGCTTCATCATCATCTAGACCTTCTTTCTAGTCCCTCAAACTTTTGAAATCAGATTTAACTTATCCAAATTCATAGACAACAAACAAATTAAATGACATTTAATGCACTTGTTCTTTTCCAATTAAAATTATTCTTGTTGAATAAGGATTCAGATGTGTCGTCATTGCCTTTTATAATTGTATTACTTTGGCCTCAAACACCTCCTGATTGAGGTTTTCATAAATTTATAAAGCATGCCATCCCCATTCTCCATCAAAATCTGAAGTTACATGATTATTTTTTTTCAATTTGTAAATACTCGAACTTATTCCGTAAATCAAATCTTTGCCCTTGCCTATTACGTTGTCCTTTTCAAACAAACGATAGATTAGATTCTTTTCCACTAACAACGATTATTAATTCATAAAAATTTTAAATTAATTATAAACTCTTGCCCACTCATTAAAGGATATTTAAGTTGAATACATCTCAACAAGTTTCGCATTCCATTATCCACTCAGATCTCTATGACATCTGCTTAATGGATATCTTACACATCTTCATATGCAATTCCAAAATTCATTAATCTCTCTACTAATTGTTCTTGTCTTCTCTCTATTTAATAATATGATTTTAAATTACTATAAGTAGCTATAATTTTATAAATTTCTTTTTGATTCATTTATGTTTTGAAATTCACCAAACCTCTACATTTTTCTTTTTACAGGATTGTTTTTTACGCAGCTAATAAAGAACATTAATAATCCTTCATTCTTAATGTACTAATAAGTTATTATAATTAATAGAAATTATTTAATATGCATACTCAGTAAGACAAAATAATTATCTATGTTGAATATAATAATGAATCTAACAGTTAATATGAGGTTTGTAGGGCTGAGAAGATCAAAAAGTTTCTATGTGAAAAATATAAGCTGACTGAGAAGGAAATAGCTGTTAAAATTGATAGTAAGATTTGTGACTCTAGCGATAGTTTTGATAAATATATCAAAGATGATTAACCTTTGAAAGTACTGATTTTTGATATAAATATATTGATTGATGATTATCAGGAATAATAAAAAATAAAATAGTCATAAATAACAGATATATAAACATCAATAGAAAATAAATGTACATAAATTTTTAAAACTGAGAGGAGCATTTAGTGTGATTTAAATGATAGCAATAGCGAAGGTACAGTTAGAAAGAGTTTCATTTCGATTTAATAATCAAGCTAATTGTTCTCATAAATTATTTAACAAAACTTCAAATGCATCTATTGTCAGCAAAATATTGATTCCAGCCTAATAAATACTCCTTGCCAGCATTTTTTTCACAATGAATGTTTTGATTAATTTATTTACAACACCTTACAACTCTCATCTACCACCATATAATGTCTCTGTAATGAAAAGTTTAAGGTATAAATTTTATAAGTTTTGGGTGAGGAAAAGTTCAGAACTTATAAAGAAATATTACTAAAAAATCAATTATTTTACATTTAAAAAAAATGCGAAAACTAAATTGGAAGGTGTATTGATAACCAAGACTGCAAATTTTGGTTTTTCAAATAACCCAATAGCCAAATTCAATAAGAAATCTCATGTTATTAATGCTCAACCCCTCAAAATTAAGATTTCTAACATGCAAAATCCTTGTTACCAAAAGAGCAAATCATTATCGCGTCTCATAATGCTGAACAAAGAGAAGAAGACACAAAATTGAGGCCTTTTGTAACTAAGAATTTAATTCAGGATTAGGGAAACTAATTAAAATAAGTTGATGAAGGCCATAGTTATTAGAATAGAAAGACAAAAGTAATATCAGATTTAAATATCTTAGAGTGAAATAGTGGAGATAAGGAAAATTAGAAAACAGATTGGGAATGATTCGATAAATTTTAATAAAAATAAAATACAACAGAATAATGTGGAGCAATAGATTTAGGATTAAAATTAGATATAAACTGAATAGGTAGTTGAAAATTAATGATAATAATGATTTGAGATTTAATATAATTTTTTATGGAATGATTATAATTAATTATTTGAATTGAATTATTAAATTAGATTTTAATAGAAAAAGAAAGTAGTAGAATATAAATAAAATAGAAATTAACATAATAAGCGTCGAAACATTAATTAATATTTTAAATGTAAATTATTGAGATCTCTTTAGGAGAAGGTTCAGTGGGATAGGTAAAGAAGGTGAAAATTGAAGATAATTTATATGCCATCAAACAATTTAACAGTAGACTAGGATCGAATGAATATCGAATTCATTAATAGCTGAAACATCCAAACATTTTGAACTTCATTTAGGGAAATGAGGACTACATAATTACAGAATTAATGAGTCCATTTAGTTTATTTGATTTTGTAAAAACTGCAAGATCAATGTCAGTAAATGCTTCAAACTGCATTTTAAAATAGTTGGTTGAAGCATTAAAGTACATGCATCAATAAAGAATTGCGCATAGAGATGTAAAATTGGAGAATGTTTTGGTGGATGAATAAAATTTCAAAATCAAACTTTGTGATTTTGATGTGAGTGTGAGTTTGGATGAAGGGAAAGTCTAGAATTAAGTGGGGACCTTTAATTATTTGGCCCCAGAAATTAATCACTATGGAGAGATCAATGCCTTAAATTTGTAAGAATGTGATATCCATTCTTTGGGTGTCTTATATTTCACTTTGCTTTTTGGAAATTTTCCCTTCAAATAGGCCAATTAATCTAATGGCATGTATAGATTAATAATTGAAAACAATTGGGAGAAATTCTGGCATATTTTTTAGAGTAGAAGGACCTAATAGATTCCTCCTATTTGTTTAGAATTAATTCAAGGCATGATTGAATATAATCCAAAACAACGATTCACTTTGGACGACATTCTGAATAAGATTGAGCCTGTAAACGAAATAGAGTATGTGAATGAGATGCAAAAAGTCCATATTTAGTTACAAGAGATGCAGAGAGAAAAAGGGAATCTTATTTTAGAAAACTGACCTTTTTTGCAAGTTTTAGTACATTGATTAATGAATTCTATATTACTATTCTGATTAAATATAATTTCTGATAAGTTTTATAAAAGAATTTAATAATTCCCGATGAAAGTGAATTGGATTTAATTTTAAAAAATTTAAACTAGTTAACTTATACTAAAATTTTAAGTGATGAATATATCAAAAGAAATCTTGGGTTCTGGATTGACTTGCGAAGTCAGAAAAGTATAGATCAAGGGTGAAGAATACGCTATCAAACTATTTAAGGATAATGTCTCTACACAGTTGATTAAAAAGGAGATTAACATTCTTTCTTAAATTGACCATCACAACGTTATTCATTTAGTAGATGGAAATCATGAAGAAAGATACATGATAACAGAGCTTCTCTAGAAAATGGATCTCTTTGACATTTTAGCCAAAGGATAGAAACCATTCTCAATAGCTTCTATTAAATGCATTATTTTATAATTAACAGCGGCAATCCAATATATTCATAAATTGGGTTTCGTGCACAGAGACATCAAATTAGAAAACATTCTATTGGACAAGAAGTTGGATATCAAAATTTGTGACTTTGGATTTGCTGAACCAATCAAAGGAGGATATGTTACCAGATCAGCTGGTACATAGGGATATTTGGCCCCAGAGTTGTAAAATCAAGGCCAAATCATTACCGAGGCCTTACCCATCACAGAAGTGTTCTCCTTGGGAGTGTGTCTCTTCCTAACCGCTTTTGCCCATCCTCCCTTCAGATAAACCACCAAAGCTTGTCCTTATTGGAGATTAATTTCCAACGGATAATGGGCTAAATATTGGTAGACAGTCGACAAATAAAAAAAATACGATGATGAGTTCCGCTCACTCGTCCAAGGTATGTTGGAGCCAGATCCAGCAAAAAGAATGACCATTGATTAAGTATTGGATCACTAATTTATGAATGGTGGATGCAAGAATACATTTTAGTTAGAAGTATGGGAACGAATGAAAATCGATTGAGAGGACAGAAGAGGTTATAACAAAAAGGTGCTTGGTTTAATTGATTATATATATTAATAACATATTGATAAATCTATATTTATCCATCTCTATAAATAGTGTTTAAAAAAATTAAATTTTCCATTAATTTTTCAAATAATCATTTATAATTTATTTTATATTAGCCTGAATAGTTCTCAGTAATCGTCTCCTCCCCATTTCCCTTATCGATTGTCTTAAGCAAATATTTCCCGTGAATGTCAAACTTGATTTCTTGATCCAGTTTGCTATATCCCTAAACAAGCAAATTGTCTATGTTTATATTGACTTTATCAGAAGCGATCTTAGCATACCTATTGGATTGGGATTTCAAGTAATCCTTGCTCGAGAAGCTTCGATAAACAGGTTCATCATTCAATTATTTCAATATGGATTGAGTTGTCTCATCCTGATTAATGATACTTGGTTTCCGTATCACTTAATCATTTTATGACATCATGAATAAGGGATACCCACTATCGTCATCTATTTCCCTAATTAAAAAGTGTTAATTACAATATCTTCAAAGTCTTGTCTTCGTTATTTCTATTCAAAGAGTCATTAGTATTACAATACTCTTGTTTTCTACGAAATCTATAGCAATCTATCATCAAAGATTTGCTTGGATCTTTATTTACTTACTTTGTCACCCCCATCAATACATTGCTTTAATCCTTTTCTAATTTTAAATACTCTTCCAATGCCCTGGTTTCTTTCAACAAAATCTACTTCTTTTGGAATGGCATCTTCATTATTTCCTGATCCTCCTTCAATCTCGATTCAAACAGATTCTTCTCAATTAAATTAACTTTAGCCAATAACTCCTCTCCTGTAAATACTTGTTATGTTTTTATTGTGTTGTTATTTCTAAATGTGTTTGTGGTGTTTCCCTTAGCAATTGTTCTTCTGCTGCTTGATTTTGGATCTTATCCAGTCAATTGACTCAACCTCCTTTTGAAAATGTCCGGTTTACCAACTATTGATCGTACAACTATTTTGTTATTCTCTAACTTTGGACCAATCGTAGAGTCGTATTTGCATAATTACACACTAATAGGATCTTTAAAGATGTTCCTAGTTTAATATTAACCTGCAGCATCCAAAATTTCTGTTTTAAATTCTGGATGCTTATCAATTGACTTGGCCAAGAAGTAACCTCGTTCCTTTGTTATATTCGACTTATTCCAAGGGTTACTGTATATTGAAAGCATGCTCTATTGGTCTTACATCAAATCAAGAATTAAATATAAATAATGTTATCTCATTTTAGTATATTCTGTATGTTTCTTAAGTAAGACCATAGTAAGTCAAATAGGTTTAACCAATTGCGCACTTAGACATAATTTCATTTTCATTCTATGTTTTTTGACTCTATCTAATCTCTGAGATGAATTTAAGTGAAATGTCAAATTAAATGGTAATCTTTACCAACAATCTTCATTTTATTCATAAGTTTAAATAGAAGATAATTCAAAGTGAAAAAAATAATAGTAAACATATATAACAACCATTATTATTTCGTTAATTATTATAATATTTATTTGCAATTTTTGTCACTTTTATCAAAGTACAAACTTGATTCAGTTTTCAATCTTTGTAAAATAGTTTCAGATTTCTATCTGTTTAATTCTAATTTGTTTACTGGATTTCAGATTTTATTATTGATTCAATATTAACTAGGTGGATTCCTACTTTATTTTCTTGTGCCTTGAAAGACTTTCAATCAATCTTTAAGGTGATCATGAATAATCTCTTTATTGACTATTAGACTATCCATCCTTTTCAGAAATCTTTTATACTTTGATCAAAATATGACCAATCTTCAAACTAAATTATAATTTTTGATTGCAATAGTCAATAATTGTTAGATTATATTAGATGGTCTAAATACGGAGAATTATCATTTAACATAAATCAATTTTAGATGGTAAAATGTAGACACTTGTCCTTTTACAGTGTATCAGTTTATTGGAATGATGTATTCACTCTAGATCAGGTATCCAGATTAAACGACTGATATTTCAACTATAAATAACACCCAAACCAAAAAATGGTAAATACTAAAACATTCACTTCTAAATACTTAGATTAGAGTTAGGAAAGATTCAGAACCATTGAGTGCATAGTCCAATACAGTCGAAAATCGAATAGGGATTATCAAAGGGCTAAGTATATAAGTGATTAACAACATTGAAGTCATTCTTAAGCGTTAATAATATAAAAAGGAATTCAAATTTAACATTATCTAAACTCAAGCCAAAATTAAAAAGACTTTATGTTAAATAAATTAGAAAGTCATTATCCATAGAGGAACATTACCTAAATTCATTCTGAAATCTTTCTATTTGGCCTGATAATTAAGTTAACTGTACTTGATTAAACCTACAAATAAAATAACAGGTTTAAATCTTAAGCTTGATCTACTTGATATTTAAAGAAACTTAAAAAGCATCATACCTTCTATATTAGATAAAATTTTAGAATTAAAAATTTAAGTGCATTTGTATATGTTATATAAATGAAATTAAAAAATGACTAATAAAAAACGTGTTTAAAATCGTTTGCCTAATTTAAAGTTAATCAATAAGAAAATCATTAATTCTTATGTTTAATTACTATCAAATATTTGGAGCATAAAGATAGAATATAGATCCGTATAAATTCCCAAATAATCCTCATTACAATAATGGTATTTAGATTCACCATAGCAGAGGATATTATGGAATGCAAACAAAATATCTTAAGACATCGCTTATCAAAAAGATTATCAAAAAGCAAAATAAACTAATTGATATCCTATTAGTAATATGTTAAGATAATATAAAATGCATAAATACAAAACAACACATATCCAGTAAGAGATGGCGAAGATTTAAGAAAGATCCAACAGTTATGTATCAACCATTATAGAAATTCTTTCAAGATAGATGAACAGTAGGAGTGGTTTAAGCAATGGGACAAATCTTCTGCATTTTTGGTGAATTGATAAAAGATGCGTTTAAAAAATCTCTAATCACAGTTATTTTTCAAACATTGATAATCCTCTTTTTAATCGTCTTACTAATTGAGAAGGTGTCCTTGTTCGAGAAAATGTTTCATCCATTTCTTCTATCTGTGAATGCTCCTTGATTATCTTGAACTTTGAGGATCCACATCTAAAATTAGTTTGCGTGTTGTTTTGAGATGTGACATTCGATGCACTAACGACTCTGATTGATCCTCTCTTAAGCGAACGTATTGTCATATTTTATCTGCTCATCCGCATTGGTTCAATTTAGAATTGATTCTTCATTAAAATCATATATGTACATTAAAGATTTCTTCTTTGACCTTCCCTAAAAAAGAGATCTTGTAATTCGGATGCTGAATGGGGTTTGGAAATAGAACATCCGGTAAAGTATTTAATCTCATTTATTAATTTATTTATTGATTAATGCTTACCTCCAAAAATTGCCAAGGAGAGAAAATCCAATACCTGCAACAACTGATATTGAGATTGATCGGTCTGATCTATGCATTTGCCTTCTCCAGTTGGTACTACCAAATACCTGCACTCTATGCTAAAAGTGGATTGATGCCCATATCCAAAATAGAATGGTATGATGTGACCAAAATGCCCACTCTCCTGCAGATATATAAAAATGAATCCGCTCTGACTGTCATCACGATTGTGGGCACCCTAATTGGCTTATTAGCATTTGCGTCCTCCAAATTCATTAAATGGTACACCTTCTTTATATTGTGGGTGTTGTACCTCTCCCTCTATACAGTAGGTTAGGACTTCAGCCAATTCTAATGGGACATAATGCTTTTGGAAACTGGTTTCATTTGTATCATCTTTTCCATCACACCCATTGTAGGAAGAGAATTGCTACGTTGGCTTGCATTCAGACTCTACTTTTCAAGTGGACTAGTAAAACTCTTAAGTCAATGTGACACGTGGTGGAATCTGACTGCTTTGCATCATCATTTTGCATCACAATGTATACCTCACTTTCTATCCTGGTGGGCACATCAATTACCAAGTGAACTAAAAAAACTGATGGTGGCTGCAAATTTCTATGTTCTTATTTTTGGAGCTATTTACTTCTACTTTCCCAGAAGATTCATGAGAATATTTGGATTCATTTTGCAATTCATAATGCAAATTGGCATCATCCTAACAGGAAATTACAACTTTTTTAATCTGTTATCGATTGTACTTACAATGGTAGTGTTGGATGATCACTTCATTTATAAGTATTTCCCCAGCAAAGTAAAGGATTTTATTAAGATGCCTAAAACAATCGAAGAATTTGATTAAAAGGAGAACAAAAGAATTTACAAATACTCTGAAATCGCCATTTGCCTGTACATGACTGGAGTACTAATCTACAACTTCTTCCCTTACGAATCTATAATGCAGGGCAAGAAACTCCCCTTTACTGTTTAAGATATTGGAAAGTACTTTCTTACAGAAGATAATTTCACTTACTTTTTACTATACGTGTTGACGTTCTTCTTTTTCTATATAACATATTTCAATCTTCAGAATGCTTCTGCTCAAAGCACTATGGCTGCCATCACACAAACATTGATTAAGATAGTTGTGTTTATCACTATGTTTAGTATGTCCAATCTGACTTTCCAATAAGGAATAGGCATTAGACAAATTAATAGTCCCATCATACCATAGCAATATCTGTAATAAGTTCAAACTTACACATATCCCTTCCATCTCTTTAATAGTTATGGCTTATTCAGAAAAATGACAGGTGTAAATGGCAGACCTGAACTTATTTTTGAAGGCAGCGACGATGGCAAGAAATGGTTAGAATACCATTTCCATTATAAGCCTGGAAAGATTAATGAAATATCACCATTTGTTGTACCTCATCAACCTAGATTGGATTGGTAATTATGGTTTGCATCTTTACAAGAAAATCCCTCAGATTTATATTTAGTAAATTGTAATGTTTATAAATTAGATCCACCTTGTTTATAAGATGTTGGATGGCTAAAATATCGATGACTATGTTTCTAGCAATCCATTTTAAAACAAACCACCCAAGTACATTAGGATTAATAAGTATCTATACTACTTTACTAATGTCACTGAGATGATATAAACTGGAAACTTTTGGTAAAGAATTTGGAAATCAGCATACTTACCTCCAATTTAATTGTAGGATAGCTAATTGCAAGGCATTAAGTAAAATTACGGATTTGAATCGGCTGCCAATAAATCAAAAGAGAAACCCACCTAATTGCCATTGTGGACTTTGATAGTGAGTGTGATTATTTATGCATTTTATTGATAATTCAAGTTTCTTGTAAGGAAAAATTATACAATTCTTGTCCATGACAATTTAATCCTATGAAGCACTTACATATAAAACGTAATTAACAATATATATAGAAAAAGTGAATGATAGTAATAATATATCCTAAAAATATTTGATCTCCATTATGGAAATCATGATAGGTAAAATAACTATGATGAAAATAAACTCACAATTGTCCATCAGGCTATTCTATTTCAGTAGTGATACCAGTACTCAATAAGTATACTTCCTGCTTTAATTCTTCAGTATTTTCTAAATTAAACATTGATCTTACATAAGTAATCGAGAAATTATTGTTGTCTACATTTATATAATTCAGGTATTCTGAACTCATCCAATAATTTCATCAACTCATATGAGAAGTACTTCAGAGTAACTTAATCCAAACTAACAAATTTTATCTGTTCAAAGGCAATTTCGTCATCTGTTATCGATCTAAGGGATAAATGATTTTCAATAACTATAAGATTGCTCTGATGAGAACTTCGGCGTGAAATTGCTTGGGAATTGCAAAGTTGGGGGAGTTCTACTCAGTAAAGGATATGGAGTTGAATCCCTTTTGTCTCAAACATGCTTGATAGCTCTAGAATATTAATTATAGATCCCTTGTATCCTTGAAGTATAAATATCCAATTGTACTTAATAATATGGTAAGCGCACGTGATAGATTTCCAGAGAGTTAACATTCTCGCTTTTAGTTTTAATCATTTCCCCTATTTTCACTATTGATGAATTGGAATATAACATACTTTGCTGGGTGAGCTCATTGGCTTTGTTGTTCTTATCTCTGCATAATGGAATAGTTAAAAACAATACCTTTTTGATAGATATGACCACGCCGGTTCATGAGATGCATTCACTAACATCAATTGCAATTAGTACCGATGACATCTGTCAAATCCTCAGCTATGTCAGCCTGGATTATTGAGATTGTGCTTTTATCGATTGTTCTGGTCGTGATTATTTTGGATTCCGGATGCAAAACATGTTTCTTCTCTTCCTCCAATCCGCATAAATCTGAATTATTTTATAATCATACTGTTTCCCATAATATATATATAATTTTTGATTAATTAATTTATTTTATGACAATCGTAAACAACGCTTTCATAGCGTCAGTACTAATCTACTCATTCCTTTATGACACTAGACTTCTATACATATTTCTTGGCATCATAGGTAATACTCAATCTCATCCAATAGCTGTTTATCAAGTATTATCCTATTTGTGCTATCCCAATGTTGGCTATGGATCTGGCAGAAGAAGATTGTCCTAGGCCATCTGGAGTCCTCCAACTGAAGGAGTCATTTACAACCTAGTGGAAATCGACCTAACCAACACCATGAAATATCTCCAGTCAAAACAAGCAAAGTAAGAAATCTCATCTATTTAATAAAGGGATTCCCATGTGACCTTAACCCACATCTGTATTAGAGCCATAGCTGAATGCATTAGTGCCAGCAGAAAGAAGATATGCGGAAAGATAGTCTTCGGAAAGTTTGTTGAGTTCCCTACTATTGATGTTTCATGTTTGGTAAACATAGGAGAGGGAGATGACTTAGCAGCCTTGCTGGTCTAAAATGCAGATAAGAAAACCTTTGAAGATATTGCTGAATACATAAATGGAAAAGCCAAGATGGCCAAATAGGGAAAGGATGAGGAACATCAACAAAGATCAGGCCTGCTCAAGTACTTTCCTCCATTGTAATTTATTATTTAAATTCGTAGTGTCATTGCTTTACTTATTTAACTTACATCCTTCGTTACATATAATTTGGGAATTACAGTCAAGGCATTAGGTCTGAAGAAGGATTGCTTTGGTGTTGCCACAGTGTCTTCTATTGGAACTCTTGGATTCAAGAATGCCATCGCTCCATTCACTCCCATGATGAGAAATCTATTGATTGTCACTGTTAATCAAATTGTGGAGAAGGCTCTCGTCAAGGATGGGTAGATTGTTATTACACCCACCTTTTAATTGAACTTTTGCACTGATCATAGATTCTTAGATGGTGGTGCCATTGTCAAATCAAATAAAGTATTGTATGAAGTGTTTGAAAACCCAGAGAAATATGCAAGGAAATGATTATTGTATGAAATAACATGTTAATTTACATCAATTCCCATTAACTAAATTTGTACCTAAATCTAATCATCTTAATTTTATTCATTTCTATTTCATGTTCCAGGATAGAGAATCACCATTACAAATATGTAAAACTAATAACTTCGATTTAATGAGGAAAGTTCAAAAGGCTAATTTAATGTAATTTGATACTAGTTGAAAAGTATTAAATATTAATTAATGAATTAAACTCAAATACATATTGTTAAAATTTTTTAATTTAGTTGACTCATTTTTATTTCCATCTAATTATCATCAGTAGAGTAAAACATATTAATATATTATCTTACGATATTCCTGACTCCAGATATTAGACAAAACTTACAATATTAATATAATTATTATTAAAGAATAACTATTTATAAATGAATCAAAACAAGTCCAACCCCAAATTCATCAAGAGTATGACTTAAGCTTAGAAATCTCAAGATTAAATTAGAAATATTGCACTATCTGGTTCACTTGATAACGGAACTAAGTAACTCCATGATATTTTAATCTAAAAATGGGGTGTATAAACTAATAAGGGTACGATTCTCACAGATAATGAATTGCAATTTGACTAGGAATTCTAATCATAATGTAGCATCAAAAATTTATATTATACTCCAATCAATAGCAAAGGAAATGAGGATGTCTACCTGATAAATTTAATGAAACCTTAAAATAACTATCAGGGATAAACAGAAAGTTCAGCAAGATTGTCAGATGGAGTCATTATAATAATTAACTTTTAGTTAGAAATAAATTATGAAATTGAAACAATAATAAGAGCATTCTTGAAAGAATAAAACCGTATTGTGTTTTTCATAAACAAAATTGACAAAGCCTTTTTGAAACTAAACCTTAATGGTGAATAAATTTACTTAAAGTTAAATTGTATAATTGAAAAAATCAATCAAATAATTTACCTCTATGAACCAGATAGTATAATAAATCCTGCCTTTGGTCAAATCATATTTGGATCTGCAAAACAAGAATGGGGTTTTACTTGTTTATAATTTGCATAATAATATGAAAAAAAATTTGGAATTGAGCATTAAAAGTTAGCAGAAAAGTTATGGGGTGATCACTATTTCGATGCAACAAAAAAATAGTGGAGCACTCAGAATGTAGCCAAAGAGAGTTAACCCTTAAAGAGAGCATTTGTTGCCTTCATCATAGATCCCATTCTAAAATTATCATAAGCAATAATGAATGGTCAAAAAGATGTGGTCTCTTAAATGACAGAGCGAATTGGAATTTAATTGAGTGAAGAAATTCGATAATTAGATGGTAAAAAATTGTTGTCTGCTGTTCTTAATTCCTGGATCAATTTAGCAGATTCAATTATGTAATCATGCGTATTTCATATACCTCCTCCGAGGGTTGCTTAGAAATACAGAGCAGCACATCTTTTCAAATTGGATAAGGAAGACAAAATATTAGAAACAATCAAAGACTGTAACCCACAAGGGCCATTGGTGATACAAATCTGCTTAATGATACCATATAAGTAGGAATTCATATCAATTGGGAGAGTGTATTCTGGAACAATCCATACTGGACAGCAGATTAGAATCTTGGGATCTCAATATAAGGAGAGCTCCAAATCTGATCTATTTTAATCAACAGTAGGATAAACATTCTACTTTCCTATAGGTGGACCTGCTTATATAGAATAGGTTCCATCTGGGAATATTGTGGGAATTAAGGGAATTGATCAATTTATCAAAGGAACTTGTACTATAACAGATGCCTAATTTTCAATCTAAATGTCGCCTATACAATTGCAATAAGATAAATTAGTAAAGATAACGATTACCCCAGTAGAATCAGCCCACTTGACTTTTGTAATTGATGCCTTAAGATAATTAGTAAAATTGCATCCTACTATCTCTTTAACATTAGATCCCTGTCTCATTTTAGCTGCGAATTCTTATCACCATTTACAGTTTTTTTTGGATGAATTAGTTAAGAAATATTTAAAAAATGTTGAAATTAGAAAATCTAATTATTTTGTAAGTTACAAAGAGACCATCACAGATGTATCATAGGATAATGAATTAAAGACTCCAAATAAACATAACTTAATTGTAGCATAAGCAAATCCATTAAGCGATAATCTATTGAATTAGATTGAATCTGATTATCAATCTATGGCATTTCTATAACCTATTAAGATAAATTCAAAAAGCTGGTATCAAAATGATAATTTAAAAATCTTTGCTTTTGGTCCGAACAATTTAGGTCCGAATATTCTTGTCAATAAAACGAGTCCTGATGATTATCAACACATCTCTGAAGTTATAGACCATTTGAATACATCTTGGTAATGGTTCACAAAAGAAGGGGCACTTTGTGAAGAAGAATTAAGGGGAGTATAGGTGAATATTCTAAGATTTCTATCTCATGCTGACACCATTCATAGAGGAGCAGGCTAAATTCTTCCAACAGCAAGGAGATTATTTTATGGATGCCAATTGTAAGCATAACCGAGACTATAGGAACCTGTGTTTTTGGTTGAAATACACTCAAATATATAGGTCCTAGACTAAGTTTACAAATGCATCAATAATGCGTAAGGGGTAGTAATAGAGGAAAAGAGTTTCGCTAAAACTTCATTCCAAAAAGTACATATTTCTGTAATCAAGATCATCGCATATGTGAATGGTCCTAATATATTTTAATTTCATGATTCATTAAGTGAGATGACAGAAAATAAAGCATACAGTTTAAGTTCATTTGATCATTGGTCTCTTCTAAATAGTAATCCATTAGAGGAGAGCTCTGAAGTAGATATTGCTTATGATTATAGGCCCATTAAATATTGTAAGATATTAGAGCAAAGAAAGGATTGCCTTCAAAAATCCCACAATATTTATGAGTTATTTTATTCTATTTCAAGTGTTATTCAATGCATGGAATTATTTTATGAAAAGTTTAAAAATACTTTTTATCATAAAATTCTATAAGCATTATAAAAGTAAAATTTGTTAGTATTATTAATATTGCATAATTATTAAACATAACCTTAGATTCTGATATGAGTAAGTAAAAAAATGAAAACAATATCCGTATCCATTAAATCAACAATTTTGAAAGTCATTACTAAATGAAGTAATATGCAGATGCTTAAAGCATGAAGTTACAAGTAGAATACTTTTATCATATAGGCAAGTGAGCAAGAACTAACATAAGTGAAAGGCATATCGTAAGGAGGTTAAAACGTATTAAAGACTTAAATACTTTAAAAGAAAAGTACAGAGAATTAAATTTAGAGGAGACCAAATGCAGAAGCACCCAGACGAATAAATATGAATAATGCCTAATATATTATTGATTCATTTAAAACCATGTAACTTTAGAAACTTCAAATAGTATTTAAAGATTAAGTAAGAGTTGTTGCAAATTTAGAGTATCCGTAAAATAATATGTACTATTAAATTTTAATACAATAGAGTATAATAATTACTCACTAGTAGTAAAATTGGCATCAGCATTTAAAGAAAAGAAGCAAAAAAATTACCAAGCCCTATATAATTAATATAATCAAAAGATTAACAACAACTAGAATTATTATTAGACTAAAAATAATGCGAAATGGAGTAATTGTAATAGTAAATTGAACCTGATTTTTTAAACCATAAAGAGTAAGATGATAAGCTGTAATTGAAAAATAGATAAATAATTCAGTATTTGCCAACATTCTAATAGCTCATTTAAGAGTAGAGCTAAGTGGTAGAAGTAGAGAGCTAAAATTTCAACAAAAGAACAAAGAACAATAATATTCTAAAAAGAATAGAAGTCTTAACGAAAATTATCCAAAAACGACAATTTGAAATAATAAAAATTGATTTAAATATGGATGATGAACTTAAAAGCCTGAACAACAAGTTAAACTAAATAGGATAATAATTAAATATGAAAATTCATGAAAATTAATAATTTCAATCTTCATAAATTTATGACCAATCACGAAAAGTAATTAGTAGAAGACATAATTTTGAATAATATAAATCCTCATAAATTAGCGCTTAACTTGAAGACTAAATTTAAGCCTTAAGGCAAGAGCAGCAAAGGCTTCAATTTGAAATAAAGGAAAAAATAAATTAAAGTAAAGAATAGCAAATTAAAATACAAATGGATTAAGAGAAAGCGAAATCATAAATTAGGAATTATGAAGAGGATATTCTAAATAATAATTTAATTGAAGAAAAGTTGAAAAAGGAACAATACGAATTGTCTAAACTTTAAATATAAATGTAAGCATTGAAACAGGAATTAACCAATAACTAAAAATAGATTAAGTAGAACAAGGAGGAATATGATAATAAATATTTCAATACCTAAAATCAAATAAATAGCATTTAAAATTAAATTAATGATATTACAGAATTAATAAAAAAATCAGAAAATTAAAAACTCTAATTACCAAGGATAAATTAAAAATTAAGAAACACTGAAAATCAAATGGCTATTGATGTTAATACTTCAAATATAGAGGAATTAATAGAAAGTTATTAAAACAATAGTCTTGGTTAAAATTTAAAGACAATTGATGAAATTTATAATTAAGAATAAAAAAGTCTCCAAACTTTAGAATTGTTTAAAATTAGTTATTTTACTAAAAACAAGAAGATTTATTTACCTTATTAGACAAAATGGATAGCTTAGGACATTCTAGAAACTTGTGATTTACTTAGGGATGATAGTTAAGAATACATTGAATAAAGCTAATAAAGCTTTCAATATATAACTAGCGATCAAATTAATGGTTTTGCTGAATTGTTATAAATTAAGGATTAAATATATTATTTTAGATTGCCAAAAAAAATTAGATAAATTTATTCAAGATTGTATATTTTTCCAAGTTGTTTCTTAGAAGAGTATAGATTAAATTATAAATAGAATAATGATATTTGTATTGATTTGATCTTAAGTTAGTTGGAAGATTTCCAAGCAATTTAATATCAATTTTGGTACATTTATTAAAAAATTGCATTCATAATTCAAGAGGACACCTTTTTTTATATAGTCACTGTAAAATTAGACTAACGAGTTGTTATAATTTATAATTCAATTCCTAAGCCTGAATAATAATACACAGAAATTTTGCTTTGTTTGAATCACTTGTTTAGTTAGCTTCTAAGAGAAAGGATACAGTTTGAACTTCATATAAGCCCAATATTTCCAATTTAGATTGATAAATCTAATGATAATCTTTCAGGCTATTATGCTTGTATTGCTCTTGAGTATTAGAGTAGGAATTAAATAAATAAAGGATTCTTATAGATGTAACAAATTTGTGCACAAATATATAAAATTAAACTTAAAAAAAATAAATCATCATACCAAATAAGGAGAAAATAAATGGAATGAAATTAGAATTATTTGAAAATAGTAAAATTTATAAATTTTATGTTAAATCTTCCTTCTAAGTATAAATATTTTTGTTATTTAAAATTTTTGTATGGTCTCATATACAATTATCTAATAACATGAACATCATTAAAGAATTAAAAAAACTCAAAATTAAAATTGTATAAGTAGAGAAATTATTATTTTAATTTAAATTATATAATTATTGGGATGTAATTTATAGTTCAATTGCATTAACTCTAGATAATGAGCTGTAGTTACTTACGATATATCTGATGGTAGATGGATAGTCAGATATATTCAACCTCCCCATAAAGTTCAATAATATTTTTTTACTTTTTTGTATTCATTTTTGAGATGCACACTTATTGTTTGATTTCTATCAACATCTATACTATTTTCTTTCATTTAATTTCCTTCTATTAATTATATTCCTACAATATATACGTTGTTTTATAGACTGATAAATAGATCTTGTCATTAGTGGATTTTGAAGTTTAAATGTGATTTACAAATTTTCTAAATTATTTGAACAAATCTAGAAATGAATATCATTTTACAAAAATTATAATTTTATTGAGTTTCTATAATAAATATTATTTTTAATTCCTTTTATTCATATGCTGGCAACTAGTATCATTCCTAGTAAAATTAGAAATCAATATTCGAAAATAGAGAAGATGTTGTATTGGTAAAATTTAGGAAATAAGCAAAACTTTGCAATTTTTTGCTCTATTGTTCATTTCTTCATGTTTCAGAAAAATTATTAGCCAATATAAAAAATTTTGAACACCAATGGAAAGATTTTGACTAAGGATTCTCAAGAATTAAAATAATTAATACTCAAAAGTCTTGAAGATTAAAATCCAATTTAACAATTTTTTAGGAATTTATCAAAGCAATAGGAATGCATTGAAAAAAATATTGAGAATTTATTAGATGAACTGTGTAGAATACATTTGCTAAACAAAAACTAAAAGGCATCTTTGCATAAGTTAGGATTATTTTTATCAATTGAAATTAATTTCTTGAATAGCAATGAAAAATATGGAAGGGGAGTTTAATAAATCTTACTCTTTAAAAGTGATAAAGAATTTTATTTCCTTATCCCTCCTCATTAAATTACATAATTGCCTAAACTCCCATGTTAAATGTGTAGTAGCTAAATGTAGTATTATATTAAGTTGACTTGCAAACATTTGATTTGCTTGACTTGTATCTAAACTTAAAAAGAGAATTCAAAAGACAATTACTTCCCTTGCGAATGCAAACAAATAATTTTGAAAAATGAGTTTTTGGATGATGCTATAAAGGTAATTTAAGATAGTTAAATACTAAATGACTATCATTTTAGCATAGCGCAATTTTATGAAATGGACACAAAGGGAGATTAGAGGAAAAAGGAATCCAAATATGAAGATGCTATGTATATGAAATAATAGCCAAATTATTATCATCCCCAAGAGATCAAGAAATATGATTCAAAAATCATGGATAGTTCATATAAATATTCGAGGCAAAATCTAGAAAGAATTCAAAAAAATTATGATAATACGGATGTTAATCCTTACTATAGATTGCAAAGATTTGACTAAGAATGTGATGAGTAATTTATTTTATAACCTAGTTATTATATTGGGGCTGCGGTCAGATAACAATATTATTGCTTAAATTAACAAGCAAGGACTTACTAGCCACAACCAATGTAAGGGAAAGATCATTTCCAAGAGGGAAACTCACATTCCTTCGATCTAATGAGTTCGATGGAAGAACGATCATAATAATTCTGTGAATATAGCCAAAAATTCCAAAATCAGTTATGTTCATATTGTTTGTCTCCATTTGATGAATTCAATTTGATTTAAGACATAGGTTGTTCTAAACATGTAATTGGGGCTTGTTGTATTAATAGAAATTATGAGAAATGTCCATAATGCGAAAAAGTTAAAGAATTATAGAGTCGTAAGGCTGGTAGCATGAAATTCAAACCTGTCAAAGCCAATATCCACAATTAGCCGACTGTTTATTTTGGAGATTAAAATACATAAAAAAAACAAACAAAGACGTCAATAATGATACCCTCCTCAAATCGATTAGAACCAACAAAGAGTTCAATTTATGGAAATTCAAGTTAAGAAGGGTAAATTCAGATGCAATCTTATCAAAGAATTCGCTAGTCCATTGAATATCATTGAAGTTAACTAATTAAATATTTTATTAATTCATAAATTACGATATCAGAATTTTATTAATTAAATATATATAATGTATCTTTCTATATTAATTCCATTTTATGATTATGAAATAACAATTATTCATCACATTAAAAAAGTATAACTCAATTATTTTATGAAATATGACATTGTCAGAATCAACTCTATCTTAAGTTAGCATAATACACATTTGTTCTCATAATTATTATTCTGACATTATTTGATCCTTCTTCTTATCTCTCATACTTTTACTTTTACTCCTACTCTTACTTTTGATCAAAAGAATCATTCCCTAAAACACTTCTATCTTTAAATACTACTTTATTTATTTATTTTTATTCCATCTATTCTCAATTGGGACTTGTACTCTGATACAATAACGTATCATTTGATACCCACCCATACAAATTAAATTCTATTTATAAAATAATTTTTGAATTTCTTTTAGAAATCATCATCATATATCAATCTAGATTCAGATTTAAATTTTATATCAGCTTTTGTTTCGTTAGCACTCCTTTTATAAATCACCATGTGAACTTTCAATATCCTTTTAAAATCGCTAAGAGGATTATGACTACTTAAAATTGCTTTTAATTTATCAATATTATATATGGTTCTTCATGGTAAGTAACGTTAATTTTTGGACTCTTGGATCTTTACCTTTTTTGGATTTTATCACTGAAATCCTTATGATTCCACTGTTACTTTTACTTCTTTCATCGCTCAACCTCATTGCTCGCAGTGCTCAGCTAAGAGAAGCATTTATTGTCAATGCTCCTCCAGCATTTTCTCTAATTCTTGAAAACTCTTTCTCTAAGTACTGACTATCTATTCAATCACTTAAGGAGTGTTGGCTTTAGGTGGTAAGTAATTCAATTATTCTTACTATTTGGATATTTGCAATAGTCTCTTTCTTTTTCTTAAATCAATTGCTTAGAAATTCTGACATGATTCCCTCTATGATTATTGACTTTAACCAAGTCATCATCAGGCTTAATTCTCAACTAACTAAACAACTCATCTTTGGTTGGAAGGGTCATTATTGATATGCTTTTACTAAGATTTCTTGTCTCTTGCTATTTGGCTGGCATCTTGAATCCTCCTGAACGCGAAGTTTGTTTTTGTACAATCATATTTTAATTAAAAATGACCACAGCATAAAAGATTGCCGAAATTGAGGCCGAAATGATGAGGACCCAAAAAAACAAGGCCACATCATATCATTTAGGTTTATTGAAGGCTAAGTTGGCTAAACTGAAGAGAGAAATGATCGATTCTTCTTCCAAAAAGGGAGGTGGCACATAAGAAGGATTTGAAGTTTCTAAGAGTGGAGATTCTCGTATTGGTATGATAGGATTCCCTTCTGTGGGTAAGAGTACGCTGCTTACAAAACTGACAGGAGTGTTTTCTAAAATTGCAGCCTACGAATTTACAACTCTGACATGCATACCTGGAGTAAAGATTAGTCAATATTTTAATAGGTGTTACAACACAAGGGTGCCAAAATCTAATTGCTTGATTTGCCAGGAATTATCGAGGGTGCTAAGGATGGCAAAGGTAGAGGTAAACAGGTTATTGCTGTGGCTCGTACTTGCAATTTAATATTGATTGTGTTGGATGCCACAAGGCCTATGGTTCATAAAAAAATCATTGAAAGAGAACTTGAAGGATTTGGCATCAGATTGAATAAATAACCACCATAAATAGAATTCAAGAAACGAGACAAAGGCGGTATTACCATTTCTAGAACACATGATGCTCCAAGATTAGATGATGAAACAATAAAGGTATTACTATCCATATCAAATAGGCCATCTTACGTGAATATAAGATCAACAATTGTGACATCAACCTTAAATGTGATGCTACCGATGAAGACTTGATTGACATTATCGAAGGCAATCGTAAGTACATCCCATGCCTTTACGTAATGAATAAGATTGACGATATCACTTTGGAAGAACTCAATGTTTTGGACAAGATTCCACATTACGTGCCCATCTCTGCCTTTTTGGAATGGAATTTGGATGAATTAGTGGAAAGAATTTGGGATTATTTAGATCTGATTCGTATTTACACCAAACCAAAAGGATTAGAACCAGGTATTTATAATCATAGATTTGAATAGATTACAATGCTCCTGTTATTTTGCAACGAAAGTTTTCAACAATCACCGATTTTTGTAATAAGTTACACAAAAGCATGATTAAGGACTTCAGATATGCACTAGTATGGGGAGCTAGTGTCAAATACAATCCACAGAAAGTAGGAAAGGATCATTAATTATTGGATGAAGATATCGTTTAAATTGTTAAAAAAATCTGAAGTTAATAATAAATTTATATATGTTACGAAATCAACTTTAATTCCAGCAGTCCTGTCAAACTAATATCGACTCCATCAAGAATCCAAAGAGAACCATTAAGCCCCATCAATACGATTCTTGTATCAACAACCCTCTCACATAGTAGTTCTCAAATGTCAAATTGGCATCCACTCTAAGCATAGGACGATCCATATTTCAGAAACAATTGGATCAAATGAAATAGCAATACATTGTCAGGACTGGCTATATTAGGATTACTGATCCAGAGATGCTGAAGGAATTGTTTGAATTAAACTTAGAGAATATGAAGAAGAAGTACTCCAAGTATAGCAATATACATTAATTGAACATCCCTAAAGATATGATTAAAATATTCATGAGATTCGGGTATCAAGAGATCAATAAATTCATGTAAATGGCTATTGTTCACTTATTGTTCGAATATAAATCATTATTGCAATATCAGGATAAGTGGGAAAAGGATGCAATCATATCATTAACATCAATAGCATTTATTAAGTAGGATTGTTTGTACCCTTAGGTGATGATTGTGTCTCCAGATGACCAAAGTGCTATTGCTATCAAGGTTATGCTTGATCATCTTAACATTTACTACAACAATGTATATCAAGTTTCAAAAAAGAATTCTATTGTTTAAGATCGAAAGTACTTACAGGAAGCTTAGATTGTTGTGGGTACAGCAGATCGCTTATATTATGTGATTTAATAGAAGTATTTGAATCCAATATTCTTGGAGAGTGTAGTTTTTCAGGAGTTTAGTCAAACAACAGACTTAGGGTATCGGAAAGATATTGAAAATATTCTTAGAATACTTCCTAAATCCACATCCAAGCATTTCTTTTTCAGTTAAGTCTTCAATTCAGAAGAACATGATATTTTAGATATTTGAATCTTTGTTGAGATTAATAAATATATTAGGTGTGTATATATTATTTTTCTAAATGGTAATTTATCATTAACTCTTTGGTAGAATGCTATCCTTATATAAGATTCCTCTAATGAAATGATTCTAATTGTCAACATAAACATCAGTTGTCAATTCAGTGCTTGGTGGAACTGGATCAACTTTGGCCTATTCAACTGCAATATCAATTTCATTTTAAGCAGTGTTATCAATTTCCTATTTGGAATAAAGCAATCAAATACTTCCAATTAATGTTCATCAGCCACTTTGTTTTCAAGAATAATGTTTTTAACATAGTTGATACAATCTCTGGTCTTTCTCTATTATTGAACTTCCTCTCTTGTTCTGTAGGTGACACCTGGATCACTCATGGAATGACCGTGATATCTGTAAGTCATGGCTTCAATGAAGATTGGTCCCTTTTCGAGACAGTGTTTCTTGGCGAATTTGAGTGTCTCTCTAACTTAGAATACGTTGTTTCCATCAATCTGATACATTGCTAATATATATACTTATATTCCTGGAATGACATCTCCTCTGGTGTAGAACTTGGTATTGGCACTGGCTCTGTCAATTGATGTTCCCATACCGAACAAGTTGTTTTCGATGAAATAGATAGCTGGTAAATGCCAAAGTTGAGCCATGTTGGCAGCTTCATACAATTATCCTTGATTGGCTGCTCCATCTCCAAACATGATCAAAGTCACATTTGGCTTTTTGAGATACTTTTAAGCAAATGCCAATCCTGTTCCCAATGGAATTTGGGCACCCACAATTCCATGACCACCATAAAAATTGGTGGCTTTTTTGTAATAATGCATTGATCCTCCTTTACCCTTTGTGCTGCCTGTTTGTTTTGCCATCATTTCAGCAATAATCTGATGAGGAGTATCACCTCTGAGTAATGCGATGCAATGATCTCTGTAAGCTGTGATAACGCAGTCATCGAATGTTAATCCTGCATGCAATCCTTCATAAATTGATTCTTGACCGTCGGCCAAATGCAAGAAACCTAGAAAGCATTTAGACATGATGTACCTCTAATCAATCTCTGTTTGTAGAGATTGTCACAAGCAATTTCCATACGTCTTTGCAATTGCATACTCTTATAATATGCTAGCAATTCAGCTGATGTCGTAGTGGCTGTTTAAGGGAGTTGGTCAAGTTCCAAATGGTGCACTTTGAAAGAGGGCTAGACTTTATAAATTCTATTGTACTAATTTGACAGAAATACTCGAAAAGCAGGACCTGGAGATTCTGAAAATCATTAATGAATAATTTAAAATATATTTATATATTTATGGGTGTAGATTATTTTATTAAATACACTCATTTTAGTGAGTATTAATTTGGAATTTGTATACGTTTTTGCGTCCTATTTAGGAGATTGGCTGAATTAAATAATTAGGTCACTTTACTTGTATTTTCGGATTGATTATAATTAATTAAATATTTATTGTAATTAATAATTATTTACTAATCTATAAATGTATAGATGCATCATTAAGTTAATTTAATTAATTAATTCTGATCAAATAATAATGTAATTATTATTATATTTCCCTTTCAAAATAACAATATAATCATTAATGCCATATATATATGCTTATATTAAAAATGGATATAGTTTAATTAATTTGATTAAAAATTGAGATGGAGTAACATTTACTAACCACATCTTGTAGTGAAGACGAAGAGGAAAACTAAACCTTAAAAAAGGTTCAACTCGTTGTCTTCCCTAAAAGGTTTCTTAATCCCCTTTCAACCTTTAGAATGAATGGAGTAATATTCCTTTTCTACTCTATAAAATTAGGATTTTCATCTCTATTCTGATGCCAAAAATATTGTCTTCAATAATAATCTTAAGTTGGGAGTGAGCAGCCAAAACCCCTATAAAAAGGTCTCTAAGGTTTTAATCGAGAAGGGCAGACTCGTCATTTAGTACACCCAACTAGACTTTTCCATTACGCCATGGGAATATGTTGTTAAAAAATTGGATAGCTATGGTGACGAGGATATCCATAAGCTGAGTCAATACATTTAAAAATACATTGAATCTCTGAAAAATGGTCTGTAACAAGTGCAAGGGACGTTCGAAGTAGGCTAATATACATAAATATTTTTAGAATCATGTGCCAGATTATAGAGCCTCAGGACTTTATCAATACAAATATATCAAAGATCTCGACCAGCTATTTATCTCCCAAGTTTAATATGACATTAACCTCATCGAAGAACTTGGCTACAATGTATCGACATTCATCGATTCTTGTCTTAAATACGGAATTCCAGAGTAATTATTTATTTTGAATTCTTTCCAGGATTTCTCTCAAATATGGAAGTACAAATTAAGAATATTACAAAAACATAATGGAATTCGCCAAGCCATTAGCACATCCACAACAATCTCAAGAATATTATTTATATTCTCATCTATATCCAGAGGTAATTTAAATTCTTAACTGAAAGGGAATAAAGACAGAGGTATCTTTCTAGGTCGAACACTAATCAAACTCAACCGAAGAAGATTAACTTATCAACTTTAATATTTATTACAATTATTAACCACAGTAAAATCGCATCTAGTTCAATAATAATGATAAAAGGACCAGACAACACAATTGCATTTCCCATTACTATCAACTTCAAGATAATCAATTTCAGAGATGTGGATATAAAAAAGTCAAATTGTGAACATCAAATATTTCTAACGACATTCCATATTATATATTATTGATATAAAAATATAATAATTTATAACAGTACATTCCCTTCCCTTCAAAGATGAATTAATTCAACTTGTAACTGACAACAAATTAAATATAAACTCTTCATTTTCATCTTTTTCTGAAACATCATCCAACCTCACCCCATTGCCCTAGAAATTTCACCTTAAGCATAAACAACAAAAAGAATTAAGAATTAGATACTAATCTTAAAGGATGACATTAATTTTATTAAAATTACATTTTTATTTTCTAATTAATTTATTATATTATAAAAATTATGTGTATTTATAATTCATTTCATATTAAACAACCAGTTATTTTTTATATTTATTTTAATTTATTTTTCTGTTTAGCAATATTTCTAAATTCCTCCTCCTATTCCAACTCATATTCATATCTTGGATCGTTCATGGTTACATATTCTCCATCACACATATGTTAAAACTTTTTATAAAACTCTGAATATCCTTTTGACAATATATATAGGTTTTTGTATGTCAACATTGGATATATATTCATGCTCCTATCCAAATTTCGAATCTCAAAATATCTAGGTAATATTAAATTTTTACTTTTCTTTACTTCTGCTTATTGAAAATTCACAATACAAAACCACAATTTTCTTTGACTCTTGAGTTACTCCGAATAATTCTTCAGATAAATTTAATAAATGATGCAGATGGGTTGCACCTCTTATATGCCCACCCTAAAATTCATATTGATATCGACAATCGAATAGAAGCACATCATGTAATTTCATACTTTGCATCTATATTGTCAATTTAAATAATACCAATGTCTCAGCACTAATGTATTGAATCGAATTTTCGTAGTGACATTCCAATATCAAATCTTATTCCTACTCCTCAAATGATAATTTTCTAATTCATATACATTTTCATTACATATCCTTTTTGATACCTGCATTACCTTCCTTTAGTTCCTCATTTTCACATTAAACCTTTGAACCTCCATCAAAATAAGTTTGATGATTATTATTTTAATCTATTTTAATCTTCTTTCTACAAAAAAGCCCCTTTCTTGAAGCATCTTCATTTATTTCCTTCATCGACTACGATACTTAGATCACATAAAATGCTTACTAGTCAAAGTAATTTAAGTCTAATTTAGTAAGGGTTTTCTTATTAACTTGAGTAAAAAGGCCTCCATTATCAATAAGAAAACTTATAGTAATATTAATTAGAATAAAAAATACATCAATAATGACACATTAGAAAAGAATTAATATTTATTTAACTGATCCTAACCAAATATTTTCCAAAACGAATATTAATTTGCTCCAACACTAATAATTGGTAATAAACTTAAACATTAAATAATAATAATCACCCTAATTTTCTTGTTATTCTTTACTTAATTTTAAGAAGATTCTTTTTTTTAAATACTGCAAATTTAAAAGCATCCAAATTTAATTTAAGGATAAAATTGAGTCCTATAAGCTAATAAGTCGATCTTCCTCGTTAATAAATTTTTGAAAACAATATTATTTAAACCAATTATTGATTCTTTGAATATTTACTAGAATTCCTATTCCTAAAGATTATTATATTAAATAAAAAAATATCTATTATTTAGTCTATATAGAGTGTCTTAATACCATAAGAGATATATGAACCTAACAATTAAAGAAATAGGAATTTAAGGAAAAGTTATTAATTATATGGTAATCGAAGTAAAGAATATATTAAGAGTCTTATTTCAATTTCATTGGTTTTTGCATTATTATTAAAATTGATTTCATTTGTAAAGATCGATTTCAGATAATAGGAGGAATAATAGAATATATTTTTGATTTCATATTTAAGTGAAATTATGCATTTATTTAAAGAATTGTAGAGGAGTTATAACTTTAGAGTATATGATTGCAAGAAATGTGGATTTATTATAAAATATCAGAGTCTGTAAAATTGAAAAATAACAAATACTATTAACACGTTTTGGGTGGTCTTATAATAGTTTAGGAGAATCTCATGTTTACTGATTATATCTTTCGTTTTGATTATAAAAATGATAAAGTTCTAATTATAGAATTCATTTGAAAGTTATAATTTATGATTAAAAGAATTAATTCAAAGTTGGTTTGAACAAGGAAATAAGCCTAATTGGTGAGGGTTGTATGGAGAAAATTATTTGAATACTCTATGGTAGAGTGTATGCTCATATTCTACCTGATCAACAAAGCATTCTCATATACACAGTTAAGTAAACTGATTAATTCTTTCTGCTTTAGGGATTATTAAGTCTGGACTATAAGTAAAAATGTACAGTCTTTAGAGGTGTTAAGTTTGCAGGCCCTACAATATCGACTTGATACAATCTGGTAGGGGTATTACGTAGTTATGGGAAGGAAATGGAAAAATTTGAAAGTACTAGAGGGGGAGGCGTTGGAAATTCAGTCGTTGAAATTTGATTTATATTTGAAATGAAGAATATTGGTATTATTCATTTCCTTAAAATATTATAGACATAGGAATTTTAATAGAAGTCAAAACTAATTATTTGTAATGGTTCTTTGATCATCAAATTTTTAAGTTTAAACATTTATATCTATATAACAACTTTTGAAATTACAATAAATTTCCGATGAGGAAGGTGTAATACATAAAATAATTTTATTTATTTAATTTGTTAAGATATGAGACCTGCTTAAAACTCATTAAATGCTAAATAGAGTGGGGAATTCAAAGCATTGGTGGTATGAATAATCACTTAAAATAGAAATTGCTCGATGCTAAGGATTATAAAAAGGGTCTCAGAAATACTGAAAAATTGTTGGAGTAAGTGCCTGATAATTGGGAGGTGGTGTCTCTCAAGGCCATCTTTATGTATTACAATGATGAACAACAGAAGGGATTAGAATTGGCTAAACAAGCAGTGTTTAAGAATTTGGGATCAGACTTTTGTTGGCATATTTATGGTTTGATTTATAAGGCCTAAAAAAATTATATTGAGGCTGTAAAATGTTTCTTGTAAGCAATAAAAAAAGGAGAAGAAAACATCTAATTGGAGAGGGACACTGCCAATTTGTAAATTCACACCAGGGATTTTGAGGGGAATGCTTAACTTAGACACAAGATATTGACAAAAAAGTCAAACATGATAGTGAATTGGATAGCATTCATTTTTGCTTAACATTTGATTGGAAACTATGAAATAGCCTTTAAAGCCATCAGTTCAGCTGAATAATTGATTCAAAAGGATTAGCAGAATCCAATTAAGAAAGTTGAAATGAATGAGTTCAAATTATATCAAATCTAACTCGCCATCGATGCCAAAGATTATTAAAAGGCTAAATAAAATATAAGTGCATTCAAAAAGTACAATATTCTTAATAATAAAAAGTGAAATCACTGATATGGTGGCTTATTATGAACTCCAATATGATCTCTATATCAAATTGGGATCGATTCAAGAAGCAGTGGAAGCAGCAAAGCACCTCTTGGTATTATAGCCATAGAATTGGAAATACTATTAATTACTAAAAAAGGCAGATCCATAATTTGATCTCTCAATCTATGAGAACACTTTGGTTTAGGGTCAATTATTAGCGGAATAGAGTGGAGATAAATTCAAAACTAATTTTTTGAAATTCATTGATCCATTCTTTTAGAAGTCTCTTCCTTCTTTGTTCAGAGAAATCAAACATTTATATAAATAAAAAGAGAAATTGGATGTAATTAAAGAAGCATATGAATCATATTTAAATGCAGGACCAATCTAAAAGTTATGGGCATTGATGCTTTTATCTTAACATTATTACTAAGTTAAGTAATACGCAAAGTCATTGGAATTGGTTGAAGAGGCAATTGCCCACACGCCTACTTTGCACGAATTGTATTTGATCAAGGCCAAGGCTTTGCACAAGTAAGAAAAATTCAAGGAGGCTTATGAGGCAGCAGATAGAGCTAGATAATTGGATTTGGCTGATAGGTACTTGAACAATAAGACAATCAAGTATGCCTTAAGAGCAAATATGGTTTATTTGTCATAAGAATTATTGAGGATGTTTTTGAGAGATGGATCAAATCCATATGAATTGCAAATGATTTGGTTTGAATTGGGAGTTGGTAGAACATTGTTAAGGTTGAATTATCTTGGACCAGCATTAGCTCAGTTTTATTTGATCTTCAAACATTATTAGGAGATGTATGATGATCAATTGGATTTCTATTAATTTTCAATAAGGAAATACACATTAAGATCATTGTTACAGATGTTTGATGCTATGGATACTAGATATAGTGCTAAGTACTTCATTGAAACTGCAGGTCTAATGATTGAAGGTTTGAATAGATTAAAACTCAAGTAATAGGATTAAGGAAAGGTAGAGTAGAAGAAGTTGACACCAAAGGAGAAGAAACAGTTGCAAAAGCAGTAATAAAAATAGGAGGAGGAAAAGCATCTGAGAGAATAGTTTTCAATTGAAGGACATATTTATAGCATTGAGTTACAAAAGAAATTCGATCTTTCAGGAGAATATCTATTGTCATAATTGAAGACTGAATAAGATATCATTAAGTTGTAAAACCAATTCGCTTAGGTCTTGATTCACACCAATTATAGCAACAAGGAAGTTAACTTTTAGGCATTTAAGCAATTGGTCTCTTTCTATATTCAATAGAACAGACCTCTTTTGAGTGTTAAATTATTGAACAAGCTCAGAAACAATCAAACAGAATCAAATCGAATTGTCAATCATAAGTACCAACTTATGCTTATTTAGTATTGTAAGATTTCATATATAATCTGAATAGTAAACTCATATAAGGGACCCCAACTATAATATGTTCAAGAATACCAATAAGACTTGAATAAGTTCGATGCTGAATTTTGGAAGAGTGTTGAGATCAAGACCGATCTAGATAAAACAATAAGTATGTTAATTATATGATAATCAAATAGAATCACATTGTGAACACATCTTATAGAACAAACCTTTTAATGTACAATAATTAGAATCAAACGATTTAGAATTCCTATAGGAATATCCAACTGCTAAAGTATTGATAATGATTATCATAGACAACTAATCCATTTTATACATATGATCCTAATTTGGAGTGGCAAAACAATCAGATTAGCTAATTCTAATCAACATAATAGATGCAACAAGTATCATAATAATAACAATGATGTGTGGAGTATATTATATATAAATATATATACATATAAAATTATTATTTATTAAATGTTTTTATACTGGACAAAGATCGGAATTAATTAAATTAATAAAATGTAAGTTTCGCTTAAAATAATAAATTAATGTTCTAGAACATTATTAATTTTAATAAATAACCAAGAGAATGAAAAAAATGACCAAAACCACTTAAAAGAGACCATCCAAATATAATGTTGTTGATGACCAAAAACGATAGTAAATAGTGGAAAAATTATTTTAAGAGAAGATGAAAATTAGAGAAGTATTAATGCAGACGACTATTTAGGTGGCTTAACTATTTTAAATTCCACAGTCAACAGTCAAAGCAGTAAAATCAGTTTATCTAAAGGAAGGAAGAGTTTAGAAGAAAGCTAAAAGGAATCGCCATAAAAGAGTGATCACAACAATTATTGTTGCACTTTTTGACAAGTAAGTTAACTTTGTAGCATCATGACTAACAGAAACAAGATCCCCACAGATGTGAATGACATCTAAAAATATACCAAAGTGACCTTTGGCCATGTAAATCAAAATGGGAATGTGAATGAGCAGTGCATGAAATAAGGAGTAGATTTGCTTATGCAGATGCTGACCTAAATTAGATAGAACTAACCCCCGATTGGCAAACATTCCGCTATGCTATCAAAGTTGCTGAAGAATTATAAATAATAATGTGAATCATTTGATTGATCAAAATACTAAAAAATAATCTTCCACTCCCTTAATTGCACCGAAACTTGTCCATTTCTATCAACTCCTAATTTGTCATAAAAACTTCAAATAATCTAATTTGTATTTGGAAATATTTTCAATATTAGCAAATACCATAAGTCTGAATATCTCTTCTTCATTTTCTTTCTAAGAAGCTGGAACATCTGTCAAAGCTTATGCAGAGCTTGTTGTATTATTACCAATAAAGGCTCAGTTAAATTTGAGAAAATTCTATGATTTGAACTGAAATTTCATATTATGTATAATTTAACTAGACAATTTTTGTAATACAGAATCTTATTTATCATTAACCATAAATTCCCCTAAATCAAAGCAAAATTCATATTCTTTCTATTTCCATTTAATTTCAATTTTTCCAATATTTATAATTTCATTTCCTTACTATTTATTAACTATTTATTCATTTCCAAAGCATACCCTATCTCCATAAGTTAAGAATATTAATTCTAAAAATCATCCAAACCTTATCAATAATCCATAAATATTGCAAAAAACTTTTACTCTGCTATTATTAATAAAAAATTTTGTAATTAATTCAAATTTTCATATCTCTACTATGCTTATGGAAAAGCGTATCTAATTGGCATTTCAAAGCCTCAAGAAGCACTTAATATTATTGAACAAATCACATTTGTTATGAAGACTGTGTGTACGCTTACTANTAAATGTTTTTATACTGGACAAAGATCGGAATTAATTAAATTAATAAAATGTAAGTTTCGCTTAAAATAATAAATTAATGTTCTAGAACATTATTAATTTTAATAAATAACCAAGAGAATGAAAAAAATGACCAAAACCACTTAAAAGAGACCATCCAAATATAATGTTGTTGATGACCAAAAACGATAGTAAATAGTGGAAAAATTATTTTAAGAGAAGATGAAAATTAGAGAAGTATTAATGCAGACGACTATTTAGGTGGCTTAACTATTTTAAATTCCACAGTCAACAGTCAAAGCAGTAAAATCAGTTTATCTAAAGGAAGGAAGAGTTTAGAAGAAAGCTAAAAGGAATCGCCATAAAAGAGTGATCACAACAATTATTGTTGCACTTTTTGACAAGTAAGTTAACTTTGTAGCATCATGACTAACAGAAACAAGATCCCCACAGATGTGAATGACATCTAAAAATATACCAAAGTGACCTTTGGCCATGTAAATCAAAATGGGAATGTGAATGAGCAGTGCATGAAATAAGGAGTAGATTTGCTTATGCAGATGCTGACCTAAATTAGATAGAACTAACCCCCGATTGGCAAACATTCCGCTATGCTATCAAAGTTGCTGAAGAATTATAAATAATAATGTGAATCATTTGATTGATCAAAATACTAAAAAATAATCTTCCACTCCCTTAATTGCACCGAAACTTGTCCATTTCTATCAACTCCTAATTTGTCATAAAAACTTCAAATAATCTAATTTGTATTTGGAAATATTTTCAATATTAGCAAATACCATAAGTCTGAATATCTCTTCTTCATTTTCTTTCTAAGAAGCTGGAACATCTGTCAAAGCTTATGCAGAGCTTGTTGTATTATTACCAATAAAGGCTCAGTTAAATTTGAGAAAATTCTATGATTTGAACTGAAATTTCATATTATGTATAATTTAACTAGACAATTTTTGTAATACAGAATCTTATTTATCATTAACCATAAATTCCCCTAAATCAAAGCAAAATTCATATTCTTTCTATTTCCATTTAATTTCAATTTTTCCAATATTTATAATTTCATTTCCTTACTATTTATTAACTATTTATTCATTTCCAAAGCATACCCTATCTCCATAAGTTAAGAATATTAATTCTAAAAATCATCCAAACCTTATCAATAATCCATAAATATTGCAAAAAACTTTTACTCTGCTATTATTAATAAAAAATTTTGTAATTAATTCAAATTTTCATATCTCTACTATGCTTATGGAAAAGCGTATCTAATTGGCATTTCAAAGCCTCAAGAAGCACTTAATATTATTGAACAAATCACATTTGTTATGAAGACTGTGTGTACGCTTACTACTATTGGATTAGAAAAACCAATGATATTCTAGTCAAGCCACAGATGGTTTAGCTGTTGACTTACATTACTCTAGGTAATATAAAATGTTTAAATTGTTTTATTAACTTCTAATTAAATAAAATTTGGTAAAGTAAACTAGTTTGTGAACGTAATTTGTAATTCAAGTAAATTATAGAAGGATCTTTATTTAATTTGGTAACTTCAAATAATTTAGTACACCCAATTTGTATTTTATTAATTATCATATTTCTTATATAAATTATCATGAGATAGTGGACTAGGCTTAATAGAAAGCAATAATTTAAAATATTTATATTTAATTGTGATTATAATTATATCAAGTTAAAAATAATTAACACATATTTATCCTTTCTGATGGCATATGAGTATTTTCTTAATTTAACCTATAATTAGAAGGAATACTAACTAGTGTTAGGTTTAATCCTTTTTAGTTGAATGAGGATATCTATTCTAAGCTGCTTAGATATGGCTATTCATAGTTAATTTGAGGAGAGAAGAAGTAGAATGAAGGGGAATACCCCGTTGAGAATTCAAATAATAATAATTTAATATAATTTATAGTGAGAATGATGAATTAAAGAGTTGATTAGATGGATTTTATTTTATTTAAATTTTTTTTAAAAAATTAGCAATGAGGTATTAAATCTCTCTTAATCCTTCTTTAGCAAGATCCAAGGTGAATAATTGAAGAAATACATCCATGAAATGTTGACAGAGAGAAAGAAGAGAAACTTCAAGGAGACCACAGAGTTGTAAATCTAATTGAGAGATTACGATGTTTAGAAAGACAAGCGTTTCTAAGGCTCAACACGTTTGTTACATGCTCCTTACCCTAACATCAAAATCGGTGTTATCGGTAATTTAACTCATTGCGGTACGATTTACCTCTCATCGATTCAGATCAGGCCAAGGCCCTCGGTCTCACCGCGATCGATTAAGACGGCCTGAAGAAGTTCAACAAAGAGAAGAAGCCAATCAAAAAGTGGTGCAAACCTTTTGACATCCTCATTGCCTCAGAATCCCTCATGAAAGTAATCCCAAGACTTGTTGGTAATGTCTTCACCAAGATCGGTAAATTCCCAATTGCCATCCCTGAAACAGAATCAGTCAGCAGCAAAGTCAATGAAGTCAAGTCTTCAGTCAAGTATCTTTTTTTAAAAATCAATTCAGATTCCAATTGAAAAACACATTGTCACTTGGTACAGCCTTCGGTACTGATGAAATGTCCGAAGATTAACTCAGATAAAACTTGAGTACAACCATCAACTTCTTGGTGTCCCTCTTGAAAAAGGGATGGTAGAATGTTGGCACGCTCCACATCAAGACTTCCATGGGTAAGCCCATTAAAATCTATGGATGATATTTTCATAAATTCGTACATTAAACAATAATATTTTCTACACAATATATATAAATAACGAATGAAAGTAAGTGAATATCTTCACTTATATAAAGACAATAGAAAGATGAGAGATTTCTCTGAATACGCAAATGTTCTCAGTCTTACATCTAAGAGTAGGAAGGAAAATATTACTTTTACTACAAGTAATTCATAATGTACGATTTCTAAATCTACTAATATTCGATAATAATCACCAAATAAATATGCTAGTATTGCAGCTTAAAGGAAAAAGTTATCAGTAGAAAGAAGATTGAAGACTTCTAATGAAGATGATTGGGAATAGTTTGCGGCGGGATAAGTTTAATTTTTATAACAACATGTCAAAAACCCTATAGCAATAGTTAATCTAAACATAAACGATAATGGAATTCATACTAATAATAAAATCTACTTATATGAAGATTCTAACATAGAATAAATTGTCACTAACATAAGTAGACAATACAAAATATCTGACAAAAAGAAATATGAAATTCGTTAAGAATTATTAAGTTGTTTTATTTGATTGCAATTAATTATACTACATACTATTATTTGAACTTCATTTTTGTGGATTATATTTATATTATGTACTCTATATTAATTTATACAATTCATATCTCAGTCTTAAACACAATATTAATTATTTAAAATAATATAATCCGCAAAATTCTATAAAATGAGTGATGATTAAATAGAAATTTACTATACATTTTAGAATAAAACTCAAACTATAAGAGTAAAATTGAATGTTTTAATTTATCCCATGTTTCAAATATTACTAGGTATCCATCCAGATGAATTTGTTATAATAATTGATAATGATTATAATTAGATCATAAAAAGATTTTAAATATTTTCCTAAATAAAGAATAACCATTATTACATTTACAATGTTAAAGATTTATTGAAGGAAAAGTTTCTAGTTGCTGAAAAAATTGCAAATGATAAAAAATAATATGAATAAATTGTAAAAGGTAATAAATAATAAGAATAGATTGCAAAAGATTGTAAATAATAAGAATAAATTGCAAATGATATAAACTACTCAGAAAAAATTTAACAAAGTACCAATAACAAATAAATTATTACTAAACCTATTATATATGCTAGTTTAGCAAAAGACGAATTAAAGGACATCTACTAATCTGCTCAACTAGAAATACAATAAATTTGTTATTATTGCAAAAAAATAATAGAGGAAAACTAAATTTAATTGACATGCTATCATCATTTACATTTAGAATGTTTTACTATGTTAATTTAAAATTAAATACAAAATAATAGCCCAAGATTGCTATGTCTCTGTAATCAATATATAAAATCGCAGTTAATTTAGAATTATATACATGATGAAAATCTAATTGAGCAATATTTTAATAATCAACTCAAATATATTCAAAAGGGTTAAACGAAATAATTTAAAATATGTTAGAAAAGTGAATAATGCCCATTCTTTTATATTGAGACAGATAATTAGAGCGTTTCTTATTGCGAACAATGTGATCAATAAACATAAACACTAGCTAGCTATATAAAATTGAATTTCGTTTAAATATATAAATCCTATTGAATATTTTATAATTAATATAAAATTAATCATTGATTTCACAGTTAATTGTTTTAGTTTTCTTCATTTATCAGTAATTTTCTTAAGATTTTTTTAATTTCTTCTAAAGTTAGTAATTAATTTTGTGCTGTATATTAACTCAGATATTCTAGAGCTATGCAAGTATGATAACCACACGAATAATGATCTTGCTATCTAACCCAAGTAGGGCAAACAACTGTTGTAAATGTAATATTTTACTAGGATAATTTTGAAAATGATTATGACAATAAATTATTAAGTATATTGTATGAAGATGAAGATTAAGGCAAGGAGTCATAAATTTTCAAAATCCCATCTTAGAAGTCTAAAACTGCTAAATACCAATGCACATTATTTGAATTAACAACAAAGGCTATTTTTTTGTAGATAAGCCAAAATTAATACTATATTACTTGAAAGTCTTACAAATACTGCAACATTAAATATAATACTTTATCTTAAATTTAGGCAGTCTTATCATTTAAATTACAATTAGTTAAAAAATCAGAGTTAAATATAAACAATCGTTTATGCTTTATTCTTTCATTCTTATTAAGTGAAAAATAATAGTTTTCATCTCTAACTTGAAGGTAATTTGCATAAGCATTAAGTATTGAACTTGTTAAAAATAATTTTGAATTTAGTAGTGCCTACCTATCCTTTTATCCAATCTATTAATTATAAATGATAAATGGGTAGGTTGGTTTTTGCATAACATATCTTCCATTTTCAATACTAACCGAGATTTAATAATCTTTTTCAAACCTTTCATTTTTTTTCTATTATTTTTGAACACCTTTCTCAAATAAAATTAATTCAAATCTTTTTAACTGCATTTTTATTCTGCATTGGTTGTCTCTAATCTCATCATACCTTTCATATCTTTCAGCATTTTCATTGTGAGTCAATTAAATAGAAGATTATTAACTTGATTATTCTATGATCTCATGCTATTCTGACGATTGCTTTTGCATATCTCCATCTGAAGAGGATTAACCGATATTGATATTAATATATTTTTATTAACTTTGGCTTTATTCTTTTATATTTTGAGGAATATTTATTTAGATATTATCACTTTGAAAACGTTAATAACCAATTTCCTGTATGATTATTTTATGAGTTCTTGTTTTAATTTCAATCATATTATCATCAATCTTTTCCTAAGGTTTGTCATTTTACCTCTGAACCTCAACATCATTTTTTGATTTTAACAAATTCTTAAGTTATTTTTTATTCGAATTCTCAATATCCATATCAATATGATAAATCTTCATCTCCTCTAACTTATAACTTTAAGGTGATGCATATTATTAATACTATTCTTAAAGAAGTTCTGAATAATTTTAATCATTTCCAGTTTTAAAGCTATAGTTCTCTCTGTGATTTGAAACAGAATTATTATTGTCTGGTTACTTTGAATAACACAAAAAATTACCTTCCCCTCCGATCCGTCGGAGTTAGTTTTTCTTATAAATTCCTTATATTATTCTTCGGAATTAAACTCAAACTCACTAATTTTTGGCTATTTCCCTCTATATTCCTCGCCTTTACTCATTGCACTATCTTATTTTAATATAATTAATGTTTAATTGCAATAAAGAACAATTTTATTTTATTTCTATTAATAAACTATCTAGATCGTTAAATTGAAACTTAGAAAAAATTACTTATTATAAAAAACTCACAAAAATTATTGAAATATAAACAGACACAATATTTAAATAGAAAGGTTTATATAAATAAAGCATTAATTCTTTTTGAATAATAATTTATGGGTTGATTCAAAATTTAACTTAAAATCATGAATTAAAATAATTCTTATAGAAAACGTAATCTAAATCTATGTATTATTGATCACCATGATATAAACTTTATCGGTTCATTGTTTTATCTTATTTAAAAGCAAAATTTTATAAATTTCCCAGTTTAAGATAGTTTTTATAATAAAATTTATATTTAATCCTTACTTTATTGTGAGCATTACGATAATGCTCTTATTATAATATTTAACCTTGTAAATTTAAATGATGATCTTTGAAATTAACAAATAATTCATCAGAATTATAATAAAAGATATCTTATAGAAGCAATCAATTCCCTTAAGAAAAGAAAGGATAATATTAGCCATACTCATATTGTAATTATATTTTACAAAATATATCCCTAAGCATTAAATTGTAGGTCTTTAGTTAAAAGTATTTATAAGTTCATTTCCAAATTCTATGCGTGACTTATTCATATGAAAATTACATTATTGGAATTTCTTATGGTAAAAAAACTTTAATGTAAGGTGAATAGAATAAAATTTCAATTTTACTTATTCAATAATGTGAAGAGTATCTATTAAATAAAGAGGATATTTAACAATAATTATTTATAGTCCATTATCACACTCTAATTTAGATTCCATGAGTCATTATTTCATTAATCATTTAATTCACTTGTGAGGAGGAGACAATTGAGAATTTTAGCTAAATTTTATTGCTTAGAAGTTGGTTTAAATGTATTTAGATTATTCTAAGCATGTACATCAGTTTGGTTTGAGGGCAATAGGTCAACTCCCAAGGATCAGATAAAACCAGAATGAAGTTGTTAGATATGGTTTACAATAAAATAATTGAATAATTGATTGATAATATTTTTAATGAGTAAACTTAGTGAACTTTTAATTGATTAAGAAGAGAGACAACCTAATTTCATTACTTAGTACTGCAAGGCATTGAGAATTCTGGGGAAGGGAGCGTTTTCTACTGTGGTTGAGATTCAGAATTTGATGACGAATAAGAGGGCAGCTCTCAAAATTATTGAGAAGTCAAATTTCAATACTTTACAATTAGATGTGTTAAGAAAGGAGGCTCAGTTGTTAAATTAGTTGAATCATTAAAATATTGTAAGAGTTACATTTGTATGATTGCTTTGTGTTATTGTAGAGTAAGGAGACCAAAAGTAAATTATTTATAATGATGGATCTCATCACAGGAGTTACATTGGAACAATTTCAATAAAACAAGTTAGACGATTAGACTGTGCATAACATAGTGAAACAATTGTTGTAGGCAATCAAGTATTTGCATTCCAAGGATATTATACATAGAGACATTAAGCCAGGTATGAGGAATAAATTTTATTTTAGAAAATATTATGATTTCTCAAATGGGCGAGGATGTCCGAGTAACCTTAATTGATTTCGGTCTCTCGGCCCAATTGACCTATTTGGAGGGATCGGGTATAATGAGTGACAATTGTGGAACCTTCTTGTACATGGCTCCCGAAATGATATAGAAAAAGAAGTATAACAGAGTATGATCATTCCCTTAAATAGTAAGAGTGTGGATATATGGGCAGTGGGCATCGTGGTTTTCAATCTCTTAACTCAGGGCAAACATCCATTTTACTAACAGTTTGACGACAAAGAATCTTATTGTGAAAGGATCCAATGGATGTAATGGAATTGGCAACCAGGGATGAATAACAACTCAATTAATTTCTTGATTAGGACAGTAGCTTATTTGCCTGAGAATCGTTTGAACATTATTTAATGTTTAGAACATCCTTGGATCACAGGCAAATAAGACTCTGATGAGCCTTTCACTTTCATAGAAATACTCAAAAGTCACTGTAATTTTTAGAAAATTAAGTCCTTGATCTAGGCATTGCAATTCCTATAATAACTCAAAGTCTTATGTCCCAATGCGAATTAATTCAAACACTATTCAACACCAATAGCCAAAGAACCTGTTAGAACAATAAAGATTCCAAAAATCAAACAATAATCTATTTCTCACACAAATGAGAAGCTCAAATAAGTAAAGTAGGACGCACTCTAAGGATCTAATGTTGATACTGCTTCTATTGGATCCAATAGAGTTTCTTAATTCAGAATCTAAACGATTACTCTGAAATCTCAAAGAAGAGAGAGGGCATCCTGTGATCAATTGCAAAAGTTGTAACAACCAAAGGAGCCTTCAAAATTTCTATTTCCTCATTTTCCTAGATCATTGGAAAGAAGTGTGAAGTCAATTCAGACTACAAATACGACAGCTGATAATTCTTTGAATCAATCATCTATTCTTCAGAAATCTGGCATAATCGACAATAGACAATCCCAGAACAACAAGTAAACTACTCAATAAGTAAGATTTAGTATATAAATAGTAATAGTTAAAGAGGACAACTCATGTATCAAGAGGATAGAATATTATCATACAATAAGAGTTGCTGGCTAGTCACAGGATAAGAACAAACAAACCTCCAATATAGAAAAAGTCTTTAAACGAATGAATAAAAATATATACTGTATATATTCCATAATTTTGATTTATCGTCTAATATTAATGTCTAATTTTTAATTACTTAAAGAGGTATTAAACTTTGAAAGTGAATACCTGCCTGAACTGAGTAGATACGACCCAAAAGAAATTATCGGAAAGGGAGCTTTTGCAACGGTTATCTCAGCTATTGATAAAGTTACAAGAATAAATGTCGCCATTAAGATAGTTGAAAAATCTTTGTTTAAATGCAATAAATAAGAAGAGACTATACGTCAGGAAGCGATCATGCTGCAATCCTTGTCTCATTAGAATATAATTAAGATACTTGATGTATTGGAATATGCCTTAACCTAAGTTTTACGAAACCTAGCTAAGGTTTTACATAGTTATGAATCGGATAGAAGGTGTTACGTTAGAAGATTACATACCAAAATTGCAGCGAAGTGAGGTGATTACGATAACAAAGGAGATTTTGAAAGCTTTGAGCTATTTACACAAGAACAACATAGTGCACAGAGACATCAAGCCGTAAAATATTTTGATAGGAGACTCAGAAGGAGAATTGGTTGTTACCTTGATAGATTTTGGCTTATCAGCCTCAGTCAATAGAGTTGAGGATAGTTTGATGAATAAGAATTGTGGAACCTTATTGTATTAGGCCCCTGAAGTTATTAAAAAAGCAAATTATAATAGAGTAACACTTAAATTATTAAAATTTAGTCGGTTGACATTTGGGCATTGGGAATTGTGGTTTATAATATGTTATACAATGGACAACATCCATTTTATTAAAATGGAGATAGTAAAACAACTTTTTTTGAAAAAATTAAAAATTTTTCACTGAACATATAATTTAATGAGGACTTATACACTAAAAACTTTTTGGAGAGAACGATTGCATATCTCCCAGAACATCGTTTAACAGCTGATCAATGTCTGGAACATCCTTGGATTACAGGCAAGGGAGATATCTCAATTCCATTCACGTTGAATGAAATAATATAATGTCAAGTCAATAAAGAATAGAAAATAGCTAGGTGCATCAAAATGCTCGTGTTTTTGAAATACCTGGTTGGGATGTCAAATGATATGCTTGGGAAGACGGATGAAATTAATGAGGCTGGATCACCTAATGATGTTATTTCAATAATAGGATCTGAAAGGTCGGGGTCTTCAAATAGATTTAGGATTCGTCCATTGATACTTAAATCTTAGACCAGATTAAATAAATTATGGTATAACGATAGCACTAGTAATTCATTTGCTGGAGATACTAGCAGAATTGGGACAGACATGATTCCAGAGATATTTCAATAGGTGGACTCTCCAAATTTTGGGAAAAAACAATTAAGAAAAAGTAATTCGATGAATCCGCAAGAAATGATGAAGAAATTGAAAACGAACAATGTTTCAAGGGATCTTTGCAAGGTATCTATTTGAATATAGTTATGAGGAAATTCAAATGAAGAATAGAAGATTAATTTTGAATTCGCCTGTCAATAATTAAAAGTTGGTAACCGAGCCATAGAGTCAAAAATAAAACGGGGATAGTTTAAGTAAGTTCGCAGACTCTCCCTTGGCTTAGAGACTGCAACATTTTCAGAGGTCCAATTTCTCTAAAAAACCATCATAATTGTGATTTTAAGTATTATTAATATTATGCTCAAAATTTTCAGATAGGCTAATTTATTCAAGCCTCAATTCATGAGAAGATACGATCAGGCCAATTCTCCTTTGCATATAGCCATTGGGGACACATCTGAACTGAGAACAAAGCTATTCCCAGAGAAGAGGAGAATCCCAGGGAGAAAAGGCAAAATAATCTTAGCATTTGGTGTGTTATTCTAAGTATGGGGCATAATGCATATAGTGGAAGTGAGAAGACAATTCAAGTATGATTGAATGGTTAAATAAATTAGACGCAAAGAATTAGAGTTGAAAAAGATGCAGAGGAAATCATTGCCATTTTATTAAGCCATGCAAGATATCAGATATTTGGCTGCTGAAGACAAGAGGAATATTTTGATCGAGGAATTGTTTGCTGAACACGGATCCGATTACATCAAGTAGATCACTGACATCTATCACCAGAAGGATGTGTGGTATGATAATTGAATTAAGAACGTAGGGTTCCATTTAAGAAGAGAGCCGCTCATCAATACACCAGAGCAACCAAGGATCCCTATCCTTATTTCGATATTCCAGGATCACGTTTCTTGCACGGCTACGACGTATACAACATTTGATTTAAATCATAAATATTAAATAAATAAATAAATAAAATGTTAAGAATTATCATTACATCATTGTTCATATCATCAGTGATATCTGCCAACAACAAACCAACTATTGGCGTCTTAACAAATCCCTCTGATATGAAAGACTACGATAAGTCCCTCTACTCCTATTTCCCTTCCAGTTATGTTAAGTGGATTGAATAGGCTGGGGCCAGAGTCATTCCAATTCATTGGGATAGTTCTTATGACGAGATCACTGTGATATTGAGCCAGATTAATGGTGTTCTGTTTACAGGAGGGGATGCTGACTTGTACTTGAACAACACACAACCAGGATTCACTTTTAATAAATTTACTGATACAGCATCTTTTATTTTTTAAAAAGTTATTCAATTTAATAAGGCTGGTAAATTCTATCCTTTACTTGGAATATGCTAAGGTTTTCAATTGATCAATTATATCGCTTCATCCTACTATGAAGTCTTGACTAGAATGACTGATGACTTAGGTAGGTAGAGGTTGCTTGAAATTGTACCTGATGAAGATTCATATGTATTGAATTCTATAGACAAGTCTACCTTGGAGTATCTGAAGAATGTTGGTAATTACACCTTATTAATATCATAGATGGTCCATATTACTCACACAACTGGGGAGTTGTACAACAAACCTACGAAAAAGCCTACTCTTTGGGAGCATTCTTCAAAATCACAGCTTATGGCAGAGATGGAGTGAACTTGAAATACATCGCTATTTGTGAAGGCAGAGAAGTCCCTATCTATGGATATCAATTCCATCCCGAGAAGCATCCATTTGAATGGATCACCAAGGCTACTCATGATGTCCAACATATTACGTATTCTTAATAATTGGCCATGGATTTCATAGCTATGGCTAGAAAGAATGACAACTTCATCTCTGATGAAGAATTATCATAGTATGTCATCTACAATTACAAACAAATCAACAGAATGCATGTTCCAAACACAAGTTTTTCATAAGTCTACTTATTCGACAGAAATCGAAATGAAACCAGAACAGATCAACAACAATTAGGTATTCAGTGGACTATCAAATACTTTAGAAAATACAAATGATGGGTTTTCTATATGTAACAAAGAATAAATAAAATAATTAATTTTTAAATAATTTCATTTTTATCCAGCGACTTAATTGAAAAAACTTTTCTATCATCAATTACCTTCAAATGTTGTTATTTTAACTTGAATTTCAAATCATTTTACTTAGATCAATTAATCAACACAATTAAATTAGTTGTGCAATTACATTCTTATTTTAATGCTATTTTTTATTATATATAAATTTTGTTATAAATATATAATCACAATGTGTCTTATGTAAAATAACTATTATCAGCAATTTTAAAAGGTTGTGCCATCTATCTAAAGAAATCTCGAACTACAGTGATGGCAGTCTCACTAGTAATATTTAAACATCTAGATTAGTCTAATTATTTATAAATCCATCTAGGCATTTTTTATAATTTACTCTTCTAAGCAAATCTCTTATCAGCCATAATCATGATTCCATAATCCTGCTTACCCCTTAGAACTCTACCCAAACATTAACATGTTTATCTCATAGCATCAAATTCAATAAAATCATTTTTTGTTATTTTAAATTTCTCCTCTAAAAACTTGCATCTCTCTAAAATCAAAGTGTCTTTACTGTTCAAGGCTGGAAATCCAATCACTGCAACACATCTTCCATAATGACCTTCAAAATCTATACCTTCTGCAATCTTACCTCTAGCAATTGAAAATAAAGCAGCTCCTCTACCAACATCACAACATTTACGATATTATTACAATTTTTATGATGTCTCATTTACATCCTTCGATTCTATTAGCAATACTTTATTTTTTGAAATTTATTCTAAATACTTATCCTTTTGCCATTGCCTTGCCCACTCCTCCATTCGGCTATAAGAAGGCATGAAGACAATGAGGCCATCAGGGACGTTTTCAGACAATTCAAGCAAAAAGTTGCCGTAATTCCTTGAGACATCCTCATTATTTCTGAATGTAAATTCTGATGTCAATTCAGTGCCATCTTCTGACATAGTAACAATTATAGGCTGAATGGAGTTACGTGTTAATTCAATGTCGATAGATTTAGCAACGACTGGTCTAAAGTCTAAGATTTTTGGATAAATATCAATTGGTGACATGGTACCTGAAGTGAGGATGACAGATTGAAATGAAGCGAAGATGTTTTTCATGGCTAAGGAACTATCAAAACAAGCCAGGGTCATTAATTTTTCATTTAAGGTTCCTTCGTAGTTATTAGATTGAAATATTACTTTGAATCCTTCCTGATATTGAACTAAGAACATAACAAATTGTGCAACAGTGCTAAGTGGTCTAAATTTGTCAGTTTCTGAGATTTGCAAAGTGTTTAGTAGTAGATTTAATCGTTCTCCACATTATTTGAGAGAATCAATGTCTAGATTCCCTTCCTTTTATATCTCTTCAGTAAAGCTTTTAGTGTGGTGTAAAATAGCATGAGATGTTTTAAGTGCTTCTGAATTATCTTTTAACTTCTTCCTCAGCGAATTGATAACTCTCTTCATAAAATCAATGAAGTTTCTTGCTTTCCTAATTTACCCTGGAATAACCAGTTAATTCAATTCTCCTTCAGGTTTCTTCTCCAAATTCTTAATCAACTTCTTATATTCTTCATTCAACCTATTTTAAATCTCATTAGTCTCACTCTAAATTTGTGTCTCCACAATTTTGAGATTGTTGATTGCTTCAGCCAATATGGGCTTATTCAATCTCACCGTATAGGCTTCAATACACACGTCATCTATGTTATGGGCCTCATCAAAGACAACCACACTCTCCTTGATATAATCCTTAGACAATAATGAAGATATTCCTGGATCAATCAAATAAAGATAGTTATACACAACAATATTGGCCTTCTTGACCATTTCCCTCGCAGTATAATACGGACATTGCATAGAATAACCTCCATTCTTACGTAAATCACTTAAACTATAAACATCATTAGGTAGATTGTTTATGAATTCTTTGGCAGATTTCTCAAAGTTGTCATAAAATATGCATGTTTCACCTTATCCCCTCTTAACCCATTCAGCTGTTCGTTTTCTGCATTCAGAATCCACTCTATCTTTCTAATTGACAACATCAGGATTGATACACAGATTTCTTCTTGAACTCAATCCGACAGCAGTAAAATTATCATTAAGACCTTCCGCTTTTCTGGCCTTCAAAACTAATCTGACTTCCTCTAATGTTTTTTCCATCTCCACCACTGTACGAGTGCAATAAATCAACTTTTTAATTGTGTTAGGTCTTTGTGCTAAATAGGCAAGAATGAATGCGAGCAATGAGACTGTCTTCCCTGTTCCTGTAGGCATCTCCAAAATTCCATGTCCTTTTTCATCCAGGGTTTATTTCAACGCTTACATGTACTCCAATTGTTCCTTATACAGAAATTTGTAAGGGAAAATAACTTCTATGTCATCAATGATGAATTTCATGAAGATTTTTATTATTTTTTTATTTAAAATAAATACATTCAAATTCCTGGAGGAGGTTTTGGAAAGTATGGGTTTATTAAATTATTTTCATTCCACTTCATAGGCAATTTAAGTGTACTTTGTTCAAATTGAGGTAATTTATGATGAATCTGATTCAACATGGATTCCAATCTCTGAACACTATTCTTGTCTAACATTTCTTCGTCAGAATCTTAAGGCAAAAATATTGGATCCTTGGTATCCCAACATTCCTGAGAAGATTGAGTGTTCATCGTGATTTATGTTGGTATAGTGAATTCCACTCTCTAAAATAAATTGAAATTCTTTTGATTTGAAACCTTTCTCTACTCAACTACCTTCTCCTGATACTCCGAAATCTAATCCTCGTCCAGACTCTCCCCTTGACTGAAGTGAGATGAGCTCTCGTCGATTTGTGATTGTAAATTTGTGTAAATGATATTGTTGCTTTCTTTACTGATCATTTCCTCAGCCGTTATTATATCCTGAATCTCATCTGCTTTGTCAGAAACCACTTCATTTGTTTCTGATTTACTTTGCGGTTGAATTGGCTCCTGAATCTTAAAAATTGATTAAAAGTCTATCTACTCTTACAACAAGTTTCCTTCAATGGAAATTTTGAGTTCCCTTGATTTCTTCACATTGTTTCTTAACAAACTCGCTATATACATCATATTGAGGATTGAGACGATTATAATGAAGATATTTGGTTATTGTGATACAACTACTGTTTATTAAGAGATCAGAATCTTTGGATCTTGTTTAATGATCTTCTTTAGGATTTGTTCATTAAATTTTTAATTGGATCTGTAATTGATAAGAATTTCAGAATCTTGTAAAACATCTGTTTAGATCTTTATTTTGTTTCTTCCAAAGGAGTTCAATAGTTCTTTTGCTTACTGTTTGTGGTATTTAGAATCAGAGTAAAAATTCTGCTTGCCCATATAATCTACATGTAGAATGTCAGATCTAGAATTAGTAGCAATGTTAGTTGCCATCGTAAGTAAAGATATATTCTGGTGTTTTATTTATTGGTTCTCAACTTGTAACAATTGAATTTATTGATTAAAGGTGCTTCTCACATAAATGTCGATTTACTGTACTTTTGCAGTTATTCCTGGATCTAAAGTAAGTACAGAGGGATAATAATTCGCAGATCCCCGTTGTACTGAATAAGTCACATCCACTTCTATGATTTCATATTGGGTTCTAAAAGTTAACTTGCTATTGGCCATTATTTCGTAATAATTGGTGTTAATGATGACTTTCAATTCAATTCTTGTAAAGGGTTGTAACTCAAATGAAAATTTACGTTTGGAAGCTGATTTGATATCATTTCTATTATTTAATAACACTCTTATTTGATTTCTTTTCTTTTCATTCTATTTATAAGACACATCAATTTTGACAGGGTTTGGATTATAAAAAGAGAATATTTTAGTGTATTGTTAATAAATGCCTAGGTTGTTAAATTCGATTGTTTAGTGCTACCCTTAGATACTACATTGACCTAATTACTTAGTTTAACACATGAGGTGTTTATCATAGATGGTCAACTTTATTGGCACTCTTAAAAAGTAGGCTATTTCTATTGCCAACCAAATTTCAAATGTTTTTGATCGGATTTCTGAGAGTGCCTGTTCGTAAATCAAAGTGCAAACTCTAGTTTTCTGAGTGGTTGAATTGGATGGTAAAACGATTTTTTCGAAATCAACTTTTAAAAGTGGAGACGAAGTGAATATATTTGTGATCATGAGTTCTTTGTTTATCAGATTCTTAAAGTAAACATGTTTGGTAATCCGTATTTACTGGTTCACAATGCTAGCCTAAAAAGTTTAGACATGGTTATGTTACATTTTAAGAATGATCAATCAAACCCCCTGTGATATGAATTTCATCGATGTTCAAATATATTGCTAGGTCCTAATGCCAAAATGGATTCTGGTTCTCTAGACCTTCAATCTCTTGCACTATTGCTTTGACCCTGTTCTAACTCACAGAATCCTACAAAACCTAATTTCGAGCCTCCCTAGCTTAATGATGGTCACTCACACAAAAATGAATCCCTACACTTATGAAGGTGCATTTTCAAACCTTTAATCTGAAAGGAGTCCATTTTTTGCTTGCAGCTCTCAATCTGCCTACTCTCTATCAAATATAATAATAAAAATAGGAACATTAAATTAATAATATATAAATATTCTATAGTCATTCTAGTTTATGATCAAACGTAATAACTTAAACCACTCACTCAATAATGTATCTCGACACTCAAAATGTGAAATATCCAATACTACTACAGAAATCCTGAATGCTAATTCAGGTATAACATCCATCTTTTGTTAAATAAACAACTCTTGTTATTCTCTTTTAACTATGAGGGGTAATTGGAATTACATTCAACTAATTGTATGAAATGCTGATCAGACATAGATCTCTATGAAAAATTTAATAAACAATTAAAATTAATTATTAATATAAACGAATTAACTATTTCAAACTTAAGAATTTTTACATTTTTTGATACTTTTAAATAATAAATTGTTTTTAGAATTAAAATAATATTTGGGTGTATCTAGATAAGCACTTTTATTTTGAGAGGCAGTAATAGTCATATCTAGCATTTCAATTTGTTATTGATAAGACACCATTTAAGGTTAGAAGTTGATAATAGATGAAAAATTGTATTCTGGAGTTTTTAAATAAGTCGGTGAATTCAATTCACTCGATTGCTTAGATTCAAACTTATCAAACGCAACTTAATTCTCTTACAGTGACATTTCCAAACCAATCGGATTTTTGAGGTTTCTAATTTGCCTCATTTTAACAATCAATTGTAACTTCTGTTTCAATATTTTCATTCTAATTTTTTTGGGATCACAGATGCCCTTATAAATTAACTCTTGCAAAGCCCTATTTCTCTTAGGCTTATTCGCATTCAAATTCGAAGAGAGCTCCAACAGTAAAGGACCTGTGTTGCGCCGCAATTTGCTTTTCACAAATTCTTGCATCGCTACTTACTGAGTCAAGGGATTGGTTCTGTCATAATCTGTAGGCAGTTTAGAATATATGTCCTCGTATCGTACCTACTCTTCCTCTTCATAAACATCCTTGTACAAGATCCTGTGTATCCTACATGAAGGGATTATTAATTCCAAGCCAGAAACTGCCAAAGATGCAACGTTTATTGTTTGACACAACTAACTCGAATGAAATGAGTAATCAATCAGGAATTGCATAGTGCTCAAGAGAAGAGGACTTAGATCCAATAGATTGAGCATTTCTCTATCAAGATGACTGCTTTGAAAGGGAGGTTTACGATTCCTTCTGAGCAGTAAATACTTTTGTATCCAGTAATATAATATTAATCCAATCAAACCAAATAAGATTGAGATAGGGATTAGAGGAGCAAAGAAAAGAGTAAGCCAAGTAGTTTTGCATAAGTATGAATATTAGTCATAAAATTACACTGAAGGTCCTTCAAATAATTTGTTGGCTTCGATCTAATTTACATTGGTATTTTTTTCAATTCTCATTTATTTTAATTTCTGAACAATATAAAACACATTGAAATAGGCTGATAATGGCACTAGAATAGCATTTGCACCAGCTACATAGAGGATATCGTCAACGATGCCTCCCTGTTATTAAATAGCAAAGTTAAATAGTTATTCATCTTATTTTGAGTATTCATAATAAGTTCCTATCACATTCATAATGATAAGTAGTAAACAAGAATTGATAAACTAAACGTAACTTAATTTTTCAGCCACAGAAGTGTCTTACTGAGTTTTAGTAACGTGTCTTTCTTAATTGGCCAATAAAGTAATGAAATAATAGATGAGTCCATCTACTAGTGTAATAATAACTGATTTTGATAATGAAGCCATAGTTTTCATTAGAAATTGATTGGTATCTGAATTCTAGAAAAAGTGATTCTACTTGAGTATTAAATTGTACCTAAAAAACATTCTAGCCATAGAGTGTACAAAGTGATAGAGCCAATAAGAACACTATTACAAACCATGATAAAATCCTTCTCTTAAGTTAAGTGTTCTCGTCTGTACCACAGTTCTCCCAAAATACATCGTCTGGTTCTGGTGCTCTAGATATTTCAATGTAATGTTGTTTAAAGTAGAATCCCCTTCTGTCTTTCTTTCTGATGATGGATTTTACTGCTATCATAAATGCTTCCCAGTAGGAGAGTTTGGTCTACTCTAGTAAATTTTGGAGTTCTATTTAATTATATCAAAATTATAGTACATTTTTTGGTCTGAAAAGTAATGAATGCAATGGGAGTCGTTTTATTATAGGACCCATTTTCTATTTCAGCTTCTATTATTTGTTATTAGGTTGAAATTTCATTTATTTATTTTAATAATTTCTCTTTATTTGGACAAGATGAGTTTTCAAGTTATTTTTCCAATTATATCTTTTATCTGCCTTTGTCCACAAATTAAACTATGTCATAAGCGATGTTGATCTTGACCACTTCATAGTTGTTTCTGGGATCAAATTCCTTGCAATATTCTTCCAAGGCTGTTTTTAATTCCTTCTCGTTATAATCATTCTTAGGTAAATTGTTCAATATGGCTGTGAAATCAGAAGGAGACAGCAATTCCTTGTCGATTGCATATTCTATCTTACGTTGTTTCTCGCGAATGAGGACCATCAATATTTTGATAATCATTACTGAGCAGAGAATCAAGGAGGACTAGATTAATTTGCCCTCCCCTTCTAGTTATTTGTTAACGTATGATATTCTAGAAGTTTGGGATTGTATGCAAACATCAGAGTAATGTTAGCAGATAGTCTTACAATCTAAAAATAAATTCTCAAAATATTAATAATCCTCATGTTCCAACGGACAATTCCCTTCACATCCGTTCTATTTCCAAAACTTATATGCATAATTAGTGTCTAGTAAACAATTATTTGCAACATAATTTTGAGAAACGTTAGGAACTGTGAAAATAAAGAACAACACAAAGTGTAGTAGAATGACTAGTATCATAAGATTGAAAAATAATGGAACACCTTATCCTAAAAATGCTAAATTTATGATTTCAATATTTAAAGGTAGCGGCATTTTATTAATGCAAAGTCCGCAACACTGACAGTAATCAGAATTTTTCCCATTCTAACCACAACTAGTGGCTAACTAATATAAATTAGTGCCAAAATTACTTGATGTTATAGTGCATAATGTAATTTAGGCGGTTTCTGGAGAGGATCAAATTCTGATGCTTCCTCTATAAATTTTGGATTATTCATATATTTATATATAATATATAATAACACTACCATCTCTGCGAAATTGTTTCAAAACGAATTTTGGTTAGGAGGTCATGTTTAAGAATTTTTTCAACATATCATTCAATTGATTGGTTAAATTTATAGAACTTTAGAAATAATTTGATAATATATTCAGTCGAATGAAGTTTTGAATCTGATTTAAACGAGGATATCAATAATTTAATGGGGAATTAATTTTTTTGTTTGGCATTTTTGTAATTTGATAAAAAATATCAATTAATTAAGATGTGTTGTTAAAAAAATATAAATTTATTTCACCCTTCATTTGACATTAGAATGGAATGATAAATAAATCACTGTTTATAATAAAATCTAATGGGTATTATTAATATAATCAAGATTATTCTTATTGCTCTTATAGTAATTCCTAGCCTTCACTCTGCATGGTTTTACTTTTGTGCAATCTGGCTGATTGGATGATGGAAAGCTTTCGTTTTTCCTCTTGAACAATTGATTTGACTCTGGATCCTCTTCTTTTCTCATCAATTTTAAGGAATCTATCCACTCTCTTGAACTAGACCCATGCCTTACCCTCCATTAACTCATCCAACTAGGAATAGCATATTATTGCAAATACTTCAATATTGATTTCTTCTTCTGAATAACCATTTTGTTTAACAATTTCCCAAAAAGCCATCCATTCATCTTCAGTGATATCTCCACTCTTATCGAAATCCACTGCCTCAAAGAGTGCTTCAGTATTGAGTTTAGCAAAGTTAGACTTCCTAAGAGTTTAAATGAGGGCAATACCAGAACTGTTCGGTTCCTTATTTGTCTATGGTTCCATTGCCTTTGATGTCTAGTTTTTTGAAGATCTCAATGGCTTTGGCTCTTAGTTTCTCGCTTAAGGGTTCGTCAACTTTGGCATTAGTACATCCCATGAGATTTTAATAATTATATGAAAAATAATAAGGAAGTAATCAATTTATACATTGAAGACAGACAGGATACTCTGGAGTGGACAGGTGATGAAGTGGAAATCGAGACTCTTGATGAGGTCGTGACCTTCATTCTCAATGACATCAAGCAACAGTATCACACTGATCTCCTGACATTGAGAGATCAAGAGAATCAGTACTACGAGATTGACCAGATAGTGGAATTCAAGAGACCTCACACTTTCATCACAATACCATAGAGACATGATGTGAAGACTTTGGCAAAGGTATTAAGTGGAATAAGCTAAGAATGAAGTCAGGGGAAATCGTAACATATACTCCATCAAAAATGACACTATTCTATTCTAGAAGTATAAGGAGACATGCAAAGTGGAGACTGTGAATTACAGACTTGAGGATATCAAAAAGGCGAATAAAAAATATGTAGACACCTTAGTAGGCATTTTCGACGAAATGGTTATCCAGCCAAAAAAACGAAACTCTTTGAAGAATGAAGTGCCCTCGCCAATTCAATTCCAAGACCAACCTGAATCTCCCAAATTTGGATAATCTCCTAAGGAAAGTGTCTCTCCGAGTTGGATCCAAAGGAAATCTCTAAGTGATAGTAGCAAGAAAAATGATTTAAAGTAATGTACAATTGACGAGGTATGACTATGCGAATGAGAGTAGGTGGCCAAACATAACACCATTAATTCAGCATGGATTGTCATCAACTCCAAAGTGTATGATGTTACTAAATACTTGAATAAACATCCTGGAGGCAAAGAGGAACTAATGAAGGGTGTAGGAACTGATGGCACTGCCTTATTCATGTAAAACCATCCTTGGGTCAATGCTCATTATTTGTTAGAACAGTTTCAAGTTGGATTTCTAATCAATCATAAATGAATTATATATATATATCTAAATATAACTCAAACATCGATAGGTGGCATTGTATCTCCATCCACAATGTGAGACTCATGCTCTTCTCCCAATTTATGTTTGTCACACAAAATGTATTTACTTGATTACAACAATTGATCAATAAATTCGACATTCCTTTCCAAATTCTTATTATATTCAAAAACCAAAGAACCTCTGAAATGCATCAATTTCAACATGTCCACCAACTAAAATTCATAATTCTCAAATCATTACATGTGAATAACTGACGATGCCTTAAGATAAATTCTATTATTTGACATATTGATCTTCAAACAAGAAGTTTTTCAAAAATATGGTGTTGTATTGTTCATTAACATGTTAATATAGGGTTGCCAATATTTCTCTATTTTAATCAAGTTCACTCTATTGAGGATTCGCATATCTGTAAATATTAAAGTTGACACTCTTCAATGTTTTCTGTTGATTTGCCAATTTAAATAACAAATCATAAGTGAATTTTGGATTATAACTAAGTACATGATTAACTTCGAAATTGAATGAATTCTCTATCACACTTTGTAAATCATCCAACTCCTCTTTCACTAGACTCAGAAACTCCTCCTCTTTACCTATGTTTCCATCATGTTTTAATGCATAAAAATAAATTAATTATTTATACCATAAACACCTAGAATTGAGTCTTGTTTTGATCGGTTTTCAATTTAAATAGATGTTAGCAAATCTACAATAATGCTTTCTATTCCAATTTTCTAAACTGACCATCCCTCAGAATTGTAGGAATGTTTACACTAACACCACGAACTAAGATTTTCATTTATTCTTAAACTTACATATAAAAAAGGAAGGATCAAATATCTTCTTTATACATGCATCATTATGCTCAGCCAAAAAGTCCATTAGTTCTGCTTAATCATTCAGATTATAGATAATTCGATGTATTTTTAAGTCTCTTAACTTTTGAAAATCGTTGAAATCCTTTAAGCTATTCAGTCTAACACTTAAACTAATAGCACTCTTATCAAATTCATAGATTTAGTCTCTAATAACATTTGCAGAAAACTTAAATAAGCATCGATTAATAAATTTCATCTTAATTAATTTAATTATCACGCATCATCATCACGAAAATGTAAATACTCTTAAATGATACTAAAGATCTCCTCATCTTCATCCCTCCGTTCTACTTCTTAACTCTACTGCGGCTTCTTGAGGAATTTCGTAATGTATTGATTGTTGTTGGTTGCTTTCAATCTATTTGAGATATCATCTAAGGACTCCACTTTCTCTGGTTTCTTCGAATAGATACACTGTTTCTCCAACTCTCTAATACACTATTTGACGGTCGGCTTGGGCATTACTTAGTCTACTTTTCGTTTTCTATTCTTCCTATCCGGTTCCAATTACACTCCTAATTTCTCCATCAAACCACCTTAATATGCTAAAAACAAACTTACGAAATTTTGGTTCTGTCATCCAATTAGTGTAATTCTTAGAGATCTTTGTAAAATCAGTGCATTCTCTGATCAAAGTTGAATAGCCTGATTCCCCGTTTGTTTTTAATCTCTTTAAATAGCCTTGAAAACCTTTGACTGGATTTATTCTCGCTTTTCTCCTGTATTCAGCGAAATTCTCATAGGGTATGACCAATTTCTTCATGATTCAAAACACAATACTTTCAAAATGGCTGGCTTGATGGAATTTACAAAGGTTCTCATCTCAAGGTAGTTTGAATGCAGAGAATATGGCACCATATAATTGATGCCATCTGGATCTCTATGGCTTTGCATCAAAAAGTCAGTATTTATACAAATAAAATTCTACTATCCCGATTCAATGTATTGTTAAAGTATTTATTCTCTGTGACTTCTCTTTATGATCTCTATGAAATATTCTAACAAATTACATAATACCAATTACCTTTCTTGTCTGTCGTAAACAAATCAATATTCTTAGTTGAACTGGCAATTAATTGATTATACTTCTCTTGATTTACAATTATCTTAGTTTTAAAGTATTTGCAAATCTCCATCACAATTGCCTCTTTTCCCAAAGCTCCCATCGCTATTAAAACTCTTTTTTTGATGTTATTCTCAATGATTTTAATCATTTGTTAGGCCACGATGTCAGCAGTTGGGAAGTTAAACATGGGATCACAATATGTATTATCGAATATGAGTTCATCAATTTAGATTGCCTCGTTGTTAGGGAATAAGATGGGATTGTCAGTTATCATACTCTTGTTGAATCTGAAATCTCCTGTATGCAAAATGGTTCCCATGTATCCTCGAAACAAAAACATGGAAGAACCAGGAATGTGATTTGCTGAAAATAGAACCACTTCAATTGTAAACTCATCATCAAGCTTATCTGTGAGTTCTTAACTCAAGAGATTCAAATAATAGATATGATTAAACTCTAATGCCACAATCCTCTCTATCTTCGGAAACTTATTCAATATGAACTGCTTTGTAATTTTACTACAATAGATTTTGCCATAATTCCATAGAGGACTCATTCCCTACCAATGGTCCTAATGGAAATGAGAAAGGAAGTGGATAAAAGTATCAAGTTTATAATCTTTTGCTAATTCAAAATCATCGACTATGATATTTGTATTGGTTATTAATCTCATTTTTAAATTTGTGTTATTTCTTTATCATTCAACTAATTATATAACACAAAATTCTAAATATCAATTGCATTGTCAATTAGTATAATTATTAATTTTATTATATTGATGCTTATTAGGTTATCCACAAACATCATCAAGAGAATTAGATAGACATACTGTGTTCAGGTATCTGCTCCATAATATCCAAGAATTCCACTAGAACTCAGTTGGAAACCATAAGCAAAATTGATGATCTAGAAAAAGTGTAATAAGAATGGTTGGATTTGGTTAAATAAAAAGGCAATAATAATCATGATCAAGATGATGATATTGAAGAGCAGGAGGACAAAAAAGAAGCCAAAGTCAATGACGACTTATAAGAAAGTGAAAGTGAATCCGATGATGATGATGAACCTAAGGGGGGAAGGAAGATACCTTTAGTTGAATTAGTCAAAGGTTTTATTCCAAGACTTTTAAGACCAGAACCTCAGGAATGACATATCTATATATTTTGTGATTTTTAATCAAAACTATTTATAATTTATATCAGATTTATTGAAGTTCATCCTGCTTAATAATATTTACCTCATTCATCATTAAAAACAGATTTTACTAATGTCTCCATAATTCCCCAAGCAACAGCATCAGATCCTTTGGGTAAACGGAAAATATATGAACTTAATAGATATACCCCCATTACTATTACAAATATTATTGCCCCTAATATACATTTAATTACAAGTTTCTATAATTACGGATCTTCTGGTTAGGCATATAAACCAATCACAATAATAAATACAATAATCACCATTATGGCAATCGATTTTAAGGTTTCCTCCTCGCTACCTTGAAGAATATAATATAATTCATCTAAATATGTAGGTATATCTAACAAGTATAATGAAATGATGAAATTGTAAAGAATTAAAAAGTAATAGGCATATCCAAATTTGTTGCTGTTCAAACAAGATATAGATTTACACTATCTACACTCCAAATGCGGTTAGTCTCCTTTGTCTAATGTTGAATCACATTTAGGACATTTTCTAGTTGCGATAAAATCATATATATCTGAAAAGATGTTGTTCGTAGAAGTATTTGACTTTTAAGGTCTATTCAACGGTTTATTAATAAGTATATTCTTTTTGCATTTTTAGTTTGAACAAATAAATGAGTCTCCATCGCGCCTATTTTATATCTATTTAGCACTATTTTAAGAGTTCCATATATCTGCTTAATTAGGTTTTGATTTTTTGTATTTCATTTTCTATTAAATTTAAATTTTAAATAACTTGATATCCTCTCGATTACTAATTATCAACCGTATAACTGATCAATTTGGGTATCTATATTTTAAATTTAAGCAATTTTCCTTTCTTTCCCAGTTGATCCTAAAGAAGTTGCATTATAATTAACATCTACATTCTGAATGCAACAGAAAACTATTCAAATTAATAAAAGCAATTTAGACTATAAAGGATTTTCCTTTTAAAAGAATGCTTATATATTCATACATTTTTTAATGAAAAAGAATACAATTATTTTATTATTAAGAATGCAATTTAACTTTTTAATCTCAAAGTGCATGTCAGTTAATGAAAATGGAATGACAATTTTGAATGGATCACAATAACGCAATCCGTAACTTGATGAAGTGATTACAACTATGGGTGAAGCATCTGCAAAGGTATTTGATATCAATTTATACTAGGCATAAAATTTGAAATAAGTTATAACAAGTCCAACTAGATTTTATTAAACTGATTAAAAACTGTATATTAAATCGGAAGGAAAGGTAAGAATACAAATTGATGTACTTAGCATTGCCTAGGAATCTTGAAGGTCGGGAAAAAAAATTTATTTCACAGAGATTTAAATGGATTAGTTAGAGAAATATAACCTTTGTGTGTGTTGGACTTCTATGTACATGAATCGATGCAAAGAAGAGGAATTGGCAAAGAATTGTTTGAAGAAATGCTGAGATGTGAAATTATTTACCCAGAGAAATTAGCATATGACCGACCCTCTCCTAAATTATTAGGCTTTCTTAAAAAGCATTATCATCTCTCTAATTATATACCTTAGAATAACAATTTTGTTATCTTTTCATAATATTTCGAGAATAGATAGTTGATTGTGAATTAATAACTGGCATCATAAAATTCATAATCTTAATATTCATCGACACCCTCGAAAATTGAATAATTAGGAACTTTGATGTCATAGATGTCCATTTAATCAACGTAATCAAAGAATCAGCAATAATAGTAAAGCAAATCCTAAGCTCCATGGGCTACTGATTAAAAGTCATAACAAAATGTATAAAATTTCATTTACTTCCTAGATGTATGAAACAACAACCGGACTTATGTCAGCTCAAATCTAGAAAAAAAGGTGAAATATTAATACTAAGAAAATTATTCTATATAAAAATTCAATTTAAAATTATTTAACATTGACCTTTTAAAATAATCATAATTCCTTAGCTTATTTTATCCATTCCTCTTTCAAATAGAATTCCGATGTTTGTTTTTCAACTCCAAAATAAAATAGTCCATTTGGAACCGAACTTAAATCATCAAAAGTTTATTTTAAGTACTTCTATGTCATTCTCAGAGGAGGAGGGGAAGTATACAAATAGAACTCAAGGTTACTATTTACTAACATCTAATATAATATCGATATCTTACATCCTTTATCAAATCATACAAGACTTACAAAGTTTCAAGGGGACCAAAGATAGCCTGAACAATCATACTATTTGGAAATTAGACCCTAATGTCTGTTTTGGAGAATATTGGTTTGTTAAGAAGTTCTTCATATTCCTTCTTTCTTTTAGAAGCAAACTGTTACTCTTCAAGTGACTATTCAAGATTTAATCATTTAAATTACTTAAGCAACTTATTAAAGAAATTTTAAAAGTTATTGATCCTTCTAAGGTTAGACTTCTTCATAATCCTCCTATCCTTGAATTTATTATTGCAATTGTACAGGAGATTGCTATTTCCTACCAATAAACACTTTGATTTCTCTATTAGTGATGGGTTAATTCATAATTTCCTAAAATAGCTAAGTTAGAATGTTACAAATCTTCTTTGGTGCAATTACTCAAGCTTCTAAGAGAAGGAATAAACATCATAGCCTTCATTTTTGGCCAATTCTGAAGTGATTGAAACATTTTATGAAGAAGTATGAACTGATGGCTTCTGTGGATTGAATCCTGTCTTCTTTTAAGTATAATTGACCAATTCTTCTGCAGCCTCTTTCCAGTCATTCTAATTGTCCATCTTATATTCAACCTATAGAAATTCTGCTTCAATCTTCCAACCCAATTTACTTAAATAATTTAATGCAGATGAGTATTTCAGTATGTTATTTTAAAGAGTTTTAGAACAGATATTTATTTTTTGTTTATCCTAGCTTAGTGGGTTCATTATAACATTGGAAATTATTTTAAAAATTATTTCCAATGTTTTATAAAGTTAATCCTAATCTGAGATTTCTGAAATGATTTTTGTTAATTCTAATTGCCAATTTTATTTCATATCATCAGCCCTTTGAACAAACTCCATCAATAATTGACCAATTCTCTTTGGAATTTTAAATTCATCAAAATTTTCCTATTTCATCTATTTGATTGACTCCTTTGTGTCATACCAATTTTCCTCAAGTCTAGAAATGATAAGTAAATTTACATCTCAATATATGGTTCTACTAAAGATATGGGCTTTCCCATTTCAAAAGCAATTTGCATCAGGGCCTATCTAACATAAGTGGAAGATTTTTATTACATTTAATTTATAATATTAAGTAATACTAATGAAGAACATTAATCAAATAATTATCACAATATATCATACACATAAGAAATTGCTAAAATGCTTAATAATGCAAAGTAATTGTCTTTGTTACCCTTTTTGTAATTAAGTATTGTTGATCCCAATAATAAATATGCCAACTTGGAACACAATAATTCTAGCAAATTGGAAATGTTTAATAATATCAGCACACCAAGAGCAATTGCATTAAAATTAATTTAAGTATGAATATATTCGACTGGAATTATATATTGAAGTAACCAAATTAATATTGCCAGTCCATTTAATCCAAAAACACCAACCAAACATAAGCCCATTATGATTGAAAAAATACATTTATAACCTAATTTTACTTTTGCATTGAAACCGATCATGTAAATACAAACTAAGAATTCTAATAAAAAACCTATGAAGGCTTTGTGTAGTGTTATTTAAAAAAATACAGTTGAAAACCATATGACCAAATACTCAATCATCAATAATATAGTTGATCCTCCCAACTCTTTAAGAACACTTCTTATAGGTCTTTTTCTACTTTTCAGGTCAAATATTGATTTAAAGAAGAAAATTATTCCTGCTACAGTTCCAATTATTATGACTTGTATAATCAAAATTTCAAACATCCAAAACAAGAGATTGAAAACGTAGAGCAAATAATTTAATATCCCAAGTTGATAGAAAATATTTATTATAAGGGTAAGATATAATCCTGAGGTAATTAAGTATTAACATGAGCACTAGGATTCTTAGTGCTTTTTCCATTCCTACTTACAGTTCCAGCAAAATTGATTAGAACAAGCCTTACATGTCATATGTCTACAACCTCCAGTACGCTATATCAAAATTCCACAAATAGGGCACTAATTAGCTGTTACTAGGCAATACCCAAATTGCCTAAGGATACCAAAAATATTTTTTATTATGTATTCTTGCTTAAAAGTGAATGGTGCTTTATTAAAGTCCCTCCATTTGAATCCGCATTCTAAACACTCAAGTTCTTCATCGCATACTTTATCTAATTCTATGAACCCATAAGATTTGCACTATCCACTTGGGCATGGACGAATATCATCATTCTTTAGATATTATTTGAATAAGATTTCTTGAAAAATCCTCTCGTATGGTTGATTATGACAATAACTCAAGATTTCGTTTCTATTATAAGTATCACTACAATCTTGGTTAGGGCAGTTAATTATATCTATTTGTTTAGATTTATTTTTCTCCTCAAACCAATTGAGTAAGCAAAGCAAACAAAAGTGACAACGACATTTTGTTTTAAAATTCGTTGTTTANGAAGATTTTTATTACATTTAATTTATAATATTAAGTAATACTAATGAAGAACATTAATCAAATAATTATCACAATATATCATACACATAAGAAATTGCTAAAATGCTTAATAATGCAAAGTAATTGTCTTTGTTACCCTTTTTGTAATTAAGTATTGTTGATCCCAATAATAAATATGCCAACTTGGAACACAATAATTCTAGCAAATTGGAAATGTTTAATAATATCAGCACACCAAGAGCAATTGCATTAAAATTAATTTAAGTATGAATATATTCGACTGGAATTATATATTGAAGTAACCAAATTAATATTGCCAGTCCATTTAATCCAAAAACACCAACCAAACATAAGCCCATTATGATTGAAAAAATACATTTATAACCTAATTTTACTTTTGCATTGAAACCGATCATGTAAATACAAACTAAGAATTCTAATAAAAAACCTATGAAGGCTTTGTGTAGTGTTATTTAAAAAAATACAGTTGAAAACCATATGACCAAATACTCAATCATCAATAATATAGTTGATCCTCCCAACTCTTTAAGAACACTTCTTATAGGTCTTTTTCTACTTTTCAGGTCAAATATTGATTTAAAGAAGAAAATTATTCCTGCTACAGTTCCAATTATTATGACTTGTATAATCAAAATTTCAAACATCCAAAACAAGAGATTGAAAACGTAGAGCAAATAATTTAATATCCCAAGTTGATAGAAAATATTTATTATAAGGGTAAGATATAATCCTGAGGTAATTAAGTATTAACATGAGCACTAGGATTCTTAGTGCTTTTTCCATTCCTACTTACAGTTCCAGCAAAATTGATTAGAACAAGCCTTACATGTCATATGTCTACAACCTCCAGTACGCTATATCAAAATTCCACAAATAGGGCACTAATTAGCTGTTACTAGGCAATACCCAAATTGCCTAAGGATACCAAAAATATTTTTTATTATGTATTCTTGCTTAAAAGTGAATGGTGCTTTATTAAAGTCCCTCCATTTGAATCCGCATTCTAAACACTCAAGTTCTTCATCGCATACTTTATCTAATTCTATGAACCCATAAGATTTGCACTATCCACTTGGGCATGGACGAATATCATCATTCTTTAGATATTATTTGAATAAGATTTCTTGAAAAATCCTCTCGTATGGTTGATTATGACAATAACTCAAGATTTCGTTTCTATTATAAGTATCACTACAATCTTGGTTAGGGCAGTTAATTATATCTATTTGTTTAGATTTATTTTTCTCCTCAAACCAATTGAGTAAGCAAAGCAAACAAAAGTGACAACGACATTTTGTTTTAAAATTCGTTGTTTATGTACATATGATACAATTAAACATATAAAAATATTGAATATTTAATTAAATAAAATTGAATTCTTGGATTGATTCTGATCCTATTTTCAATCAATAATAAAAAGTTTTAATTTATACACTTCCTTAATTATTTTTTATCGTTGAATTTTTTATTTTTTCTCACTTAAATCAATAAGTTTGGATTTCATAAAAAATGTTGAAATTGATGAAATATAGAACCTATTTCACTTTCTTAGGGAAGCACAAAGTTTTGATAGATATCAGCGATGATTATTGAATAGATTATAGTATTTTATACATTGCTATTATTCTTCTTAAGAAAATGATATTGAAATGTCGATTCATGATTACCTTAGTTGTGTTCACTTCAAATGTATATGATAACTTTATACAGATCCAATAACAATTTTTAATCAATTAAATTGGTCATGAAAAAGTAAAATTTGATTGAGAGAGATGTGGAGATTAGAAAAATTACGCTATTAATTTCTCAAGTATCATATTTGAAAAAAGATTCGATTTTATTTTATACAATTATGAATTTTATTTTTACTAATTATAAGATGTACACTATTATTAATTACTTAACACATGTTTCCATAATCATTATTACATTAAAAGCGGTTATTCATCAATCAAAATTTTAATGTATTCAACCCATTTTTATTTTTAGCTTTCTGATTTGCATAGAGCATTTAATGTTTTTGGTTTCACATTCTTTTATGCAAATAATGTGAAACATCTATCAGACTCAATTACTAAATTATTATAACTAAATTATATACCCTTGTGCTTCATTTTATGAATTTATTTAACCAACCAATTTTGATTTTCAAATGCACTTGATGATAATGATTTTTTGTCGTAATTTCCTTTAATTTCTTGAATTTAATTTAATTTCAAGATCCATTTTTGTTTAACCAATTTTGTACTTTCTTATCTACATCTTATTTGCTATAGAGTTTCATCGCAAAAGAACCTATAATAGCCTCGACTACCATCTTCCTTGTACATTTTTAGAATCTCTCCTTTTTATAAAAAGTTTTTGATTTCATCAGTTAATTTGGATAATTGCTTTTTGGGCCCTTATAAAAATTTAATTAATTCATTTAAGACTGGCTCATTAAGTTTTTCCAATTAATTTAGAAATTATTCAGCAATATTTTATCTGTATTCTTCCAACGATTTTGCAACATCAAGTATAATTGTGGCAAGCTAAAGAAAAGCATAAGATTTACATTCATTAGAACCTCTTTTTCTTTTGTAACTAAGACCTCTGCTACACAAGCATCAACTCCTTTATTGACAAATATTTAATTAGGGAAGACTTTTGATTCTCTAGATAGTATGATCTAATATATATTGCTAAGCTCTTACACTAATTGTTTTCGTATGTTTGTGATTATTCTTTTATATTAATTCAATCAATGTAGGTATAAAGTTTTCATTGTCATCCACCTATTCCACAATTAACAAGGTTTTATCAATTTGTAATTCAGTAACTTCATTTTACTAAATAAATATCATCAATTAATTTGCTAATTCGTTAGTTTTGTTAAACAATTTTAAACTGTAGTCTAAAATTTAATCATATAATTTCTTATCGTTTTTATTTACTCTCAATATTTCTGAAAAGTCTAGCCCTACGTTTAATTACTCAAACTTAGAGATTGATTCCTTATTAATGGCTGCCATCTTAAGCATAACATCAAGAGTAAGAACACAAGAACTTAATTCTGCTTTCTTCAAAATATTGGCAATCTAAGTGAATCCATTCAATTTATCAATAAACTGATAGCAGTTGGCTAAGATCTATCTGATTAGACGAAGGGCTTATTATTCAAGTTTTTCTACTTACAAACATCTAAATTATACATAATAATTACATCAATGTACATTCCACAGTTTGGATATCAATTGGAACATTTATTTAAGCAGCTATTTTCAATTCTAAATTCAGTAATAGTAATATGGAATCAATTTCCTTTTGATGCTTTTTGATGAATTCATTGATAATTTCCAATAATTTCTACTCAATCATCTTTTAGATATTTTATGTATATGAAGCCAAATGAAATAATGTATTGACACATTGTTCGAAAGATTTTTATTTAAAATATTAAATGTTCTTTCTCAAAATTTGGATAAGATATTCTATTTTCATCTATTTTTTAATCTCCTCATTCTTATAGCACATATTATTGATCAAAGTCAACAACGGTTCTTCCAAATCATCTAAAATTTAAGATTGCTGAATTTCATCCAAAATTTTACTCTCCATCACAACAGTTCCATTATCAGCGTTTCTATAGACAATTTTTGCTAATGCTTCAATAGCTGGTTACACAACCTCAAGAGTATTGGGATGTTATGTTATTTATTCAATCAATTATTGAATGATTCCTAATTCAGCAATTTTATCCTAATAAGACTCTGATACTGATAATTATTAGATCATTTCATCACACTTTTTAATAATTTCAATATTATTCTAATATTTACTGAGTAGATCTTTCTGCAAATCTATTCCATTTGAATCTCCTATTGTACTTAAAATCATTTCATCTTGGCATAATTTTTTTAAAGCTTCTAAACCAGCTTCAACTACTTTTGGATTTTCAGCTTAATGTTATATCAAGTTCACCATTGAAATTGGTCCTTCAGTTTAAGCAAATTCACTAAGTGTTTCAGGGACTTATGATATTTATCCAGCTGTTTCTAACACTTACTCAGCAAATTTAGAATCTTAATTTTTCAATTCATCAAGAGTATTTTAATATAGTTTTGAATTTGGCTATAAAACCTATTCAGCTATATCTTGATGTTTAGTCAGTCTTCTAAAAACCTCCCAAGAATCCTCAATTTAAAATAATCTTTCCAACATTCCTTCATCTATTATCTACTATGGATTTTTAACTGCTAATTCTAAACAATCCTTAATTAATTATTAATTCTATTCAGGCTATTGGATCTATTGAATGACCTACTAACTCTCATTAATATTCTCTTTATCTTGACTTTACTCTAATTTCTATTATTTCTCTTATTTCTCCTACTCCTCTTTTTCTTATTTCAATTACAATAATAACTATTTTTATTACAATAATGATTGTCTCTATTTTAGCAGGGATTATCTTGGTATCACAGGTTATTTAGGTTTGAAGTGTTGATGCAGTTTATCACATTAATCAGGATAATCATTTTACCACTAATGTAAGAGCTATTAACCATTTTATTTTAGAAACTCTTGTTTCATCTCCTCATTTTCAAATAGAATATCGAGAGAAGTTAATATTTCTAAAGGAAATTAATTTTATTTTAAAAATTCCAGAAAATAGCTTAAAGGAATAGACTAACAGAATTTAGCTAAATTGGCCAATATTTTAAAGGCAAACATAGTATGGCCACTATTTTATTTAATTATTAACTAACATAATTCTCTACCTTTTTCTCTTTAGATTCTAAGAGCCACAGGTTCAGATTAAGATAAATTTTCTAACCATGCTAAGTTCTTTTTCGCCTATTCTTCATTGCTTTATTCAATTACTAATTCTTAAGTTTATAATATTAATTTCTAAATAAATCTTTTATCTCCCAGAATTTTACTAATATCTTTCGACTTCAAACAAGACCTGTACAATATATCATACAAATTTGCTATAACAAATTTGTTATTCTAGTATTCTTCCATCAGATCCCTAATATTAAGTAATAGTCTTACAATATAAATTAAAGGTAATCTGACGTAATTACTGCCTCCCCTTTGGAAAGATAGAATGTTAATAAATTTACAGGATTTTCACTATGTCTTTTTTGTTATAAGAATTAGAAGCACTTTTCCAATTCTATTGGCTCAATATAATTATTTATCAACATTTAAGTTAATATATTAATTGAAGAACATAAAAGCCTATCATTATCTAAATATCTATAATATATTTTACTCTTCTCTAATTCGCAATATTTTAGAACGTTTACTAAGGAATCAAGGATATTGCAATCAAATTCATATTCCAAGGCTTATGGAATTGTAGAATAAACACTCAGCTTGTCCATGTACTCAGCTCCTACTTCTGGATCCTCCATTTCTTCGAAATACTGAATCATCTATTTTATTTATTTCTTTATCTCCTCTGTTAAAAAGGAATCCCCCTCATATTTTTACACCGTATCAATATAAGGGATGACTTAATTGATGACTTCAATATCATATTAATGCTGCAATTAAAATAGCGTAACATATTTTAGTGCATTATCAGTGTAATTAATGTCAGACAATATTTAAATAGTTTCCAATCCCATTTCTTTAGTTGTTGTGTCTTCTGGTAATTTTCTACATAGAATTTTTGGGAGATCTCTTACATTTTATTTAAACAGTTCAAAAAGTAGATATATCTTAATAACATCTAGGATTTTCAACTAAATTCTCTCTTTTTGGACATATTTTTTCATTAAGATTTACAATTAACTTATTAATTAAATAACATATTGATTATCTTGAATGTCCAATAAGTAGTGTTGCTTTCTATTTGTATTCTTACAACCTTAACCCATAAATAAAATGGTGTCCAAACTAGAGTCCATAAGTTCTTCATTTTCAAGTGATTAAAACAAAAAGTCAAAACATAACTAAGATGTTTTCTTTTGAGTGTATAAAGTACCAGTTTTATCATTCCAATACAAAGTTGACATAGTCTATAACAATAGAAATATGCATTAAACAATATCGATCATCTCAGCTTTATAAGATTTTAGAAATTTCAATAAGTAATTCATTAATTCAGCGAAATAATCATTTTACAAGTAAAAGGTTCCTTCAATTTACACATAATAAGAGAGTTTGAGCAATTGGATCTCAAGCATTACTTAGGATAGCTCATCATTATATTTGTTTCCTATTATTTCTTTCTGCAATGCTTTTACATCATCTTATTTGGTTAAATTTCTCACTAAAATAATAAATTATTGTTCTAATTCTTCATTTTACTGAAATTCTATTGCTACTTCTTCTGGATCATCTTCCTCAGGTTCAGAATCAGTTTTCACCTGTTTTAAAGTACTGACAATACTAATGTAATCTAAATTTAACTTAAGGATAATTACCTTTGTTCTTTTTGCATGATAGAATAGAAATCATCAAATTTGATTTGAGTTAGGCTACCTATTCTGGATATTTATTTAAAATCTAAATGTAATACAGCAATGATCTTTTCCAAAGATAGTGTTTTTATATAAATTGAACTATGACAGAAAGTTTCTTTATTATATAATCTTTTATCTCTTGATGAATTAATAATAATAATTTTGAATTGTACTCTTAAGAAGTTTGATTATTCACATTTTCAATAATTTTAAAAAAAGCTTCCTTTCCTTTCGCAATCGCTTTAAAAGTCTTGTCATTCTTGCTTGCATAAGTCAATAATAATCTAAGTCCATCTTTGACTCCTTTTAATTATGCTAATTATGCAATAACCTTTTCAATTATCTTATTGAGTTCCTCTATGGTAAGATTAGTTCCAAGTTTTCTACTAAGATCAAATGATGCAGCCACTACCTCAGCATCTTCGTTTTCATATAATTCCATCATAAGAGCCAAAAATTATTTCAATTTAATAGCCTAAAAATCAATTTGAAATATTTACATAATCTTGATCTTGATCATAGAGTCTGCTCAAACAGTTAAGAGCATCTCTTAGTATTGGCTTTCTTTTGACTATTTTCTTATATCCTTTAACTAAGTCAAATAATATATTAATTAGTTCGTCTAAATTGATTTAATTATGAATAGCTGGTATCAAGCATGCGACAAGACTCATTGAAAACTCAGCTTATTAATCAAGTGATTTAATTGATTGGATACTTTATTAGACTTATTCTATGTTTATGATGCTTTAGAGAATCTGAGCCCCTTTGTCATTTACATCGATCTGTATACAAATTATACACTTACATCATTATGCTAGATTAAAATCTCACTCATTATTTTTAAAGGAATTGATTGCTTCTATTTTATGACTTTTAGAGCATTCTGATTATTTACTAAAAGCAATAATATTCTTAAAGTTTCTTTTATAACAAATATATTATCGATGTACTCTTACATCAATTATATATAGATAGTAATGAGTTCGTGAATATTGATATTTTCAATTGTACATTCCTATACTAATTTCATAGATCTAAAAATCTACTTAGCATTTTATATTCCAAATCGAATATCCTTTTCATTTCTAAAATCAAAGGTTTGGAAACTATTAAAATTTACACGAATCCCACCAAAATATTGGATTTTGCAAGCGAATCCGTTTGGAGCTAAGTAAAGGTGAGATTTTAATAAAGGTCTAGTGTTGACTATACAATAGGAGACAATTTACTTTAATGGCTTCCTATGATAGTTATCTATTAGTTATTGATGAGATGACATGGCTGAGATTGCTATCAATAACATTCCTGGCGATGAATTCATCTCTAAATTTATGCAAACCAATCATTCTGTTCAAACAACCACACACATTCTGAATGACTTGATCACTTTGCCTATGATTATCAATACACTGAATTAGAATAGAATATCCCTCTTTAAGATCATTATTCCATTACCTTTGAAAATGTAGATGGAATTATCTCGATGTTTGTTGTTGGGTAAATACATTTATGAGAAAAGGCAATTTAATGAAAATGAAATTAGCTTCTAGAAATACGGATTCATTTTGATAGATTGAAGCAAAGAAACCGTTGTGGCATCTGGTTTATCGTAAAATTTTTCTTTTAATTTCATTCTCTTCTTCTATTAATTTAATATTTATTTATAAATGAGTCTTAATTTATTTTATGTGAAATTCAATTACCAACACAAAAAAACAATATCTCTAAACATCATTATCTGAAAAGATTTGAATATCTGGATTATGATTAAAATAAAGCCAAAATTTATCTATCTACATCAACCTCAGCTAAATCTTTGGCTGTCAATTTATCCTCATTTTCTATATCAATATCAGCTCCTCTCAAACATAATAATTTGCATATCTCAATGTTTTTCTTTTCAACAGCCAAATGCAATGGAGTGTTTCCAAATTTGTCCTTTACATTAGGCAACGCCCCACTTTCCTTAAAATATCAAAAATATTTACAAGTAACAAACTAGTACACTCCAAAGAATTTGAATTAACACTAAAATGAAGTGGAACTGCATTGCTTACAGGGTCTCTAAGATTCACTAAAGCTTTGTTGCTTTTGATTATTTCACTTAAAATAAATATGTTTTCGAGCATAGAAGCATAATGAACGATGTGTGGCGATTATGAACTCCTCTATATTCCTTAATAATATTTAAATAGAATTTTGAATGCATCCAATTAACCAAACAAGACTGATTCATGAATAGGTTGATGATGCTCTGTGTTTTCGATATTGACATTACATTTCAAATTCAACAATCGTTCTATTATTTCACAATGTCCTTGCATAGATGCCAAATGCAACGGAGTATCCCCTCTCTCATTTTACTATTCATAATTTACACCTTTCTCTATGCAATAATTCAAAGCTTAGATTTTGTTAAAGAAAGCACAAACATGAGTAATATTATTACCATCCTTATGTACCTAGTTGATGTTAGCTCCATTTTCAATAAGCACTTCGCTGGTTTCTTTGACATCATTTAACACAGAAAATGTCAATGGAAAAAAGTTATTTGGATTTTCATCATCTCCTAAGATTTATTCCTTTATTGGATTTCTATCTAATATTTGTTTGATTAAATCATTATTCTATTCTGATATAAGGAAAAACAGGAATTTGTGTTGATTTATTTGAATATACTTATAGGAATTCCAATACTAACATTAGGAAATTATTTTCTTGTATTATTATTTCTCATATGCTTTAAGTGCCTAATTTAGATAGAGAAAATACTTATTTAGATTTATGAATTGAATAGCTATCGATTAAGAATTGCTTTCCATTAGCAATTAGATTTTGTATTCTCTTCATTAATTTATAAATATATTTTTATGTATACTGCTATTTATGAAAAATATTAACTCAAACACCAATTACTTTATATAATTAATCTTTCTTCATGTCATTATGTATCCAAACCACATGTAGATTAGGGTATAATTCAGATATTCGTTTAATCCTAACATATCTTTGAAGAAAAGTCCTCATCATTTGATTCTCGAAATCTTCAGATTAGAGAAATAGATACACTTAATCTCCAATTTTGAGATCGATTAAATTTCCATCTTCAAAAAAGAAGTCTTAATATTGAACTCTCAAATCTTAGGCAAAATAATCCAATGGCAAATCCGAGTTAAACACTTTACCTTTTAAAAAATTAGCTACTTCAGGATAATATATCCCTAAATCTGACAGAAGCAGCTTCATTTAAAATATTTGGGGACCTATTTTTTGAAATTCTTATTTTTAACTTTGCAAACAAAAGTTTAATCTCGACAATACCTCCTTCTCTTCAACCAAAGGCCATTTCTTTATCTATTGTATGACTAAAGTGTAGGCTAGTGGAATTGCATCATAAATTGGTATTTGGTTTTCATATAAACATTCAACATAATGCTTATTAATAAGATTTGGATTGCCAACGATTAAAGAACATGCTAATCCTTCTAATGATTTTTTCAAATTGACTCTCCAATTTTTGATACCAGGCTCATAGGAGAAATTTCTTATAAATTAAGCTTAATCTATGTTCTGCTCCATATGTTTTATCACTTGTTTGCTCTCCTCCAATTACTAATTGAATAAGCTTGACATTAAGAATGGACCGAACTTCTTAATAATTGAAGTTGGGGAATCCAATTATTCAGAGTGATTCAACAGACTCTATAGATTATGTTTTAAGAATGAAAATTTCATTATTAATATTAAATTACTATCATAAGGTTATTTTCTTGTAATTGTTCTGAGATAAATTTTGATCAAATGGCTCACCTATTAGAGTTAATAACAGTATTTTCAAGTAAAAAATTTAAATTGCTTTGAAATAACTTATTTTTTCAAACTTTTATAATAAATATAAATGAAAACCATTGGAAAATTAATTTACGAACAATTGAAAAAAAAGTACGACAATGTCAAAAATAATCGGAAGTAAACCAGGTTTCATTATTAAGTATTGATACTATAAATTACATTAGATTGAAATCGATTGTGGAGAAGTCGTAAATATTAAGGGAGTGAAACAATATGAATTAAGCAATAAGATCAATACGGGTTATTTTGATTTTAAGACCTTGCTTTTCTTTTTATTTTTCAAATAATTTGAGAGAATAGGAGTCCTAATATATTATATTGTTATGATTCTTCATTTTAGTTACCTTTAAATTAAGTAAACAATGCGTTGAATATTAAGTCCTGAAGACTTGGTTGTATACATCTTGCCACTTTCAATGCATTATGTCTTGTAAGTAGTGAAGGCATTCTACTTTGATTACTTAAAAATGGAATACGATAAGAGGACAAATCAAAGAGGTATAACAAGATATAGAAGATTGAGGAAAGAAATTGCTTCTGGAAATAAATCGTAATAAAATCAATAATAGATCGATATTTTCTAAAATTCAAAAGAACCTCAAGTCACAATTACTAAACAAGAGATATAGAAAAAACCTCATTCAGTTTAGTCAGTTAAAAGAAGGGAAAAATTAATGCTTTATGAGAATATCAATTGGGAATAACTTGAAGTAGGTGATTTAATTTATTTAAAACGAAATGAGATTTCACCAGCTGATATATTAATTATTGATGTTTCTGACGATATTGTTGGAATATCCTCTTAACAATTAGATGGATAAACAACAGAGGAGGGTCGGTAACCTACATAGTTGACTATGCTCAAAAATGGAAAATACAAAGCATCGGGATTTGATTATAAAAAAATTTTGACAGGTTAAATATAATTTGATAAAGATAAAAATGAAAACATTTATGGGTATATTAAATTAAAAAAGGATCCAAAAGGTGAGAACTTTAATCGAAACAATATCATTCGCAGGGAGGAACAACTAAAGACATGCTAGTATTTGATAGGTCTAGTGTTATTTGCAGGTTAAAATTGCATTTGTTATGATAAATTGAGACAAGCAGAAAAGAAATCATTCTTTGTTTAAAAGTCAAGAATGTTCTTCGCTTTAACTTTAACAATTAGCATCATAATAACATTTATAAGTTGGCTAATAGCATCTTTCGGAGTTTGCTAAGCATCTTAAAATGAAACAATCTTTGATTCTACAACGCTGATATTTTATATGGTTCAATATTTAAAGACGACTCCAATATACTTTTACAATTGTGTTGACATCATTGAAATGGGTTATGCCCATTACAAATATATCAAATTTAATCAGAGTAAATCATCTGAGATGAGAATCAAAGTTGGCAATAGTATTGGGGGACTTAACTTCCAAAATACACAACCACAAATAAATTACGAATAACTTAATTCGGTTTCAATAGGCGACTTAGTTATGACTGAATATGTATGCTTTGATAAGACTGGAACATTAACTACTGGAGAGTTCAGAGTGAGATCCATAATTATAGAAGATATGATGTATAAGTTTGGGTAGAAAAAGATTTAAAATGGATGGCAACTTTTTAAAGAAAACTTCAAATAATAATTAAAATAAAATCCTAATTTTAGAATTCCAGAATAAGAAGAATATTCTGATGAATAAATTGCTATAGAATAATAATCCAAAAACAGAAGCAATGGGTTCAAAAATACTGTTTCAGGTCTATCCAAGTCATTAGGTAAATAACAGACTTAAAAATTTCGATCCACATTACTACATTAAACTCATTTAAATGATGAGAATAACTTTAATAATAAAATATCAACCTTTTAACCATTATAGTAATCAGCTATATTAAGTAAATCTGAATTGGAAAGTGCAAATGTTAAAAATTCTGAAGGAAACAATACTGAATTAATTGGTTAACATATAATTGAAAATATTAGACCTGAAGATTTAGATGATACTCATTGCAGGATTACTCCTGATTTAAAGGCAAATAGACCTAAACCATTCTTTAACAAATCAATAATAGTTAATTAGTCAATATCAATCCAATAATCCCCTTCATCTAGTCCTTTTGAGGAAATACAACTTATGCCTTAAGAAGATAAGTAATCTGTAACGAGTGATAGATAAAAAAAACCAAGGAGTGATAGTGATGCCACAAAAAAAGAGGAATACAGGCATGTGAAAAAGCAATCATCCTTCGTGAATAGAAATACTAATAATAAGGCTACCTTATAATATTATTAAATGGATGAAGACACATATGATATCGCATTTTAAAAAGATTAAGAATTCTATTAAAAACTTGTTTGTGGTCCATCATAAATATTTTACTAAGAAGCCATTCTCTCTTTACTTTTATGCTAAGAAATTGCATCAAAATTTACTTAATATGATGATTAATTTATTCACGATTCTACTTAATCCACTTTAGATTCAGAATTAATGAGATTTGCTTAATATTTTGATGTCAAATTTGTTTGTACGAATGAAACAGGTGGAAAGATAACTTACGTCATAGAGTTATTAGGTGAAATGCACGAATTCTAGATTCTCTCTATTAATGAATAATATTAAAATCACCCTCGGTTAGGAGTTTTGATACAATACCCTGATAAATTGGCAGAATAATTTCAATTTTTTATAAACGAGTAGGAAGAAGAAAATGATTTTATTAATTGCGTCTTAATAGTTAGAGAAGAACTTAATCAAATTCCATCATATGTAGATATTGATAAGAATAGCAGAGAGTATTGGGATAGAGTTTTTAATAAATTACATATAGCTGGAATGAGAACTGTAGTTTATTCAAAGATCTATTTAAGGGATAATGAAAAAAATGAATTCTTAGATAAATATTCATAATTTCGATTTCAACAATCACAAAATGAATTAATTTAATTGTTCAATGATGTAGAGAAGGATATGTAAATTATGCAAGTCTTGGGAATTAAAGAAAAGATAAGGCCTGATGCTAAATTATTGATTTAATAGATGAAATAAGCAGATTTGAGTTTATTTCTACTATCTGGTGATGAAATGAATCGAGTCTTACCTGTTGCCTATAGATCAGGTTTGCTATAAAATACGGATCAACTTTTATATCTCGATTCTGATAATGCAAAATTGGTCATTAAAAACTAACTGGCTTAAATGGCCTAATAACTCAAAATACCAGATTAAAATCTAAATGTGAGCAGTGCGGTACAGTCAAAAACGATTCGCTTAAATACATTAACGGATAAAGCTCATAAGAGTATAGACAACTATTATAATCCCGATACATTTAATTAAAATAAATCAGTTGGAAAAAGCTCGCATAATCAATTTTAACAATAGTCATAATAACAATAATAATAATAATAGCAACAATAATAGTAATAACAACAATATGGAGAGATAAGAGCGTTTTCAATTGTGCTTAGTGGTGAGTAGTTTAATATTATTCAGGAGGATAGTGTATTTTTGGCGCATTTAACATTCCTTCTATATTTTTGCAATTCTCTTATTGCTTATAGATTTAATGCATTTCAAAAGGCTGAAATTATTAAGATCATCTAAACATAATTTTAAGGGAATAAAAAGGTTTTATCAATTGGAGATTCATTTAATGATATGTAGATGTTTAGATAAGCAAATATCGGAATATAATACTGTCATTTCCCAGTTTCTTAACAGTAACTAAAATAGAGTACGAAAAGAAAACTTACTTAGAGATTATCTATGAATAAAATATTGGAGAACCCTTTAAAAAGGCAACATAGCATAAAAGATATATAAAGAATGGCAACATCTGATATATGTGTAAATAGTTTTGAAGATCTCTGCGGTTTAATGTTTTTTGAGAGTAGAATATTTGCTGAGGTTTATGATGATCTATTGGTGTTTTCTTTCTATAGGTCTTTGTTGATATTGTATGCCCTATTTCTTATTTATTCTACTAATTGT